TTTACTACTAAGGCTAAACTATTAGCTCTAACTACTACAGCCAAGTAACTGCTTTAATAGAGATGATTTTTTAACTAAATAGGGTTTAACCCTGAACACTACCTTTCTATATTATATAACAATACCCAGATAGTCTAAATACTAACTAGTTCTATCTTTTCTTTTTAGACTAGTCTGAAGCATATAGATATTATAAATTACTAGCTTAGATAGGAAGCCCTGAATAAGACTATTAATATTTATTAGATTCTAATTAATAGAATAAAAGCTGATGGTCTAACTAAGTAGTTTAGAGGTTAGAAATACTAGTAATTTATTAACCAACTCAATATAGTAAGAACTTGATTATTTATCTTTTTTCTATTTTAGTAGTATATTTACCTGTCTGTTTACTTTAATTTTGATAGAACTACTAAGTTCTATAAAATTATAGGGGTATATCAGATTGGCAGCTCACCTGACTACTAAACCCTAGCCCTAATTCCTGGATTAAGCCATTTGAACCATTGTTCCAGCCCAATCCATCCCTGGCTAATTTACCCCTATATTCTCACCCTGGATTCTCATCTCTGTATTCTGAATATTTTGATTTCCTAATTAGGAAATCAATAAACAAAAGATTTTAGCTTCAATAGTCTGCTTTATTTAATGATTTCCTGAGGATCATCCTAAATCATCCTGAACCAGTTGACCGGATATGTATTAAAATCAGTGGCTTGTTTATTTCCTTATTTATTCTATCTTTGATCCTTTTGATTTTAATTATCTTTGATTTTGACCTTGCTTTGACTTCACTTCTATACTCAGTTTGTATGGAAAAGTGAAAGTTAAATAAAGCCCTAATTAATTCTATTTGAAAAGAACTGAAACTCCAACAATAATCTAACTAAAAACCTCTAGAAATAGTTAAAGATATAATAGTACTAGAGTAATAGCTAGAGTAAAATATAATTCTACTCTTCTACTCTGCTTTAGAGAAGATATAGTCTAAAGAAAAGAATAATATAAAAGACTAAAGTTAGTAAAATATCTAATAGTAGACCTTATAAAATTCTATTCTATCTAGATTCTTTATTAGAAGTAAGTCTTTATCTACTAACTAGTAGAATAGACTTTACTAGTTAGTAGTTCTTTATATTAAGCTAGTAAACTCCCTGGGAATCCTACTCCACAGACTCCTCTATGTAATATAAATATCAGGTCAAGGGCTGATTGTTTTAGATAGTTCTCTAAGTAATTTGACTTTGGATTAGCAACTTATTATCTTTGCTACACAAGCTTTTTAGCCCTTGACAGGTAATGCTGGCCGAACGGCTATTGTTTTGAATAAGTCCTATTGTTTATTCCTTACAATTAGTAGCCAGAGCTCTCTTCTTATAATATATCTTATTCTCTTTCTATTTTATAATTTGTTAGTACTCTATAGTAAAACTAAATAATTACTGGTTTTTTAGAGCTTCTTAATCTTTCTCTGTCCCTGCTTCTTCTTGATTTATTATTATATAATATACTAAGTTTTAATATAGTATTACTTTTTAGATTATTTACTAAGTATAAGTTTATTTAATAGACGAAAAAGAATAGATAATTAGGTCAAAGATCCTATTTAACTTTTTTTTCTTGCTTAGTTGTCTGGCTGGTCTGCTTGGTTATTTAATTGCTTATCTATTACTTACTCTGCTTACTCTGCTCACCCACGCTTATGACAACATCACTTCAAATCATCCACACTCACTCTTTGTCTTAGCGTTGCTCATTCATAAAGCAGCGACTGAGAAAGGGTTAATATCCTACTCGGCCGTGTTCAATAGGTGGCTTAAGTACGGCTGAGCGGACGGGAAGCCCTGTTTTCCACACCCTGTGGTCGTATGTGCTAGATCTTGGTTTAGAACCAAAAATATTTTGCAGTTGTCTATTCACTGAGCAGCGGTGGTGATCGGATTGCTAAGAGCTGTCGAGCTACTGATTTTAACCCGCATATTAACTTTTAAACCCCAATCGCGGCATCGCCCGGCATTTAGGGCATGTTCGCCACCGCCTGCTATAAACACTTGCATTCATCTTTACACCCTGTGGTCATATATGTTTGCAACGGCAATATGAACCGCTGAGTAGGTTTAAAGTAGTTAAGACACATATCCTGATACGCAGGCGTCGAGCCACAACGGGTCAATCACCAAGTTTTAGTGATATCAAATACGTGTGCGCACCATGGGACACGGCGGGAAGATAAAGAAGATCCACCCGTATCCCTGCGTCACCCACGAAGCTTGCGCCCAATGACCTCGTATCCGTGTTGTTGACTCTCCTTTGTGATCTACAGACCTGTATGTAGATAAATGCCTTGCACCCTATGTTACGCTACCATGGCATGCCCTCCCCTCCGTATCCTGCTGCTTGATTGCACAGTGTCTCACCACCATGTCGCCCAGTATGTTGAATATGAGTACTATCCAGGAGCTGCGGGATCAGCTGCCTGACTCGGTCGTCCTTCTCCCTGGCTCGGAGGAATACCGCGCCTCGATCAAGCGCTGGTCCGATGGCGCAGAGAAGCCCGCTGTATGTTGACCTCCCCCAACATTCTTTCCACGATTGATACTAACCCACCCTCTAGGCCCTCGTCATCCTCCCCAGCACCGAGAAGGACATCTCCACCGCCCTCACCTTTGCACAAACTCACGGAATGGACCTGGCCATCGCAGGCGGGGGCCACTCCACGTCCGGTGCCGCCTCCACCGCGGGTGGACTACTTCTCTCGCTCTCGCGCCTGCGCGGGGTCACCGTCGATCCAGAGGCACGAACCATCACCGCGCAGGGTGGAGCGCTCTGGGAGGATATCGACACCGCGCTGGGCCAGCACGGTCTCGCGACCGTGGGCGGGATCGTCAACCACACGGGCATCGGGGGCCTCACGCTGGGCGGGGGCTACGGCTGGCTGACGGGCCTGTACGGGCTGACGATTGACAACCTCCTAGCCGCGCGGATCGTGCTAGCCGACGGCCGCGTACTGGCTACCTCTCCGACCCTCCACCCGGATCTGTTCTGGGCCCTCCGCGGCGCCGGGCATAACTTTGGGGTGGTCACGGAATTCACCTTCCAGGCCCATGAACAGAAGAACGAGGTATTCGCGGGCTTACTGGGCTTTACCCCGGACAAGCTGGAGAGAGTGGTGGGGTTCGCAAATGAGTTGGTGGCGGATGAGGGGGCAGGGGCTGATGGTCGATCGGCCATTGACTGCTTCCTGGCGGTGCCTCCGGGTGCGCCCCGTGGCACGGGGCCGACCATCCTCGCAGTCGTGGTATCAATCACGAGTGAGGAAGAGGCAAGACGACGGTACGCCCCACTGCTCGAACTCGATCCCGTCATGAATACCCTGGCGATGATCCCGTATTGCCAGGTCAACGCGTTATTGAATGGGATCGCGGTGCATGGAGACCGGAAGAACACCAAGGGCTTCTCGTTTGCGATGCCGCTGCGGCCCGGGCTGGCGCGCTCGGTGCTGACGGAATTTGGGGCGATTCTGCAGGAGGAGCCGGCCTGGCGGAGGTCGTATATCGTGTTTGAATTTGGCCATCTCGGGAAAGTGGCCGCGGTCCCGCGAGGAGAGATGGCGTTTGCGAACCGGAGTCGGTGTCAGAACGGGGTCGTGCAGCTCTGGTGGTTGGATGAGAAGGATGATGCGCGCGCGGGAGAGAAAGGGCGGCATCTCAAGGCGTTGATCACCGCTGAGGCAGAGAAAAGGGAGGGGAAGGAGGCAGCGGGTGCGGTGGTTTATTCTAATTTTGTCGAAAGTGAGTCGATGGTATCCTTTCAACCTTCAATTCAACTATGCTGACTGGAAGTATAGCTGGCGACCGCAGTGGTAAGGAGCTCTTTGGCGAGAATCTGGACCGGCTACGCCTGCTCAAGGCGAAGTATGACCCAACCAATTTGTTCAATAAGACGCATCCGCTCGTGAGTAGAAAGGATGCGTGTCAGCTCGTATAAGATATCGTATTGGAGTAGTTGTTTTTTCATGCCTTGACTTTGGTTTGTTCTAGTGCTGTTCAATATGCACTAATCAGGTCAGAATTCAAGTTCATTCTGCTCCTCTATAGAACTGCTATCTCCCTCCATGACGAAACGTGCACTAAAAAGGTTTATGATGCAGCTGGTTTGTTCTAGAGCTTGTTCATTTTGTTTTGTATTGTGTTCAGTCCCGCGCTTAGGCGAAACCAAGCAACCACGAGGTGCTATTTTCGATACTCTCGGGCTGTAAGTAGGTGCCTAATGTATATTCAAAGACAATATGTATAAACAGCATCAAAAGATCCGAGTTCAAGTTTACAATTTGTTGTACATACACACCCTTCTGCATTAGAACCAGTAGTATAACCATTGCTCCTCTCAAAGTACACAGTAGTAAGTGCAGAGGGCCAGTCAACCTCGGGTTATTGTCAGGCTTTCAGCAGGCTCTACCGATTCTCGATGAGCCCCACATCGCCCCGGCCCGTGTATAACCGTGGTGGTCGCGACCCCTGATACTCCAGTGCGATGTAATCTCACACCTGGCCTCTAGAAACCACCTAAGGATGACAGTATAAGAAGGGCTTTCAGCGAGCCCGGAAATGAGTCTCCAGCCAAAGAGCTAAGTCCCAATGTCTCGCTGCCTCTGCCCTTGCTCTTGCCCTACCCTGACCTTTTTGGCCGTCATTCAGGGTCCAGCCCCACATTCCAGAAACGAGGCTAAATTTATACCAAGATCTCCAGCCAAATTCTCCGGGGTCTGGGTCAGAATCGTCGGAATCGGACTTTTTTGATATACTAGCCTCGGACTTGAGTTGGGCAAATGTGCTAACTGTCTCGGACTCCTCAAACAGACAAACATGATAGTCAAGCCGCGTCTGTCTCGGCTGCAATATGTATATCCAAGCTATAAATCTCCGGTCAGAGCCACCATCTCAGTGACCAGCACCTCATCCCTAATCAAATACCACAACAAGCATTTCCCATTTCTGAATATGAAGGCCTTTTACTTCCTGACATCTCTCGCCGCCGGCGCCGCCGTCGCCCAACAGGCCCAACTCTGCGATCAATACGCCACCTACACCGGTGGCGTGTACACCATCAACAACAACCTGTGGGGCAAAGACGCCGGCTCCGGCTCGCAATGCACCACCGTGAACTCCGCCTCCAGCGCTGGCACCTCCTGGACGACGAAATGGAACTGGTCCGGCGGGGAGAACTCGAGTTAAGAGCTACGCCAACTCCGGCTTGAGCTTCGACAAGAAGCTCGTCAGCCAGATCAGCCGGATCCCCACCGCCGCCCGGTGGAGCTATGACAACACGGGCATCCGCGCGGACGTCCTGGAGTGGGGACTATGAAGTTATGATCTGGTATGTCCGGTCCCCAACACTAACAATGCAACGGCCCAGCGGCATGCGAACTGAGTGTAATATTTCACCCTGCTTTTCTAATAAAATAGGGCTTGCTCGCTACGGCGGAGTTCAGACCCCTTGGATCCCAGATCGCGACCGCCACGGTCGAGGGCCAGACCTGGGAGCTGTGGTACGGCGTCAACGGGGCGCAGAAAACATACAGCTTTGTGGCTCCGACCCCGATCACCTCGTTTCAGGGCGACGTCAACGATTTCTTCAAGTACGTGACGCAGAACCACGGCTTTCCCGCCAGTAGCCAGTATCTCATCAGTAAGCCATTCCAACCTCTCCTCCCTCCACTTTCCCAAACACTGTCTGTGGGAGAGCTTTGTTCTGATAGAGATTACCTGATAGCGCTCCAATTCGGCACCGAGCCTTTCACGGGTGGTCCCGCAACGCTCACCGTCTCGGACTGGTCTGCCAGCGTCCAGTAGGTTGGTACTCTGTGAGATCGCAATGCGATGACTTTTACTGGGCTACTAGGGCTCTCATCGAAACTTGCGGTTGTGTTGCCATGGCGGTCTAGTCTCTTTCACAGCACACATGCTTTAAGACATCCCAACGTATCATACTTAGATCATGTTCTTTTGAGACATGACCCAATCATAAGAAGAAATTTGAGCTTCCCCGTAATTGGATACCCTTTGCCGTAGTACATCACGTCGTCAGATGACCAAATACCCATTATGATTTCCACTCCTGTATCTTCAACACACAGTCTACCAAATGACGAATAGCTATACTAGAGTTTCACTCGACTTTCACTCGACTTTCTGGGCCATCCAAAAGCACCCACCGTATAGCCGGCATCCCATCATGACATCCACTCAAGGAATCAGAAGCACACAATCCATATACTCCTAGGCTCTATTTCTAAGGTTCATCTGGAACGATTTACCCAGCGGTTGAACTATATGTAGGGCGAGGCCCACTGCTCTTTTGAGGTCTTCAATCTTCCATGTAGGCTGCACAGCTACATCCTGCACCGAGGTATTGTCACCGATAAGATAGAATGTTTTGAGCGACATATCCATAGGCTGCTTTAAAAATCTTGTGAATTGGGTCAGACACAAGGGTATTGTGATTAGGTGTTTGCAAAAGTGAAGCCAGGATTGTGCCAGAGTGAAAACGGGAGCATTGATTCTCTGGTTTTATATAGAGGCACTGTCATTGTGTGTACGCTGCTCGGAGTTCGGAACACATATATCATATTTTCCACATCAACCTCGAATGTCAGAAGCTATGCATCGAGCAATGAGCGAACAATCTACTTTTCGTACGGAGTACTTACGAGGCCCGCTCGGTATCCACAGTCTCAGTTTCTTGACAGTGGCAATCGGCAACATTCCTATTATCGTCGACGTAGAAGGTCTTGAATGGCTGGCACTGTCCTAACCGATATATGAGCAACGAAACCTCGCGTTCCTCACACCATGAACACACTTGATTATTCCTTCATCTTACCGTCTGTTGTCGCAATTATCAACAATCCCCGGTCAGCCCTCATGGCATCAACTACATACATCCTCGAGCAGGTTAGAAGTCATAACAAGAAAGACGATGGCTGGATTATTTTGCCTAATAAAGGTATCAATGCCCTGGTCATGTAGCTGTTGGTAATCCTAATACTCACACATTTAGTCTCTACAACATCACTACCTGGCTTGATGACCACCCAGGTGGTGAAGTGGCTGGCTTAGATGCCACTGAGGCCTTCGAGGAGACCGGACACTCGGACGAAGCCCGCGAACTTCTCGAGCCATATCTGATCGGAGCGCTTGCAGCTGAGGTATATTTCTTTCACTTCAAGTCTCCCATGTGAGCACCGAATTGACTGGCCGGAACCGCAGGACCAAGCTGAAGCCATTGAGGTGTACCGTCCGACCTTCGAGAAAGTCTCCCAGGTCGCTGCAGTCGACGTGCGCAAGCGACAGCGGTCCACCGTTGGGCTTTTAGTCAAATCGCTCCTCGCGGCCGTTCCTCTCGGCCTAGCTGCTGGACTAGGGTATAGTGTATACAGCAACGGGCTCGGGATACTGCGCCAGCCTCAACTGTTCCTCCCGCATCTCCTCCAAGAAATCCATCTTCCCTCTGGAACAACCTCCCAATCCTCCTTCTGGTCCGGGGTGGGCATTGACAGCGCTCTTCAAATCAGTCTGACCGGTGCTCTTACCGTCTGGCTCTCCATCAAGCTCGACGTCCAGGAGAGCTTCGCATCCCACAAGCCCTACCGACCGTCCCGCGCCGACACCCTACTCCTCAAATCCGCTCTCAAATCCATTGGCACTATTCCCCGGGCGGTTCTGCGTGGAGTATGTGCTCTCGCGTCCGGAGGGCAAGTGGGATGGGAGAAAGGGGTTCGTGACGCAGGAGCTGATCCAGGAGGCGTTCCCGGCGCCGGCTGCCGACACTCGGGTGTTTCTCTGTGGGCCGCCACCGATGATTGAGGCGATGAAGAAGAATTTGGTTGAGTTGGGATATAAGCAGCCCGGGGTTATATCGAAGGCGACGGATCAGATGTTTTTGTTTTGATGCGGCGTGTCGCAGTGGTTGTGGTGTTTGCTGTTTGTTGTTGGTTTCTGATATGTCTCTACAGATCCAAGTCTGGATATCGTTGGGGTCTGGATTTTGGGTGTAGATCGAACTTATCACTAACTTGGTTTCCTAGATTATATATCCAGTACTAGTAAAATTAGATCAGCTTCTAGGGTAAGTTACTAAGTTAGTTATTTCTCTCGTATTTACTGCCAGAGTAACCCGGGATTACTTCTGGATTACTCAGAACACGCACTTTTATAAGTTAGTTACTGCCCCCACGCTCTAGGCTACTTAATAAGCAAAAGCGGCGCCCCGTTCGACCTGAAGCAGAAAGAGAAAGTCGCTGAATTTCCGCAGCAATCCAGTATGCTCGTGCCATGGGATACTACAACTGGGAGAGCTGAGTCTAACATGTGGTGTATGTCTACTTCGACATGTTTCAAAGTCACAAATATCCAGCGGCAATGACTCCTTGCTAAGTCTTCAAATAAGTGAAATCCATTCCATGAGGTTGCTGTCGCACCAAATATATACTACTAATATGTAGTTAAGTAGTATGCTGAGTCACAGCTGCCCGAAGACTTCGGACATCAAATACCCCGCGGAGTATCTACACAATGCTGATGGCTCCTTGGTAAACCCATCTTCTATCTCATAGTATTTAAGAAGTTGGTAGTAGTATGCCAACACTACACAGCAACTCCCCCACCAACGGTCGTGCTCGAAATCACCAAACGCCATCGGAGCATTGATTCGGGTCGATGCAGGGGATCTGACTGATCCGTTGCTGCGCGCGAGCGCCAACAAACACCTGCAGCAGTAGTGGCCGACATTACCAGGCGCAACCTGGCAGTCTCCCTCGACACTTCACCCTCTCCCGCCTTCCTCTCCATTCCAAGTTTCACACTGACTGCCTCTCTCCCGCTGCGCCATCCACCAACATGAAGATCCTCTGTCTACACGGCAAAGGCACCAGCGGTGCAATCTTCAAGTCCCAGACAGGCGAGTCGCAGTCCCCACCCATCGAGACACTAGTAACTAAATTCCATCACCAGCGGCCCTCCGCGCCCGACTCACCGACCTCCCCATCGAATGGGACTTCCTCGACGGCTTCCACCCCAGCGACCCCGCCGCAGGCATCGACCTCTTCTACGCCCCCCCCTACTACGCCTGGTACCGCGACGACACCCCCACCGAGATCGAAACCTGCCGCCAGCACCTCCACGACCACATCAGCACCCACGGCCCCTACGCCGCCGTCATGAGCTTCTCGCAGGGCGCCGCCGTCGCCTGCGCCTACGCCCTCCTCCACCTCGCCCAACACCCCCCCGCACCCCTCCCCTTCCACGCCGCGATTTTTATCTGTGCGGGCGCCCCGCTCGCTATCATGCAGCAGGTCGGGTACGAGATTGCGCCGCAGGTGTGGGAGCAGGATCGGGTCTCCCGACAAGCGCTGGCGGCGCAGGCGGACGCCGCGGCGATTCTGTTGAAGGGGTCGCAGCGGTGGAGTGCGGGGGTGGGGGTGGCGGTAGAGGAGGAGGAACAGGCGATCCGGAAGGCGATTGTGCCGCCCGCACAGAAGGTCAAGATTGGAGTGCCGACGGTGCATGTGTATGGGAATCGGGATCCGAGGTTTGCGGCCGGGATTCAGTTGTCGCAGGCTTGTGAGGAGGGCTCAAGAAAAATGTTCGATCATGGTGGGGGGCATGAAATTCCGCGCACGGAGAGGGTTACGAGTGGGATTGCGGGGTTGGTGCGGTGGGCGTTGAAGGAGGGGGGTGTAGTATAGAGGGTTGATTTGGGGGATGGGGGGTGGTGGTGGTTGATAGATTGCTGTGGGAGATTAGAGATACTTTGGTTGTATGGGGTGATATTCGGGGTGAGATAGTCCTGTCAGTAGAGTATGGCTCTAACTAGTTGTAACTAATGACTCAACCCCCTTTTGAATCACTGCACAAACCGAACCTGCTCCCTCTTCCACATCAACATCACAGCAATCCACTGCGCCGCCCCAAATGCCCCCACCGCATACATCTGTCGACCATATCCCTCCGCGTAGACTCTGCGAACCTCCTCCTGAACCCCCGCCGGGAGCCCGGAAAGCACATGCACATCACTGATAGTCCCCGGAAGATGGCCCTCGACGTAATCGATCAAGATACTGTTGACGATCGCCACCCCCAGCGAGGCCCCGATCATGCGCGCTTGAAGCGTCAAGCCCATCGCCGTAGCTAATCAACACTAGTGTTAGCATCATTGACCCAGGCAGAAAGGGGGTGGAAGGGACACTATTGCCAATAGCGCGGGCTGTAAGCACTAGCCTGAACCAGACAAACGAGAACTACAATAAGTTTAGTTACCTTGATCCGTCGACCCACGAACCACCACCGGAACGCACATGTAGAGCGCCGCAATCGAGATCCCCGTCCCCACCCCCGTGATAGCCATGTAGCCGTACTGGCCCGGCCAGATGCGGAGCGTCGCCGGCACCGAGGCGAGGAGGAACGCCCCCACGATCTGCAGCACGGACCCTGCCGCCGCGAGATAGACGAAAGGGCATCCGAACCGTCCCGCCAGAAGACTGCATATCGCGGCGCCGGCGGGCGAGCCCACCCCGAAGGTGAGGACTTGCAAACCGGCGCGGAGGGCGCTGCTTTGGTTGACGGTTTGGAATCGTTGCGGGAGTTCGATGTAGAGGATTGTCACCGCGGGGCCGGTGAGGAAGCAGCCTCTGATGGAGGGAGGGTGGTTAGTTGGTTATTTGGTTGGTTAGTTGGTTTGGGCGCTCTTTGGCTGGGTTGGTTGGTTGGTTTGGGGTTTGGACTTACAGGATGGCTCCTAGGAGTACTCGGTTACGGAGAATGCCCCAGGGCAGGATGGGCTCGAACCCCCAGCACTTGCGATTGGCTACGAGCCACTCCCAGGCGATGAACCCAACGAGAAGCAGGCCGGATATGGTCAGGATGCTGACGGTTGTGGCTGATGACCACGCGTACCGGACATTCGCTTCCTGGAATGCGGCCACGAAGAGGACGGAAAACGCGAGGAGAAGCAGGCAGCCTACAGTGTCCGCTTTGGTGGCGAAGCTCCACGGCCTCAATCGGACAGCGGATGCAGGCGAGCTGGTGCTGTCAAAGTCTCTCGGAACCAGGAAATAGATGCTGATCCAAGCCACGACTCCTGCGGGGACACTAGGAAGAGAGGCGTGCATGTCAGCACTAAGACCTCATCGGCTGATTAGGGAGTTGGTGGGAAAGTGGCTCATCCATACTTGCACAGGAAGATCCAGCGCCAGTCGCCAGAGGTGCTGATGCCGCCTCCGATCAAGGACCCCAGGATCAGCGCGAACGTCAGCACGCCTGACCCCACGGCACTGGCGAGATCGAACCTCTCAGGGGGAAGCATTCGGATCAGGCTGGAAAGGCACGAGGAAAAGACCCCTGATCCACCCATGCCCTGGAAAGCGCGGCAGATAATGCTATTGTAGCGATGAGCACCAAAGGAGCCCATGCAGGGCTTGAACAGGGACACTCACAGCTGACTCATGGTCTGTGCTGCAGCACAACCGCCGGAGAATGCAGTGAAGATGGCTAGTGAGACCAAGATCGCTAGCTTGAGCCCGATAAAGTCACTGCATTTGGCCCAAACGGTGAGAAAACCCGCAAAGGCCAGCAGATAGGAGGTGATAATCCAGGTGCTCTGATCCGCCCCATCGAGGTGACGCGTGATGGTGATGAGAGAGGTACTGATAATTGTGATCTCGGCGGTGGCGAGGAATAGACTCAACGCGATGCTAGCAAGGGTTTAGTAGGTGTTGTTGATGAGCAGCTGTCAGTCAGATCGACTGTATCAAAGCTTACCTGCAGCCAGCGAACCAGAGACGAGGCCCATGCATGTATCTGGCCTGGTTTGTCATCGGTCGAGCAGGGGCCTCATTCTGAAGCTCTTCCGCCGATGAGGAACTCAAGGCCGGCAACTGGTAAGATCCGGGGATGACCAGGAATCTGCGATTATCATCCATCATGGCTCTTGGGTGACTGCGTGGGGAGAGATGGTGGTGATGTTGATGCTTAAGTTCACGGAATTGGCGCTGGTGGCTGTGAGCTTTGGGAATCACTACGTACATATAGCGTCTGACTTCCACCTGAGCATTGCATCATATGTACACATACATCGATATTCTTTGTGATTGTCGGAACCTTGGCTACGAGATTCGCCCAAACTACTTCGACTAGAAACCTGCTTCACTAGTGGGATTTCTACCATAAAAAAAGAAAAGCAAATTATTCCAATCCCTACACTGAACCTTGCATGTTTTATTTTATTCATTCTTGCTTTTTTTTCCCCCCTCTTTTCTTTTTCCAGTTGCGAAGCAAACAAATAGCATTCAACTAGTGGGTGGATAGCTACAGAACTTACATGGTGCTTACATGGTGCACGACTATGCCTGAGATGCAGCATCGATAACACGACGAATGACATGCACCGTCTGGGTGACCTCGCTCTTAGCCCCAGCCCCAGGGATTTCATGCCCCTGCTCATGCACATAAACCCATCTCACCTCCGCCCTGCAGATGGTATTTGTCAATGCAACCTTGTTGGCCGCCTGATCCAGCGAGCCCCAGATATGGCCGGTTGGGATCGGAATCACATCCTTGTAGGTCTCGGATTCCAGATCGATTGGCGCTATTATTCCGCGCTGGAAGGCCTCATAGTCGAGTGGTGGGTGGGTGATGGAGAGGATGATGGCGAACTTGAATGGCAGCTGGCAGTTCGGCCCGCTTTTGGTGAGATGGGCGAGGTAGGTCAGAATCATGGTGCCTGTCTGGCTGAAGGCGATGACTCCATCGTAGGGCCCCTCATGGTGGAGCAGCTCTTCCAGGTGTTTGTAGGCAACGACTCCACTGTCGGGGTCCTGTTCGTCGAAGTAAGCATACACCGGCTCATCCTTGGTGGCGATGAGTTCAATCCCTGTGACCACATCAGTTCCTGCTCGTTCCTGCTCGTGAAAGTTGGAAGTAGAGAGGCTGACCCGGCTGCAATGGGGCAGGAAGGTGGCCTTCAATGAAGTCGTAGGTGTGGTGGTCTCCGAGTTCGTACCGAATGGCGGCGGTCTGAATCTCGAAAATCTGGAGGTTGTCAGCCGGCCTGTCTCTCGTCGCCAGACGAGAGGATAAGCAGATGACTTCTTACTCGAGAGTTCGTACCGGCTCCATGGAGACTGCCAGTCTTCCGGTCAGTACGTGAGAGAACGACTCTCCGGGTGACATACCAGAGGATATGCATGCTGAAGTTGTGCCTGTGGATGCTGGATCGATGGCTTCGAAGATCAACCCACGTCGAGTGAGTGCAAAGAAAGAGAGAGAGACTTGCACAGCACTGCCTGTGGCTTATATTACCTTTTCCGGTGAGTCTTATCGTCATCAGTGAATGTACCTTACCTCTATCGGGTGTTACTGCATGATGATTCAATGTCCCTTCCACGCGTCATGCAAGCTCGTTGCACTAATATCGATTTTAGACTCTGCATCCAGTGAATACATCGGCTTCACCAGCCGATGTGGTGGAGATTACATGCTGCACAGCTTTAAATTGCTGCTGCTTTCTGGGGATTATTGGTGTTACTTTTTTGATAGACACGGGAGGAATAACAAAGGGCTCACCTGCCACCCATCCATCATTATTCACTTAAACACCTCTGAGTCGTGGCTCATCTTATCCTTGCAGTAGATGAGATCATGACTCTTAAAGTCTTCTCTCTCCCGTCACGTTTCCTTCCTTTCTTTCACATCTCATCATCGATCTAGTGCTACCCTGAGTCTACCAATCCCTTGCCCAACTTTCGAGAACAGGTGTAAGTCTTCTTGAACCTTGCTGAGCGTGATGTGATACTCCCCCCTCTATCGATACACATCTCATAAAAGAGAGATCATTAACAAATTCTCGACCAGCCGCTTTCCGCAAAATGGAGTCTGAACCCGGGGAGCGGGAGCCCCTTCCCCCTCTCGCTATCATCGGGTTCTCATTCCAGTTCCCTGGAGATGCAACCACCCAAGATGCATTCTGGGACATGTTGATGCAAGGCAGATGTGCATCGACCGAGTTCCCCGCGGACCGGATGAACATCGATAGCCAATACAATGCCAACCGTGACAAGCTTCACAGTGTCTCCTGCCGGGGCGGCCACTTTCTCACCCGCGATCTCGCGGCTTTTGACGCGCCTTTCTTCAACATCTCCGACGCGGAAGCCAAGTCCATGGACCCGCAGCATCGTCTGGCCTTGGAGACCGTGTATCATGCTCTCGAGAATGCCGGTCTTCCGATGGATACCGTGGCGGGCTCGAAGACAAGTGTGATGGCGGGCTCCTTCTGTAACGACTATCACACCCTCCAGACCAAGGATACGTTGAATTTCCCCAAGAACGCTACCACAGGCAGTTCTCAGAGCTTGATTGCCAATCGGATCAGCTGGTTCTTTGATCTACTGGGGCCCAGCGCGACGGTGGACACTGCGTGTTCGAGCAGTCTTATGGCGGTGGATCTGGCCTGTCAGTCACTGTGGAGTGGTGACGCGACTATGGTTTGAAAGCCCCTCTTTTCCATCTATCCCCTCCATGACTGACTTGACTTCCAGGGAATTGCGCTTGGATGTAACGTTATCCTCGCCCCGGAAATGACCATCGGCTTGGACAATCTGGGACTCCTCTCCCGCGATAGTCGCTGCTACAGCTTTGACGACCGCGCCAACGGATATGCCCGCGGTGAAGGCATCGGGGCTGTGATCATCAAACGTCTTGAGGACGCCGTGGCAGCTGGGGACACCGTCCGCGCGGTCATTCGGTCGTCGAGCTCCAACCAGGATGGCAAGACCCCGGGGATTCTGCAGCCAAGCAAAGAGGCGCAGGGCCGGTTGATCCGTGACACCTATCAGAAGGCTTGTCTTGACATGAGATCGACCCGATACTTTGAGGCTCATGGAACTGGTCAGTGCTGGTTGGTTGGATGACATTGATCGAAAACTAAGTACTAATACTGTGGATCTTCAGGGACCCCGATTGGCGATCCGATCGAGACTCGGGCGATCGGATCGGCGTTTCAAGCTTATCGCTCCTCGGACGATCCTCTCTATGTGTATGGGTCTTGCCTCCAACCCCTTTTTCCACTGTTACTGACTTCCAATGTGATCTTTAGTGGCTCTGTGAAATCCAATATAGGTCATCTCGAAGGGGCGAGTGGGATTGCGGGCTTGATCAAAGCGGTTCTGATTTTGGAGAATGGTATCATTCCCCCCAATAGCAGTAATCTGCAGTCGGTCAACCCGCAGATCGATGAGCAATACCTCCATCTCAAGGTAAGAAGTCGCTGCAGAGGGAGAACGATGGCGTTGTTGTTGTTGTTCTGGTTGTGGTTCTGACTCAGGAATAGATTCTGCAAGAGGCCATCGCTTGGCCCTCGCCGGGTCTACGTCGGGCTTCAATCAACTCCTTTGGCTTTGGCGGGGCTAATAGTCACGTCGTCCTTGACGATGCTTTCAACACTTTTCGTATGCACGGCATCGAGAATGGTCGTCATCGGACTGTCATTGCACCTCCTATGCTCAAGGGACTCGGTGTCTCGGTGCGAGAGGATGCTCGTCATGCAACTGGACGCTCCACGCCCGACATGACTGGTCCTCCCTCTACGGAAGCTGATTTGACTCTTCTCGTGTGGTCAGCAGCAGACCAAGCCGGCATTCAGAGACTCTCGGACGCCTGGCAGCATGTCTCGTTCAATGAGGGTCTATCCCAATGCACGGAGACCTACATACGCGACTTGGCTTTCACACTATCTGCCAGACGAAGCCACCTTGCCTGGAGATCCTTTGCGGTTGTCAAGCCACAGGAAGCCTTGCAGTCTGTGGTGGACAAGATGAGTCCTGCTATCAGTTCCAAGTCTACTCCTCATCTCGCCTTTGTCTTCACAGGCGTAAGTATATCGCTCAACTCAACTATATCCACATGCGAGGCAAGACTAACAACGCGCAGCAAGGAGCCCAGTGGCACGCTATGGGTCGCGAGCTTATCGATCAATACCCCGCCTTCAGAAACAGTCTGGCTGACTCGAACCAGTATTTCAAGACTCTTGGATGCCAGTGGGACGTGATCGGTAAGAGACAACCAGACACGTGTGCTTCAACACTACTGACGATCCTTCGAAGACGAGCTGCAGAAAGATGAATCCGAAACGCAAGTCTACAATCCGACCTTTGGGCAGCCATTGTGCACAGTACTGCAGATTGCTCTGGTCGAACTCCTCCAAAGCTGGCAGCTGAAGCCCAGTGCGGTAGTCGGTCATTCTTCAGGTGAAATCGCCGCTGCGTAAGTCTTTCTCCCCAAACATCCTCCCTTATCCTTGGTTGTTTGATCGGGGTGGCTAAGCTTCGCTCTATCTTCAGTTACTGTTCGGGCGCAATTACGAAATATTTCGCTCTGAAGATCGCGTACTATCGAGGGTTCCTCACCGGGATTATGGGGAAGTATTCCAGCGAGATGGACGAAGACAAAGCTTGGACTTTAGAGCAAGACTATCGTCGGTACGTACTGCCCATCCCGTCTTATCCTGACGCATGTACTAAGATCGGTTCAGTGGAATCACTCAACCACGGCCGACATGGAACGGGACAAAGGGTAGCTTCTGTCAACGCTCGCTCGCATGGCAAATCGCCAAGTCCGTGTCTCCTAACATGCAGGGTGCTATGCTGGCTGCAGGGCTGTCTCAAAAAGAGGCTCAGAAGTATCTGGCGGTCGTGTCCTCCCATTTTGGTGAGCTGAAGCTCGACGTTGCGTGCGTCAACAGTCCTACCAGCGTCACTATATCTGGCTGCGCGAGACAGATCGATCACCTGCACCGACTCCTCGTCGAGAAGAAGTTGTTCTCACGAAAGCTTGCAGTCAATGTCGCATACCACTCCTATCAGATGAAGGAGATTGCGGACATATACCGTGATCTGCTGGAGAAGGTGGAACGCCCACCCAAAGCGAAAAAACCAGCGGTCATGGTCTCCAGCGTCACCGGGTCCTGGATCTCAGCGGAAGAGCTTTCCACGCCCGACTACTGGGTGAAGAACTTGGTGTCGCCTGTTTTGTTCCACGACGCCCTCGCACTTCTGTGCACCGCCTCCCGAACACCCGCCCGGAAGTTTGACGGCAGTCATCGCTACAACGTAGCGCTGGACCACCTCCTGGAGCTGGGACCTCATTCGGCTCTGCAGGGTCCCTGTCAAGAAACCCTGGCGGCAATGGACAAGCAGGGCCAGGTCTCTTACGTTCCCTTCCTCCGCCGTGGTCGCTCTGCGGTTCACTGTGCCATGGAGAGCGTGGGCCGCCTGCACTGCAGTGGATACGCGATTGACCTGTCCTCGGTCATACGAAGCGCACAAGAAGAGCAAGACCAGCCCCGCCTACTCGTCAATCTGCCCGAATACCCCTTCAACCTCACCAAGAAGTACTGGTTCGAGAGTCGCATCAGCAAGAACTACAGACTCCGCCGGTTCGGCCACATGGAACTGCTCGGTGTGTCGGACCCAGACGCAACCCCCCTGGAAGCCCGATGGAGGAACATCATCCGCATCGCCGACATGCCGTGGGTGGAAGACCACAAAATCAACAACAGCGTGCTGTATCCCGGTGCGGGCATGGTCGTCATGGCTATCGAAGCTGTCAAGCAGTTGGCAGACCCGAATCGAAGCATCGCGAGCTTTGAGCTCCGTGACGTGGTGTTCTCGTCGGCGCTGCAGGTTCCCGCTCACGCTGAGGGTGTCGAGGTGAGCGTCTACTTGAAGAGCGTAGGCAGCGTCAAGAAGGACTCGACGGCTTGGTTTGAGTACCGCATCTGCACGTTCGACCATGGTTCCTGGGTTGAGAACAGCTCTGGGTCGGTGCAAGCTCGGTATGCGCCTGATGAGAAAACAGCCAGTCTCAGTGACGGCATAGAGGCTGAGTGGCAGGCATCCCTCGTTAGCACCTACGAACGTGCATACAATCACTGCACCGCATGTGCAGATGCTGATGCGTTCTACGAGTGGTTGCATGAGTCTGGTTATCACTATGGCCCTGCGTTCCGCGTGATTCAGGGCTTGTATCATGGACCAGAAGATGACTACAGCACCATGGTTGCGGAAATCAAGCCCTTTCAGCCATCGATAACGACAGCACAGGCCGAGTATCCAGCCCACACCATCCACCCCACTACGCTGGATGGCGTTATCCAGATGATGGCAGCGTTGGTCACGAATGCTGGGCAGCGCAAGATTCCTGTCTCCGTGCCAACCAGAATCAATCGACTCTGGATCTCGAACACAGGCGGACTGAGCCATCCTTCGTCGAGTCTCATCAACACCTACGCGACCTCTATCCGGTCCGCCGTCGGCGACACCCAGTACTCAATGACGGCATACGATCTGCATGTCACCAAAGCTCTGCTGACCTTGGAAGGGTTGAAAGTCACCTCCATCGCAGCTCCAGAGATCGTCTCATCCTCGGACCAAGTCAAGGCCGACAGCCTGTGCCATCACGTGGAATACAAGCCCGACACTGACCTTCTCGATGCGCGCGGATTCTTGACGGCCTTTGGCATACAAGAGCTTCAAGTCCTGGGGCCGGTGCAGCACCTGCGGGACATTGAGTTTCTGATCGCCACCTGCATCTGCAAGTATGCCGACCCGCTCAGTGAGCTGGACCCAGGCAGTCTTCCCTCGCACACGCGATGCTACATTGACTGGATCGTGAAGCACAAGAGGCTGCTGGAGCTCGACGCTTCGGACTTTGGATCTATTGAATGGCACCACCTGATGGATGACGAGGTCTATGGAGCTCAGGTACACCAGCGTGTCGAAGAGACCAGCAAGCGCGGCAGGCTCGTCAGCACCATCTGCAAGAATCTCGTCGAGATCCTCGAGGACCCCATCCCCCATCTCTTCAAGGACAATCTGCTTTCCGACGTGTACTCCGAGATGCTGTACGGCCTCCCCGCGGCATCAGGCTTGATCCGCTACATCGACGCTCTCGCCCACAAGAACCCGCGCATGAACATCCTCGAGATCGGGGCCGGGACCGGAGCGATGACGCAGCTGTGCCTGCAGGCGTTGGCGGGCCCCGACGCGAGTCTCCCGCGCTACAACCGCTGGGATTTCACCGATATCTCCAGCTCGTTCTTTCCAGATGCTGTCAGCCGGTTCGAGACAGAGAAGCAGCGCATGGATTTTCGTGTGCTGGACATCGAGCAGGAGCCGGCGGATCAAGGCTTTCAAGCTGGGTCGTATGATCTGGTCGTGGCTTTTCTGGTGCTTCATGCCACGGTGGATCTCGCAGCTAGCCTGCGTAACGTCCGGCAACTGCTGAAGGTCGGGGGGAAGCTTCTCCTTTTCGAGATCACCCACCCCGAGCCGGTGCGAGCGAGCTTTGTCTTTGGCCTTTTCGAGGGTTGGTGGCGCGCGCGCGAGCCCTCTCGTCAAGATCACCCGTGCGTGGGTGTCGAGCAGTGGGAGGAGCTGCTGACCGAAAATGGTTTCTCCGGGTGTGATCTGGCGATCGATGACTATGCGGATAAAGCGTGTCATGAAGGGACATTGATCGTGTCAAGTGCCGTGGCTCCAGGCGCCCCTGTCGACACTATCTTGCCCCCAGTCGATCCCGCCATAGCCACTCAACCCAACCCTTCAGCGCCGCACATCCCGAGGCTGTTCAACATCATCGTCAACTCTGCAATTCCTCTTCAGAACGAGATTGCGGGAGTGCTGATGTCGCAACTTTACGAGGCCGGCGCCCGAGTCATCGCGAAACGCGGCATCGAAAGTATGATGAACCGAGGTCTTTCTACCAACACAACGGACATCTCTCTCCTCGACATTGAGGTTCCATACAGCTACAACATGAACAAACGCGAGTATGAGCGGATCCAGAAACTGATCACCACTACGACCAACCTCATCTGGGTCGGCAGCGGAGGGGGCCACCAACCCGCTCCGCAGTTCCGGCTTGTCGACGGTTTATTCCGGGTCCTCTTTCGCGAGCTGCCCAGAGCAAAGATCACTACCGTGTCGTTGGAGCAGGGGGAGACATCCGAGCATCAGACGGAGCAGATCATGAAAGTCCTCACCGCCGTCTCGACAGAGACCCGCGACTCGGACACAGAATACTGGGAGACGGATGGAGTGCTTCACATCGGCCGCTTGGTCCCCGCCACGCCTATCTCCAAGACCGTTGCGAAGATGAAGCAACCCCAGCAAAAGCAGCTCAATGCATACGGCGCCGGCCCCCCGCTCCGCCTCGAAGTCGGCACCCCCGGCCTCCTGCACACGCTTCAGTTCGTCGAAGACAAATCCCTCCGCGGGCCCCTGCTGCCGGACGAGGTGGAGGTCAAGGTCAAGGCGGTCGGTCTCAACTTCCGCGACGTCCTGATCGCACTGGGCCGTCTGGAAAGCGACACTCTCGGGGCGGAGTTCGCCGGGGTGGTGGTCCGCGTTGGCGCGCGCTGCCAGCGCTTCAAACCCGGGGATCGAGTCGTGGTCTTCCATCCGAGCCGATACGCGACCTTCGTCCGGGTGCGCGAGAACATGTGCATCGTGCAACTGCCCGACGAGAGTATGTCCTTCGTGACTGCGGCTGCGATCCCGGTGGCGTTCGCGACTGCCTGGATCACCCTCACACAGCTGGCACGGCTGCAACCGGGCGAGTCAATCCTCATACACTCGGGCGCCGGCGGCACAGGGCAGGCGGCGATCCAGGTCGCCCGTCATCTGGGAGCCAAGGTCTTCGCGACGGTCTCGACCGAAGCCAAGAAACAGCTCCTAATGCAGCGGTACCAGATCCCCGACCAGCACATCTTCTCCAGTCGCAACACGCTATTCGTCAAGGGCATCAAGCTCCTCACTGCCGGTGTGGGTGTCGATGTGGTCCTGAACTCCCTGGCGGGCGACATGCTCATCGCCTCGTGGGAGTGCATTGCGCCGTTTGGACGCTTCATCGAGATCGGCAAGAATGATATCCTGACCAACACCAAGCTCCCGATGCTGCAGTTCGAGAAGAACGTGAGCTTTTCCGCGGTCGATCTGGCCCAGGTGGCCTTCGAGCGGCCGCACCTGATCCGACAGGCTCTGGCGGACGATCTGTTCAGTTCCATCGCGATGGGCAGGTTGACGCTGCCTCATCCACTACAGGTCTTCGGCATCTCAGAACTCGAGCACGCTCTTCGTTATCTGCAGGGCGGGAAGAATTCGGGCAAGGTCGTGGTCGAGCTGCGTGATGACGAGCAGGTCATGGTAAGTCACTCCTGGACAACCAAGTGTGCATCGGCTGACAGATCTAGACCCTTCTGGACACGAAGCCGTCGTTCACGTTCGATCCCAACGCGACCTATGTCATTGCCGGCGGGCTGGGAGGCCTCGGGCGCAGCATCGCCAGCTGGTTCGTGGACCGCGGTGCGCGCAATCTCGTTCTCCTGTCGCGCTCAGGCCCCAAGACCGAGCAGGCTCGCCAGCTGGTTGCGAAGCTCGAGCAGCAGGGGGCGCGCGTCGTCACCCCAGCATGCGATATCACCGATGCCGCTTCCCTCAAACTCGCCCTCGACCTCTGCCGCCAGCTGTTGCCCCCGATCAAGGGCTGCGTGCAGGCATCCATGGTCGTTCGTGTAAGTCCACCTTCCAGGCCCGATCTCCACGCTCAGGGCGTTTCCGGGGGAGAACCCCCGGACCCCCCTTTTCTTTCAGCTTCCCAGCCAGACGCAATACTAACTCCATCCTTGTAGAGCGGCAACTTCGAAGGGCTAGACCACGAGTCCTGGCAAGCCAGCACCGCCCCCAAGACCACCGGCTCCTGGAACCTGCACGCCCACCTTCCGCGCGGCATGGACTTCTTCGTCCTGCTCTCCTCCGTCAGCGGCATCTGCGGCCCCCTCACCGACGCCAGCTACGCCGCCGGCAACACCTTCCTGGACGGTCTCGCCCGCTACCGCGCCAGCCTCGGCGAGCGCGCCGTCTCCCTCGACCTCGGCCTGTTCCTGTCCGCAGGCTACTTCGCCGAGAACCCGGACAAACGCGACCTCTTCCTGGCCAACACCGTCTGGGACGAGATCTCCATGGCGGATCTGCACGCTCTCCTGGACCTCTACTGCTGCCCCCCGCTCACCGAACCCGCCAGCACCCTGCACAAGCAAAGCCAAGTGGTCGTCGGCATCACCCCCCGCACCACCGCGGCCGGCCGCGCCAAAACCGACTGGATGGCCCGTCCCTTCTTCCGCCTCCTGGTCGCCTCCCTCGACGCCTCGTCTCCGGAGCAGCAAGCCTGGTCCGGTTCGGCTGCGGGGGCCATGGCGGGCGGCAGTGGCGGCTCAAGCCTGGCCGCCCGCCTGGCACACGCGCAGTCAGCCACCGAGACAATCGCAATCGCACTGCAGGCCACCCGCGACAAAGTGGCCCTCATGCTCTCCCTGCCCGTCGACGAGATCGACGTCGACAAGGCGATCCATCAGTACGGGGTCGACTCGCTGGCCGCCGTGGAGCTGCGGAACTGGTTCTCCCGCGAGATGCAGGCGGACATCGCCGTCTTTGATATCTTGGGCGGGGCGAGTTTGATGTCCGTGGTGAATTTGGCGGTCGGGAAGATGAGGACCAAGTAAGTAGGAAAAAAACATCGCTATGTATGTATGTATGTATGTATGTACAAATGCATGTCGGGGTGGAGTGTTGGGCGGGGGATGAAGCCTGCGGATTAAGTCGGTTGAAGCATCGGGGTGGTACTGTACTGTGCGGCGATGGTAAACATTGAATGTAATGCAATGCAATGCAATGCCCCTGGTTGTGCCATATCTCGCTTCCAAGCGATAGTAGCTACTGTAGAAAACACGATGAATGCTTTGCCAGTGTGAGATATGTAACGTGAGCAAGATTTTCTATTCGTAGTTCGACTCAGCTCGATGTTTCGCGGAGGAGTGAGTTCGCACAGACGGAGCCCATCTCATTTACTTAAATCTTAGACCATTTCACACAGGCACAGGGAAATGAGGCCTTCCTGTGCATCATGAAACAGCGAAACCAGATACATGGATGAATAAGTACCGGTTGTGGATAAGCAGTTTGAGCTGAACCGGCCGGAACGTGTTATTGGCTTGCTACTTAGTGACTTGATGATATGGAATGGAACTAAATATGCTGTCGGGATGTGACTGACTGTTTGTCTACTGAATCCTGAATGACCTTCTATATGGTGCAACCGCCCGCCCTGCTGTACCAAAAGCTAATCCAGAAGTAGATCAGCACACTCCCAGCTACGCTTCCAGCCACTTCCTTCTACCCCTCGTGGTGATCAACACGAGAGATGTTGAAGGCAGGGCTCGAGGGGGAGAGGATAGACGCGGGGGGACGGTTGGTGAGTGGTCAATACTATATTGCGCGGGAGTTTGGGTGGATGAGGCGCTGGAGTGGGAGGTTGAGCGATGGGGATGGACGTGCATGCTTGTGAACCGGTCGTGCATCCGCGGTTGACTGACCGCCAAAAGCCATGTGGAGTCACAATGCGGGCGACACGGTGGAAAAGCATGTGGGATTGGAGCGGTTGGCGGCGGAGAATATGGAGGGTTTTTCTGGGGGAGAGAAAGGGAGGCGTCGACGCCCAGTAATGCGCATTTTCGCAGAAACAGAAACAAAACACCAATGAAAAGCAGGGAGGGGTGGGGAGTTTTGGTAGGTGGTCAGGCTGTAGAAGAAGACTGATTATTGTCATCGTCATCAACAGGGTTGTTATTTTGTTTTGTATATCAGATCTCTATCATCGAGTTTTCTTGCTCATATTAAGCTCATCCATCATCCACAGTGTATGTTGTTATATCAACTCTATGCATACACCCCCCAAACACCAAGGCAATATCAACACACCATAAGCGCACAGCGCACAGCGCATGAGATCAACGGCAATCACTCGTTGTAGTGATATACCTAATTCATCGTCAGTCATCGTCAGTCACAAATCAGAACCCGGGGGACGTACAAAGTAATCCGGCAGCCCAAACACCTCATACCCCAATCGTTTCGCCATCTTGGCAAATCCCTCCGTCTCAACCAGATGATAGAATGGGAACGCCGGGAACATCGCCCCATCACGGTGCACATCCGCCTTGACCATCAGCGCCGTCCCCCCCACGCCGTCCAGCCGAATCTCCCGCCCCGGCTGCGGATAGTCCTTGTTGGCCATGTACGCCATCAGACTCCGATACGTCGGGAGCTCCGCGTACCCCTCCAACAGGATCTCGTCGGGCCCCATGGTATCCCCCAACTGCTGCGCCGTGGAACTATCGATCCACGAGTTGAAATCGTACGGCCGCACATCCATCTTCTTCGCATCATTGTTGTAGTATCGCTGGAAGCAGTTGGGCACGATCACCGCGCGGTCGTGGCCCGTCAGATCCTGGATCAGCGTGGGCGGCGTCTCGACGATGTCCGAGTCCAGCCACAGCACCCACGAGGTGCTGGGGCCCAGCGTCGTGAATAACAAACTGTTGCGCGCCAGACTCATCGACTCGCGGCGCGCCTTCTGGTTCTCCAGCTTATGCCGCTCCTTCTCGTCCTGCGACTGGATCGGCGGCTCGAAGTCCTGCCGCAGGATGCTGATGCTGGCGAACCGCTGAGCGACAGGTCCGTTCTGGGTCTGGCTGATGGCGCGCTCCAGCGCCGCGACCGCCGCGTTGCCGTCCTTGGTCTTGGGGATGATGAACCCGACCGAGATCAACTCGTGCGGGTAGCTCAGCGCGACCACATTGTCCCAGTATTCCTGGTAGAAGCGCGCCAGCGGCGTCAGGATCAGCACGCGCTCGCCCTTCTGCGCCGCCTCGCTGGTGCTGGTCAGCGCGTTCAGATTGTAGTGTTCCACCGGCGGCGCCGCCGCGTGGCCGTCCTCCCGCACGGCTTGGGCTTTCAGGAAGGGTTTCGTCGGCGGCGAGAGCGGGTGTTCCGCGGCGTCTTCGCGGCGGAGTTGCGACGAGTCGAGATCGGGCGCGTTGCCGGCCGCAGCGGCTGCAGGAGCGGCGGCGGAGGACGAGGGGGAAAGCAGGAAACACAGGAAGCCGAAGGCTAGCAAGGCCGCCAGTAGCAGGGTGATTGGACTAGTGCGACGCATGTGGCGTGCCGCGGCCATCGTAAGCCAAGCCCAATAATCAGAGAATTAAATGGCAATGGAGTGCGGGAATGCAGGGATCCTTTTCGCGGGCTTTTTTCTGCTCGTATTCAGGAGGATCAAAGCAAGAAAACGATCAAGGTGGGTGTGGTTGAGTGTCGGGCGATTCGGGGCTGGATCGACGACGGGATGCACGGGATGTTGGCTTGATCCGACCGAGAGCAATTGGCGAGGGAGGATTAGCCAGCAAGAGGACGTAGAGAAATCACCAGGCGTGCCCCAAACATACTGTGAACAGAGCTGGAGTCGAAGGTGGTAAACGGAGAGAGAGCGGGAGGAAGAAGAGAAAGAAGAAGATGAAGATGTGATCGATGATGATGTGGTTTAAGGACGGAGAGGAAGGGAAGGGAAGGGAAAGGCAGGCTGCCGGGAAACGAAGAAATGGACGCGCGGACCCGAATCCAGCCAACTCAACCACACTTCGACATTCCCTCCACTCATTGACGGGGCTAATCAACTACCAAGTCCGTATCTCAACACCCCCCCCAGTCCGTCAACACGATCTGCATCCAGCTACTGACGGCCAAGCTTCGACTTGTTTCCAGCCCTTGCATTGGGTCCAGATCTACCGGATGCGGCCGTTGCACCGCCGTACCGGTGGTGACTGCGTCCAGCCCGAACTTCCACCCGTCCTCGAAATCATGATTTGCAACAGTTGATCTCTCATGATCGGTTCACTCCCGTAGGGTATGCTAGTAGATAGTCTCTAGTGTCATTAATGCGCGTCTATAGTACTTCGTCTACAAGGCAACCATCGTCTGTCGGCCCATCGGCCCGTCTATGGCAGCGACCGCATCACCCCCTCGAATGCAACCAAAGCCATGGCATTCGCCGGGAATGCGCGCAGGAAACACGGTACAAATCCTCTCCAATACCCTTTCAGCCCTCGCTCCCGATACACCGCGACCGCCGCATCCTTCCACCGGCGAAACTGTCGCTCCCCGTCGCCCAGGGCTCCTCCCATTGGGTCCGTCATCAGCCGCTGCTTAACCACGTCCGATGGATATGAGGTGAGCCAGAAGATCTGCGCCGAGACGCCGCCAGCCCAGAAATTAATCGCAGGAGCCGACAAGTTGGTCTTTTCCTTCATCAACCGCGTCAGAACATCATACGAGCCCCACCAGAAGAAAAAGAACGACCGGAAGACGATGGTGGCGCACAGGCCGCGATAAAGCCCGGAGATTCCGTGCGTCCGAAGCTGATATTCATCGATCAGTACCCTTCTGAGTATAGACACGCATGGAGGCAAGCTGCGCCTTACCAGTTTCCGCACGCAGTCAATCGGGCCCGAGTACATGCGCTTCGTCTTGTCCGCCGAATACTGGATCTGCAGTCGCGCCTTGACGTGCTCCACCGGCGCTGCAATAAAGCTGACCGTCGTCCCCGCCATGATACCCGCGATACCATGACCAAAGCTCGGTAGTGTGTTGGGGTCGGTCTGGCGACTGCTCCCCGGCGTCATAGCTCGTATGTGCGGCTTGGAAAAGATGTTCTCGAGTAGCAACCGGCGGTATAACGTCAACGACCCCAACATGCTAACCACGTAGCGAAGATGGTCAGCCCTCCTGCAGTCGCCCCAATTCATCGGACGCGCACTTACACCGAATCCATAACCATCCAGCCGACCAGCGGCGGCGTAGCTCCTTTATACAACCCACTGACTCCCTCCTTGCGCACCGTCTGCATTACACAATCGACCGGACCTCGGAAGTGCGATTCATGACTAGTCTGTAGACGCACTTTGACCGTATCGAACCTGCAATGGCACACCAACGATTAACTCTTCACTCGGAATGATTCGGGTATCGAGCAACAAGACGTGACAACGTACGGATGTCCAACTAGGTAACGAAAAGACAGATTAGTTCTGGATCATTCTGCGACTTCAAAAGGTTCGCAAAGAGCAAGGACGGTCGGTACCTGATAGCTTCGCAATCCCAGAAAAGACCCCCGCAACAAACCCCTTGTAATCGCGCTTCGAGCTCGTCGAGGGAGCAGGGACTCCGCTTTCTGTGCCAGCCTTGGCCATCGGCTGTGACGAGGGACGCTCCGCTAGATTGGGCGACGCGGCGGCGGAGTGGGTGGGATGGGACGACATGAGTAGAGAGTATAGCTGAATCGCGAGGAGGGTCTATATCGCACGAAAGACTCTACCTCATAAGAGCAATCCGGTTGCTGTACCTGGCCGACAGGTATGAAACGCGGTCGCAGGTTTGGATTCGAGGTCCGCTGTTTGGGGCGGGGGCTTAATAGAGGTGAGTGCTGCGCATGAGGCGGGATAATGAAGAATCACAAATCAGGGAATGAGAGCGAAAGCAACAATCTATCAACATCTATGAGTTTAGAAAGCAAGAAAGAGTAGTCGTGGGGAAGAGGAAAAGATGGGGGGAAGAAATAAAACGAGGGACAAGATGCGGCCCCGCAAACCGGCGGCTCGGGGAGTTGCAGCCCAGCTCCGGGCGGGAAGACTGCCGACCGGCACCTTCGGGGAGGCAACGCTTTCCGTTTCAGTACTAGCATACAACCTTGCTACGATTGGTGGTAACCCCTGGAAAAAGTGTTGATGTCAAAATACAATGCTTGCAGCATTGCTCTGATCAATTTCTATTCATGTCCAGTCTAATCTCGAGGATGACAGTCTGTTTCTGTGCAGTCCTCGCAATCAAAGCTCGGAGTAAAAAGGTGTTATCCCACAAATTAAGATGACACCAAGAGAGGAGCACGGTACGAACGATAAAGCCAGAATAAGTCGTATGTAAGTCAAGAGCCGAAAGAAATGAAAAACAACAATATCTGGGTTTGGCGATATGGGGTATAGGCGCATGTTCTCATAATACACAAAAAGAAGCAATATGCAGGGGATCGAGTTGCTCGCGACGATGAAACCCATCAGTATCCCTTAAGCCCCTTCCTGGCCTTCTGGCGAGCCCGCTCCGCCTCCCGGGCGATGAGCCTCTCCACGACATCGGGCGCCGGGCCGGAATAGTGGCTCTCTCGCGCAGTGTCGGCCGTGGTGCCAGAGCCCAGATACCCTCCTGCATCTTCGAGTGCAAGAGGCGTGACTGGTCCCGGGCTGCGCAGAGGGTCGAGACGGGGTGCACTGGGCGAGAGCGGGCGTGAGGGAGCTTTGACGAGAGTATTTCCATCCGCCAATTCCCGGTATTGGAACAAGGAGTCGCGAGAGCCAGCTGACGCGCGGTAGCCATGCTGTCGGGATTGTCGGGGCGACGACGGAGGTTGCGCAGACAGAGTCTGGGAGGTACCCGAACCTTGATACACTGCGGGATGGAAGCGTGGCAGGCTTCCCAGTTGGAAGGAAGGCGCTGTCTTGGAGGGGTTTCCGCCCCGAGCCCGTGATGGCTGCGGAGAAAGAGGGCGACCAGATGACATGGCAGGAGTCGCGACCGGCGCGTACAACGTCGAGCTGTCAGAGCGCATTCTGGACGATTCTGAGAAGTGTGGACGATGGCCCGGGCGAGAGGACTGTCTGTGTGCTGGCTTGTCACGGCTCCTCTCGAGGGCTTGCTCGCGTTGGGCGAAGTAGTAGCCCTTGTCGAAGCGTCCGGTCAACGGGGTGACGGGGAAGTCGTGAGCTTGTGTGCTGTGCGACCGCTTCGGGATAGGAATAGGTCGAGAGGCAGAAGGATTGAGACTGGGAGTAGCTAAATAGTCGGTCGTGTCGGAGACGGGAGACTGGGGCGAGGGCGGACTATAAGTCGACGAGGTGGCCGTCAATTCCTCGAGGGATGACAGCGAAACTCTGGGGGGGTGACCGTGTCTTGCAATAAGAGTTTCGAGCTGATCTCGGGCACGAAGGCTAGAGGGACGTTGGGAAGGCGACAAAGGCAACGAGGAGAGATTGGCTAATAGCACGCGATCAGCATGAATCATTGGGAATGTGCAGAACAAGCCTGGAGTCAAATGCCACACGTGTCCGACAGAAATAATCTTGATCTCCCCCGGCAAGTGAAGATGAAACAGCAAAGCAGGCCACCCGGGGGGGTCAGTGAGAGGGAGGAAGAATGCACGCAACCCAAAAAGGAGAGAGTACATTCCAGTGATAGGAGGGGTGGGATGATCTGCTGGCATAAGGTGGGGCAAAGGGGAGATGCATACAGCAACAACAGCAATAACAGCTACAGAATGCAAGAAGAGGGGAAGCTTACCACTGATCAATGGCGGGGAATAAATTGAACTGTAGGAGGAGGAGGGATAGAGAGAGGGCGAGGAAGATGCAGAGGAGTAGGAGGCCGAGGAGGAGGGGGAGGAAGGCGGAAAGGCAGCCATTGAGGTTTTTATGAGGATTCTGGGAATTTGCTCTTTTTTTTTTCTTTTCTTTTTTTTTTCCCTTTTCGTCTTCTTTTCTCTTACTCTTTGATTTCCCTGTTCAAATTAAATCCCGCTTCTCGGTTCCAACCAGTCAAGCAGTACCGAGAGTGGGTTCAACGGATGATTGGAATCTGATCTGCCCAGGCACCTCGGATGCCTTCTCCTGACAGCGGCTCATTCGCTGCCAAGTCAGGCAACCGACTGTCTGTCTGTCTGTCTGTCTGTCTGTTTGCTTGTCTGTCTGCTTATGCGGGGAGATAGATAAATTGTTGTTGTTTGTTTGTACGAAGATACTCGAGATTGGTGACTTGACGACCCAGAATTACGGATACGATTTCGCGTTGGGAAATCTCTCACGCAGGGGAAACGGCCAAAAGTTTTCGGGCGTGTGTCTAAATTGATCGTCAGCTTGCGGGGAAACCCAAACAAAGTTGACAAACGCAAGAGAATCAAGCGCCCTCAAAAAAAAAAAGCCCATGGCGTCATGGCGGGAGACGCGGGAATGCATTGTGGTACGGTATGCATCGGTAAAGGGGTGTGGGTGTGGGGAGATCCACTTCTTTCCGCGGTGTTGCTGCTGCTGCTGCTGCTGCTGCTGCGGCTATTCAAGTTGTTGCTGGGATCTGCCCTCCTTGAGATTCGAAGGATGCACTCCCCACACCCAATGGTGAATAAATAGAGCAAGATGCAGCAACAAGAACTTCAAACTTACTCCGTACTTATGGATAGATCAAGTCTGAATGCAAAAAGTGTTGGTGAAAGGGGTCAACGATTGGTTCCTGTGGAACCGACGGGCACTAGCCACAATCTGGCTAGTCCTCAATGGATCGATGGAATGACGCCAACTTGGCTTTGGAGAATAGGAGTAAAATTCAAAAAGTAAAAAGTAGCGAGTTGAAGTGGGTGAGTCCACAAAAGAGGGGTAAGAAAGGAGATTCAACGAGGAGTGGGACTATAATTGTGGTTGGTGAGTGAAGAAGAGAAGGATGGTCGGTGTCACACCCTCATACAAGACAATAAGCGAGAACAATAGGAGGAGGAATGGATAGTAGGCTGATTGACAACGCATGAGGAGAGTCTTGGCGGGCCTGCAACAGGCTTCATCGGTTGGGATTTACAGTAATGTCAACGGGTGACTGTATACTGTACATTCATTCACTTGGTTCCTCAGGCAGAGATGCAAACGAGCGAGTGAGAAGTGAATATATGTCGGTAGATCCGTTGCCACTCTGTGCAACAAAAAACTCCCAGCCAAATTACTTTTCCCCTGCATGGGGCTCGGATCGGTTTATAACCCTGGCCATGCGGCGGAAGGATCCTCTCTCTCCTCCCGCCTGATACCTCGTTCACTCGAGGGGAAAAAAACCTGTTACAACCACACGCGGGAAACTCGGGTGACCTGACCAGTGAGTCGTCCACTTTTCTAGTAGGATATCTCGAGACAAGTACGGAGTAGGGTGAAGACTGAATACAAACGATGACGATCTCAGGCGAGTCTAACAAGAGCAAGTCAAGTAAACGACCCCTCCTTCGTCTAGGGTGGTGTCTCATTCTAATCATAGGTAGTATCCTCTCGCCGATCTAGCTGTGCTCAAGTCTAACAGCCTATTGGCTGCTAGCGCACTATCACACCCGTCCGTGGCTGGTGACAATGGTGGGAGAAAGGAAATCATCATGCAAGCCATTCGCCAGAGTTGACAAACCTAGGAGGATATCTGCGTGCTGTACTCCGATAGTTCGAGATTCCGAGCAATTCAGACTGCATGCACAATCGATCTGCAACTCTCTGTGCTACCTACTGTGGACTGACCGGGTTATCAGTCCGGACGAGTGGGGAAGACGGGATCTATCTAGGGCTGGAACTTTTTTCATCCTTCTATCAGACTCCGAGAGGATGCGAGTTGATGGTGCAAAAGCATCAATAACAGGGCGAGCTTAAGAAAGTGGGTGGTTGCGTTTGACGCTGTGAGTGGGTGACGGTGCGATCAGCCGACTTGACTCAGGTCTCTCCCCTCCATCACCGGCTTGCGCGCTTCCCCATTACTGATTACGAGTAGTACTTCTGAGTCGTCACCTTCTGACGATGAACACTTGAGTCACTCTGCAACCCGACTCAGCCACAGCGAAGCAAGAATGCATCCCCGAGACTATATTCACTATATCACTGGTGTTGCAAATCGTAGTATAGAGCACCCTGGTCCAACAGCGCAGGCACCAGCATAATCACACAGACATCCAGATCTCAGGAGCTCTCGAAATTGCAACGGTGGCCTACGGGAGATCGACTGCGCTGATGAAGCTAGGTAGCCACAAGACATGAATTACTACGTAGGTAATAGGTAGCTGCAAGCAACACGCGTCCGCAAAACAATACAACTAAGTACAATCATTTCCCACTGTGACTGCGGAATGGCCCCTGCCCAGATAGATCAAGACACACTGCAGTGGTCGAACCTGCATCACCCGCTAATGTTACGCTTTCTGTCACACCTTTACCCTGGGACATCGAGCTACTCCAGTACTCCGTATTGACCATATAACTCGCTCAACGGCTATTGAAGCCCTGAAACGATCAAATCTGCAGGTCGCCCAATCTGGTATACTACCATGCACAGGCAGTTGATCGGTTAATGTGGCATCGGAGTGCTCTATACAACCCCCCGGACCATCGACTCCGTATACAGCTTCTAGCTATAGTCAACTCATGGAGTACTACTAGCTCAACCCCCCGCTGCGGGCAAAACCAGCCGACGACTCATACCCCAGCACTCCCACATTACCCACCCTTCCTTGTGCGTGCATACACAGTACAGAGCAGGTCGTAGGCAACATTCAGATCCCGAGGACCTGCACTAGTTTACCCACCTTTCTTGCAGCAGGGGAGCCATTTATCGTCCCTGTGATCCTTTCGTCATCTGAGAGTTCAAGCTACTATTGGTTCAGCTACTGTAGATAAGAAGGCGGCGGGTAGACGCGGATGGATGTCGAGAGTTGATCGTTGTGGCTGTGGTAGGTTTCGAGGCTGCGTGTAGTGCATGGTGTACAGCACAAGGACAGAATGGCGCGGGTGCCTCTTTTCACTGTAACTTGTTAGAAGTACGAGTAAACAAGGCAGGGTGTTTTTATGCGCATACCCCTTGCATTGCATCCGCATAACTGTGGGGCTGTGTCGGTGCTTACTAAAATGACCACTGTAACAACTAAGTTACTGTGGCTAGTAGCAATACTTAACTAAAGCCTGCGTGTATTAGTAACCTATTCCACTTCCAAAGGGGGGTGAAGATATTCCTCTAGTTCGACTGTCTTCAATCGACACCGTGAGCATTTGAGCGCCAGTATAGAGTCAACAAATGGGCAGCAAATGACGTTGTACCAAGCAGTGTAACTTTAGGAAATTCTCGCCTTCCACAGGGCTCAGCCCAACACGGCTAGCATCACTGCATCATCGACTCGCTAGCTAAGTACCATGACCTCATTTTAATGATCGATACATACGCAGATCGCGGTCCATCGTCGAGCCAGAAGTATATAGATATTTAGATATTACTACCTGAAAATAATAATCAAAAGGAAGGTTTTGCCTGCAAAGCTCCACTGGCAACAGACGGAGGCCGCAAACCCAGGACCGACCTGCCGCCCTGCTTCTCTCAATCTCGATGAATCTCGATGAAGATGACTTCCACTCTACTATGCGAGCACGCTCCAGAACCTGCCCAATGCACGCGGCAGATCCTCGAGCTCGGGACCCACCTCCTGTGCCCCCCTGTCGACGGGGACTGACTGTTCGAAGAACAAACCAGAGTCTACACCATGTTTCAGGACTAGAGGCGATCATAGAACAGGGGAAATAAGGAAGGATTCCCCTAGTCAAAGAGCTATCATGCCTTGGCTGTGTGCCCAGTCGAGCGATCTCCATCTGCAGAGCACCATTTAGTCGAGTGGAGTACTTGGGGAGCAACACGAGCATACGGTACGTTACTTCCGGTCTTTCTCAAAGCAATAAGGATATTGCTTGGTGCAAGGAGACAATGTTCCTAGGCAAGAGAGCCAGAAGATAGAAAGGGAAGACGGAATGCCCTTTACCTGTAACTTCAATTTTCGAAAGTCGTATGCTCTCTGCGCACTGGGATTCCTCGAGACTGCTGGGCTCGCGATAAAAAAGATACCATGTCTAGATGAGAGCCTGATTGATCTCTTAGCAGCACGTCAGACAGGACGGAAGGTGGAATGGACGAAAGAGTCGAAAGAGTCCGCGTTCAACAGAAACAAAGGCCGTGGAAGCCGGGCGGTCAGACTGCTCTGGCTGCTTTCAGGTTACTCTTGTGTGGGCATGGGTAGGTATCGATCGAAGGGAAGGCTACCCCATCTGGCTTCAAGTCCAGCTAGTTCTTCGAATGGGAGTGAGAAGTTTCCATGTCTAAATCATAACGTGGAAATATCTACCGTAGGAGCAGATTATGCTCTTTAAGTGATCTAAAAATTGTACAAAGAACCCCGCAATCATCCCTATGTCGAGGTGGGCACCATATGATACATATCGATATGTAGGTAAACAACGATGATAGTCATTCCAAACTGGCATTGAAATCTGCCAGCAGTGTGGGGAAATAGTAACGATAGAGTCAGAATCACAAAGGTCTATACACATTGAAGCCGTATGGTGAAAAAGGGTATAAGGCAAAGAAAATCTAGGGTCATCGAAGAGGCAAAATGGGAGGCACGAAGAACAAGCAAAGGAGGCATAACGGTGAGAATGCATCCTCGTGGCGAGGACGATTTAAAAATTATGAATATTTGCTGGAGATCACGTCCATCACATGGGTAGTTATAGGAATCATATCATCATGAGTTTGGTGGTGCGTCGTTCGGGGAATCGCCGGGAGTTAGGAAGCGCCCCAATCGCTCCATACGGCCCATCCCCGGGACCCGGAGGGCGTAGCATGGGGACCGGAGGAGCCTGGCTCGCAGAAGAGCCAGGACGAGGGCCAGGAGGCGGTCGACCGCGACCGCGACCACCGTATCCTGGAGGAGGAGGATAGCCACGACCGGGAGGAGGTCCCATTGGAGACATGGGCATAGGGGAGCGGGGGGTTCGTGGGGGAGGCATCGTTGCAGCCGCTGCCTGTCGAGCATCGCGCTCGCAATAAACTTGCCCGTACCATTCAAAGTAGTCACCATTGAGTGCGATGCCGCAGGTGCGGCATTTAAGGCAGTTGGGATGGAATTTCCGACGGTCGCCTGGGCCACGGCCGCGACGTTCTTCCGTCTCAAGATATTGCCCCTCTATCCCAGTATGGCATGTGGCGCAGAGAGAGCCATTGCGTTCATGATAATGCTGAGCACAAAATGGTCGATCTTCGAGGACATAGAAATCGGCTGTTTCGAAAGGCGTCTTGCACTGGAAGCAGACAAAGCAGGCACGATGGTACCGGCCGGTGAGACGGCCATCGGCCGAGGAGACAGACTTGCCCACAATCATCTCACCGCAACCACGACACGGCCCCTTAGGGCGTGGGGACGGCCGAGGGGCCGGCGCGGGCGCCGTCGTAGAGCGGAGCATAGTGGGTCTCTCCGGCTGATGACTGTCCGGCTTTCGTGGCAGCTTCTCCGAAACGAGCGATAGGCTGCCTTGAGAGATGGCAGGGTCAGTCGGTGAATCCGGGCTGAACAGGTGCTCTGTAATCCGTGGAGGCTCGAGGTCAATCGGGCTCTCCATGACAGGCTCGTCCAGTACGGGTTCCTTCGGGCGGCGGGCGCCCTTCAGCTCCTCCACCACAGAATCAAGGCGACTGGGATCTGACGGTTGCCTTCGAGAAAGGCTTGCTTCGGATGGTAGACTGGAGAGGGAGGTGCCGCTGCGAGTGTCAGAGGGCGATGAATCTGACGATGTGATTGAGCTATCTGCTGCAGGATCCGGAACATCAAGCCCCAGAGCCCGAGCAAAGTTGGAAGTAGAGGTGTTGCTTTCACTTGCAGCATCGAAATCTTCTCTTTGCATTTCGTCTTGACCTGGAATCGGTAGGTTTTCAGCATCAGTCGGCTGCGGGACTTCCGAGCTCTCTACTTTGAAAGCCTTATACTCCACGTTAGCTGGAGCGGCAGGAGACACCGCTGGCTCATCCGGGAATTCAAAATCGACGGGTGCCTCATTAGGACTTGGGGTAGGGCTCTGGAAGAACAGCTCAGCTGATCCGCGATTGCTACTAAGCCTGCCAGAGCTACGACTCGTATGAGAGGATACTCGCAGCGACGCAGGTGCAACGTGATCAAGCTCGGCCTTGGCGCTTGTCGGCCGATTTGACATCCCGAAATCAAATCCGCTGTAAATTTCACCTCTTCCCTCCGGCTTCTCTGCGATCTCGGCTCCAGAGAGTCGTCCGGGAAGGAGCAAGTTTTGGGGTGCTGGGGCCGGCACCGGGGGAGCCTCTTCATCAATGTATTTGAGGTGCTCGCGCGATACGCTGCCAAACGAGGGGTGTCGAATGGATATGGAGGTCGATCGTTTGGAGGTTCGATGGTCGCTATATCGCGTGCTAGCCACTGAAGTTCTGTAGCTACTTTTGCTATCTATCGATGTCCCATACCGGTGGGACACGCCGGGTAGAGGTGGGCCGTCTTTGGGAAGTGGAGGTGGTGGGACTTCGTTGTCTGCCGGCAGTTCAACAGGTGCATTATGACCGTCTCGACTCAAACTGCTTGCATGTCGTGTGGACGGGAGGGGAGGAACCTTTCCGGCTGCAATCGAGTCGGAAATCGCGGTCGGACGTCTATCCGACATCGAGCGAGGCAATGGGAACGAGGCAAACGCAGTCTCCATGTTGATCGAGTCTGGTGATTGTGGCTCTCTTGGTAGAGGGGATGTTTGGCTACGTTGAGGCGTCGGACGCAGTGGCGAGCGTGCTCCTCCCGAAGTTGCGGTGGAGAGAGGTGAGGGAACGAGGAGATCTTTATTGTCCATCGGACTGCGCGGGTGCAGGAACGGTCGATCTAAAAGGCGGTGTCCTTGATGAGAGGATGCTTCGTTGGTTGCTGGGCCTTGAGGAACAACATACTGGCAACTGACGGGTCAATGCGTGGTGGCGGGTTCATCCTGCCGGCTCTTGCAGCCCACGCATTGCCTGCTTTGGGTGGTGATCCAATGCTCGATTTCGAAGGAGGGCGCGGCGGCGAGTGTGGGGGAGCTACCAGTCACACCTTAGGAGAGAATTCAATGACAATTTCGATAAAGAGAGGGAGCTACCTGATTCTATTTTGGCGCACACATGGTCCCCCATGGCGGAAATCTCAACACTCATTCCACAATTGGAGCATTTAATCATGGGCAAAAGGCCCATGTCCATGCTTGGCGCCATGCTGAGCGCGGTGATCTCAAGGCTCTATGATACCAGCAGGCACACGTATTTGTTCACAAAGTGGTTAGACCATCGGACTGACGGACGGAGAGAGCGCTCTCGATAGGAGGATTGGTAGGGAAGTCGATTTAGGGACTCCGGGTGGCTCTTGATCCCGGAGATGATCTCGAGAGTGCGTTGGGACTTTAGTTCGCTTGTGCAGGAGGTAAAGAAGCATCAAAGGTAAAATCTGTTACCAACCATTCCTTCTGGTCAACAGAGAAGGAAGAGGGAGAGAGGGGGGAGGGGGGTTTGTCGAGTGGGAAGGGCCCATCCAAAATACTAAGAGCCTAAGACTACTCGTCCGTACGGAGTATGTTTCTTTTGGGGTCAATTTGGTTCCGACGCAGTCAGCCTAAGGGAAAACCCCCCCCGCTAGACCCGGTTTGTGGATTGTCTTTATTGTCCGTGGGTTTGGTTTCTTTGGAGAAAAAGGAAAGTCGTGTCAGTTTTTACTTTTTCTCTCTTTATTTTTAATTTTTTTTTCCCTCTTTTCAATCGATTTCCTTGCCCAGATCCACGAACCCCTGCCCCATACTGGAGGTAGTGATTGGCCATCATTGCATCCTCACGGACTCTACTTCACAGTACTGGTAAGTACTGTGCACAGTACTGCATAGTGCGTACTCCGAAGTCCTCTGCGGATAGTGAGGCTGGTAGTGCAATTCTGCTTCCAAGTTCCATGGCTATTCTGGCTCGGTCTGGATCGTAGCATCCATGCATCTCACAGTACGTACGCACTTCGACGGCTTCCTACTTCAGTGTTTGATGGAATATTTTTAAACCTGTAACTGACTAGCTAGAGAGGTATCTATTCTTTCTACTCCGTCTGTTACCCCTGAACGTCGAGTCTCCCCCAGGACAAGAATATAATATAGTTCCAGGGGAATTCTTGAGTTTTCTCGAGGCCACACTGATCAGTGATGCATCATTCGTCCCCCCTGAGCCGGTCATCAATCTCTGCCGATCGTGGCTCAGGGGTTATGCACACCCATGGTTTGAGAGTAAAGGGTCCATTATTCATTAATCCATTACACTAACTTACCACTTGGCTCTGTTGCAAGTTGCAACAACTAGCCCCATTCTTTCCACCCGCTCACTGCTGCATTGCTGACCACCAGCTCATCGGTTTCAGCGCGCACGAGCCTCGCTTTTCCGTTACTACTGAGTAGACCAGTTCCTCCAGGGATCTCATGGGACTTATGACAATCTTTCAAGGTTGGTGCGATTGTCTCTGTTCCTGATGAATATTGGTTGTCTTCGGAGTAATCCCATGCCCTTGCTTGAACTGTCCGGACACATTGACGAACAAACCACCAACCCCAGAGGAATAAGAATAGATCACCCCGCAAGGATAGGCGATCCCATGCGCAGATCTCAAATGTCATAAATTTCCGACCGTCTTGGAAGCAAGGGGAGGCGAGGATGGAGACAGCGAGCCGGGAAGACACAAAATTCAATCCTTGATCGAGCGCCGTCGATCCTCGTGACAGACAACTGCCTGTCTCGCGAGCCGTCACAAGATATCTTTGGCAACCATCGGGAAGTAGCCTACAAAGCGAACTTGCGCTAGCATTAACTGGGGCGTTCCTGGTTCCGACGCTCTTGCAGTCGAAGCTGCTGCTATCCCGTCTCCCAGCGCAGATCAACATGGATTTGGAATGAAGCCACATCGAGCGGCAAGCAAGCCGTACCATGGCTCCTGCCGACAGCAATGACTGTGGCGGTCGGCAATTGCACATCACGCTGAAAATTGGGTCTTCTGATGCTGCTTCAGAGAACATTCGAATGCATGTCATTGTCAGTGGCTGGCATGTCTGACCGTGAGGTGTACTGGTACACACAATTCGGGTAGATGCTGGCTCACTATTGACTATCCAACTCCTGGAACTCTGGACCCCTATACCTGCAGGCAGGCGAAGGACCCAGAGCCGGACTCCGGCTTATGCCGTCTCATGTAACGCGCTAAGCGAAGCCTGCAATTTTTGATATACGGACGAGTAAAGATATTGCGTAGCGGATAGTATCTTTCGTATAATTTACAGACTTTGACTAACCAAAAGCCTCAATTGGGGGCCAACAGCGGTGCCGTGTCTGGCTTTCCGGGGCGGGAAAGGAGTGAGAAGGCAGTGTATGCACTATGCAGTGTATGCGCGATGGAAGAAACCTATTTGAGACTACTGCAGCCCTGCTCCTCCAGCTAGTGGAAGATGCTGACATTCAAGCCTCTCCGCAACCAGCACTTGAGAAGCCTAAGGCACTGATTCCTTGGTGCCTGAGAGTCCGCAGCGGGTGACGATCACCTGACCTGGATCGTCTCCTCAGGCCATTTGTTGTTCGTTCAACACCAGCAGATGACCAGGACAAACCCTACCAGGGACTGACTACTAGGTAAACATCCGGTGTACGTACACTCGTCGTGTCCCAAGAACTCCAAGGCAGGCAGCACTATTCTGCGTGGGTGGTGCCAGCCTCCAAGCTGTTAAGCGAGGTGCAGAGCCCTCCGTAGCCTCCGCAAACAGCGTTAGTGACGCATAAATTCAGGGGCCGAGTTCGCAACCATGGAATTTCTGCCGAGCTTTGCCGTTCCTCACCGCAACATTCAGTCTTCTCTCTTCCCAGTGTGACTCGTCTGCAGCAGGATTGCTCGGTAGCTCTGAGCTCAGTCGGGATCTCACACGTTACTGAAGTCTGAATTGCATGATCTCCAGGGATCTCAAATGCAGGTCTCTAGGAGGTTCATAATGTCCACTTCTCATGTCAATGAACCGTCGGCGAAGCGGAGCCCCACGGGTACCTGCCAGTTGAACCCACGGCCCACTGCCTCGGTGGGAATAAGCGCGAGTCCACTGTCCAGTGGTTGGTGACTTTGAAAGTCAGGGGAAACACGGTGGAGTGAAACTCATGGCTAAGGAACACGTGTAGGCACATCTATGAGTATGTGTATCAGTCAGTAAGTACTCCGTACTAAAGGTAGGTAATGCATAAATCGTACCATTTCGAACCATGCAATCCACAACCCGACTTCAGCACAATCCAGATGGACAACTGTCTCTCGGGCTCACCGCAATCTTGGGGAGGCAATTCTCCAGGGCCAGCACATCAAGACTCGTTCGGAGAAAACTAATTAAGATGGCTATGCTGGACTAGCGTGCGCAAGAAGTGGGTGTGAGGGTCGCTTCCCCAAACTCACTTCCAGTTGGGACGAGGCGGACGATTGCGGACTGCGCGCTCTTGTCCCAGCGGCGGGAGACTGGGAGCCGAGCTGTTCCGTACATTTAAGGAGCCCAGCGCAACTTCCCCCCAGCTTCCTCTTCCTACTTCTTTCTTTCTCTTTCACACCCAACAGTCAATCTTCCAAGTTTTCGTTCGTAAATTTAACCTCTCAAGCCAAATCCCTCTCGATCACACTCTCCCCGAGGCGTGATCTCATAACACCGTCAAAATTTTCTCCACACTTCTTAACTCGTGAGTGCCCGCGCCCCACCCCCGGATTGCTGTCAACGGCAGCTTCGTGTTGGCCCGGAACAGCAATTGGACCTTCCCTCCACACAAATTCTCCTCTACCATGACTTCCAAAGCTGACTGACTGTTTTCTTCCTAGACGGCACCACCCGTTCAACGGCCGGCGCTCATCCAACCGTGGTGGAGCATCGGACTGCGCATATCACATTCAGTAAACGCTTACTTTGCCCATTTCTAATTACTCTCTGTTCCCGAAACGCTTCCGATCCTCTGTCAATACAATGGCTCCCCACGCTAGTTCGGATGTTGTTGCCAATGGCGCCGTGAACGGGTCTGCTCGTGCCGCTCCTTTGTTTACCGTTAACTCGCCCAGTGTGGTGTACACCGATTCCGAGATCAAAAGTCAGTATGTGTACCACACCACCGAGGTCACCCGCTCGCCCGACAACAAGCTTGTGGCTACTCCCAAAGCTACCAACTACCACTTCAAGGTCGACCGCAAGGTGGGCAAGGTTGGTGTCATGATGGTCGGCTGGGGTGGAAACAATGGCTCCACCGTCACTGCTGGTCTCATTGCCAACCGCCGTGGGCTCAGCTGGGAGACTCGCGAGGGCATGCGTGCCTCCAACTACTATGGGTCTGTGGTGATGAGTTCTACCATCAAGCTGGGCACTGACGCCAAGACTGGCGAGGAGATCAACATCCCTTTCCACGACATGCTGCCCATGGTGCACCCCAATGACCTGGTGGTGGGTGGTTGGGACATCAGCAGCATGAACCTGGCGGATGCCATGGATCGTGCTCAGGTTCTCGAGCCTAGTCTCAAGCAGCTGGTGCGCAAGGAGATGGCCGAGATGAAGCCCCTGCCCAGCATCTACTACCCGGATTTCATTGCTGCCAACCAGGAAGACCGGGCGGACAACGTGCTGGAGGGATCCAAGGCCTGCTGGGCTCATGTTGAACAGATCCAGAAGGACATGCGTGAGTTCAAGGCGCAGAACGGTCTCGACAAGGTCGTGGTCATGTGGACTGCCAACACTGAGCGGTACGCCGACATTGTGCCAGGCGTCAACGACACCGCCGACAACTTGCTGGCGGCCATCAAGGATGGACACCTTGAGGTCTCTCCTTCCACTGTCTTTGCTGTGGCCTGTATCTTAGACAACGTTCCTTTCATCAACGGTTCTCCTCAGAACACCTTTGTTCCTGGAGCCCTTCAGCTGGCTGAGAAGTACGGAGCCTTCATTGGCGGTGACGACTTCAAGTCCGGCCAGACCAAGATGAAGAGCGCCCTGGTGGACTTCTTGATCAATGCGGGTATCAAGCTCACCTCGATTGCCAGTTACAACCACCTGGGCAACAACGACGGCAAGAACCTGAGCTCGCAGAAGCAGTTCCGCTCCAAGGAGATCTCCAAGTCGAACGTGGTGGACGACATGGTTGCTGCCAACAAGATTCTGTATGCGGAGGATGAGCACCCGGACCACACCGTTGTGATCAAGTACATGCCGGCTGTTGGAGACAACAAGCGTGCGTTGGACGAGTACTATGCCGAGATCTTCATGGGAGGACACCAGACGATCAGTCTGTTCAACATCTGCGAGGACTCGCTCTTGGCCTCTCCCTTGATTATTGACCTGGTCTTGGTGGCGGAGATGATGACTCGTATCAGCTGGAAGGCGGACGAGGCTGAGGAGTACCGTGGGTTCCACAGCGTTCTGAGCGTGCTGAGCTACATGCTCAAGGCGCCCTTGACTCCTCCTGGCACCCCCGTGGTCAACTCGCTGGCTAAGCAGCGCAACGCGCTGACCAACATCTTCCGTGCTTGTGTGGGCCTGCAGCCCGAGTCGGAGATGACCCTGGAGCACAAGCTTTTGTAGCTGTGCCTGCATTTATTATCATTGGAACCAACTTTAGTCACTCCTTAATACATTGATACGTACATTGATACACATTGCATTGGATTGCTCTCTGTAAATGTCATAAGTTACCCCATCACTTTGCATAGCACAGCACATTGATCCAATCACTCCTTCCGCTCGCCGACATCAGTGTAGGCATTCAAAGCCAACTGCCCTCCAAGATGGGCATACAGCACATTGCCGGTGATCTTGCCCTTGCGGATCAAATCGACCATGCCGGCGAAACTCTTACCCTCGTAGACGGGGTCGGTGATGAAGGCCTCCATGCGGGCGGCATACTCGATGGCCTCCCAGGTCTGCTTGTCGGGGACGCCGTACACGCCGGCATGATAGTCCTCGACGAGACAGACATCGTCTTCGGTAATATCCTCGGGGGCGAGACCGATCTGTGCGGCAGTCACCCTCGCAATGCGCAGCACCTGCTCCTTCGTCTCCTTCGGCTTCGCACTAGCATCAATCCCCACCACTGCTCGTTTCTGCTCATGCTCATCCTCCGGATACAACCTCTTCAACAACTTGAACCCAGCGACCATGCCCCCCAACGTGCCCCCCGTCACCGCACACACCACCACCGTCCCAAATTTCTTTCCGAGGGTCTCCTCCTGCGCCCGGACCTCAAACGCCCACCGCGCAAACCCCAACCCTCCCAGCGGATGATCCGAGCCCCCCGCCGGGATATAATACGGCACCTCCCCCATCTCCCGACACTCCTGCTCCAGGTTCCGGAGTGTCTCCTTATGCCCAATCCCGAATTCCGTCGGCAGATGGATCCGCACATCCGCCCCCAGCAGTCGCGAGAGCTGCAGGTTCCCCACTTTATCGTACTGCGGCGAGTGGGCGGTATAATCCGGGACCCAGTTCTCTTGGATCAGGCGGCATTTGAGCCCCAGGTGGGCGGCGCACGCGGCGACTTGCCGCGTGTGGTTGGATTGCAGCCCGCCGATGGAGATTAAAGTGGTGGCCTTTTCCCATTCTGAGGCCCGCGGGTGGTGGTGGTTGTTGGATAGTACGGGTAGTGGGGGCGATTGGGCATCGCTGGCACTGGGAGGCGTCACCGCCGGCGCGAGAATGTACTCCAGTTTGCGGGTTTTGTTCCCCCCATACGCCAGGTGCGAGGAGAGGTCGTCCCGTTTGGCGTAGATACTCACCGGGTTGGAGGCGGTGGTGAGGTCGGCGCTGATGCGGGGGAGGGGGTGGATCGGGGAGGGACCCAGGGTGAGGTCCAAGCGGGGGATGGCGTTGAAGGGGGTGGGGAGGGGGATTTCGGTTGAGGTGGTCATTTTTGTTTATGAGGTTTATTTGTGATGAGCTTGGGTACGTAACTTAAAGGCATAAGTATAGGGATGGGTGAGGATTGGTGTTGTTGTCCTTTCTGAAGTTCAATGATGTTGTATCGCTGTTGGGGGGCGAGGTGGTTGTGCTCCCTCGTGGTTATATACCTAGCCTGCTCGGTAGGTGACTCCGTTCTCGGAGGTACTTCTGGCACCGAATGCGATCCGCTTTACTACTACCCCTCAGAAAGTAATTGATTGAGGGGTTGAAGCTGGCTGTGGAGGTCGGAGGGGGTGGCAGACAGCTCGGAAGTTGGCCGCGTTTTGGGCTGTATCTGTATCTGTCTCTGTGTTATCTGTACCTCCCTGGTATCTGATGTGGGGAATGAGATAGCAGAAAGATAGCGGCGGGGTTTGTAGCTCCTTGATGCATTTAATTCTCCGGTCGAGATGGTGTGATGTGGCGATGCTAGAATGGCAAGCTTATACACAACATGATGATGTTCAGTGATCGACGCGGACGAAATCAGCCACCAGGTCCCCAATGGGGGGTGAGGACCTTGAGAGACTCCCATTACACCTATATGTACTACACTGCGAACTCGATTTAAATCTTGCAGTCCCTGAGACTCCTTACAGATACTACACTATCGAACAGTTCATATCTTGCGCTCGTGGTATCAGTCAGTCATATTGCACATGTACTCCTCACAATTTTCAAACAAGTTTAAGACATATCAACCACACAACGCACACAATCACCCTGCTTCATCTGCTCAAACGCAGTGTTGATGTCCGCCAACTTCTCCCGGTGCGTAATGAACTCGTCCACCTTCAGCTGGCCGTTCAAATAGTCGTCAACCAGGCCAGGCAGCTGCGTGCGGCCTTTGATACCACCAAAGGCACATCCCTTCCACACACGGCCGGTAACCAGCTGGAATGCTGCACGAAGTTAGTATAGACTCAAGACCCCCATATCTCAGGCGCAAAAACTTACGGCGGGTCGAAATCTCCTGGCCAGCAGCAGCAACACCGATGACAATGCTCTGTCCCCATCCCTTGTGGCACGCCTCCAGAGCCGCCCGCATCACGCCCACGTTGCCCGTGCAGTCGAAGGTGTAGTCGCAACCGCCGTCGGTCATGTCGATCAGCTGCTCCTGGATCGTCTTGCCGCTGAGCTTGGTGGGGTTGACGAAGTCGGTGGCGCCGAACTTGCGGGCCCACGCCTCCTTGCCGTCGTTGACATCGACAACAATGATCTTGCCGGCCTTGTTCTTGACCGCACCCTGGATGACGGACAGACCCACGCAGCCCGCACCGAAGACGGCGATGTTGGAACCCTCCTCGACCTTGGCCGTCTCCACGGCGGCACCGTAGCCCGTGGTAATACCGCAGCCCAGCAGACAGGACCGATCCGTGGGGATCTTGGGGGTCACTGCCACCACCGAGATGTCGGCCACCACCGTGTACTGCGAGAAGGTTGAGGTGCCCATGAAGTGCAGGAGATCCTTGCCGCGCGCCTTGAAGCGGGAGGTGCCGTCGGGCATGACACCCTTGCCCTGCGTGGCGCGGATCTTGCCGCAGAGGTTGGTCTTGCCGGACTTGCAGAACTTGCACTCCCGGCATTCGGGGGTGCTGACCGATCAGTTACTGCTGCAAGTTCACTGAACAATGGAGGGGAAAAAACACTTACTACAGTGCGATGACATAGTCACCGGGCTTCACGGAGGTGACGCCCTCGCCGACGGACTCGACGATACCGGCACCCTCGTGACCGAGGACGACGGGGAAAGCACCCTCGGGGTCCTTTCCAGAGAGCGTGTAGGCATCTGACGGTGTCAGCTGGAATGAACCCTGCAACGCATATACCGTGACGCACCTGTGTGGCAGACACCGGTGTGGTGGATCTGGATGCGGACCTCATGGGCCTTGGGAGGTGCGACCTCAATGTCCTCGATGGAGAGAGGCTCTCCGGCGCCCCAGGCGACGGCAGCCTAGATGGTATTAGATCAATTGGGTGGTACTGTGATCAGGTCAAAGAGATGCCCACCTTGCAGGTGATGGTCTAGAAAGAATTAGCAAAGAACATGGATGACATCAAGCTATGGGAGGGCTAGCCCACCTTTCCTACGGTGTCGGCCATTGTGATGATGGGTATATGATTAAAGATGGTAGCTGAAACAGAGCCAGGGGAAGGCAGATGGAGCGAGATATAAGAAGAGAAGAGAGATGATGGAAGATGAAAAGAAAGTGGTGGAAAGTACGGAGAGTGAGTGGTTCGGGCGGGAATAAATTGCTCGAATTGGACAAAGAGAAGTGGAGTTTTGCCGATGAGGGGGAGGGGGGAAGCAATGAGGAAAGAGAGGAGAAATATGGTGAGGGGCAATTTCTAGTTGGGGGGGGGGGTGTGATGATTCAGTGCAGTAAGTACAAAACAAGAGAGCAAGACTTCGGATGGCAATCCGAGGCGTGCGTAGAATGATGAATACCTTAGATACAGTAAGTGAACTGGGCTGTAAGTAAGTATACAGACAGACAGCTGCTGTCTGCCTCCTGCCCCTCATCTCTCCGCATCACTTCATCAAATCATTCTGTTGCTCGGAATTAGTCATGACTGTCAAACTATGCAAAACTATGCAAACAAGCCGCCAACCAAACCAGACCAACCCGGCCTCCGTCCCCACCTCCTTCCCAATTCGCTGCTCTTATCATCTTAGCGCACACCCACAGAAAGGGCAATAGTTTCCGGCTGCTTGGCGTCTGCCCGGTGCTTCACTATCGACAAAAGATCAGATCATCGGCGGGAATAGTCGGCCTATCTCCAGATTTGGAGAGATATCTCCATTCTACGGAGTACTTGTTCATAAGATGTGACACGCGTATTCACACTACGCCCAAACAATTATCTGCTGGGCCTGCCCTCCCACTCCAAACGCGAAAGGTCGCTCCCGTCACCCGATGTCGGCTCTCCACCGCTTACTTATTTGGGGGGGGCAGTATGTTGGATTCACCTGAAATGCAGTGTCGAGGCTGGATGCGAGGTAGGAATCCGTGACGCGTCTCCTTATGGTCCTTGCGATCTAAGACTTCGAGACATTCCCAAACTGGTGAGGTAGGTACGAGGTCGAGGATCCGAACCAATGTACAAACACTGTCCGACAGAATGATGCCCAGCACTTGCGCATCAAACAATTTCCGAGGATTGTAGACTGCAAATGAAGGACTTATGCATGGACTCGCACGGTAGCGTTAGAGATGAGATCCACCTACGTAAGACTCTGAATAGAGAGAATCAAGTCTGTTCTTTTCCAGATAACCTTCTTCGCCCTTGGTGTCTTATCAGGTATTCCCGACAGCCCCGTTTGTCAAGATCAGTCTACTGTCAGTCCGCGGCAATCTCCACAGAAGCGATTATTCTACAGCATCCTTCAGATTATCCAGTCAAGCCTGATGAGAGCGCGCCGCGGGCCTAGGAGACCTACAAGGAGTTATAGTCCGCGCCATCTAGAGCAGTCATCACATCGAGAGTCCAAGCATATCCATCTTCCAAACCAGGAAGCTCGTCATTGAATCTAAGATTTTATACAGAGTTCGCCAAACCGAATGCAAGAACTACCCAGCAAGACAAGAGCGTACAAGAACCGGCTTTACCGACCCGGCATTTGGCCCTGCTGCATCATGGCCGCGTTCTGTTCCTGGAAGCGCTCGTTCAATCGGGCCGAGCTCTTCATGTACTTGTCGACGCAGCGCATCACGCAGCTCTCCTCCCGGTTGATCAGGGACTTGGTGGTGAAGTCATTGACACAGTCGTCGAAGCACTTCTGCACGAGCTTGGTGTACATCTGAAATTCCGGAAGTGTTAGTGCGTATGCAGTGGCAGCTAAGAATCAAGGGAGGATGGGCAGTGGTAGATATCGTCATTGAATGGCAAAGAGATCTCGAGACAAATTGATTTTGCTTTGCGGCGAAGCGGCACGTACGGTCATGAATTCCTTCATCTGCTTTCTCTCCATACGGGCAGCGAGCTCGCGTTGTTCCGAGGCATTGAGTCTAGGCTGGTTAGCAAAGATCTGGCGGGGCGGCGATTATGGCAGGTGGAGATGGACGATGCATTGCACATACCCTTCCATAGTGATAATATTTGGTGTAAAATGGGAGAGAGGTGATGGAAATTATGATATACACACAGCAACTGTCGATAATTCTCGATGACGACCAGCTCCGGAGCTTCACAGCGGACCGCAGGCTCTGCGATTGTCACGTGCGATCACAGGAGCAAAGATCACGTGTCGTCATCGGCAGGAAAAGAAAGGAAGAGTCACATGATATAATGGCTGACTCATTCGTGTCCGGATTCTCTCGGTCCCGTCGGTTGTGCTCGCGATGGAGCAGGAGCCGAGGCGGGCGACACGAAAGAGACGAGACGAGGCCACCCGCAAAAGATTGAGAGTTAAAAAAAGCACCCCCCTCCATCTGTCTGGCTGGCTAAGAACCATGGCTAGCTTCATCCACCACCCTGGGATCTGGATGACGGTCGACTGCGACTGCTGGAGTGCTGGAAAATTGGCCAGGGAGTGAAAGGCAATGATTCCTCTTCCCCTGCCCCCGTGAACAACTCTACCTTCCAATCGACCCAATCTTTTCGCTCCCCTTTCTCCCCCAGGTCTACAGTACAATCCGTGCGTGCCCTTGACCATTCCTGGGATCGGCAACGGCATGACCAGACAATGAAGAAAGAGAATCAGAAGATCTCATTGTTATCCACCAACCCAGGATGATAGCCACATACTCCATAAGGCATACACAGTAAGCCAAGTTGCTGATCGGGTGAACCGCGGGAGGGTTCAATCGTCATGGAGTGGTCGGTTTCTGCTTCGGTGGAGGGGCTGCACTAAGAATCAATCCAGGTACTCCGTGCGGAGTACTCCTACTTCTAGTTACTGTGTAAAAGGTTGCAATCTGCTGACAGAGAGCCGACAGGCACCACGATCCTGGGTCATCCATTATTTTTAGACCACACCCTTCCTGGAGGGTCTGGGAGAGGACAGGAGAAGGAGAGAACGAAGATTCTTGCGTGGCTCTTACCGAGAAATGTATCATCCTGGCCAGCTGGTTTCACAACCAACGAACAGTTGGTCATCATCATTCTTGCTTGTCGTGACTCGCACTCATCAGTCAGCAATCGAGATTTGGTGTTATTTTCTTCACCACGTCTCCGTAGACTAGACTCAATAGGCCATAGGGAGCCTAGTACTACTACGTAGTGGACTAGTAGTTTAGGTGGACTGAATGTCTCACTTTGTTGGGCCTCTTGTTAGTGGCTCGATCTGCAGTAGTTAGCAACTTAGCAGAGATTGATCCAACCGTCGTAACGGAATGAAGTTGAAGAACCGCCTAGTAATCCGACTAGATCCAGGGCCAGAACCGTCAGATCATGGCGGGAAAAAAAAAAGAATTGAAGAAGGAAAAAAAAAAAAAAAAAAAGGGAACAGGGCCCTTCTGTTCCCTTCTCCCCTTCTGTCGTTTCGTGCCAGAAACCCTGGATCCCTGGAACTGGTTCGAGGAGACATCCATCCGAAGTGGGTTCAAATGATAATCATCGACATCTTTTGGATGCACCACTCCGGAAGATTATTAAGATGGAGAATTATTGACATTTAATCGTTATCCTCCCGCGTGAGTTGATGGTGCAGTGCTATATGTCTATGTACATGTACAAGTCCTCAATTTCACTAATTAATCTCCCTATACCTCCCTCATTCATCCGTCGTCTCCCATACACTTTATCCCATCACATCCTTTCTTCAATTTACATACCTCAAATCCGATAGGTGATCGAGAGTGCTAAAGAGGGGGGCCGGGCTTTCATAGCAATCGATGACTGGTTCTTGAGTATTATTGTTCCCCATCCTTTTTCCCTCTCTATGCTGTCAAATCTCCTTCGCTCTCTACCTCCGGTCCTGCCGCCCTCCAAATAATTATTATTACCCATCAATCGACTGATGCCCATCAATCATTAATCAATCCCCTTCCCCATCAATCCTTCACATTCAGTTAGTTCAGTCCAGTCACCAGTACCAGCAGCAGCACCAGACTTTGAGTCTTTCACTCGACGATCTCTTCTGGGCCACTCTCCTACCTCCGTTTGCCCCCCCCATTCCCTTCTGTCGATGATGGTCATTGGCTCTTCATCCCCGGATCGACCAGCACGCACACCTCCTTCGCACCCTGTCGGAGGGTCCAAAAGTCAGCCCTTTCTCTGTCAGTCCACTATCCAAGTGGATTCTGTGTGCGTGGTCTGTTAAGTGACTGGGAACGAGCGAGCGAGTGACTGTGTGAGTGAGTGTGGGTGTGTGCACAACTGACGACGACGACAAGAACGTCCTCTCTTCTTCAACTGTCTATCACCAAGCACACTCACTCCCTCCTTTCTGTCTACCTTCCTCTCTATCTTCCTTCGCATACTTGGAAGGGAAGGGTAAAAAAAAAAAAAAAAAAAAAGAGAAAAAAAAAAAAAATTACCAGAAATCCCTCCATCGACAACCACTACGTTTCCTTATACGTGACAGGGTTGTGCAGCTCTTTCGTCCCCGTGCCTATCGCCAGTTTGATTAAATCGCTTTTTGTGGCTTCCCTCTGACTTACTACTACTACTTTACTACCTGACGCTCTGGCTCCCCCTTCATCCCGCCCGCCCGTCAACCATCCCTGTCTGTTCCGTCTCCCTTTCTTCTTTCTTTTGCTGGCTTTCCTCCTGAATTCTTCTCTTTCTTTTTCCTTTCTCCATCTTCTTACCTGCTCCCTCCGTTCCTGTCGTCCCCTCTCCCCTCGATCGCCATACACCGTTCGAGACACTCCTAAGCAAATTTCCCCGGGTTCTACCTCCCATTGCACGCTGTTCCCCCCGACGGCGCGGCACCTAAACCCGCTGCCTGACTAGCCCTCGTGCTATTTTGGGATCACGCCTCCCAGCCCCGGAATTTCTTGCGCCAACGCCAGGGCGGTGACAGCAGCCTCGGGTTTTCTCCAGCTGGGTCTAGTCTCGTCGCTGCTTTCTCTACTTCATTGCCGCCAGTGTCGCATTTCGTCCCCCGATCCTCCCTCTCTGTCGCGCATTCCCTTCTCACGATGGTTACGGGCAAATCGCACGCCGGCGTGGAGCCGCTGCACCCACTTCCGCCCCCGACTGCCCAGCCAGACGTCATCGCAACCTCGCCGCCTTCGAAACGGGATTTGGCTTCCTGGTGGAGGCAGTTCAAAAGAAACACTCGCAAGGAGGAACCGAAAGGTATGTCTGCGTGGAGGAACAATCTGAAGCTCGGGAGTGGCAGTCCGAAGCGGGTGTCGGATGCAATGCGGTCATCAGCTGTTGATCTGCGTCACTGCTGGGAGACACCATGACTCGCATCCGGGCCAGGCCCGGTCTGCTCCTTTAGCACCGGACAGAGTCCGACTGCCTGTTCCCATGCTTTTCAGTCAACGGCGGGTCCAGATGCGCTGATCATGTATCTACAGAGAAACCTCAGGGCATCTTTGGCGTCCCACTCAACGTCAGCATCAAGTACGCCAACGTCGCCATTTCGCTGACCAACGACAATGGAGAGAGCTTCATCTACGGCTACGTGCCTATTGTGGTAGCCAAATGCGGCGTGTTTTTGAAGGAGAAAGGTAAGTGGTTCTTGCTCTTCACCTATTGGAGTCAGTCACAAGCTGATCAAGGATTTAGCGACGGATGTTGAGGGCATCTTCCGTCTCAGTGGATCCGCGAAACGCATCAAAGACTTGCAGGAAGTCTTTGATTCCCCCGAACGGTATGGCAAAGGTCTCGATTGGACGGGGTACACAGTGCACGATGCTGCCAACGTGCTACGACGCTATCTGAACCAGCTGCCCGAGCCTATCGTCCCCTTGGACTTCTACGAACGTTTCCGCGAGCCACTCCGCACCTATCAAAGACAAGTCCAGGAACAAATAGAGAACAATGCGCTAGCCAATGAATCAGCGGCATTCGATCATGCGAAGGCCGTTGCGGCGTACCAGCAGCTCATCCGCGAGCTGCCCCCTCTGAACAAGCAACTGTTACTCTACATTTTGGATCTGCTGGCTGTGTTCGCGTCGAAATCGGACCAGAACCGGATGACCTCGGCCAATCTGTCCGCCATTTTCCAGCCCGGGCTCCTGTCGCACCCTCAACACGACATGTCGCCGGACGAATACAAGCTGAGCCAGGATGTGCTGATTTTCCTGATCGAAAACCAGGACCATTTCCTGTTCGGAATGAACGGGACGGCCGCTGATGAGCAGACGCTCAAGGAGGTCGAAGGGGGCGTGACGCGCCGGCCCACTACTCATTCCACCAACATCCGACGCTCGGTGTCGAGCGCCAGTGGAGGCGGAGAGAGCTTCCGAAAGTATGAAAGCCTTCGCAGGAATGTGTCCGTCTCATCGCGGAATTCGCGCAACTCCAACAACGCCAGCCCGGCCACGCCGCCCTCGATGAGCGCAGCCGGTGTGCACCGCAGCAACACCTTACCATCGAAGATGTCCCCAGCCATTCCTGCACACCGCTATGGTCGGGTCGCTGAGTCGACCGGCTTGAACTCGCCGAATCGTACCTCCGCGCAACATTCCCGATCGTCCAGCCGTGCGCCACCAACAGTGGAGGAGGACAAAGCCCTGTCCAGTACCTCGAGTACCATTATCCAATCACCCACTAATAATAGCGCCATCACCAACGGTCAGCCCTCCCCTGTTGCACCACCCAGCCAAGTACCGCCCGCACCTCGGCCGCCTATCCCTGCGCAGCTAATGCCTGGGCGCCCTCCCGTGCAATCGGCTCCTGTGCCATCAGTACCGGAGCAACCAGTTCCCCCACAGCCACATGATCCTCAATCGCCACCCCCTCCCTCGACAGGCACCGGGGTCGGGATTGTCTACGTACACTCCTCGACACATGGGCCGATTCCCCGGGCGAATGCTGAGAACGGGCCGACGGCAACCGAAAAGCCCGTGCCACTAAAACCAGTCACAGAGCGACCGGTATTGCACGAAGGCCTACCTCCTGCTGCGCGAGCAGTGTCTCCACCACCCGCAGTAGTAACTCCGACGCGCGAGCGCAAGCTGTCGAGCCTCTTCTCTAAGTCACCACCGCCGAGCGGCGAAGGACGGGAACCTCGGCAGCCGAATCGGTTGAAGAAGAAGCGAATTCCCGGCAGCGCCAGCGAAAGCGCGCACAGCTCCTCGCATTCCCTGCAAGCGGCGACATCCGAGCCTGGTTTGGCAGCGATCCTGCATGGGCCCCGGTCGACGGATGCTGGCAACGAGGTGGGCGGCGCAACTCCCCGTCCTCCCCAAACCACTAGTTCCGATGAACTGAGCCCACCGCGAGAAGGTCGGCCCGAGAAGCAGGCTTCGCAGATTGAGGGCAGCCAGATGGGCGACACTTCGCTCCGACCCTACGGATCTCGCACCCCATCGATGAACTCTCGGTCGTCGTTCACGGACTACTCGGACGTCGATGCGGCGGAAGACTCCGCGCGCGCAGAACGCAAGGAACACCGCCGTAGCTGGCGATTTCCACGGTCAGCCAAGCGCAGCAACGAGCAGATCGGTCTGGGGCTGGCTTCGCCCCCGCTCATGGCGTCGAACCCTGGCGCAGACCGCAGCACTAGCTCGATCGGTAGCTGGCACCATGCTAGCCGGAGCTCTCCGTCTGACATGCAGCAGTTTGCCAACGACCCGAGCTATCAACCCCTGAGTCTAGACGCCGAGGTCAGCAACCCCGGAGGCTCGCGGGAAGCCTCGTTGGCATCGGAGCCGGAGAAGCGCAGTCTATTTGGGAAATTCAAAGCCAAGGTTGCGCAGGTGCGCGACGGTGTCAAGGAGTCTACGGAGCGTGATCGGACGCGCAGCCCGGTGAACGATGCGGATCATGTTGTGCCAACTCAACCACTCTCGCCTTCAGCTACAGACGTGCGACATCGGCCTGCGCCGATCGATGCGACTAGTCAACCCAAGGATGCAGCCGTCGGTTCTCCAGTGTCGCCTTTGCCTGGAGCCGGGCTCCCACCGCCGATCCCCGAAGAACCTCATATGCCTGAGAGTCCAGTTATGACGGCTGCTGCATTGGCTGGTCCTGCCGTTTCTGATGTGCCAGCAGTCGCTTCTGAGACGATTCCCACTGAACCCAGTACTGAGCCGAGCACTGAGCCGAGCACTGAGTCGAGCACTGAGCCTGCTACTGCGCTTAATACAGAGCCAAGTACTGAACCAAGTGCTGTACCAAGTATTGAGCCCAGCATCCAGCCAAGCACTGAGCTCAGCGCTGAGCCTAGCACTGAGCCTACTACTGAGTCCGCTACTGAGCCTCTTAAGCCTACAGTGGCCAGTTCCGAATTTAATGTACCAAAAATGCCTTCTACGGATGTCCCAACAGACTCCGCGGAGACTGTCACAGCGTCTGCTGTTGAGCCTTTGGAGACGGTCGAGGAAGAGAAGGTTGAGTCAGGATCGGGACCTAGTGTACCGTCATAGATTTTCTGTACTATTTCATTTGTTATGTCCGGTTTTGGATGGATGACGAGATGTCCTTTGATGGACGCGATACTATGTACGAGGATGTTCGGAGGATGTGTTGCCATAATTGGGCCGCTGCGCCTGATATGCTTTATGGGTCATGACTGATGTATGTATTGATTAGTTCTGGAGGAGTAGCGCTGAATAAACGCGATCTAGACGTGCAGAAAGTGGTTTGTTGTATAAATGTACTGTAGTGTGGGTGGTGTGTGCGGAGAATAGGGGATGGACACCTCAGGCATTAAGTTTTTCCTTCGCTTTCCGCCTTCCGCCTTCCGCCTTCTCCGGCTTTCCTCCTTCTCCCAGCTTCAACTTCTCGAGCTCACCCCGCCCCGTGTTGATAAGTGTTCGCTCGGTATTTGGTGTCAAGATGGTCTCCTCTCCTCCCTCTCCTACTGTGACCGGAACCATGTCTAGCAGCAGCGGGGCCCCTCCGGTCCTCAAGTCGGTTCCCCCGATTCGCATTCTCCCCTCGCAACTCGCGCGCATTTATTCCTTCGCTCATCCTGCTGCGGTGCTTCTCGGATTCACCATTCGTTTTCCTCACCTTGTCCACGATCCCGTCTCGGAGATGTTGAACGCGATTCCGTTTCTGGCCGCGAGTCAGGTTGTGTTCGCAATCATCTGTCTTCCCCCGGCTGTAGGATCGCTTGAGGCCACGGGCAACAGCGGCACCTCCAGCTCGACCGCGGGCAGCACGAGCAATATCATTCTTCGCCCGGGACGTCCCGCGCGTCGCAAGGGAGGTAGCGGTGGAAGCGGTGCTGGTGCTGGTCTTGGGGGTGGGCTTCTGGGTGGCTTGGGGGGTAAAGTGATTGTAAGTGCAGCTTTCCCAAGCTTCCCCATTTCCACTATAGCTGGGTCATATACTGGATGGGCGTTACGCTAATTGGTAATCATTTCTAGCCTTCTGTTCTCGCTCTCATCCTGACTGCCCTCTTGGCGACCCCGGTGCTCGCCATCCTCCTAGTCCTTTTCGGCGCGCCGTTCACCACGCATCATGCCCAGACGGCCCTCTGCGCGGCCCACATGGCTCTTCTGACGACTCTGCCCCTGGTTTATGTTCATGGTGTTGACGGGACTGTTTGGAGTGAGGTCTGGGGCGCCAGCCGGCCGGCTGATGCCGTATGGGGTGCGGCGTTAGGAACTTGCGTGGGGGCTTGGTTGGGGGCGGTGCCTATTCCTTTGGATTGGTGAGTGATCTGTTTTCTAACTCGATCGCGTGTTTGGAGATGTTTGGGTCGAGTCATGCTAATGATTATGCAGGGACCGGCCGTGGCAAGCTTTCCCCATTACTATCCTGGCCGGCGCATACATGGGCTTTGCCGCAGGCACCCTCCTGGGCCGCTCGAAGTGGGTGTATGGCAAGCGATTGAGGTTCACCGAGGAGGCCGATCTCGCAGACAAGAAAACGGAATGAACAGTCATCCGACTGTCCCTCGATCAGGATGTGGAATTACGCTACAAGAAGCTTAATCAAAATAATATTCAATCTTCAACTGTAGATTATTCAAGGAATGTCAACTACAGCTGGACTCCAGTCCCCATCGAAACTCATTCGCTCCCAGCCCTCTTGACGGTCAGCCCTTCACCCTCCCACTCCGCACGTCGAAGCCCCAGCTTCGAGTACAGCCGATCCACCAGTCGGCGGCAGCGCTGCCCCCCGCCAAAGCGGCGGACCCCCAGCAGGATCTCGGCGAACCTCGCCTTGTCCAAATCAACCCAGAGTCTATAATCTCCGTCCCGGTGCTGTGGATCACCCAGGGTTATAGGCAGCTCGCGGTGACCGCACGCTGCCAATTCTCCCTTGAGTCTTTTCCAGGCCATCGAATCGTCATCACGACTGGATTGGAAGTACCCGTGGTGTGGGCATATATGGTCTACGGACCTCATGAACCTCATATAGCCGGCGACGAGCCAGCCGCCGAAGATGGGGACGTTGGCCTGGTAGTGCTCCCGCCACTCCTTCTGCATGCATTGGAAGCGTCGATTCTGCACCAGGTTATCTTCCTCAAGCGGAGGGACGAAGAGGTCCTGCCCGGTCGCGATGATCAGCACGACGCGACGGCTGTTAGCCACGGTGATCATGTCGCAGAGGCCGTGGTCCGGGGCTGTTTTGGTGGACAGTTGGACGCTCCAGTTGCATGGCTCTTTGGGGGGGTAGACTATCTCGGCGATAATCTTGATCCATTCGGCGGGGGAGTCCAAGTAAGTTGGTTCGATTGGTGTTACTTGGGACATGGTGCGATGCTGCTACGAGGTGTAGATCCTTTTGGGATTCTTGAGTTTGCGAGGTAATCCGCAAGTCTGTTGTATATATACTGAGAGTGTACATGTGCTTCTTTGTTCTGTTCTAAGAGCGTGATGCGAAGCTGGATGCTTGATCTGTTGTCGACTTATGCTTTGTGTACTTTGGTATCATCGAAGTTTTTACCGATAAGTTCCGCACCAGGGACTTCAATGCATTATCTTCACCGAAGAACGATGCATTCGCGGGAGTTATCCGTTGACGAAGTCCACGCGTGAGAAGAACTCATTCCAGCGACTCCAGGCTAGACAGAGTATCCCACGGAAGTTGCACTCGTATCGTCCCCGGTATTCTACATCCACCAAACCATCCCAACCTGGGAGAGGGTGGTTTTCGGGGAGTTGATGCGCACGTCTCCATTCACAACAGTACTCAATCTGGGAGAGTATTTGGCGGAGATTGCCATATCGATACACTGGGGCTATTTCAGGTCTCTCCACCATCGCTGCAGAGAATTTCATCAGGTATATACCAAATATAAATACCTGATGCCCTACTCCAGCTCGAAGATACAACCCACTAACCTATCATTCCATGACTGGCAGACTTGACTCTGCGAGCCCAGCCTACTACGACCCAGAACCCCAGCTACACCACCCCAGCTACACCACCCCAGCTACACCAACACAACCGCCACAACCCCCCGCCCCCCCGAAGGAAAGACAACATGCCCTTGCCTGTGAACCGCCACGACCAATGGCTCACCCGCCTCTCTCACCTCTTCCCTCCCGCCCACGGCTACAGCATCACCTCCCACACCCTCCGCACCACCAACCCCGGCGAGCTCGCCCTGCAATACGTCGAACTGACCGTGCAGCGTGCGGCCCCCGCCGGGGTAGTTCTGGTGCTCATCACCGCCCACCCGCGCGACGACAGCCAGCCCCACCCGTGCACCGGTACTGACCCTCCCGACAGTTTCGTGAGCGCGGAGATTGCCCGCCGAAAGCAGTTGCTCTGGGAGAGCTGGCCGGTCGTCGTGCCCGATGGGGTGCAGGTGGTGGGCGGGGTGGCGGTCGGGGCGGGGTGTTGGGGGAGTCCGGAACGGGTGGCGTTTTATACTCTCGATGAAGGGAGTCCGGTGGAGTTGAAGGAGTGTTTTCGTGGGTGGGTGGCGGATTGGGATTTGGCTGCGGAGGGGGAGGTGTGGGATTTTTTGGAGGGGGTGCGATTCCGAGGGAGGGTGATTGGGGTTGGGATTGGGAGGGAGCGTGGAGAAGAGGGTGATGTTGTAGAGTCGGATACTGATACTATCGTGGCGGAGAATGGGGATCGGGATGGGGATGGGGATGATGATATGGAGGTGGTTTTGCTTACTCTTTGATTTAGGTTTGGTGCTTCCTATTGGAAAGGAATGAGGGAGGGATATCGGGGCCAGGGGTTTAACTTCCTTGGGTCTCTTGATATCTTCTATTCTTATATGATTTTTGGCTGCTTGACGGATTGGTGAGAGGGGGTTTCAGGAAGTAAGGATTCAGTTCTTGTATGATATCTTGATTAGTCTTCGGTGTTCTAAGAAAGCAGGGGCACCCAGGTGAAATCCCTTGAACCTATCCAAGTACTACACATTATCTTAGATTGATGATGTTGTTATGTTCGTAGAGGGTGTAGGCCTGCAGGAACATGTAAGAGATATCCTGTGAGGCTGTCTGCTTGCTCATCGTTTTGCAACCTTAGACTAGCTGTTTGTCCATTACCAGGGAGAAATGCTTAGGTGTGACAGGGCGAATGGATGGTAGAATGGTCGATGTCTTGGACCTGCCAGGTACCTCAGGTGTATAGTAGAGTGTACTTGAATGTAGCCAGCCGCTTTATAGGGGAACAAAAAAAGCTTGACAACATATTCCTGTCTGACCCTTTCGTTTGATATTCGTGTGAAGTCTACAGTTCAGATATCCATTAGAGTTCATGAGATTGAAATACATCAGACTAGATCGGGGTAGCCACTATACATACCTCCAAGGTTTATACGGTATCCTTATAGCATAGCAATGCTACTATGTATTTGATATATATCAAACAGACCAGGAAGACCCCGGTCCTCCTCTCTCACCAGACCAATAATAGCCAGGAACTTGTCAACTATACCTCCAAGTCAATCTCAACTATATTCATACATACACGCTTTAAAATACACCACTACTACTACACAGTATATACACAGGAAACCATCCTGATCACCCAGAGAAAAATCTCACCAACCCCCCAACCCAAACCGCCCCACAAACCGCCTCCCCAACCCCATTCCCCCGCCGCCACTGCGCCCGCAAGACCCTCACACGACACGCCCACGCATCCGGCTCCGGCGGGCGGTCGTACCCCATCACCGTCGTGAACAGCCGGCCGGGCCGCGCGGCGTGCCTCACCACCACAAGGTCGTACATGGTGTGCGTGGAGCGGCAGACGTGCAGGGAGGGGTGGATTGTGAAGCCTTCTGCCGGGGGGAAGTGGATTGTGAGGGTTTTTAACCAGGTTGACAGGGTCTGTCTCGTTTCGGGGAAGGGGGGGATGGGGTACGGTGGTAAAGGTTCTTTTTCTTCTCCTTCTTCTTCTGCCACCTCCATCGGAGGGGGTTTGGTTGGAGCATCCTCGTTCTGAGTTACACTTTTGAAAGGGGCGGGGAGGGGGTGGGCTGTAGCTGCTGGCGCAGTGGAGTCTGCTTCCTGTGCGGAATGCAAGGGAAGGAGGGAGGAGGAGGAGGGAGTTGCAAACGAGGGGTGATTCAGCTCCTCCGAGATCTCCTTCACCACCACACACATTGATAGGAGAAGCGAGGATTCGCCCTCCAGCACAGCCGGTGCTGGCATGCTATCTCGCAGTGCGGCGTAGTATCGTATCTGGACTCGTCTTATTCTGTCTCGCGTTGATGGTGCGCTGATGCGCAGAATAAGGGTCCTCGGGATTCTGTTTATAAAGACATATTCAGGTCTTTGAGATGTATGGAGATACGGGAGGTTGTCGTTCGTCTTTATCTGGATATGTATGCGGTCTACCTCACAAAGCAGATAAATGATGAACGTCAATATCTCGATGGCAAGGACAACAAGGTTCAATCATGTTCAATTGAAACCTGATAGAGCGCAGAGATGTTGTCTTTGTTTCTGATATGTGCTGCGCGGATGGTCTTCCTGTACTACCTCCATGTGCAGCAAGGATTGGGTCTTGTGAGAAGTTGCAACTACTTGATTCGGGTCAACTACAGCTAGTCTCAACATCGCTATGCCTGGCTAGTATGTATATACACAATGAATAAATATAATACTCATCAACAAATCATCCTGGATCTGTCACAACTATGTACAAGATATCGCATGAAAATATGTCGTTAGAGAAAGCACAATCAATCATATCATCCCGCCAAGCTCCATTCGTCGACCCGGGGACCATCGCGACGAAAGTACCTCCGGCGGTTTGACCGGCAAAGGCTTGTTGTTGCCCGGGAGCTCGTTGCGCTCCCACTCCGAGTCGCTCTCGCCCGGCACGCCCACAGTCTCCGGCCGAGAAGACTCGCTGGACGACAACCCCCCACCAGGACGCAGACGTCGCAGATCCTGTAAATCAGAAATCGGAATTGGGTAGATCGGCCCCATGCCAAGCCCCATGGACTCCCGCGCCATCTGCGTCAACTGCTCCATATCCTCCCGCAGACTGGCCACCTGCTGCTCCAGGCCGCGGCGCGCCGTCTGCTCCCGTCGTAGCAGCATGACCAGGGCGCTGTACTGCTCGACCGAGATGGTGTTGGGGTCGGTGAGGGAGGTCGAGGATGGAGCTTGGAGGGTGCGTGAGCGATGCAGCTGGTTCGGGCGGAGAGTGCTGGTGCTGGTAGGGCGGTCGGGCAGTTCGGGCACAGGCGGCGGGGGCGGCGGCGAGGCTTTCGGCCCCGAGGATGCTTTGCGACGATGCCGCTTGACGGGCGACGCTGTCCGTCTCTCGCTGGGACTTTCACTGCGGTCGGTCTGCAAACGGGCAATGGCAAATTCGAGATCGACCATCTTGACCTCCAACATGTTGAGCCGCTGCTCCAGCGTGATCTGCTCGTCCTGCTGCAGAGAAGTGACCAGCGTGCCGACGTTCGTCGAAGCCGGCTCTGGCTCTGGGTCGTCTTCCGTGTCGGATTCCATGGGAGCCTCAGGCTCGATTGGCTCCTCTGCCAGCACAGAGGCTTCGGTGGGCAATGCCGGCGCGCTGGCGACGGTAGTCCGGGTCGGTGGACGGTCGGCCTCGGAGGGGGCGCCAAAGGCGGTTGAGGCTGCGCAAGACTCCAAGCTGCGACGACGCCATTGGATCGGTGACATGAGATGGTGGTGTTCCTGGGCCATCCCGCGCAGGGCGGCGGCACTCCGCGACCGGCGCTTGAGCTGCTGGCGCTCGCGGCGACGGCTGACATCCAGGGGATCACTAGTTGCATGAGGGCTATTGTCGCGCTTGCTGACGGGCCGGCCCTGCACGGCCGCCTCCAGCGCGCCGCGGGATCCATCATCGGATAAAATTAGGCTGGGAAGAGTGGCACGACGACGTCGCGGGTGCGAGTCCAGCTTCTGCAGGGCTTCCGCGAACGAGGTGACCGTGCCATTGGAGGGCGTAAACAGCGGGGGAGCTTGGTGCGGTTGTCGAGATCCAAAGGTCAACGCATGTGAGGGCAGGGAGCGTTCCAGGGTTGGACTGGTGCTGCCCCCCCGTGGCGGCGGGGATACGCTTTCATCCCCGCGCGTCTTACGGGTGAAAATCTTGCGCATGACGGTCTTCAACGTGCTGCCAGTGCGTCGATGGGTACTGGAACCGCGCACAAGCACGGTCGCCGGCTCGGCAGGGGCAGGCACTGGTCCCTGGCGGGAAGGGCCGCGCAACGTGCCGGACAGCAGCGATAATTCGGCGGGAAGTGCGCGACGAGTGCTGACGATGAGCTGTTTCGAGCTCATCGGAGGAAGAGCGGTGTCATCCCACGTGTCGGTCATGACGGACTCTAGCGAAGGGGAGCCCCGAGGAGAACTCAAACTGGACATTTAAGAGTACATCAGATGCGGAGCACGTGGTAAGGTCGGGATGTCGGAAGGTCGCGTGGGATGATGAAGAAAAATGATCGATCAGATGAAAAGACACGATCGAGTATATAGTTTGAAAAACTGCACAAGGCTGCGGGAAGAGCGCCACCGTCAGCAGGGAGAAGCAGGAGAACCGGTCGAAAACGCTCAGATCATGGTGAGACGAAGGAGCGACGTGAGATAAAGTCTGTTGAAGAGAGCGAAAGACTATCAAGTGGGGGATGAGTATGAGAAGGAGAGACAGTGGATCGAACCAGACATTAATCTACTGTGATAGGGAGAGAAAAAAGAGAGACTGAGAAGAAGAGAGGGGGGGGGAAAGAGGGAGTTTGGACGGAGAATCCAGGCAAAGAAGAAAGACGGAGGAGGAGGAAATGCAGGCAGAAGAGGAGAGCAGAGAAGCCAAGAAGCAGAGCATGGATGAGCCCAAGTGGGCCTATTTTTTCCGTTTCAGGGGGAGGAGAAGAGGGTATGGGAGGTATTTTTAGTATTCAACCTGACAGTGCAGGATTGAAGAAGAGGAAGAAGAAGAAGAAGAAGACCAGAACTCCAAATGAAAATACACAGGAGAGGATCAGCAGGATCCGATCGCAACCGATCCCGAGTCCACAGCTCGTGCCAACACATTGAACATCATTAGTTACAGATGAAACCTTGTCAGTTTTTTTGGGGGGGTGAATGTTGGTTGAAATGAATCTAATGATTGCATGGTGATTCTTCTGGACAACAACTGCTTGGACCACTTGGGGCTGTCATTTAGTCTGTTTCAGGCGAGTGGAGCCCGAATTACGGATGATGTGGTGTTTTTTATGACTTCATGTTCCGACCAAGTCTCACAAAAAGGTCCCCGCCTCGGGATAGCGCAGATCCGCCTGTTCTTCTAGAAACTCCATCCATCGCTTCAAAAATCCATTGCCTCTGCATGTGGTTATCACGGTTCGTCAGCAATCACATTGAATCTCTCAAGCACAGGAAACTTACTGGCTAATCGTCTCCGAATCACCGCAGATGCACAAATGTCGCTTCGGCCGCGTCATGGCCACTAGTTATGCCATCCGTCAGCGCTGATCCTTCTCCCCCTCCAGTCATCAATAAAATACTCACCGTTCAGACGACGCTTTTCGGCCAGAAATCCAACTTCATGGCCTTCGTTGCTGCGCACCAAGCTGACCACAACCGCCTCCTTTTCGCGCCCCTGAAAGCCATCGACGCTGCCCAATTCCAGCTCCGGGTACTTTTCGCGGAGCATCTGCGACAGGACTGCAAGCTGTCCGTTGTACGGCGTGATTACTGCTATATCGCTCGGTTGCATCCCGGCCGCCACCAGCGCCTCAACATGCTGCCCTACCACCAGCGCCTCCATCGAATTACTCTTACTTTCCCCAAGTAGTTTCTCGGACTTGCCTACTCCCGCGTCCTCCGCTGTCTCGGGGAAATCCCCGCCCTGTGTGTCCCAGAAGACCAAGGGTGCTATCGTATCGTCTGTCGCCTGCACTTCATATGGCAAGTCCACCAGCCGGCGCGCCCGCACAGCTTCCGCCGCCATCAGCTTCGACTCGTACAGCTCCTGCGATGGGAACTGCATGATAGTCTCGTGCATCCGATACTGGGTGGTGAGCATCCGTTTGATCCCCGGCCCATGCGTAGCCAGTAGTCGGTCGAAGAGCGTCGTTTCCAACGAGACATCCGGCAACAGCTCCACCCCGGCCTCCGCAGTGCGGCTCTTCGTTTGCTCGCGGGTCGATTTGACGGTCGGCGGCAGTTGTAGATGGTCACCTGCCAGAATGACCTTGGAGGCCGTCAGGAGCGGGATCCAGCATTGGGGCTCCAGCGCCTGACTGGCCTCGTCGATCACGACCACATCGAACTTCTGCCCGCGCAGCTGATGGCCACCGGCCCCATGCAATGTCGCCAGCACGACGCTGCTCTCGCGCACCAAGTCGGCCACGCATTTCGTCTCCCGCTCGCGATACTCCCGCCGGAGCTCCTTGAGGTCGTCGTAGATGGCACGTCGCTCCCGCCCGGTCCGCGTCTTCCTGATACTTGCCTGCTTCTGGTCCATCTCTCGCCGCACGTCGCGAACTATCCCCGCCGCCTCGGACGTCTGCGTCAAGACCTCGAGCGAATGATCCAGCACCGCGGGCAGCAGTCGTGCGGGATGGCCAATGCGCACCACGGGGATCTTTTTGGGAACCAATCTCTCAACAATATTGTCCACGGAAATGTTCGAGGGCCCGCACACCAAGACGCGTTGATTCCGCTGCACCAGCTGCACAATGAGCTCAATCAAGGTATGTGTCTTTCCCGTGCCCGGCGGTCCATGGATGAGGGCAATATCCCGCGACGCCAGCGCAAACCGGATCGCCTCTTTCTGGGAGTCATTGAGCGTAGGGTCAGTGAACTCCAGCTCCTTGCAGACATCGTAGTCGGGGGATAGGGGGGTCGTATGTCCAAACGCGACGCGCATGAAGTGGGTGTAGTCGGATTCCTGCATTCGAGCCATTCGATCCATCGTCTGGTTCATCCTGCAGTTGATAGTAGATCACAAGTCAGCAGCGAACTATTTCCCTCATCCTTTCACCCTATACCCTTAACCAAAACCCAGCGAGGATCATCTGCGCGTCTTACCTCCGAAACGTAACATCATTCGCCAGCTTTACACTAAACCAAACAACCCAAACAACCGTCAGTTCCTTATCATCCTCAAACCACCCCTCAATGCGGACGACAACAGAGAAGCAGGGCAAACAACATACAACCAAACCCTCTTCCCCCACAGCTCCTCCACCCCCTCCTCCTCCTCCTTCTTTCCCGACGCACCAGCAGCACCCTGCTGTCCAAACGCAACCCAAACCGCCCCCTCCCCCACCCTCGTCACCACCCCCTCCGGCGCTTTACTCTTCCCTCCCTCCCCATCCTTCTTGCCCCCCGCCCCAGAACTTTTCTTCGAGCTTGAATTACTAATCTCCAAGCACCGCACCACATCTCCCACCCGAATCCCATGCGCCGGGAGCCGTAACCGTCCATCCTCCTTCCCCTGCGTAGCCCCATTCTTATTATCACTTTTGGTGGATGAGGAAGTCGCCGCATCCGGCACAAACTCCCCGACGAGACGGCCTCCCAGCCCCGTGCGGGTCTGCGACAATACCAAGCCTGTCAGGGCGTGGCCAGTCGCTTGCAAGGCGCGGCGCGTGGCGGGGCTGGCGGCCACGGAGGCAGCGGAGAGGGTGGAGGAGGCGATTTCGAGGCTGTGTTCGGTTTTGAGGTGGTGGAGGTGGGTGGTTGCGAAGGAGGGGATGGGGATTGGGGTTGGTGGTTTCATTTTTTTTTTGTGTTGTGTGGTTTGGGTATTATTTGATGTGGATGTGGTGAATTGAAGCAGCTTGTATTGGTTGGTGGAGGGATGGGAAGCTGTCTGGCGGGTTTTGCGCTCGTTTGCTAGAGGGCGCGGGGGGGGAGCTGCTGCGTGAGGGGGTGGGATTGGGGGGATTTGTTTCTCGGAGGAGAGATTGTGGTGTTATTTCTCGGTGGGTTCGGGAATTCTCTTCGGTTGGTAATTGGCGCAGCACCTGAGTGAATTGGATCGCGTCGAACTTCGAGAAATTGAATCAGTGAATGAAAGCTGTGCTGCAGAATCGGAATGATGCAAACACAGAGCTTGAAATCACCGGGCTGCGGGGGAAGGCCGCGTGAGGGGGTGTGATTAGTCATCAGATCTGCAGTTGAGAGTGGCACTTCCAGTTATTGCTACTGCAGCCAATGGTTCGTTGTATGGTACTTTAAAGTGTCCCTGTTTGCTTCGGGCATTGAGTGAGAAGGTTGCTTTGGCTCAGCTGTATTGGATGGGCGATGGTAAGACAGTTACATGGGAGGCCAGCTTGTCGATCGTGATTGTATATTACTATGATATAAGTTAGTATCACTATTACTATGGAAAAATATCCCAGTCATATTAGTAGCCTACCAGTAGCAGCATAGTATCCCACCTCCCCTGAGTATAGCAATCTGCCCAACACTTGCTACTTGATGAATTTGAGAACCTGCAAGTCAAGGAAACTTGTTTTTTCCATTTCTCATTAACTTATGGACATTATCGTCGGTTACAAACATTCTCAACGTATTAACTGGAGTAGATATTTGAAAGTTTAAGTATGGACGCCCCCCCTTCTGCGCATCAAAAGAAAGAAATACGAAGAATCCGAGAGGGGTATCATCATATCCACGAAGATCACCTTCACTACACATGCTGGAGCTTCCGGGGACCACTGAAAGGCGCCACTCCGCGGTTCCTCTGAGCTCGGGTTTCTCCTAGCATCCGCCGTTCCAGCACCTTGACCAGCTCGGGATAGTCGGGAAGGAACAGCCGGTAGTCGTGCAGTCCTTGAAATTCAATGAACCCCTCCAACAACTTCTTCAGATACTTGCGCCGGGGTTCGCCAGAAATCAACCCTTTCCAGCCCATGTCCACAATGGTTAGCGAGAGGTACCGGACTTCGAAGTGCTCGCGGATGAAGCGCCGGAGCACCTTCCACCACTCGAGAGTGGATTCTTCAGATCGGGGCCCGGTGCGCGGGACATGGCGATAGCGGGACGGAAACTTGAAGATAAGGTGCCGTACCAGCTCGGTGCTCGCGGTGGGGAGCTTGTTGACGAACTGCAGCATGAATTCCGGATCCTCATCGAGGAAGACGAATTTGTTGCGCGAGAAGAAGATGTGACGGGCATCCCGATAGAATCCTCGACTGACCAGGAAGTAATTGATAGGGCTCTCAAAACAGCTGCAAGATGTCGAAAAAGCGGTGTGACGGCCACGACAGAAACATATGGCCCCAACAGGAGAACAGGTGCCGCAGCAGTTGATGGCACAGTAACTACCAGGTCTCATGGCTTTCTTACGATCCTGGAGTGAGATGACACTGTCCAGGCTATGCACTGATGGTAGAAAGGGGTCCGAACGGTTGACGAGGAGCAGCTCCAGAATCATAAACTGAAGCTCCCGCGGAAGACGCAAGAATGGAAACGCCTGCTTGACCTCCAGCTTGTCCGTGACCCTCAAGGCAGCGCGCCGAATCACCTTCTGGATGTGTTCTTCATAGGTATGATCAAGGTGAAACGCACAATGAGACAGGACCGGGAAAGGATTCATTTCGCGCATGAGTCTTTGGGCCACCTCCAAGTCTTTCACCTTACAAGTCATGCTGAAGTTCCTGAGACTGTGCATTTCGGAGTGCGCCAGCTGGCAAAAGTTTTCCCAGATCCGTAGAGCAGTCCGGTGCACTCCAGGAGCCAGCTTTAGATAGCGGTGTTCTCGTGGGCTCAAATCCAGATGCAGATACTGCAGACGAGCAAATCCCCATCCCATCGACAGTTCAAACGCTTTGTACTCCGCTCTGCTGTAGAGGGGTACATTGAACCGGTTACGAGCGAAGAAGATCGAGCCGGCTTCTTCACGAAGAGTCAGGCAGAGACCGAAAAGCTCAATAGGCAGTCTCGGGTGAATGCAGTCACGTTCGACAAACACTCCTGGACTCGGAGCTACATAATGGCGATGGTCGCCTTTCAAACAGAGGCCACCGTTGTGCTTTAGGCGTATACTCTCATACCGGAGGTTGATCACACAGTTCCGCAGAAGTCCAGCATACTCAAAGATTTTGGTTCGTATGTGCTTCGGAAGCTGCATGAAAGTGATGCGTGGGGTCCTGACGGCTACTGTATTGAAAGGTGTACCATCGAAGACCTCCATGCTTGAGGCCGGCGATTGGCTCTCAGAATATTCGTCCTGGAGCGCCCAAGTACGCTCGAGGAAAGCGAAGAATGCATCTTCAAAGGTGGGGAGCTGAAACGAAGCTATTCAAAAGTAGACGTTAGTTGTCTCTCAGGTTGACTGAGGACTGGGACGTAAAGACATCAACGCACCCATGACTTCGATCCACTAGCAGTATTGTTTATCCCAGAGACTGTCGAGCAGAACTGAAACTAACCAAGGAAGCCCGTAGGGGATAAAGAGTAATGTGAAGGGGGATGGTTCGGGGTGTTTGGGGGGTAAAGGAGGAGGGAAGAAGTGAAGAGGTTGGAGGCGGCGTTGTTGTGATGGAGAAGGGGAGTAGTGGAAGGAGGACGCTGTGTAGACTCGGGAGACGAGAGGGAGCCGTGAAGAGACACTGGAGGTCACGTCGTCCCCTCCTACTGCACAGTCGCCAGTCGAGTCGATAGAGACAAAACGCGATGGGAGATATCGGACTGGAAGGGCAAAACAACAAAACTGTCCAAACTGTCCAAACGTGAGCCCCAGACGAGGAGGAAAAGGGCCCGCATTCAATCCATCGACTCCGCCTCGACCTTCACCTTGGGACTTCCCCCACCAAGAAAACTTTCGATCCCTTCTGTTCTCTCCGTCTTTTCGCTTTTCACTATTGTTGTTGTCGTCTTCATCTTGGACGCCATTCCTCGAATTTCACTCTTGCACAGCTTCGTCCCGGCGAGGTCGCAGTCGCCGCACCGTCGGCCGATAGGTAAGCAGACTGTCTGTCCCAGACCAACCAGCAACTTGTTAATCTCATGCCATTTGTCTTTTGGCAGCCACGATTCCAAAGCCATACGAGTCTCCTCCGGATTTTTAGTCTTGTGCCATCCCCACAAGTTGGTGATGCGGTGCACGTGGACGTCCACCCCAATGCCTTCGTGCTTGCCCCAAGCGGCACTCATACACAAAAATGCCATCTTCGGCCCGACTCCTGGCAGCTTCATCAATTCGGTTGCCGTTGACGGGATATCGGAGCTATACTGATCGCGGAGAATGAGTGCTGCCGCTTTGATATATTTGGTTTTGTTGTTGTGGAAGCCCACAGTTCGAATCAGCTCGTTCAATCGTTCCGGCGATACGGCCAAGATGTTTTCCAGGTTCAAGGTGCTGTCCTTCATGGGCTCGATCAATCTACTGTCTCCGTCGTCGTCGCTGGGCTCTGTCTTGATGACAGCCGGAGGTCCATCGCCGAGCTCTGTATGCAATCGTTGCATAGCCACGGCTGTCACCGTATCCTTTGTCTGCGAGGACAGCATCAGGGCAATGAGGGTCTGGAAGCGGCGGTCTCGAGGCGACGATGCACGCCAGTATAGTTCGGCACAGCCCATGGTATCCACCGGGGCAGTCGGGTTCTCCTCCCGCATCTTCTTGACGATGGTGTAGATGGTCTCCCAATTGGAGGGAGGCTCCACAGCGTAGCTGCCATCCTCCACCTTGACTTTTCGAGCAGGAGCACGACGGGCTCTGACCGCAGGCTTCTCCACTACCTCTTCTTTAACAGTGGTTTCAGCTTTCAGAGAAGTCTTCGTCGCCTCTGCCGTAGTGCGCGCAGAACGAGTCCTCGAGCTGCGTGCCGAAGGGGCAGTCAAAGCGCTCTTCCGCCGCTTGACAGGGGGCTCTAGGATATCCTCGATATCCACGGTTGGAACCGATGACAGCGAGGAAGTGTCATCGTCGTCGCTCAGTGCCTCCGCAGACACATCATCGCCGCCGTTGAAGGCGAAACTGCGCAGGGCACTAGCATGAGCTGATGTGCTGCGAGTCTGTCGGCGTCCAGGGGGCGACAGAGCCTGCAAAACCCTCGCGGTCTCCTTGGATGCGCGGGAGGTACGCATATCTGTGACACTGCGGTTCTTTGTTGGTAGAGATAAGTGATTGAATCTCACTTCCACATGAAGGACGAGTGGCCAAGCAATAATAAAATTCGTTAGGGCCCATCAGTCCAAGGGATGCGCAGGCCAGACCGCGGGAAAAAGACTGGCACCCGGCGCTACTGATTGGAGAAAGACCCACGTTGAGCCTCGGTCTCTTCCTCCGCTTTCAACTCCGTGTCTTGCATTTGCCTGTGCAGCTCCAGCCACCTGTCGGAGAAGCGTGCACGTCTGGTGATGGTTTGTTATCAGAAGAGAGCCTCCAGAGAGACAGAGCTTTTGTTTTTCTTTTCCCAGAGAACACGCACTTAATCTCCCGTTCACTCTCTACACAAATAATTTCATTACCCCTCGCTCCGTCAGCGACGCCGAGCATTCCACCATATTCCGCTGATCCACCAGCCACCAGCCACCAGCCAGCAAAACTGCACATCAAGACTGAAATATGGCGACTCACAGCACAACGCAGCGCCTCCTCCGTGAATTGAAAGACTACACCAACAACCCGAACGAAGCTCTGCTACACTTAGGGCCTATTGATGAAGATGATCTCCTTCACTGGGAAGCTGTCCTGAAGGGCGTCAAGGGCACACCATATGAAGGTCAGCAAACCCTCACTCACCTTTCCCACCCAAGTCCTTCAACCCCCTTCCACCAATCCCACCCCCACCCACTCGTCCTCACTCGTCCAATCTGAACCCTCTCTCATATCTAATCCCCTGAACAGGAGGACTCTGGGCCCTCCACATCACCATCCCCCCCTCCTACCCGCTCACCCCGCCCACCATCCGCTTCACCACCCGCATCAGCCATCCCAACATTTCCTTCACGACCGGCGAGATCTGCCTCACCCTCCTTACAACCGAGCATTGGAGCCCCGTCTACACCCTTTCCTCGACCCTGACCGCCATCCACCAGCTGCTGACCGACCCGCGGCCGGAGTCGCCGCTGAACGTCGACGTCGCGGCCCTGCTGCGCGACGGCGACATCCCTGCCTGGGAGAGTGTGGTGCGGTTCTGGACGGAGGAGGAGCGGTGGGTTCCAAAGTGACTCTCACTTCCAGGTGGACTGACCGAGGACCGACATCTCGAAGTATATATATATCCTTGGCTGGGCCGTATATATGGGCGGAGCTAGAGAGGTGCAATGCGCCCATTGGTCTTACTGAGTGTTTGGACAAGGTGGTGAGGAACGCAGACCTATGTATCCTCATTGTGCTCAGGAGGGGTTGTACAGAGCTAGCTGGACAGACAGCTAACGTACCCGCGTTTGTAGAGTGAAAGCAACCCAGTGAGGGCTACCCATATCATGACTTTTAGAATACCCATTCATTTGAAGCTAACAATTGTGCATCTACATCTATCCTCATCACCATCGAGATAGAAAACGACTGCAAGAATCAGTATGTGCTCATTCGGGTGTCGTAGTCCCCGTAAGATGATCCAGTTAGAGAAGCACCTTTCTAATTATGCACAGGCTTTTGATACTATTCATCTCACTTCCCCGCTCCGGCCTGAAAAGAAAAACAATATGCGCTGAAGGAGAGACATCAAGTCGGACACGCCAAGGGCTCAAAGTATATGCTTGCCATAAGGATCGTAACATAGTGAGAGGTATCATGGAAGAGACAAAGCTGGGCAGGAAAATAAGAACGCCGGAAAATGCGATTTATGCGGGCAGGCAGCAAACAACGATTCGGGACCCCCAAATATCTACAAAGCCATGGCCACGACGGCGGCGCCGCCGACCATCACGAACAGCTCCCGGCCGAGACCGTGGGTGGAGGCACCCGAGTCGGTTTGCAGGCTGGGGGAGCCCCGGGTGCCGGTGGCGACCTCGTGGGCTGTCTCGGTGGGGTGGATGACGGTGATGGCGGTGACGGTGCTCTGCTGGCCGTTGGGCAGCGTGGTGGTAATCTTGTAGGTGGAGGTGTAGGGTGTGGTTTTGGCCGAGGTGGTCGTGCTGTCATCTGTGGTAGAGGTGGAGTCCTGGGATGAGGTGGACGAGGAGGTGGTGGAGGTGGTGGAGGTGGTGGTTTCGAGGGTGGTCGAAGTGGAGGTCGAGGTCGAGGTCGAGGTGGCGGAAGTGGTTTTAGATGAAGTCAAGGAGGTGGATGTTGTGGAGGACGTGGTGGAGGTCGTGGAGGTCATGTGAGCTGTAGTATGTGAGCTGGTTGAAGTGGTACTTGCAGTGGAAGCAGCAGAAGTAGAGGTAGTAGAGGTAGTAGTAGTAGTGGCCGCGACGGTGGGGATCGTGGTACTAGCTGCGGTGGTGTGAGAAGAGGACGAAGACGATGACGACGATGACGACGAAGATGACGAAGAGGTGGTAGAAGACGACGACGACGAAGAGGTCGACGGCGCGGTCGTCGGAGAGGTAGAAGAAGAAGAGGAGGAGGAGGAGGAGGAGGAGGAGGAGGCAGAAGACGTGGACGGAGACGGAGAGCTAGACTCACTGCTACTAGAGCTCGACTCACTGCTGCTAGAGCTGGACTCACTGCTACTAGAGCTAGTCGTAGATCTTGCAGCGGTCGTGCGGGCAGCAGTGGTCGTAGGAGCGGCAGTAGTTGCCGCAGCAGTCGTCTCGGGCTGCGCGCTGCTAGTGGAACTTTCCGCCTGAGCAGTAGTCGCTGCCGCCGCGGCAGAAGTCGTGGCCGGCTCCGAGGCCTGGCTCGTCGTCTCTACAGCAGCCGTCGAGTTGCCATCCGCTCGCTTGACCAGATTCAAGTGTTCAACCAACGACGCATCATCCCGCCGAAGAGCCGCAGCGGCTTCCTCATCGGACCCAAAGATGCCGTGGCTGAACCGCTGGAACAAATGCAGAGCCTTGTGGAGGGAGGTCTCTTGGATGCTGTTGGCGACCGAGGGGGCTTCGGATTCGGACTGATCGGCAGCCGGAGCGGCAATCGCAGACAAGGCGATAAGGAATAGGAGAAGCAGTTGGAGCAGGCGAGTTGACAATGCCATGGCGCCTTAATGCAATATTCAACGGTCGTTTATGAATTGAGTGGATTCGAAATTCAAACGATAGAAGGTCCCAGGGGGTGGAAGAAAGCGAGAGGAGAGATGGTCGTTTTGAAGCAGGGAGTTCCCAAACGGGTAATACTCGGAGGTTCGACGAAGAAGAGAAGGCAAGACGCCCGCCGGAAATCAGGTTGATCTTATTATGTACGGGATATTCGGCAATTTGCCAGTTGGAAGTGAAGGAGCTGGCAATAATAATAGAATTTTGGTAACGGTTGGCAGATGATTGATTATCTGCAAGCCACCCGAGATGAGAGTGAAACAAATGGCCGACAAGGCTTGTTCTGCTGCGCCGCCGATGAATAAATAGTAGCGGACGACTGTGAAAAAAAAAAGTCCTCGATCCCCAGACAGGCTAGAAAGAGACGAGAAAATGAAAATAAAAACAAGGCAGGCCTGGCTCGGGCTGGCGGAGCCTGGTGGATCAACGAGTGGAAAGACGCTAGAACGAATTGCAAGATCATCATCATCAACATCATCATGGAAAAACGAGATAGAAGGCATTTTATGCGAGAACAAAAGACAGAAAAGGAAGCAAGCGGGTTGCCCAGATGCATCTTGCACCGTGGTTTCTCCCCAGTGCGGCAATGTACAGCCTATCGAGTCCCTCCGGTCGCAATGAAATGCTCTCCTAAAAAAGCAACAAAAGCATCCGAATGCGATCCGTGGGAGGGACGGCTTTTCGACCGATTGTACGAGGTCAACGTCAGCCTCGGACCTAGACAGTTGGGCCAATGCACGCTCGCCCGCTTGGAGTTTCTACCTGTCTACGGAATACTACGGTACTCCCGCAAGAATCTATCCATTCACCTTCGTGTTGTTTGGCTGCTGAGGGAGTGTTTACTGTCTCACAGTCTGCCGTATCAGTGAGTTTGTTGTCACTTGGTGTCATGGTGTCATAGCGAATCGTCGGCATTGAATTAACCTCAAGGGCTGAAAGAGGGAAGAATGTTTCAGTCCAACCGAAGCGGACGATCCCGACCGCTGAGACAAATAAGACAAATCCGAAGAATTGCGCTGGATGGAGCTGGACAATGACAACACCATGAGATCAGTTCAGTCGGGTTTTGTTTTTTTACCCCACTTCGTCTGACTGTCTGTCTCTCTGAGGCACCTTCAACAGTCTGCATACTAGGCATACGAGTGTGGTGGGTTGCAAGAGTAAGTACGGAGTTTATTAGCAACTGTCAAGATCTTCTTCTCTTTCAGCAAATCTCAGCAAAAGAAGTCTTTGTTCTACCTACTAGTTCTTTCAGGCACCAGGGGGGAGGAGGGCGGAGGGCGGAGGAAGCCCGAACTGGGGCACTTGGTCTATTCTTCTGCCACCGTTTGCGGATTATCGGCTCGACCGTCAAGGTGGCCAATCCGCCAAGGAGATGTGTTCCTGATCATCGGTGGTACCTGTCGAGCGCTATCCACTCGACGGAGTACCTCAACAACTGCTCCCTTCCCTCGAACCGAACATCAGATGAGAATTTTCCCCTCAGAGGTTGATGATTTTGAAGTATCACTGGAAGTCCCTTTATCTTCAAGCATCGACAGGCTGGCTGTCATTGTTACAGCTTGCCGAACCCCAAGCCCCTCCGCATCCGGTGAAAGGAAGCTAAAGGGGCTTAGCTCTTATTAGATTCGGCACCAGTCCCAGAACAGTTAGCTGGGACCGAGTCTGATCTGCTATTTTGGGCAGCGTAAGCGGCAATTACCTTCTCCGATTCACTCCTTGAATGCAGTGAGGCTGGACCTTACCGCAATCAGACTAGCGCCATTATCCTTGTGCTAATCTTGGTGACAGACACTAGGCATTAATACTATTTTGCCTCCTTCTACCAGCGATAATACGAACAGAGGTTTGGTTGCAACCAAGCTCTCAATGATGAAAGTAGATGAAGGCAAAGTTGCGTCCTTCAGCCAAAAGGTTCACACTATTATTACCGGACCACTGAAGCTAACCGCCTCCAGTTAACCACTTCAGATAATGACGTCTACGAGTCCTGCATGTGAGACATGAGATTCACAAGGAAGCCATGAAAGGAACCGTGGTTGCACCACTAGTTTCATATCAGCTGCTTCCAGTCTCTGTTTCCTGGTGTTACAAATGATCCATAAACAAAATAAACAACGCCGACCCTCAGAAACCGTGCAACACGACAACGGGCAACGACTTTGCCCTGCACGATCATGCTTCAAGCTCGCTGAGATAGCGCCATCCACGCCCCCCATCCCGCCACTTTACCATTGATTGCGAGCATGATGTCTTCGAGACGGGCAGGCGAAGGGATATTCTGCTGATCCAAGGTCTCATTCAATGCCACCAACTCGAAAAAGTACCGATGCGGGCCCTGGCCCCGGGGCGCTAGCGGGGCGAAATACACCGCGTCCCCTGCATTCAGGCCATACTTGAACCCACCCCGCAGCATAAACGGCTCAGCCTGCGACTGGTCGAGGAAGAAATCCGGGTTCTGTACCCCGGTCGTTGCGCGGTGGACTCCGTAAAACAGACCGTGGACGACGGCTTCGGAGGTCGGGGCATCAGGGTCTTCGACAAGGAGAATATACTCTTGCACCGCGGTGCCGGACGAATACGGCCAGGACAGTGCGGGGAAGCTTCCTGCGCCCTCCCGGGTGTGGTCGATGTCTAGGTACGAGCCGGTGGGGCCGAACTCGGGGGACTCGAGGAGGATGGAGGGCCACGGGTGCTGGACAAAGGCGGGCTGGCTGATGAACAGCTTGGAGATTTGGCACAAAACGGTGTTGAGGAGGGTGGTCAGAAGAAGGGGATACGTGGTGTAATGCATCTGGCTGTCACGTCAGTGAGCACACGCTGTGAGGGTGAGGATGTTGACTCACATTTGCCTGAGCTGATACGAGCTGAGGCTTCAAGGGGGAAGAATGAATGAAGCAATGTGGTGGGTGTTTTGTAAATACGTTGTTCGCTCGTCTGGAGGGAAGAGTCGGGCATGTATGTGTGAGTGTAGAGGACAGTTTCTGTCTCTCTATCTGCCGCATCCATCAGTGCGGCAGGTCCTTACGGGGAAGGAGCTTTCGCGGGCGTAGCAAGAGCAACATGAGCAAGTGCCAGGGCTGCTTCTTGTTCATCAGGGTAAGCCCCATGGTGTTCCTCCCTGCTACGCGATAACTTGGTGCCTCTGTCCTAGCATCTGCAGCCATCATGGGTTGGACCCCAGAGCGCCGTCAAAGGCAGCGAGGAGGTCGTCATGTATTGATAATAGCTCTTGGTAGACACCGAGCAATTGGATTGAACTAGCACCCTGACTGAATCCATCGACTCAAATATATGTATCATCATCTCCAGCATATCACACGCCCACTATACCTAGCACCTACCTACAGTAGTAACTCATATCAATTGCAACACAGCGCCCACGATCGACAAACCCCCCTGTCCGACCGGTCAAATCGATTCGGCAATAGGTATACACACGCCAACTTGGCAAACCCCAGACTATTGATTCGATTGGAACCGAGTCCTCAGCTTGGCATCCTCCTGCGCCTCAATGATCCCCAGCACGCTCCTACAATAAGACTTGGCTCGTCAGCGACGGATTAAGAGCGACGCAGAGCAATATCAAGCCAAAAGAAAGATAGCTAGTTGCGATTCTTGCAATAATCTGACACCCAAGGGCCGTAGTGGTTTTACTAACTACTACATCTGCATCCCGGATCTATACCGGTACATAATTGCACGTACTACATATATCCCACCGTACTTACGGCAAACATAAGTACTACGTATCGTATATCCCCAATTCACAAATCAAAGTAAAGCGAATCACAGCCCAAATCACAAAACCATGCTGCCTAAACCCTGCGCTTGGTAAGCGCCACCTTCCCCGCTAGCCGAGGCTCGCCGAGCGCGTTGTGTTCCCCCGCCAAGTCGAATTTACGCGAGTTATCGATTGGAAAGGGTGTCTTGGATGTAGTCTTCGGTGAGAATAATAGGATCTTGGGTCCTTGGACTTAGTTCCCTGAAGTTCTTGGATTTGATGACTGGAGGCAAGTGATTGGTCATGGTTTGAGCTATTGTTTGGTGTTGGCTTGGTGTTTTGTGAGTGTCGGTCGGGACTGTGCATGGACAGGTACTGTACAGTATGTCTACCAGCACAGGGTCGGGTCTAGAGCGAGGGTTGGTGGGGACTGCGCTGGATCTGTGCGTTGACGTCAATATCAGGGTTTTTTTGTTGTGGAGGTTGAGGTTGAGGGAGGGGGAATTGAGCGTTGAAGGACAGTAAGAGAGATCCTAGAAGTGAATTTCTATTATTTTCACTGGTGAGGTTGTATGGGTAGCAGAGGGATGTTGAAGGCCAGAAGGGATGACTTGGTGGTAGGCAGTGAGTGTAGGCCCGACCGGGGAGCGGAAGGATAGCTAGCGTTAGTTCAGGGTTCGGTATCCACGGATCCCGATCTACTTGCCATTTGTAGATGCAAGATATGGAAAGAGCTGGAAGAGAGACTAACGAAATTATGCTACAGAGTACTTATGTATGTATTGATCGGATCTTATCTCGCCGGCGGCATTCTGCTCTTTCTGCAGGGTCTGCTTTACCTGCCTACCTGAGAGGCCACCGTCTGTCCGTACTGGTTACCGGGATCCTTGTCCACAAGCGAGTTGATTTGAACTTTTTACTTGAGTGCATGAATGCTCGGCTGGCTATTATTAGCGAGGAGACCCCGGCGTAAAAATAGCGGAGTTGAAAGGGTGGTTGAGTGAGTGGATGAGAGAAGCCTGTGGTGTTGGCATGTCTCAGCTGCCACTGCCAACCGAATAGTTCCAGCAAGAGAGTTGTGAGACAGGATACAGAGTCGTCGTAATCATCCCCTCCCCAGAGGCTAACCGTCTGGGCATTTGCTCGGCCCTCGACTCCGGCATTGGGGAAAGGGTCCGATATGTTGAGGAGATGATCTGCTCCGGACGGCAGGGAACGGGATGACGGAGGGTTGCTTCCTGGTGGAGGGGATGTTTGTCTTCTTATAGCTATAGATGTGATTTGAGAGTTGAAGGGACTATGATTATTGGAGTTGGTTCTTGACTTAGCCAACAATCCATTGCTCAATGTTCTGCAATGTATGTAGTAGGTAATGTACGGCGGGGACACAAACAGAAAAGCCATCCAGCCACTCCCAGAGCCAGAATCTGGCAGGGTCTCCCTGCCTGCAGGTGGTTTTTGTGGCTGGACCCACTTGGCCCGGCCGGGGTTCAGGGCTTTTCAGAGGGCCTTTGCCATCCCCACCCAACCATCCATTCTTTGCGCCCTTTCCAGGTACGAAGTGCAAGTAACTCATCGTCAACTTGAGCATTGATGCAGAGAAAGAGAGAAAGACATACATTAAGTAGATATGGTTGAAGGGAAACCATTAGGAAAACCATGTTTCACCCATACCAACGCGCTCAAACCCTCTTGCAATCGCACTCAATGGCAACTCCAGTCCCATGCTATGTATACCTTAGTCTGTCCCTGGCTGGACCCTGATCCTGCCAAGTCTGACGATCGAGACAGCTGATGATAGGCATCTGTTTGACCCGCCCAGCAATTTCCCACACATACCTTGGCTGCCTCATCCGGTATTGTGTGACATGAATCTGGGTTATCCTTACTGTTTTGATTGAAAGTGAATGGGGCAGACGGCTCAGGGATGAAAGAGCAACAAAGGATGGATGGCTGAGTGAAAGTGTTAGTGCTTTAAGGGTCCTGCTCTCTGCACCTCCACATCCTTCCCCCTTCCTTACTTACTCTTTCGTTCTCTTCCTTTTTCTCTCTCTCCCTCTCTCTCTTCATCGTCATCATCATTTTCTCCCCTACCTTGGGTTCTTTCCTCCGTTATCCCTTCAATCACTCGCTTTTTCTTCCCTCCCCATTTCAAGTCACTCGTTCAGTCTTATTGACCTCTTCTCGCCTGCTTTCTTGTTGCTGCCAATCTTCCAAGGCTTCACCACACCCCAGTTACACAGCAGGTCTCCATTCATTTCCGAGACCTTGACACCAACTCACCAACATCCCCTGACTCTCATAATCCATTAACATGAAGGGCTACGCTATCGTAACAGCCATCACTCTCGGTGCTTCCAGCGCGTTGGCTGCTCCCAATCTCAAGGCCCGGGACGATGTGACTCCCATCACTGTCAAGGGTAATGCTTTCTTCAAGGGTAGCGATCGATTCTACATTCGTGGTGTCGACTATCAACCCGGTGGTTCGTCCAAACTGGCCGATCCCATCGCCGATGCCGACGGCTGCAAGCGCGACATTGCCAAGTTTACCGAGCTCGGATTGAACACCATCCGTGTCTACTCGGTCGACAACTCCGCCGACCATGACGAGTGCATGAACGCTCTGGCAGATGCTGGCATCTACCTGGTCCTGGATGTCAACACCCCCAAGTACTCTCTCAACCGTGCCGACCCCGAACCCTCTTACAACGATGTCTACTTGCAGTACATCTTCGCCACGGTCGACAAGTTCGCCAACTACAAGAATACCCTCGCCTTCTTCTCTGGTAACGAGGTTATCAATGATGGCCCCTCCTCGAGTGCTGCCCCCTACGTCAAGGCAGTTACCCGTGATCTTCGTCAGTACATCCGCAGCCGCAAGTACCGTGAGATTCCTGTCGGATATTCTGCGGTAAGTAGATGCATTCCCACTGCAACGCAATGGAGATGTAGAAATTAATCACAGAGCCCTCCTAGGCCGATATCGACACCAACCGTCTTCAGATGGCCCAGTACATGAACTGCGGTACCGACGACGAGCGCAGCGATTTCTTCGCCTTCAACGACTACTCTTGGTGCGATCCTTCTTCCTTCACCACTTCCGGCTGGGACCAGAAGGTCAAGAACTTCACTGGCTACGGCCTCCCTCTCTTCCTGTCCGAGTACGGTTGCAACACCAACACCCGCAAGTTCGAGGAAGTCGGCTCCCTGTACAGCACCGATATGACTGGTGTCTACTCCGGAGGTCTGGTCTACGAGTACTCGCAGGAACCCAGCAACTACGGTCTCGTTAAGATCCAGGATAGCAAGGTCAGCACTCTGGCCGACTACGATGCCCTCAAGTCTGCTCTGGCCAAGACTAGCAACCCCGAGGGCGATGGTGGCTACAACCAGACTGGAGGCGCCAACCCTTGTCCGGCCAAGGATTCTCCCAACTGGGATGTTGACAACGATTCTCTGCCCGCGATTCCCGAGCCCGCCAAGAAGTACATGACCGAGGGTGCTGGCAAGGGTGTTGGATTCTCCGGCTCTGGTAGCATGAACGCTGGAACCCCTTCCACCAGCACCGCCACTCCCGGCTCCGGCTCTGCCTCTTCCACTAGCAGTTCTGGCTCTTCCTCGAGCGGTACTTCGACGAGCTCCGCCGGCGCTGCTGCTGGCCTGCAGGTGCCCCACCTGACCATGACCCCTGTCCTTGTGGGGCTGGTCACTGTCATGTCGACCCTGTTTGGAGCTGGCATGGTCCTTGTTTAAACAGTTCTGCAAGCTGGGCATATGTGCTCCTGCAAATTCTCAAGACAATCCTTTTTCTCTTTTCTCCTCTTTCTCCTCTCTCTTATAGTCGATATGCAGCCAGATTGGTCGAAACACTGTACTTGACGATAACAGGTGGCTAGCAGGGGGAATGGTGATGCGGGCTGCCAACCCGAGCAATAATAGAAGGCAGCTGTACAGTTGATTGATCTTACATTTTTAGCGCACCTGTGTCTTCATGTAGAGTAGCAATGGGATAACTAATTCATCAGGGAAAAAATGTGATCAACCTGCATAGGCTGACATCTGCCATTCCGAGTGAAGTTTTTAAGTAGATTGATTTGTATGATCCTCTCGCCGGTTGGGTCGGCCGGGTTGCCCTATCTTTTCTTCTCCCCTTGAGACCCACTTGGAGACCGGCCGAGGTCCCTCTTTCCCCCCTCCCCCTCCCCGAATCACGGCGGTAATTTCCAACGCTCCCACGCTCCCACCATCCCCCATCACTTCTGACACTTTCCCTGTCTCAGGACTGCGTGACATCCCTCGTTTTGACGCAACACTGATGCTCAGAATCATCATGCTGTCTCTGCAAATCCGATCACGGTATCGAGGTGGTTCAATTTTTGTTTTCGGTCAGAATGCTTGCGACCACCTTGTTAAACAGCTGAGCTTTCCAGGTATCAACCAAGACTCGGATGTCGCAGAATGTGAGACCCAGATGCCTCTGGGCGCCATCATCACGCCGGCCCGATCTCAGAACCTGGTGGAACCCGACTGTTGGCAACGGGGCCTGTCTTTCACCACTGGAGACCTTCATTATTCATCCCAGGCAGAGACCGGCCAATAGGCGACGCGGGTTTTGTGATCAATCCACTTCGGCGCGAACTTCCAGCTGGAAAGATGTTTGATATAGATGAGCTTGAATCGGCCAAGGCCCAGGAGTGCTCTTACGCTCAAACCACCGATGTCTGCTCATGAAACACGTACCGAGTAGTGATGCTTGGCACGTCCCACCTCATGGCCGCGCTCCGACAAACGCCCAGGCCCCGCCGGAAATTGCTTATTTTGCCTCGAGGCCACTCACAGCCTGGGTTCTAGACAGTGATATGCCTGGATGGGAGCAGACTAGACGCCTTCGAGGTGGGCGTGCGTGTCCACAATCAATATCTTCCACGCATTAGCCTTATCCTCAGACCATCCTGAAATCACCCTCACGCCTCCGCTCTTCTCACACGATGGCCGACTTTGCCCCCACGTCGGTCGCTAGGAGATTCTATATGAATACCGTGGCTCGCCTCAGAATGGACTTCTCCCGGCTTTCATACGTTCAATTCATTCTCTCCCATTCTTTTCGGTCCTTCTTTTGTTTTTCTTTTTTCTTTTTTCTTTGGGCAATCTCTCTTTGCCGCCATTCTTTTCCGGGTTGCTGCTGGGCCAGCTTTATCCCGACACAGTTCCTATCTCATTCTTGTCTTCCTTTGATTAGGTAGCTTTTCGACCCTATCTGGTCTATAGCAACACTTGTTGGATCGTTCTTCCCGAACAATTCACTTCAAGATGCGTTCCTACCTGCTCAGCGGCGCGGTGGCCCTGGGCTCCGCGCTCGGTGCTTCCGCCTCCTCTTCCACCACCTCCGCCTACAGCGATTCCGTCTCCGGCATGGATTTTCAGAGATGGTGTGACTCGGACACGGGCTTCTGTTTCGGTATTGCGCTGCCCGAGACCGTGGAGAAGAGCTTCATCGGTCAGCTGAGTGTGCCTCTCGACAGCTCGAAGGGATGGGGTGGTGTCAGTATGTCCGGGTCCATGACAGAGGCCCTCCTCATTGCAGCCTGGCCAAACGGTGACTCCGCCGTCGGAACCCTGCGTGAGACCAGTGCCTACTCTAGCCCCGCAGTCTACAGCGGTAATGCCAGCATCCTCGAGATCCCCGAGGGAACTTCGATCAACAGCACATTCCTCACCTACACTTTCTTGTGCGAGAACTGCATCCTCGGCGAGCCTACCACCTTCGGTGCTTCTGAATCCACCTACTACTTTGGCTGGGGTCTCAGTAAGACCAGCCCCACTAGCCCCTCCTCCGCTTCGTCTGCCATGCCTTTCCACGCAGCCGGTTACGGTGGTTTCGAAGTCTATCTGTCCAAGGCGAAGTCGTCCAGCTACGCCACCTGGGCCGCGAAGGCCGTCTCGAGCACCACGACTGCCTCCTCATCCGCCTCGGTTACCAGCCCTTCTGCCAGCGCCTCGGCCAGTGTTGTTGCCACGGTCGCGAACACGACCTATGACTACATTGTTGTCGGTGGCGGTGCTGCTGGTATCGTCGCCGCTGAGCGTCTCGCTGAGACCAAGAAGAAGGTCCTGTTGATTGAGCGTGGTGTTGCTCCTACCACGGAGCTCGGTGCCACTGATGCCCTCTCCTGGAACTCTTCTATGACTCCTTTCGACATTCCCGCTCTGGGCAGTGCCCTTACTTCCCTCGACTTGCTAGGTGACTACCTGTGCGACGACACTGCGGGCATGGCTGGTTGTGTTTTGGGTGGCGGTACCATCGTCAACGCCGAGTCCTTCATCCACCCCCAGGAGGCCGATTTTGACGACAAGTGGCCCACCGGTTGGAAGTGGAAGGACGTTCAGGCGGCCGCCAACCGTCTCTACGAGCTTAACCCTGGAAGCACTCTTCCCTCGGCGGACGGCAAGCGGTATGACCAGGGCATGTACACTGTCCTTTCCAACTTCTTGAAGGGTCTCGGCTGGAAGTCCGTGGACTCCCAAAAGCAGCCCAACGAGAAGCACATGGTGTACAGTTACCCCTCTTGGGATGTCGGCAATGGTATCCGTGCTGGTCCTGTGCGCTCTTACCTGCCCTTGGTCCAGGACGCTGACAACTTCAGCCTTCGCTTGAGCACCAAGGTTCGCCGTCTGGTACGCCGCAGCGCCCGCGTCACAGGTGTCGAGGTCGAGACTAGCTCTGGTGGCATCGAGATCATCAACCTCAAAGCAGGCGGTAAGGTCGTCCTTGCTGCTGGTTCCATGTCGACTCCTCGCATTCTGTTCAACTCCGGTATTGGCCCCACCAAGCAGATCCAGACTGTCAAGAGTGGCAGCACGGGAATCACCCTGCCTCCCTCCTCCGAGTGGATCAACCTGCCTGTTGGCGAGAACCTTCGTGACCACCCTATGTTCACCGTCACTGTCAACACCAACAGCAACTTCACCCACTTCAACACCTCCAGCGTCATCCCTGGCCCCAGTGCCGCGGTCCAGAAGCTCTTCAGCGAGGGCTCCGGTGTCCTTACCCAGGGTGGCCACCGTCTTCAGTTCTGGACCTCCAACGTTGGAACTGATGGTATTACTCGTTTCTACCAGGCTTCTTGCAGCACCAGCACCGACGGTGTTATCACCATGAAGCTGTACTTGACCCACGGCGCCACCTCGAGCGGTGTTCTTGGCATCGACAGCTCCGGCACCACCACCCTCGAGACCAACCCTTGGCTGACGACTGCCGCGGACAAGGAAGCCCTGACCCGCTTCTTCACGGAATTCCTCGGCGACATCAACAACTCCACCGCCGGCTGGTCCGTCAGTGGAATCTCGACTGCTTCCGGTCTTCTGGACCTGGTGAGCAGCGGTGACCACTACGTCGGCACTGCGAAGATTGGTACGGACGATGGACGTGTCAACAACGGTACATCGGTTGTTGATCTCAACACCAAGGTGTACGGTACGGAGAACTTGGTAAGGCTGCCTGTCTGACATTTGCGACAAAACACTGTGAGCTAATCCCATCCTGTAGTACGTCGTCGATGCCAGTATCCACCCCGATCTGCCCACCGGTAACACCCAGGCTATTGTCATGATCGCCGCGGAGGCTGCTGTAGCGCGGATCATCGCGCAGGGCACGGATAGCGTTAGCGTTGCCAGCTCGTCTGTTGCGGTTTCCGCGGCTCCTACCGCTGCCGCGTATGCTTCTGCTGCCGAGTCCTCGGTTGCGGTCAGCGTTGCGACGGCTACTGCCGAGACGACCGTCACCAGCGTTGCTGTGGAGGCCACTACCACTTCTGCCGTGGAGACTAGCTCTTCTACCAGCTCTGCCGCTGCCTCTGACGAAGACGATGATGAGGATTTGCCCGACTGTGACGATGAGGATGATGAGGAGACCGATGATGCTACTGATGCCGAAGACACCTTCTCGGCCTCGGCCGCTGTGACCGCCCACCAGGCTGTCGCTACCAGTGCCGACTCTGGTGTCTCAACCACCACCGTCTGGGTGACCTCGACTGCCTGGACTACTACGACGGAGGCGGTGGTTACCACGACTACTTCTACCGTCACTGTCTGGCCCACCTACGCCTAGATGGGCTGTGAATGGGATCTCTTCCCGACGGAAGTTGTGGATATAAGGTAGATAGCCAGACTTTCCCGTTCAATTCTCTGTATTGTATCTGGACCGAATTCAAAATGATATTTTTCTGGTTGTATCTGTCTTCTGAGTAGATTGAGTGACCCGTCTCTGGTCCAAGCGATAACTGTACGATGCACGGAGGGGAGGAAAGAAGTGGATGGCCTGACGGAGGCCTGAGGAGGAAAGCGGATGGGAGACGGTCACATGACTTTCCCTCAAGCCACGGATTTTGGATTTCCAACCAGTCGGAGCATCCGATCCTGTGCTTCACCACCGCACGAAGCAACAGGAAAAAGGAGCAAAAAACAAAAAAAAAAATAAAAATAAAAAAACCAAGCAGAAAGAAAAAGCAAAAGAGCTGTGGCGCCATCGATGCCCATGAAAAGTCCCGACCGGGAAGGAAGCAAACCAATATTGATGGCTGAAATCTGTGAAAATCATGCAGGCCCAGATTGGCTCGTGCTTGGAGCTTGATGAAAAGCTGCTCAGCCACCTCCATCCCCCCCCCATGGCTCGAGCTTCTTGCTTTTGCTACGACGCTTATCGGTCTGCAGCTGCCAGCCAGCCAGCCAGCCAGTCAGCCAGGGTCTCGAATTCCTGATGTCAACAACTGCTTTCTCTCTTTTACCTTCCGATCAGCCATCAGCCATCAGCTCGTGATTGCTGGCCTCTCCGCCCTCAACAATCACCGGGACTTCCCCTGTCGAAGGTGGTCGCAATCAGACTGGACTCTTTGTCCTAGTCTTCTAAGATAGTAAGTCCAAGGCAGCAGAAATCTCATGGTGACTATGGAGCTTTTGGATGGATTGTATGCGGGAATTTGCTGCACCATCGGTTTGCCCGCAACTAAGACGGATGCGGCATCTCGTTACCAACAAAGACGATATTTCGCTGGGGAAAATCCCGCATGCTAATCGGTTTCTATTAGAGATTATATCATGGTGGGATCCGCGGTCAGCGAGAGAGTTAGGGAGGGAGCCACAGCCAGAGCCAGAGCCAGAGGAAGACGAAAAGTTGGCCCTGGCGCACCACCCCCTTCGGTTTACCTCTTTTTTTTCCCACTCTGCCTGGGACTTTTGGCTCCATCCCGGGACTCTCTTTTCCCCCATATTGCGGCAAATATGAGCCAAAAACCACGCATGCAATAATTGCCCTTGCACTCTCAGCTCAGGACCTGTCTATTGCCCACTGGCCTCCCCGCTCCCCCTGGATGGCCCAAAATTGACCCCCTCCCCCACCGCTCGCTCTGGCTACTTGCTCTACCGAGCTGCTTTTTTGTACTGTACTCCGTATACCACACAGTCCACAGACAGTCCTTGCCATCCATGTAGTCGATCCGTGGCTGTGGCCATTCCCTATGCGGCTTTGCCTTTTTCTGTAATAATGCTCCATCTAGTCTTCATCTCCCCCATCGGAGAGAAGCGCCTCCTCTCTGTCTCGGTTTTCGCTCGACCGCTGGTTTCCCGCCCATACTCGTTGGCTCTCACCTATAAATCCTCCCACCCGCCTGGCAATCATGGCAGCTTTTGATTCACTCATACGATCTTCAAGGGATGCTCATCGACGGTGAAAAGTGGGCCTGTGAAGCTTGCGTTCGCGGTCACCGTGTGACTACCTGCAAGCACCATGGTAAGTTGGACTTTTACTCTTTGTTGTTGAACGTATGTCGCCCTGGGGCAACCAGGTTAATTCCACGCTGCTACAGATCGACCATTGATCCATATCAACCGCAAAGGCCGTCCCTTTGCAACGTGCTCCATTTGCAACTGCACCCCTTGCGAAGCGCCCGAGGACCACGCCAAGCTCAAACGTGAGGCCGAAGCCAAATGTCAATCATCAAAAGTAGAACGTTCACCATCCGGCAAAAAAACCCCCCAACCCCCCTTTCACTTTCCAGCATCTAGCAAAGTTGCAACCATGGCACAAACAAAGAATGCCAGATAGAAACATTCTAAACATCACCGCATGTTTCTATTCTACACCCCACTCGTTTCTTGTCCAGAGACAGTCTTAGGCTGATGTGTGGGTTTCTTGTGCGTCTTGCTCTTCGCTACAGAGAGCCGCTGGTAGATCTCCTCGTTCCACTTCCGTGGGCTCCTTGAAGCCGATCGCACCGCGTCCGGCGCCCTCGTCGATGACTGGCGGAGGAGATGTCGGACCCAGACGCGACGACTCCCACTCTCCTCCTGCTGTAGGAGGCTACGGCGAGTTTGTTGGTCGTGGTGGTGGTGGTCGTCTTCGGTCGACCCTCTCCTCGAGCCCACCTCCACCACCACAACCACCAATACCGTCCTCGTCCTCATCCCAGCTCTACCAGCAGGGCCACGATTTCGTTACTGCAACGACCAGCCCCGCGGACAGCAGCAGCCCAATGTACCACCTAAACAACAACAACAACAACACCACCACCACCACCACCTCTTACCCCTCCCCACCATCCTTCTGTACGATGGTCGACATGCCCTCCTCCCTCAGCATGATCAACCCCCTTGATTTTGGGAGTGGCGTGGTGTCCCCGTTCGCCGACAGCGCGGCGGCGGCTGCAGCCATCTACGCCCTCGAAGATCTGGATGTCAATGCCCTACCCGCGGACGTCTTCCAGGGTGACTGGTCGTGGTTAGCGGATGAGGCGGCCCTGCGTGACGCGGTATAACATTTGCCGACGGGCCGGTTGGTTCCTACCTCCGGGCCTGTCACCCTGACTGTGCAGATGTTATGACTGACGAACGTGACGATTGATGATGTCGATATGGATAGGGAGTGCTTCTGGGGACTACAGAACCGGTTTCCTTCCGGGGGAGGGTTTCACTGAGTTGATTGTTGTGAATGGGTACTGGTGAGTGAGTGAATCAGTGGGTGGTGGGGAATCAGTCCTCTGCCTCTTGATTGTGATGTAAACGGGTGTGCATACTTTCGGGTTGGTACGTACATATGGATAGTACTATGCTATATATATATACGCAATGCAATACCACATAGTAAATATCAAGGAGGTCTGCATTCAATTCCAAGCCAGACGATTGAGGAAAATGTATCGAATTTTACGAACTATTGCGAACCGTGGCATCACTGCTCTGCTCAGAATGCAGACTTTCCCTCAAATCCCCATTGCTTCCTGCATTGGATATCCATGCTACAACCCGAACGAAAGGCATGATTGTTACCTTGACATCCTCCTTGCAGGACAAGAAACCACAAAATCAACTAACGACCACAGCTCAACTCATCAAGCATGATTCTCCCCCCTTCATGCTGAAATCTGGCGGGACGTCAGCTTCCGAGATGGAAACGGTGGCCGGCTGTGTGTTTTATGTTCATGGGAAGCGACGGACGGGAGAATACCAGATCTGAAGAGCTGGAACCGTTGAAAATGTTTATGTATGCTATGCGGTGGGTGGTGGATCCGTTTTCCCTCTTTTCCTGTTATTGCTTCTTTAGTTTTGGTGGGCAGAAGAGAGTAGTAACGGGACCCTTGACAATAGACAAATGCGTTTCAAGAAAGTTATCTGCTGCTGGGATTGAAGCGGATAGTAATGAGGATTCGAGGATGAAGCATAAAGCATCATCAGGCATGAAGAAGAAGTGAGTGAGTGATGATTGTGACATAGTATACGTCCGAAAAATCGATCTTGACCGTCCTGCGTTGACGATGGCCAATTGGAAATGTATCATAGAACAAAATTATCGCACTTTCCACGAACCACTGAAACCATGGCTCCAATTTGGCTTATCACTTCTAGATATACCTTGAAGTCGGAAAGATATCATCAGAATGGCTCTCTGAGAGAGGCTTATTGTATACAGGTCTCGCTGGGTCCTTGCGTCGCACACACTCACACTCACGCCCTCCTTCCAACATGAAAACGGTGGTGGTAGATCAAGCTGCGGCTAAACGCCCCCTTCCATCTCCATCTTATTCGAGCACCCTCACATGTATGTACAACAAAAGGCTCGTATTGTGGTATATGTTTGTCCCCCCCCTCGACGTACCATGAATCCACACGCAACAAATCCAACGCGCTGGCTCAAGTAGCTGTACCCTACCCTCGTAGGTACTCCACACAACAAACACTCCCACCTCCGCAAATCCAGCCAAGAAGGAGAATCTAATCCCAACTCCACCCACCACCCACCACCGAGGAATCTAATTACACCTCCTGGATATAATTTGCCGGCACACTCTTCGTCACGCCTCCGCGTTCCACATCGGCCCATCCGTCCCCGCTATCCCGGTTCACCAGCACGAACCGATCCCCCTCGCTCATGCTCCACTCCATGTCGCTGCGCGCCTCGTAGTCATACAGCGCTTCCACGTAGGCCAGTTTTTTGGCCCCACGCCGCGGGGCCACGGCCGGGCCGATACGTTTGCTGCCGGCCCCCGTACCGGCGGGCAGGATGGAGGCGGAGGCGGAGGCAGAAGAGTTGGTGGAGTAGGTCGATGCCGGACGCTCGGCAGGGAGTATGTCAACGTAGGAGCTTGGAACAAGGCCCTCGTTTCCAGTTGGGGGGTGGCGGACGCGGAGCCAGCCAGATCCGTCTAGTTCGCTTGTTAATACAATGACAGGGACCAGGCAAAATGCGAATGGAAAGCGGTGTTGAAGCTAAAGATAATGGGAACGTAGGTAACTCACCATCTGGCTCTACAACGACTATATCGTCCCCTTCTTGAACGGTGATTTCATCGTCCCCCTGCGCTTGATACGGGTACAGCATCTTTCCTCGAGGTTCCGAGGACGCTGGTTTCGAACTCAGGGTTGGAGTTGCGGGAGGGCTGTTGACATACTGCGCTGGCGGTGGTGCTAGGATGCGGTTCCGTTTGGCAGCCGCGGCGGAAGCTTTGGTGTCTGTAGCTGGCGGTGTCGGAGTCGAGGCAGGTAAGTCGGCAGTAGATGGGGAAAGACTGGCTGCATTAGACAAAGAACGATTGGCGCTCATGGCATAGCCGGAACTGAGTGAGTTCATGGTGTTTTGGCGCGTGAGCGAAGGTGCTCCTGTCGGTCCGCTGGATGCTGACGGCTCCAGATCTAAAGTCGGAGTCGAGTTGGCTAATTCCTGTCGCTCTGCCTTGAGCTTTTTCTTCTCCTCCTTGGTCTGTTCGCCCGGACACTCCGCAGGCACCTTCATCTCGCACTTGCTGTGGCAAGTGTAGCCGCAGTCGCGGCAGTCGAATCCCTTGGCCGACAGACCCCAAATGCGCTCACCGCACAGGTCGCAGTTGGTGGGTATCTTAAACGTTTGCGACTTGAAATTGTGATTGCGCGCCCCCAGCGACAGATCACCTACCACGGCCATGATTGTCGATGTCTCGACTTCGGCCGTTAGGCGCTTGCGGTCAATCTCATGCAACGTCTCTTGCAAGAAAAAGATGGACCGGACCACTTCAACCTCACTCCGTTTGTCTCTGCCTTGCTGAATAGCTTCGCGCACCTTCTTGGCTGCCTCCACTTCTCGTCGCTTCTGATCTGTTTCCACGCGGAGATCCCGCACCTGTGTCTTGCTCTTGCTGAGAAGGTTGCGCAGGAAGACCTTGGCGGTCTCGTCTGTTACAAGGGCCTCGTCATCGTGCCAGACAGGACTGGGCTCGAAGCCTACGTTGGCGGGTTCTTGTAGAGGTGTGGTGTTGTGGCGCAAGAACATGAGCGAGTCAAGATGAGGAAGGTTGCGTGGAATTTCGTGCAGGAGATTGGACATATGCTCGACACTCTTCGTGAGATAGTTTTTGTCCAATTGGGCCGCTTGCGCCCAGATCGAGTTGAGCTTCGCTACACGGGTTTCGTTCAGGTCTTGCAAGCCCTGAAAACATTAGTATCGAAGCCAACACAGCGACGAGGTGACCTACGTCGAGGAGCTCTGGAACATATTCGTGGTAAAAGCGCTCCTTGAGCTTATTCGTCACGTTGATGCTGATCAGGTATGTGTTCTGCTCATGTTAGCAAATGAAAACAGATACGATTGACTACATACCTTAACGTTGTTCATCTCCAGGATCTGCTGCTGATAGGCCGCTTGGGCCTTGGTTTTGCTGTGGTCAAACGAACTCTCCATTTTCTTCCGCCGTGCCTCGACCTCCTGACATGCTCCGTCATACTTCCCCTTGACCTTCTTCAGCTCACTGTACGAAGAGTCCCTTTCCTTCTCCAGTTTCGCATGGAAGTCCACGTGACACTTGCGAAGCTCCTCATACTGCGCCGCGGCCTGTTTGAGCGGCTCGGCTATTTGTACCACCAGATCCGTCCCAAACTGGTCCCTTTCGGCGGCGTGCGCCTCGATCGCGGTCAATTGCGTCGTCCACGTAGTGAGCGAGGCACTTTCGAGTGAGCCCGGGGTCATACTTGGAGTGTCCCCTACACTCAGCGTGCTGACTTTCTTCGCTTTGCGGTCGTTGTACTTTTTACACAGCGCCGTCATTTTGGCCGCATATTCCTTCTCGATAACACTGCGCTCTCGATAGAATTGTTGTATCTCGTCCAACCACCCAATACCATGGGAAACCTGGGGAGCGTTGACTTAGCACGGGAACTCGGGTCGACGATCGGGGGGTTCGGGGGGATGCGCGCGGACGAACATGCGGGGAGGACATACCCAATTGTTGACTGGCTTGAAGGCATCCTATTCGACTCTGCTCTTAGCGATCTCATTCTATGCTTCGCTGGCGGTAGGACTGTTCAAACCTTAAGTTCTGCCCCAAAATGAGGGGCGACATCTGGGGTAGCCATACTGGCGGCTAATCGACTGGCGGGAGATCACGGCGCAGGAGACTGCTGATAGGGGGATGCGAAACCAGGGGAACCGGAATGTGTCGGTCTTCAGGAGACCCAGGGAGGCAGCGATGAAACCACCAACACCCGTGGAAAGAGAGGCTACTGTGCGACCAAGCGCTGACAATGGCTAGAAATCGCAGAAGAAGCCGAAATGGACAGCAATTCTCAGTGTTTGGCTGGGCAAACGAAGGAAGCGGGGAAGGAAGATGAATGCAGTGGCCCGAATACAATACCGAACGCGGCTGTCAGGCCACGTTCATGTTGGAGAGCTACGTCACTAGAGTAAGGTACCGTATGGTCTGGAGCCTGTCACCGCCTTCCGGAAGGGGCCTACAAACGAAACAGGAATAGCGTTGGACAAAGGCGGTCCGGACTGGTTTTTCCGCCGTCATTGTCTCTTGATGAGCAAATGAGCATAGCAACAACCACCACTCTGGTTGCCATTTACTAACTGCCTTTTGCTACTGTAACTGGTGCCAGTCCTGAGTGACCCCGTGTCGATTTTTTTCATCTATCTTCTCTTTGAAAGATTCCACCCGTGCTCTGATTCTTCTTGTTTTCTCTCGTTGGTCCCTCCTTGTCGTGCGTCCAGCTTGTCATAGAAATACCCCGCGGCTCCCCTCTTTTTATTTGGGATCCAAGCAGCCTTTTTCCACAACACACAAATTCCACTCTACTGGTCTTCATCAAATCCTCTGGCTCAATATGGCCTCCGACGAACAGCCTGCTGGCGGCTCTCTCGCTGACCGGATTTCTAAGCCCGAAGAACCTCAGCCTGCAGGTATGGACAGCATGCGGCATACCTGCCTTCGACCCGGCGACTGCGTCACCCTCCATCGCGGTCGATCGCGTCCAGAACAACGCTAATCCAGCCCTCATTCGCAGAGTCCACCGAAGCGCCCAAAAAGATCGAACAAAGCGATGGTGCGCCCGCCGCTTTGAACGGCTCCGACCTTCAGGAACCGGAATACAACGTTGAAGTCAAGCTCAGCGATCTTCAAGCCGACCCCAGCAACCCTCTCTATTCGGTCAAGAACTTTGAGGACCTTGGCCTGTACGTTACATGCCATATTTCAAGCTCAACTGCCACCATGAGGCTAACCTTTTTCGATTCACTTTATCAGCGACCCTCGTATTTTGAAAGGACTGTCGGCTATGAACTTCCGCAAGCCCTCCAAGATCCAGGAAAGAGCTCTCCCTCTCTTACTCGGCAACCCCGCAAAGAACCTCGTCGGTCAGTCCCAGTCGGGAACTGGAAAGACTGCTGCCTTTACTCTCAATGTTCTCAGCCGCATCGATCTCTCGACCGAGCAAATGCAGAAGACCCCCCAGGCACTGATTTTGGCCCCTACGCGCGAGTTGGCGCGTCAGATTGTCGGTGTTATTCAGGTCATGGGTCAATTTCTTGAGAATCTGACCATTGGTACTGCTGTGCCTGCGGATACCAATGCGCGCCCAGCCAAATTAGAGTGCTCGGTTGTTGTTGGTACACCCGGAACGGTTATGGATATGATCAAGCGCCGCACTATGGCGGCCAACAAGCTCAAGGTGCTCGTCCTGGATGAGGCAGATAACATGCTGGACCAGCAGGGTCTCGGCGATCAGTGCATTCGTGTGAAGGCGTCAGTTTCGTCGCTCCCACTTCGGACACCATGATAACTAACAGCTTCGCAGTCTGCTGCCCAGAGACATTCAGGTCGTCCTCTTCTCGGCCACCTTCCCCACACACGTTCACGAATATGCCTCCAAGTTCGCTCCGAATGCGAACGAGATCACTCTTCAGCACGAAGAATTGACCGTTGAAGGTATCAAGCAATTGTATCTGGACTGTTCCAGTGAGGAGGAGAAGTACCAAAATCTTGTCCAGCTTTACGGCCTTCTTACTGTTGGCTCTTCCATCATCTTCGTCAGGGTTTGTGACTTGAAGCCCCTCCACAAGTTTTCTGCTAATTCTAATTCCGATTAGACCCGTGCCTCTGCCGTGGAGATTGAAAAGCGCATGGTCGCTGAAGGTCACACCGTTGCCTCCCTGACTGGTGGTATCGAAGGTTCTCAGCGTGATGCCGTGATCGACGAGTTCCGCGCTGGACAGGCTAAGGTCCTGATCACCACCAATGTCTTGGCGAGAGGTATCGATGTTTCGACCGTCTCCATGGTCATCAACTACGTAAGTGTCCGGGATTTGGGTCCCATTTCACACAAGCTAATTCACTTGGTCAGGATATTCCCGAGATCCATCAAAGCAACCCTCGTGCTCCACGCCAAGCGGATTTCCAGACTTATCTGCACCGTATCGGTCGTACTGGTCGGTTTGGTCGTGTTGGTGTTTCGATTTCGTTCATCTCCAACCGTGAGGAGTGGGAGATGCTCAACCAGATTCAGAAATACTTCAACACCAGCATCCAGCGGATTGACACCAAGGACTGGGACGAAGTGGAGGAAATTATCAAAAAGACTCTTAAGAACACCCGTGCTCAAGCCGCCTTCCGGTAATTGCACTGTTCCTTGTTTGATGTCATCGCTCGATCGCGGTGAGTTGCTAGTCGGTTGGAGCAATTTGGTTTAAAGCCGGGGTAGCAGTATGGGAAGCGCATGAATTTTATGAATATTTCCATGATGGCTGAAATTGCACACCACACATATTAATAGATACCAGGTCATATTTGCGTTGCTGAAAGGAAAAAAAGACCGAGCCACGTATGCGCGGTGTGAAAGACTTCCGTAGCTGAAAATTGCGTAGGTTGAATAGTGTACATGTGATTTTACCTTAATGGAAGTAGGACATAAGGTGGAGGCTAAGAATGAGGTGTAGCCATGGATTTCGGCTGATCCTTCCTTGGAAGAATGGGACTATTTGTCTGGCTCAAAGTCGGGTTGTTTTGGAATGAGGGGCTGGTCATCCGCCCTGCTGTCTGTGACTCGCCCCGCGTCATCGTGCAGCTAGCTGTATGGACCTGTCCGGATCGCGCCTCTCACCGACAAATTTGATCTCAGAGGACAATCAAGGTATGGGATGATAAACAGATTAACAGGGACTCAAATAGTATCAATGCTTATCAGTGAGCCCTGATCGACTGGGGATGGGAGGGGGGGCGATGAAGATAAGGAAAGTCCGCCGTCGATGATAAGGAAGTGGATAAGTGGATAAGTGGATAAGTGCGGGGAGAAGAAGTACTATTGGGAAAGATACAAGCAAAGCAGGCAAAGCAAGCAAAGCAGGCAAAGCATAGCAAAGCATTGGGGCCCAAAGTCACATGCAACCTGGTATGCCCAGCAGTAACACTCATCCATCATTCACAGTATAACTTCACTCTTCCCCTCCCCATCTGTCATCTTTTCTCTTCTCCCCTCCTATTTATCTTGCTTGTCCCCTTCCTCCTCTCTCTCCTCATTCTCCATCCTTTGATTCCCTCCCCCCCCGAATCCACTATGACAGCCAGTATACCACAGCTGGATGCATCTCCCAAGCCCGCAGAAGCGGCGACGACTGTCGTCCAGTCGCCCACTTCCACTTCTCGCTACAGTAAGCACATTGTGGTACGTGTGGTCGCCTGTTGCCTACTTCCATGTCTGAACCGATTTCCCTGACACATCTCACCTAGTTGACTACCTACCCCGGCCAAAGCGGGATTGACCCCGTTCCTCTCGAATGGGGTGCCCCTGACGCCAAATCCCGCGGTCCGGTCGTCGTCTCTCGTAGCCCCAACCTTCTCAAACGCCGAAACGCCATGGGCGCTCACGGTGGCAGCTACAGCATCTACAACGCCCTTGCGATCGCCGCTGGAGATCTGGACCCGAACTTCCGCCCGGATCTCCGCAACAGTGAGCCCACCTTCAAATTCCCCTGGCAACCCGCCTGGGCCGACAAGACCAAGATCGTGTCCATGGACCCCTACGGCCACGACATCGTCAACCAATACCGGGACGAGCTCGAGGCCGGTTGGGACATTCGTCCTACAATGGCCGTCACACGCGCGAACATGAAATTGGCAGAGATCGGCGAGGCCGTGCGCGAGGGCAAACTCGATGTAGACGGATCGATCGTGGTGGATTCTGGCGGTGACGTCCGCGTCACAAAGGTCGCCGTGGAGCCCGTCTGGTATCTGCCGGGAGTCGCGGAGCGGTTCGGCGTGGATGAGGGGACGCTCCGCCGCACTCTATTCGAGCACACAGGTGGCAGTTACCCCGAGCTGATCACCCGACCAGACTTGAAAATCTTCCTGCCTCCGATTGGTGGGTTGACGGTTTACATCTTTGGACCTCCGGAAAGAGTTTCAGATGAAAACGTCCGCCTGGCGCTGAGAATCCACGACGAGTGCAATGGCAGTGATGTCTTCCAGTCGGATATCTGTACGTGTCGACCGTACTTGGCGTTCGGTATTGCGGAGGCTATTCGGGAGGCGCAGAACGGCGGCAGTGGTGTCGTGATCTATTTCCGCAAGGAGGGACGTGCTCTGGGTGAAGTTATTAAATACTTGGTGTACAATGCTCGAAAGCGCGGTGGTGATACTGCTGATAAGTACTTCACTCGGACGGAGAACATCGCGGGTGTCCGAGATGTAAGTGTTTTCCAAGTTTACGGTGACCCTAGACTAACGCGGTGTAGATGCGCTTCCAAGCTCTCATGCCTGACATTCTGCACTGGCTGGGCATCAAAAAGATCGACCGGATGCTGTCCATGTCCAACATGAAGCATGACGCTATCGTGGATTCTGGAATCAAGATCCTCGAGCGTGTGCCTATCCCAGAGGATATGATCCCCACCGACTCTCGCGTGGAGATCGATGCCAAGATCAATGCCGGCTATTTCACCACGGGCAAGCAGTACACGATGGAGGAGCTAGCCGCCGTGAAGGGACGAGGTTGGGAAAAGTGGGAGGATGTCACAGTACGTGATGTGTTGTTTCTCTTGCCTGAAGCCGAAGCTGACTCTGATAGCACTGATCCATATTCCGCATCACATGAAGCAGATCATTTCATCCGGCGTTCATCATGTCCACTTGTCCATTTTCTCGATCCCCGTGTCATACCATAATTACATAGCAATACTCTTACGAAGATTGAGACTAAGACAAATACAAGGCTGTTCGAAAGCGAACTGTTTACCTCGTCGTAGCTGAAGTCCACTGGATTTATGATATCATTGTGCGTGCAATGAATTCTCCTTACTACAGCTGAGTCTTGGCTTGCAGGAATACACCATGTAACTTACAGCAACGATTACTAGTTGTAGTCGACTGCAGATGAGCTATGTATGTTCCTCTGAAAGGAAGATATTAAGACGTTTTTCTCTTATCGATTGATGCATAGATTAGCTTTGTGAGCTGTCAAACGCAGATCTCGTCTAGGAATCGCTTTGCCTAGGTACACATATTAATTCTCAATCTTCCCCCTTTTCTGAGCTCACCGCAACAGGAAAGATAACAACAGGTGCCGTCGTGCTTGTCCGTCATGCCTATGTTGTCATGTGCTTCAGCTGTTTAACACGGTTTTCTGCTCTATATTGCAGTGAGCCAAGCCACCATAAACTAATCGGTCTGTTAGAGGGTCATTCGACAGATGCTAAGATGATTTGAGGGATTACTCCTACCAAGACCTAGAGACAGCTTATGAGGATAGACCTCAACCGCCTATGTCAGCTAGATACATTCATCATTGTTTCCGGTTCGAGAGCTGGATGCAAGATATGTTCTAGGAGATGACCATCAAGATTCAAGCTCATCGCACTGCAGACTCAACCCATAATTTTATATGGACACTGCATATGAGTTGAGCGGTGACTGGCAGCTTGGCTTTGCAGATCCAGACTGGATCTGCATGACAATTCAGTATATTGCTGTTGTGAGCTATGGGTGAGGGCTTGCTTTCTTCTCTGCGTTCCCTTTAAATGGGCCTGTTTCGTCCATTAGGGAGTTGATAGTGCAATCTCCAGCTTCGATTTTCGAGAGCAGTCAGGAATTGCACAGTGGGTTACATCTTCTCATTGTCGAAGACATTGCCTAGTGGTTCTAAGTGACTGATGTTTTGGTCCCTACTTGCAGATGGCCCCTTCCGGACCGTACGCTGTCCTGGACAAGAAAATTCCTTTCTTCCGCATTATCTTCGACAGCGGTTTTATCACCCAAGATATCCTAAACCACCGGTATGAAGGCGCTGGCACCGACTCTCAGCCATATCTTGTGACCTGGTTGACCGATGACCCTCGCGATCCGATGCAGTTCCGTCCTGCCACGCAATGGGCTCTCAACGTGCTCGCCACTCTGGGCACCTTTGTCGTCTCGCTCTGCTCTTCAGCGTATTCGGCTGGACTGACCGACATCACACAGGACTTCGACATCTCGGAAGAGGTCGCACTCCTTGGGTCGTCGCTCTTCGTGCTCGGGTGGGCGATCGGCCCTTTGCTGTGGGGTGCACTGAGTGAGGCCTATGGACGTCGAAGCATCATGCTGGCCAGCGGCGTGTTCCTGACAGCTTTCACCGCGGGCTCTGCAGCCGCCTCCACCATTGTGGGGGTGCTTGTACTCCAATTTCTTGCCGGTACTTTCGGGTCTGCGTCGGTGTCTGTCCCGGCTGGTGTGGTGGCCGACGTATTTCCGCCCCTGACCCGAGGGGTGGCCATGGGATTCTATGCGTCGATTCCCTTCTTGGTATTCGTGGGGCCAATTATTGGAGCTGTGATTGATGTACAAGGTGGTTGGCGGTGGATCCAGGGTGCCATGGCCATCATCTCGGGATTCACCACGCTGGCCATGTTCTGGCTGCTCCCAGAGACCTATGCGCCTGTCCTGCTGGCCCGTCGCGCCAATCGGTTGACAAGAGCCACAGGCCGTGTGTATCGCAGCGCAACGGCCACGCGACAGAGTGTTGATTTGCGTGACCTTCTTCTCCGGCCGTGGGGGATGCTCTTTCGCGAACCGATCGTCCTGCTCCTAGCGCTCTACGTCGGCATCATCTTCGGCTTGCTCTATATGTCCTTTGCCGCCTACCCGATCGTCTTCCAGCAGATTCGGGGCTGGAACGCAATCGATACGGGACTGAGCTACTTCGGAATGCTGGTAGGGGTCCTAGTCGCCGTTCCCCACGTCTACATCTCCCAATCCCGTTACGCGAAGATGCTGGCCTGCCAGGAATCAGCCCGCCTGCCGCCGGAAGTGCGCCTCTTGGACTCATTCCTGGCAACGATTGCCCTTCCCGTGGGCTTGTTCTGGTTTGCGTGGACCATCGTGCCCGTGAGCCTTCCCTGGGTCGTCCCCCTTCTGGGGAGCGTTCTCGTTGGCTACAGTCAACTCATGATCTCCATCACCTGCTACAACTATCTGCTCGACTCATATACCATCTTCGCCGCGTCTGTCATGGCGGACTGCAACATCCTGTTTTCGGTCTTCTCGGCTGCCTTTCCGCTGTTTACGACGCAGATGTACGAGAGCTTAGGGCCACGGTGGGCGGCTTCGGTGCCGGCGTTTCTGTCCCTGGCGTGTGCACCGATTCCCTTTCTGCTGTATAGATACGGTGCATTGATCCGCGCGCGGTGCGCGTATGCTGTAGAGGCGGCGGCGCACCTGGATCGAGTGGATGGGGTGCCGGTGGGTGAGATTTGACAGGCGGGAGGTACGCTGGCAGGGCTGAGCATTCGTTTAGACTAGATCTTGATAGAATAGTACCAAACAAGTCATAGTTCTTTCAATCGATCCAGAAGCTAGTATAGCCCATCCCCTCATATGAAACTAGTAGAGTACCCACATGCAGTAACTAGCCCGATACCGGTACGTATCTCACTCGGCATAAATGAATCCTCTCCAACACCACTCATCTTCACCACACCCTTCCACCCTTGAAGCCCACAACCCCCTTCATCATCACCATGACCCCATCCGCAACTCCATCCCGGAATGACGCCTCCATGACGCCCATTTCCTCCAGCAAAGAGCGAAAAAGAAACGCCGCGACTGGGACTCGAACCCAGAATCTGCACTCCACCCGCTCTCGAAGTCGGGGGCTCTGCAATGTTAATACCACTACACCACCGCGGCTGTTGTTAACAGTGTCTCGCTATAACTTGATGTTGACCAAGCGTTGGTAAGGGATTTAGGAGGGTTTGAGAGGGTCACTGCCGCGATAGTAGTCTTTTGATTAGCTTGTATGATGCGCAAGAGTAAGCAGTATGTTTGGTATGATTTTGAGAGGACCTGAAATTAGAGGACTTGAGTTATTTGCTTTTGAGTAGGATGGATGAGGGGATGGCTGTGGAGTTGTATAGCAGGTAAGTTGCGGAGTATGCGGTGTTTATGGCATATAGCTTACAGTTTTGTAAATGACGTCAACAATAGCTCGCATGGCTTAGATGGTAAAGCGCAGCACTAGTAATGCTGAGATCCTCGGTTCGAGTCCGAGTGTGAGCATCTCTTCTTTTTATGTTTTTTTTTTTTTTCTTTCTGCTTGCTAGATCTACTCTCTTTGCCTCCAATTAGAGCTTCGGTACTACATTTACTTGGACTCATTAAACCAAGAGCAATATACATGCTGTGGGATGTAAGTACGGTAATCTACACTACAACAGCTATGTCCACAGCCTTCCAAAGACCCCTACAACCATATTCACACTCAACTTATTTACATCTTTCTCCTCTCCATTCTCATAATCTTCAACACCACCAGACATTTTATTCCATGCCCCACCATCGCAACCTCAGCAAAATCTCCACCTCCATCGCGCCCCCACCTCCACCCCAAAACCCCGCCCTCTGCCACCGATTGCACGGCTCCGTGGTTGCATACAAGACCGTGTTTGGGGGCAACACCTCCCCGATTCTCTCTTCTGGAGATTGTGCAGCTCGACAATCTTGATGAAGCAGCAGTGCTCAGCGTACGTATTGCCGGGTCCCCCGGGCAGTTCCCCGGGAAGTTCCACGCTGTAGCCGGTTGAGAGGACGGTGACGGAGGTCCTGAAGCCTCGCCCAGGCTACCGCTCACCATCTTCCAGCTCTCTCGCAGGTGTCATCAGACGGTGTTATTGTCTGCGTCGACGACGGCGCCGACGCAGAATTTTTGAGGGAGAGGGCGGGGAGAGGCGCGCCTGAGCGAGGGCGGATTACATGTGGGTTTTGTGGATGGGATGTGGTGGTGGGGACATCATACTTATTGTATTTAGGGTTGAGTTTGAGGGAAGAGGTTTCACAATTGTGGCTGATTTGTTGGATCAATTTTGATGAGATATCTGGATGTAGTGAGAGTTGGGAGTTCTGAGGTGAGGTGTGGACTACTTATGAGTTACTATGATGAAAGTCCCTGGCTTGTGTTCTTTGGGAGGATGTACCTACAGTATTTGAGGACCACACGGGCGGAGGAAGCATGACAGGCGGGTGCCGGTTCGGCCCGCCGCTTGGGCCAGTCAGTACCAGTCATTTTATTTTACCCCTATGCAACTAAGTTGTCTATGAGTGCATCTCATCCTGGCGAGGCGCAAAGTCTTCGAATGGCTCTCAAGTGCAGGGAATTGCAAAGTCTGTCTCCTTTGTTCCACGATGTTTGAGGAAATCTGGAGATAAGTCAGGATGATGAGTTCATCCTTTGCCTCTCGGAACTGGCTCAGTCACTGCTACCGTTAAGGATCATTGGAATCAGGTAAATTAGATTCGTGTAGCTGCCATCAGGGAGCTATCAAGATGACGCAGTACATTCTCTATATGAGATGCATTGGATGTGTATGAAGCAAGAGATTTTCTAAATTATTTTATCTAGTATATGCTTGCGTGATCGTCTCTCTTTTTCAAACTTTTATAGTTTGTGTGAATTGAAGGATAATGAACTGAGATGTCAAAGTGGAAGACTAGTACCTCGAAAGTAGCTGTGATAGTTTTTGTAGTGAGGGGTCTAGCAAGGCGAACAGCGATCACTCACAAGCTTTTTCTGCTGCTGCTGCTGTTGCTTCTGCTGTCGCCTCCGCCGTCGCCGCCACTCCTGCGGCTGTGGCTGCTCCTCCTCTTGTTTCTGCTCTTTCTGCTCCTTCTCCCCCTCCTCTTCCTTTTCCTCTTCCTTTTCCTCTTCCTTTTCCTCTTCCTTCCCCTCTTCCTTTCCCTCTTCCTTCCCCTCTTCCTTCCCCTCTTCCTTTTCCTCTTCCTTTTCCTCTTCCTTTCCCTCTTCTCTCTCCTCTTCTTTCTCCTCGTTTCCCTGCTCCTGCTGCTGATATGGCGGCAGCTCCTCCAAATGAACCATCGAAACCGACTCCCACCACCGAGAAAAGATTGCCATATCCCGGCGCACCGGTAGATTCAACGTCAGACTTGCCGGCACAACCGTCGTATCGCGAATCGGAACATCCGCGCCCACCGCCCACGGCATCATCTCGCGATAAAGGCGAACTTTGTTCCTGCAGCGGACGAAACCATAAAGAGGCACAACACGTGGCTGCTCGCGCCGCTGCCGTCGAAACTCAGCGTCCAGCGCGTCCACAGGCTCGCCGTCCCAGTCAATCAGCTCTGGGTCTCGCCAGCGGATCATCGTAATACGCGTGCTCGAGTCGAAAATGTACCAGTGGATGGTGTAGTGGGGGTGGCCGTATTGGATTTCATGCCTGGGGCTGTGGTTGGGTTCGTGGACTGGGGGGTGGTTTGGGGGAGGATGATGGATTGAAAGACTTTGTCTGGTCGGTGCACGCGGCCTGGTGGCATTTGCCATGTTCTCCTTGCTATGAACGATCGGCGCGGCAAATGGTACCAGCTGCCCGCTCGATGCACGTCGTCTATTATTGCTGGTCTCGGGACCATCGAGCATACTCTGAGACGTGCTAGGTGCACGCTGCCCAATGAATGGACTCTGTCCGGTGAGTACAAGTAAGCTCTGCCCAGCATGTATATGCTGGTCGCAGAATCTTCGCTGCCCAGACTGTGAATCTTGCCTTGGGGCGTTTGATGCACACTCCCCAGTCATTGAATCAGGCTCGGTCTGCCTGGATTGCGCAGCAACAGAACCTTGAGGCTTTACACCTTGCTGTGCACCCTTCACACTATGCGCTTTACGCTCAGCCTTCTCAATCACTCCAAGCTCCGCAAACACATCCCGTCCATCCTGGCCCCCAATCTCGTCCCTCTCGTTCTCCCCGGACAGTTCTGCGGCGTAATTCTGGTTAATCCACGTCAGAACACTGTGGCGACGTTCAACAGGGTCAGTATTCCGTCGGTTTAGCAGATACTGTCGCCCGTGGAGTGTGTCCATCGTTCTTTCTTCAGTCACGCTTTGCGGGGTAGGAAAACTCATAATCCTGACTGTCGACGGGCTTTGCTGGGTAACTAAGCAGTTGGCTCAGTAGAGGTGACTCTGAGTGGGGTTGCAATGTTGTTTAGTTGCAGAATTGAAATAAAGGCACCTCTGTATCAGATTTATAGATTCTTGGGGTGTGAAAGAAGGGGTCTGCTTCGAAAGCAAACGACGCCGACCGGAAAGATTGCGGGGATGTGTGCAATGCCTTTGTTATCCTTAGTAGCTTGATCTTTCGTGTGCGGTCGTTGTTTTATGAGCCTATTCTTTTCAAGTTTATGGAGTTCTCCATATGAGTTTCCTTTATTATTGCCGCTGCAGCCATTCCTGGCTTGATACTGACGTAAGGATATTGAATCTGCATTTTTGGGTACCGTAGATAACCTCCTCTTTGCGAAGCGAAATACAATTGAATGTCTGACAGACGACTCTTCTGAGTTCGAGAAGCGGAAAGGATGTTGGGGGCTGGACAAAGTACTTTGTAGACCCGCATCGTGTGTGTGAATGATGATGGGACAAAAAGAACGACCGAGACGTGACTCGAACACGCAACCACTGCCACATCCTCAACCGGAAGGCAGCGCGCTACCATTGCGCCACCCGGCCACTTCTATGTTCGTTGCTCGCTTCTTGCTGTATCTGTATCTCCTATGCAGATGACGCTCGAATGACGCATAACCTGGACATCACTGCACCATACCTTCGTGGTAGCAGCAGGAAATGTATCATTCGTGGGCTAGCTACAGACAAATTGCCTGGAGCTGCATGGAGCTGAAGTAATGCACGTGCTTCTGTTGTTGATGATGCTGCTTACCAGACACATGTCCTTGACCTGATGAAACAAGAAGGCGGTCCTCACAGTGACCTGAGCGAGCTCATATGGGCATAAGAATCCTTCATATATGAGCTTTAGCTGCGAGTGCCGGTGATGTCTCGTCAGATCTGCTCATTTCATATCATGCAAGTGGTAGGATTCTAATAAGCCGGTAGACTCCGGATTTCGAGTCATACATCATCTGATTTTACGCTGTGCTGTACTCGTGCAGGTATTTCCAAGCCCCTAAGTGCTGTACCTAAAGAATCGATTCACAAAATGCCTGAATATACCCCGCATCTTTTCCCCGCATTGTATGTTGATCTGCATACTTTTGCTGGAAGGTCAAGCTTTCTCTTCCTACTTGTTTACCCATTTAGCCGGAATGCTTGATTCTCGCTTGGCAGCATGTATAAATATATCGACAGCGCAGTTCATAATAAGATCAGACGTACAATCCGCAAGACTTTGGCACCATGCATATCTTCCACAAAACGATAGTATTTGTACTTTTCCGCGGACTCTTGGCTGTACAGCCCTCGCACTGGGTCGACATCTGGACCGCGATGCCTCAATTGACTGAGCCAGGAAATCTACCCCCAGACCCTTTTGTGAGTCTGAGGGTTCTAAGTCAAGTATTGCTCCATATGACTGACCTCTGCCAAGAATGCTAGCTCGTTCGTCTTCTTCAATACAACGCTTCGTCAGACACTTCGACTCACCCACCCTGCCTCCACGATCCGTCTTCGACTTTCCAATGCGTTTGGCCTGGATGACCTCGATGTCACCAACGTATCTCTTGCTCATCCAGTGAAGAATGAGCTTGGAGCCAGTTCTATCACTCCAAACACAGTTCACCCCATTCTGTTTGATGGCTTTCACGGCATCATCATACCTCCAGGGAGTCTGGCTGTATCTGACCCGATTCAACTACCATCGGCCAGGCTAAACACTACTCTCACCGTCGATATCTACCTCGCAGGCGGCCAAACAGGCGGAGCCATAACCTCGCATCCGGGGAGTCGAACAACCTCGTGGATGCAGTTCGGAAACTCCATCGGAACCACCAACTTCACCGATGTATCCGTAGCCAGCGTTGAACATTGGTACTTTGACCTTGCCTCCTGCGAAAAAGCAACAGAGCTGACCACAAGCAGGTACTTTATCAGCACCGTCGAGGCATACCTGCCAAGCACAGTCAAAGCCTGCGCCATTCTAGGAGACAGTATCACCGACGGGAGGGGCAGTGACAACAATCAAAACAATCGGTACTCATTACCCTCTTCCTGTAGTCAAGCACAACATTTGACTTAACTACAACTGCACAGATGGCCCGACCTCCTCCTCAACCGGTTGCAATCCACAAACTCCACCCTTCTCTCCCAAATCCCCCTCCTCAACCAAGCCGCCGGCGGCAACCGCATCCTCCACGACAGTCTCGGTCCCTCGCTGCTCTCGCGCATCGACCGCGACGTCCTAGCCCACTCGCAAGTCCACTCCGCCATCCTCTTCGAAGGAGTCAACGACATCGGAACCGCCGACACCACACCCCTCGCCCAGACCATCACAGGGGTCCGGATGATCCGCGCCTACCGCCAGATCGTCACGCGACTACATGCCGCCGGGATCCCCGTCTTCGGGGCGACGATCACGCCGTTCGGGACCCCGGCGAACTCATCTGTGGTGCAGCCGTACTCTGATGCGGAAAGGGAGCGGACCCGACAGCGCGTGAATGCGTTTATCCGGGAAAGTGGGGTGTTTGATGCGGTGCTGGATTTTGATGCTGTGTTGCGGGATCCGGATCATCCGGAGCAGTTGAGGGGGGAGTATGACTCGGGAGATCATTTGCATCCGAATGTGGAAGGGTATGAGGCTTTGGCGGAGTCAGTGGATTTAGGGGTATTCTTGAAGGCGCACGGTCTATGATTTGATGGAGAGAATGGCTGAGTACGGTATATACTCTCGGTGGTCAGGGCTATTAGTAGGCAGGAGGGCGGATTTGCCAGTTGTCTTGCGCTGAAACCAGGAATTACTACGCTCCTTGGCCACGCAATGTACAAATCTAACGGACTGCTGAAATGTTAAGACTGGAGGTGAAGACAATCGGACCTCGATTTTGACTTTTACTATTATATCTTGGCGTAGAGAGAGACTGTATCTTATATCATATAGCTTGGGAAGTCATTGCACCTTACGGTTGCTGAAATTCGAAAGATTTTCGAGTATCATATACCGAAAGCTGTAATCTGCCTGTTCAGGAAGGGCACGCTTTGTCGCTGTCAAGCAATTCGACCGTGATGGTGAGTGACTTTTCGTGGGTGACACAGTCAAGAAGCTTTTAGGGTTTAATCCTACATGATCCCTCTCGCTCGAAATATAGCGGAGCTCTCATGTTCCCTGATTGTTAAGCTTCAGGTCACTCCCGACGGCTGCCCTAGTCATCCCGAGAACAATGAATACCCTTCTCATGGGCAAATATATAAAAAGCTACCCCCCAACAGAGCACCCACCGTATACGATGGACAGGCAACGAACAATCCACTTCGGCAACGGTCGTGGAGGAGGTAAGTTCAGCAATCATGCCCAACCCCAACCCAGTCCGTCGAGTCGCCAGCCTCATGAAAGAGACGCTGCGCACCAACGCAACTCGCTCAGCCATCTGGCTCCAGAAGAAGCGTACCGGCCAGAGCTCTTCCTCGGGGGCAACTCGACCATTCTCCTCGACCATTTCTAGTGATCAGACGAAAGGTCGTCAGCTCGGTACCACCATGGAGAATACGCCGCAGAACGAGAACAACCAGGCAAGTCAAACGGGAGAAGAACACCGACTCCCCCTCCCGCTCGTCATGCTGCTAGAGACGCTTCTATCGCGCGAGGACTTCTCCCTGGCCATGACTCTCGCGGACGAGCACGCGCCGGAAGTCGTATACATCGTGGTGGATGGACCGGAACAGCTTCCGGCAGAGCAGCAGCAGCAGCAGCAGCCTCCGCGATGGATGATTGACCGCAGCTACCGGGACAATGGCAAAGCCCTGGTTATCGACCGAGACGGATGGAGAACGCAGTGGACGAGGGGAGAGGAATTGTTTGTCCCGGAGATATACGACGGAATTGCATGGGCGGCGGAGGCGGCGATCACCAGCATCAGAGTCTGCTATCCCGAGGGCCTGCGTTGGACTGGGCTTGTTGAGATATACCCTGTGAGAATCGTGGAGTCGACTTGATGGTCTCTCTCCCTCTCGGAGTGGTGATTTCATGTCCATTGTTTAATGTTCTTTCTTTAGAAATGTTCGATTGAGATTTGACTATACCTTGCTTGTAGTTTCTTTCCGGTTGGGCCCCATCTTTGGTTACACCCATGATGCTTTGTGTAAAAAAAAAACTCTACTACTGGACTATGTATATGCTTCAGTGTTCTATAGGTAGTGGCGGGGTAGTATGACTCCTCATATACGCAATGTCCGTTGCAAACGGATGCCTCTTGAGGCAGTGGAAGCCACACCGAACCCCCTCTCTCAGCAGAGAACCCTCGATGCGCCACACACCACAAATAAGCCATGGCTACCACCCGACAACATTCAGGTCACGAGAATGGCAACTATAGTTACTCCGGGTGGCCGGGATTGTGGAGCGGACGTAACAAGGAACTCGGATCGACCTTCCCTGCCGCTCGACCATCGCTAATCCTGGAAAGAGACAGTATACAATAAATACGATGAAACGCTGCTCCGCTGCACGATCATTGTCATGGCCACTTCATCCCGTCAACAAATCGTGGCATCTTCTCCTGTCTATCAAGTCGGTGGTGGTGAGTGCTGAGGCGGAGCAGTTGCGGGTCTGGGTTCGTGGGGAGTAGGGGATAATTTTAGGAAGGTAAGGACCTTTTGCATGTAGGCAGAGGTGGTTGGATTGTTGCTGATGCAATGGGCGCGAATTTTAACTTCATGTGGATATTTAGGAGGATCAGCTTTGAGCTGGGATGCGCCCGGGAGATAGTGGCTTTGGCGAGGAGTTGGCGGAGCGGTTTGGTAGGTCCATGCAGGTCTGGCGGATGCGATGGTCTATGCTAATCTATCCCCGGGCTCTAGGGACACTCACCACTGTCAATGACGGACAGGTCAACAAGAAAAGGACGTATCCTACAGATCAACCGCCAATGTATGCGGCCTTTGATCAGACACTGGCGAATGCAATCGCTGGTCAGGGACAGCCGGCTGCTTCCGGGGAGGAGGCTCGTAACACAATTCGAATTATTGAGTTAGCCCGCGAAAGCTCTGCACTAGGAAGGACTTTGGCCTTCAATTAGAGAGGGTAGAAAGGAGCTGTGACTTGTGAGAGTCGATCTTGGGGATATCAAGGTGGGAAAGGCTTCGGGAAGTTTTGGCTGAGCTAGCCTGTAAGCAATATGATTATGAATTATAAGCTCATCGAAACAATTTGCTATACCTTATGGCATGTCCCATGACGTGATGGGCGATTGAGTGGTGGAGGGTGTTGATAAGCCATTCCTCATCCACGGGGCTGATGGCGAATCGTGCCCGCAGGCGGGGTTAAGTGATAAGCGCCGCCAAAAGCACGCTCTATAAATATATGCATGCTGAGAACAGTTCCACGGGCCAAGAGAACGCCACAGGCACACAGGACATTCAGCCGACGACATCTAGCATGGTTGCTCGTAAACACATCAACGTGGCTGTCGTTGGGGCCGGACCAGGAGGACTGGCCACAGCCATCGCTCTCTCGGAGTTGCCCTATGTATCTGTCAATGTCTACGAGCGAGCCCCTGAGCCTCGAGAAGTTGGGGCTGGCATCAGCATCGGCCGCAATTGCTGGAATGTGCTCGAACTGCTGGGTGCTGCCCACGGCGTGAAAGGGGCCAAGAAACAGATCCCCATGCAACGGTGCGTTCCCAAAGGCCATATCTATGTCCTTGGTGACGCAGTGGCTGAGTTGAGATCGCAGAAATGGTCGCACGGGCGAACTGATCGTCCCATACCCAACGCCTCCGCCGCTCGGCGACAAGGAGGCTCAGTATGAATCCATACGGACACGGCGAACACGTCTGCAGGCCGCACTGCTCGACCGAGTCCCGCCCGACACCATCCACTTCAGTAAAAAGCTCGTTTCTCTGACCGACCTTGGCGAGACTGGCGTTCGCTTGCAGTTCCAAGACCAAACAGAAGTGGTCGCTGATCTGGTGGTCGGCGCTGATGGGATTCGTTCGGTGAGACTGTGCGTTGCTTGCCTGGTCCTCTCGCGTTACTGACATCCCCCTGCAGGTTGTACGGGAGACCTTGTTTCCGGACCATCAACTGCAGTTCACCGGTAAGTGACCGAATCTGAGGGATATTGCTCGCGAGATCAGGTCCCAGCTCACCCAGCCCTCGCAGGAGTGACCGCATGGCGTGTCCTAATTCCGGTCTCATCCATCAGTCATATAACCGACTTCCCAACCTCCACCGGATGGTGGCACGGGTTAAACGGCTACTTCTACTTCTCCCATGTCGACGACGAGTCAGAGCGTGAACTGTGTGAGATCACTGTACGGTCGTTCGACGAGCCGGAGGTTACCGGCCGAACAGCCACCTGGGCGATTCCTTCTACCAACGAACGAGTTCGCAGTCGAACTGGGGTGCGTAGATCATTGCAGAAATCTCCCTGCCCAGAATTGACATCGCTAACCACATGATGTATGTAGGAGTACGATTCCCGGTTAAAAGCAGTCCTGGACGTGGTTCCGGAGGGAGCATGGAGGGAGTTTGCGATGGCGGCGGGACCCTGCCTCCAAGAAATTAAGGGCTGGGACAAAGTCGCTCTAATTGGAGACGCAAGCCACCCCCTGTCCGGCGCGTTTGGCTCTGGTGCGGCGTTCGCAATGGAGGATGCATGGATTCTGGCCCGTGCAATCGAGCATAGCATCACCTCAGACACCACGATCAAGGATGCACTTGAGATCTTCCAGCGCATCCGAGCGCCGTATTACCAACGGATGTACGTGGCCTACCATTTCGATATCAATGCACAGGATTGAGGGTCGCTGACAGATGTTTTGGCAGGTATGACTACCTCGATCGGAAATCGAGGGAGTCAAGGAAGGCCCAGGTCGAGCACGGTGACTTCGACAACATCGTCAAAGCCCGAGTCGCGTCGTTTGGAGGGACTGGGCCGGATTCCTTGGAGTGGATTTACAAGAATGATATTAAACAGGTGTGGGAGGAGTATGTCGCGGGCGAGGCTAGATCAAGGTCTGGGTTGATGTAGAGATGATCGACTAGTGGCGCAGGATACGGGAGAGAAACGCCATGCCCAAGTATTCTTGCTCGTATCGAGGTGGAAGAATCAGCGCCAGATATTCAGGCCAATCAGGCATTGGTTTTGGTTGTTGCATAGTCTTGAGAGACTCCCAGTGCTCGGGGTACCAGCCAGCATATTCCCAGTCGAGAATGGCCGTGACCTGGTCGCCTTCAAGGGAGGCACGCTGCCCGCTGACAGCCTTGCCATGATCCACAGCTCCAATGTAATTCCCTCCGAGACATCGGAATCGCTCGAGGTAGGAATACATATAGTGATTGAAGTATCGTTTCCATCTCGTCTGTAGACAAATCCTGGGGGAGGAGGAGTTTTGTTTGGCAGGAAGCGGGGGAAGGAGGGGCAGCCGTGCGGGTGGTGGCACGGGCGGTGGCATATTCCCTGTGCTCTATCCGTGAATGCTACAGTACTAACAAGTTACAAGTACTCCAGCTCTCGATACTATTTTGTGAGTACTTGGGCCGGTGATCATTAGCAAATCTCTCTGTTGCAGAACTCTACTTCTTGAAACTATCATAGTATCCTATTAACCTGTTCCAGACATGCTTGAATGCCAATATGTTACTGACACCACTAAGCGCTAACAGTCGCCCTATACCCCTCGCTGAAAGGATAGTCCACATAACCCATAGGCGAATTGGTCTGATAAAACGTCTCACGCTGGTACTGGGTCAAGTCAACCCCCTCCTTGAGCCTATACACCAGATCTGGGTTGGAGATGAAATGCCGGCCGAACAGAACCACGATATCCTTCTCCGGATACTGCTCCTCGACCAGCTTCCGCGCCTTTTCCAGCCCATAGCCCCCAGCCACTAGAATCGGCCCATCCCAGCGCTCAATCGCAAAGCCCAACGTCTCCTGGCTCTCATCTATCTCACTGCTCCCCTCGTAAACCCAAGCTCCGAAGACTCTTGTCTCGACAAGCGAGAGATAGGCGAGATCCAGAAGCCGGGCCCTATCGACAACATCGATAAATTGCGGCACTGGGTCGTCCATGCGCATGCCCTGAAACCGGGACCAGGGGCTCAGACGCAGGCCGACCCTGTCGGCGCCAATCGCCTCGACAACTGCCTGCATGACCTCGTGGAGGAGGCGAGACCTATTCGCCACGCTGCCCCCATACTCGTCGTCACGCTGGTTACTCGTGTCCTGCAGGAACTGATCCAGGAGGTAGCCGTTCGCGCCGTGGATCTCTACTCCGTCAAAGCCCGCCTCCCGCGCGTTTTGCGCAGCCGTTGCGAAGTCGACAATTGTCTGCTGGATTTCGGAATGGCTCATGGCTCGCGGAGTCGGTGCGTTAGGATTCTCGTCGGATGGAATCGGAATTGCGCTGGGACCCACGATTTCAATCCCCTCGCTTGCAGCCGCCGCTGGATCGGCTGAACGGCCCATCCCGAATAGCTGCACGTAGATGTAGCTCCCCTTTTCATGAACCGCATCGGTGATCTCCTTCCAGGCGGCAATCTGGTCGGCCCGCCAGATGCCGGGGGCGTTGGAGAATCCGCCGGCAGCTGCGGCTGAGATTAAAGTTCCCTCGGTGATGATGAGGGTGCCCGGCCAGGAAGCTCGCTGGGTGTAGTACTCTTTCATCAGGGAGGTGGGGATGCGGTCTGGGGTTGCACGGCGGCGGGTCAACGGTGCCATTCCGATGCGGTGCTGGACCTCGACGGTGCCAACTCTGAGGGGTCTGAAGAGACGCGTCTCTGTCATTGTGTGTAATGCTGGTGTATATCGTGGAGAAAAACGGACTGGAGGATAGGCTTCTATCTCGATTCTGCACGTCAATGAGATCAGCGAGATTGGCTTGTTTAAGTACCTTCTTTCCCGATCTCGTCATTGTGGCTGACAAGTGTACATTAACTAAATGCAGTAAAAACCTCTTTCCACTTCAGAGATGCTGATATATTGCCATCCCTCGTATCCATCCTGAGCGCAACCATCTCGATTTAGGGCAAAGAGATGGTTCCCGAAAAGGAAATGAGATATTTCTCGATTAGGCCTAGTGTGATTGCTGTCCTGCTGATTTCTAAGCATTAGACAAGATGGCCCCGAGGACTCTGTGATGTATGGTAGACACTACATACCATTGCATGCCCAGTCATTAGGTATACATGTTTCCCCTGCTCGAATAGACGAAAATGGCGGCAGACTTCCAGTTCATCGCGATCCAATCCAACGGTCATGTGAACGATAAGGCAATGCGGCGTCAAGCGCGCTCCCACGCTATCAGGAAAGCGCTGGAAAGGAGACGCAAAGAACAGCAGCGTTCCAGGACCAATTTCATCGTAACCACCTTTCAAGACCCCAGTCTTCGGTTCAAGCTAGATCAAGCGGTTGAGGCACCCAAGTCATTCACGAGAACTAGTCCCAGCCCGCCAGCCCCAACTTACTCTGCCCTCTGCGGTGCGCTCGATCCGTTCCAGACTCTTGCGGTGAACTCGGCACGGCTGCAGGCATTACTGGGTGATTGTATGTCCAAGACTTCCTTTCCTGTCTTCTGTCACTTCTTCCTTTCTCAGACACTGCCCTGTTCTCGTAGACAGAGCCAGACAGGCCCCCGAGCCGGTCTTCAGCGTGGCCGAGGAACTTGCCTTCCAGAGCTTTCGCTTGGTCTTTCGCACTGGCTTTCAGGATCCCGCTCTGATAAATTCCGTGATGCTGGCTCTCGCGTTTGCCGCCGCTGGTGGTAGTCTTGATCGTGAATGTCTGCAGTATCAAGGCCAAGCGATCACATATCTCCGTGAGCGGATGAACTCGGAGGATGAGGCCGCGTCGGAAGCGACTATTGGAGCTATATTATTGATTGCGGGTGTCGTGGTAGGTCGAGAAGAGCATGATAGCCAACAAGTCTTGGTTACTGATGCCCCATGGTTTGGAGACAGGCTCGTCTTGGACTCGCATCTCAGGTGGAGCTTCATATGGGAGCGGTGCAGCAACTGTTGCAAATATGTCACAGGAAGAACGTCCATCTCACTCCTGGCATCGAGCGAGCCGTGTTCTGGTGAGTGAGTGACTTCATCATACCGTTCACATTCTTAGCATACTTTCTTCAGCTAACCCCACCATGAAATGATCTCATGGCCAGGCAAGATCTGAACTCGTCCCTCCTCGCAGGGTCCAGACGCATCGTCAGCCATACCACCTTCTCTACTCTCCTCTGGACACGGGATGACTGCCCGCCAGGCTTCTACCGTCTCCCACCCGGATTTCAATGCCGGTCACATATGCTTGACCACGAGTTCAGCGTGGTGCTGGAAGACCTCCATGCCCTGCAGTGCATCCGGAATATCCCTCGACCGCGGCAGACCGATGCGACCCGCATGCTTCATATCAACAACCATACCGCGTCGATCCAGTCCCGACTCATGGCCTTGTCGGGGCTATCTCGGTCGCAGGAATGTTGTCGTCTCGCGGCGTGCTTATGCTCCATGACGCTGTGTTGTAAGATTTGGAGTGAACTGGTACTTCCCGTAAGTACAAATCTGTGCTGCACGTCGACCTCCCACATACAAGTCTGACTTCATTTTCGCGGATAGTCGCACATCTCATCTCTGCTCCTCTGCAAACTTCGAGAAGTGCGTGACGACGTCGATGCCACAATATGGCACGTTCCCAATTCCGATCTGCTCGTGTGGCTGCTCTACATCGGTGGTGCATTTGCTCCGAGAGGACCAATTCGATCTGGTTATGTGGAACTGTTAGTCTCTTATGCTAACGGTTCGTGGTCGGAAGTACATGACTGTATGAGACAGTTTATCTGGTCCGATGGGGCATTCCTCGTCCCGGTCAGGGCGCTGTGGCGGGAGGTCAAGCAATCTTACTTACGGTGATTTCGATCTAAATGTTTGAGAGTTGGGAGTCACTTTGGAATCTTTGCAGTCGAAATTGTTCTTTCCTTTTTAATGTGCATGTTAGTTCTTTTCTTCCTTCCTCAAGTGTCGTGATATATTCTCGAAACACTGACAGTCACATCGTAGCCGTCAGTAGCTGGCTGCCCACCTAGCTCCGAGGATCGAACCCCCCGGGCACAAACTCCCTTCATTTTATAACGACTTTCCAAGAGGTACGTAGGGTTTTGCGAGAGCAAGGCCATCCACCGATGTGGTACAGAGGCTCAGGGTACATCCAAGCACACCAGTCCTCAAAGGCCCCATCCTCCATCAGGGCTTCCGTCGCCCAGGGCAGAGCCATCAGCGCAAAGTACTGTTGCTCGATCTTGATATGCTCGAGAAGCCATCGGGGGTCACGAGGCCTAACGTCATCTGCTGGCCCCGCGCAGAACGGACAAGAACCCCCGAAACCCTCTTCGCCCAGCACCCTGCAGTCTTCTACCGTCACGCGCTGGGATGGATCCTCCACGTGGCGCATTTGCTCGTCCAGATGCTCCCGAAATTCGATCGGGTCGTAGAACCTATTTGCCCCGTGGCAGAGCGGGGTACAGTGGTTGGAATTGATTTTCGGACAGCGGTAGAACGGAATGAAGGCTTGATGGTATCTCAGCATATGTTCGACTGGGCTCTCGCTGGTGACCTTGAGGCAGTCGGGGTTCGTGCGTTCGGGAATCAAGCAAGTGTACGGACAGAGGTCTTGTTCAACGTGGTCCGTCCATCCGCCGTTGAGCGTCGATAACTCGGTGGTATCGTCCAGACACACGGGGCAGGAGAAGACCTTTGTGGTTGGATCCATAATGTCATCGCAAGGGGAGGTGGTGGCGGTGGTGGTGGTGGTTCTTCTGGGGGAGGGGAAGCAGTACGCATGATGTGCGCCAGGGGGCGGTGGCAGATCGCGCCCCATGCGGAAAGCCATCAGTTGCTCCTGCTTGTAGACTCCGTATTCGGCCTTTTCCTGCCTCTGGATATACAAGATCCGATTCCGGCGCTTCAGGTTATCGCGCACCAAGCGCTGCTGGAGCTCATTCAGCCCATGTAGCGGCGGCGGAGACCAGTACATCTGACGCCCCTGGATCCAGGTCGTGCACTGAGCGGCAAAACGCTCGTGGTCCTCCGGATTGAACTGCCTGTCCGCCTCCTCGAACCACGCCTGGCGTGTCCGATCCACAATCTGTTGGAACTGGCCGCTCGCAACCCGCGCTTGCGATAGCATCCCACAGAACTGCTCATGCAGCCAGTCAAACCCTGCTTCAAATGTCGGCATAGGGGCCGGGATAGAGACGCGATACGGACGCGTGGCCGCCAACAACGCCGGATAGTTTAAGTTCTGCACGGCGTGCTGACAGCGGTGCCACGAATAGCGAGCTCCCAGTGCGTGCATGGAAGCGGCCGCAGGGCTCGTCCATCCATAAAGCGGTCTTACCTGTCGCAGGAGCAGCACGCAATTGTAAATCGCCGCGCCCAGACGACGGAGGTTCGCGAGGAGCTGTAGAGGCAGGATTTGGCCGACCAGGCGGCGTGCGGCGGGCTGCGTGGCCAGCCGGAAATCTGCATGCCAGCCCTCCACGGCGACCTCTTCGATGCGGCGGACGATCTCCTCCATGTCGGCGTGCGGACGCCAGGGGCTTTCCCCGCAGAAGTCGTGCAGGACAACGAGGATGAACGCTGCTGCATCGTGGATTGGCTTGGGGGGCTCGTCAGAGGTTTCGTTAGGGTTTGTTGCCATGGTGAACGGATAGATTGCTGAGAGCGTACCTGGTTAAAGTGAATAGACTCAGAAGTATGCTTTGTCAATATAGATGGTATGTACTTGTAGACGATTCTAGGTGTGCCAACCTGAGATGAGACACCATCCCGCGCTCGCAGTGGGACCTTTATACATCATCATCTCAGACGAGGCTCTGCGTGTTCATGTTCGACAATGAAGAATGCCCAGGGGAATATCTGTCCATGGCACCGGAACATGCCGCGAGTTGCTCCAGTCTCTCTGTGCATAATCTGTGCTTGAGTCATCCAGGATCATGGAGTTTGCGGAGGTTCTCTCGTAACGGGGCATTACCAGCGACACATCTCAGGTTGTTCATCGTATTTTCATTTCTTTTCACTTGGGAGGTTGTGGCAACCGGCACTTGTCTCTTCTTGGGACTTGTATTCACATTCTATCTGACGTGTGTGTCACTCACAGCCAGTCATTCACCTCCTATACTACAAGAAGTTTGATATGCTTTAGCTTCTACCTTCATGAGAAGCTTATGAGCTTCTATGACCCTAACCCTAATCCTGTTATACACCTTCCTGCGTGTGCGTACTAGGCAGGCGTAAGATGATAAGTAGGCTAAGAGGCGACTGTGTGATAAATAGCCTCGAAGGGAGCTACCCTCATGAGGGGGGAGAGTTGCATGGTGAAGCGTCGTGGTAGATACTCCCAGAAGTATGGTGGTCATTGCGACCTGTCACGATTTGCCCGTTGGACTCGAATCTGACAGTTGAAGAAGCATCATTATGAACGATGAACTGAAACAGGTATAGCAAGAGGATTGCACCTTTTGCGGGGTAGAGCCCCCATCCGCTGAGCGTCATAGCCGAATACGCCCTTATACATGGATTCTAATGGGCCAAACAGGTCACTCTCGCTTTCCTCCTCGCATTCAATAAACCTCTTTGTCTGTCATTGCCAAGCGACACAATGTGCAGATGTCCGAAGCAACAAAAGAATCTAGACAAGCGCTTTGTTTGCTGAAAGCTGGTGGGGGAAATAGGAGATTGGAACAAAGATCGGGCTGCCCAGAATTAGCCTAGTGGGCCTGATCTTTTGTGCTGAATGATCGCAGTGACGAGTTTTCTTAGATTTGTAGGAGTGGAGGGGGTACTAACTCGTAGTTAGTATCAATAGTTAAACTCTTTCCGCATTCAATTTGGACGTGATACATTACTACTAGTAGTAGGAGTATACTTCATATATATATTGCACAAGTAGACTAGATTTTCACTACATCACACACTTGTGCCTTCCCCACAATAGTTTAAGTTTTTATAAAACACACCCACAAAGCTCCAGACTCCTAGGAGTCTTATTGTGAAGCAAATCCAGGATCATCGCTCAGCTTCTGCGCCCCGTGGGATAACTACTGGTATAGTAGCTTCGCGGCTGGAAGCAAGCTTAGGTTCTGGAAGACTCGAAGGAAAGAGTCAGAGACTAGCGGAAGGGATCCACCGTCTTCCACGCTAGTCCTGGACCCATCGCGCGGAATGATGCAGTCATACGATGAGCCGTTGTTCCAGCGCATAAGTTGAAACGGGGAAGGCGCCCGGGGCCAGAGCGCAAAGTTTCTGATGGAGCCCCGCCGGGTTTTACTCGGCATGGCGAACTCGACGGAAGACTCGGTACATACCTTGTGGTTGTGGCTGATTTTTGTTGCTGATATGTTGGTGACTAGTGTGATTTAAGTTCCTGTCCTTGTAACCTTCGTGAAAGATAAGCTTTAGTCAATCCTAATTCTGGAGTGTCTTCTCTTGCAGTGCCGTACAAGTACGGGTAGCGCAATCCAAACCTGCCCCCCCCCCCTCCCCACGACGTACAGAGCCCAAACCTAAACCTATCCCACTTATCTTTCACATACTCATCTACCGCGGAGACATGACCGAAGTGTCGCCCCGACGGGCACTTTCTCGGAGACATTCTCCCTCCTGGTGGCTCCGCCGAGGACGGACAGACAGATTTTTCTCGGGGCTGGCAGGGGTTGATTTTTAACTGGAAACCGTTGGTTTATGCTGCTCCATCAGGGCTTCCGATTGGCTTCGGGGTTGCCCTGTGGGATCCACTCACTCTTCCCCGATACCTGCGGTTGCCAATGCACTTTTATATAAAATCCGCAAGGCCCTTAGTTACTTAACACTGAGATATTGATATCACACTGTACTACTAGTAGGGTACTTGTTCTTTCTCCCGCTAACTCCTCTCTCCTGGCTGCAAACACGATGTCCTCCTTCACCTACGACGTCTTCCGCGGCTCTGCCGAGGGCAAGATCGTGCCCGCCCAGACCACCAGCGAGCTGGGCCACGGCGAAGTTTTCATTGAGACCACCCACTCCGGTCTCTGCGGAACCGACGAGCACTACCTCAAGGCCGACCAGGTGCTGGGTCACGAGGGTGTGGGGATCGTCAAGGCTGTTGGGCCTGGTGTCACCGACGTCAAGGTTGGCATGCGCGTGGGTTTCGGATACACCCACAGCGTCTGCGCCAACTGCGACAACTGCGTGACCGGTAGGGCTACCCCCAAACATCACCTTAGTTCGTCTGACATGCTAATCCGTGACACTAGGATGGGACCAATACTGCCGCAACCAGAAGCAATACGGCTTCCACGACCTCCACAACGGCACCTTCAGCTACGGCGCCATCTGGGACAGCAAGTGCGTCTACCCGATCCCTGACGGCTACGACTCGATCCACGCCGCCCCGCTGATGTGTGCCGGCGCTACTGTCTGGACGGTGCTGTCCGAGTACGGCATCAAGGCCACCGACCGTGTCGCCGTCATGGGTGTTGGGGGGTTGGGCCACATCGCCATCAAGCTGGCCGCCGCCATGGGCTGCCACGTGGTGGTGCTGTCCAGCTCCGAGGGCAAGCGCCAGGAGGCGATGGAGTTCGGCGCCGCCGAGTATCACGTCTTCAAGTCCGGGGGCCCTGTCCCGGAGGGCTTCAAGCCCGTCAACCACCTGCTGCTGTGCGGTAGTGGTTCCGTTGACTATCCTTCGTAAGCATTTCCCCAGAAAAAAAAAAAAGAAGAAGAAGAAAAGGAAACCGAAAGGAAAATCCCCGCTAACGATATTTTTCACAGCCTCATCCCGCTCATGGCCACCCACGGCAGCATCTACCCGCTCACCGTCGCCTTTGAGCCCGCCCGCATCCCCATGCTGGACCTCGTCTGGCGCGGTGTCCGCATCCAGGGCTCCCTCGTCGCCTCGCGCAACAGCATCCGGACCTTGCTCGAATTCGCTGCCCGCAAGAATCTTGTCCCCACTGTCATGACCTTCCCGTTGACTAAGGAGGGTATTGAGGAGGCTATGGAGACGCTCCGCCAGGGCAAGATGCGCTACCGCGGTGTCCTGGTCAAGCCTTGAGGGGGGGATGTCTGCATGATGATGAATGCTTTGCTGTTTAGATGATGATCGCATGTTGTTGGCGTTGAGGGACAGGCTTGTTTCGAGATAGACTTGCATTATTAGAGCTCCTGGTTCTGGGATAGAAATGGTTTTGACTAGTATAATGGCATTGTGATGACTCTGTAATTGAGATGTTGCGGAGGCTGGTATTTGAGGGTTAGCTGATCGATAACATGAAACAGAGCGCGGATGGGGAAAATGCTCAGAGTGGCAGAGAGAGGTTAAAAGAACCAGCGCTCTATTAGCGTAGTCTTGACATTAGTTTATTACTCGCAGCGACGATATGTTGGTATCGTAGGGCTGTTGTTGCACTCCTTAGGGGAGAGCGGTGTATGCATCCAAGCCCCATGTATAAGACGATCTAGGACAATCTAAAAAACCAAGCGGCAACTGACACAACACTGAATCGGAATCCAGCTCGCGATTCCACCGAGGCCGTGTGTTGAATCCCATCCCTACATGTGCCGACTGATATCTAATTCATTTCCCCTCGGCTTCGTATTCCAACTTCTTCTCACGGCGCCGACCCAGCCATCAGGATTTCCGCTGTGCGACCGAGAGAGGTGCCCTCATCGTCAATCTCCTCCAGCTCCCGATCACTCACCTCCCGAGGCCCAATGCCGGCCAAGCCCCAGACCGCCGGGCGTCGGCGCGCGAGCAGCTGCGCCGCCGTCCGTTCATCCGAATGCAAGTGTCCTCCGGACTTGCGGAGCAGCAGCACGTGTTCGGACAGTCCAGCGTTGGCCGCCAGGAACAAAGGTGTACGGCCGTTGCGGTTACGGATGTGTACTGATCCACCTTGCAGGAGGAGATAGCGAAGAATATCGATAGAGGGACTAGTGGCGGCGAGATGCTAAAGAAACCAAATGTCAATTTCACGGACCGGGTGAAATAGACGACAAGGAGTTCACTTACGATGGGGGTGTTGCCGGAGTAGTCAGCATCGTTGAGCAGCCAGTGGTGCTCTCTCACAACAATCTCTTTGACCCGTTCGATATCCCCTTGGGCGATGGCGTAACCCAGCACAGTAAGGGACTGAACACGCTCTGGGAGTGCTCCGTCGGGGTGGCGGAAGACCGGCTGCGACACCTCGGTCAGTTCTCCGCGGAGAGAGACAGACATGTTCTTCGCAACCCATTCGGGGGTGGATTCGGGCAAGGCCAGTAGATAAGCTAGCTTGGTCAACGCCGCTTCCGTCGTCAAGTCGAGCCCTGCGACCACGCCTGCCCGCGACAGGCTCATACCCGGAGCATACACTGGACTGACACTTCCCGTAAGACCTGTGGTAAAGTTAGCTCCAGCGGTTACGGCACCCCTGGAAAGTGGGGTTTTGAGCTCACATTGAGTTACATTGACAATGACAATCCCTCTCTTGATAGCAGCCGCCAGCACGTTAGTCATGGCATTGTCTTGCCCGCTAGGGGCATTTCCGGCACCAAAGGTCTCCAGAACCAACCCACGCAATCCATCTAGTTTCAAGACCGCATCCACCATCTCAGGCTTGATACCAGGGAAGATCCGCAGACAGGCGACGTGAGTGGTGTCCAGGTTGGTCTGGATGCTGAAATGGTCCAGACTCTTGGGCCGATTGACCAGCTCCCAGTTAATATTTGTGCGCATGGACGTAGTGACGGCCAGTGGCGGACAGTTCGGCGAGCTGAAGGCGGCGAAATCACTGGCAGCGACCTTGCAGGACCGGTTACCGCGGAACAGTCGGTTGTTGAAATACAGACAAACTTCCGGAATCATGAAGTGGCCCGCCACAACAAGGGATCCAAGAAGATTATCCGTGGCATCATTCTGCAACTCCAGCATGGGCGCCTGGGCGCCCGTCAGAACAACCGGCTTCCCCAGATTCTGCAACATGAAGGAGAGCGCAGAACAGGTGTATGCGAGACTGTCTGTGCCGTGCAAAACGACGAATCCGTCGAACCGTGTGTAATTCCGCTCGATGGTGCAGGCAATTTCGGCCCAGCCCTTGGCATCGATGGAGCTACTGTCCAGCAGTTCCTCGAACTCGAAGACAGTGTACCTCACTCGCCGTCCGTATGCCGTCACCGGAGTGCGCAGACTGGGGTGGCCCTTGACCTCCTTGTCGGCGTTGACCACCACGTCCATCAGGCTGGTGTGGGACCCATCGTTGAAGGTGGGAACCCGAGCGAGACACTGCTCTTGAAAGCCTCTGGCAGGTACAAAGCCGGAGGGAGATTGTCGCATACAGATGGTACCTCCGGTCATGATAATGAGGACCCGTGACTCGGGGATTGTATCCTCGGGCTGCTGCTCGGCCAATTCGGGCAAGGCGCCGTTCAAGGACACCATGTTGGTGATCTCTGATGTCGACCGCATTTTGGACTGTTCGATAGCGGTGTTGCCTTAAGCCAGAGCTGTCGTGGGAAAGGGAAAGCAGGAGGAAAAAATAAGGATAGCGGGGAGGGGCAAGAAAAGAAGAATGCGGGGCCCTCTTCCCCTTCAGGCCGCGCTTTGGTTGGAAGTTGGAGTGAAGCTCAAAGTTATTTATAAGATTTATCAAAATTGTATGGAGAGAATGGCCACGAGGAACGACCGCCAAGGCTCCAACCCACTAAATCTTGTCTTGTTGGAGTCACAAGCTGGTGGGTGCCGGATCGGAAATGCACAGCAAACCGGTTGTACTGCAAAGAATTCGATCATTTGATTCGGCACTCAACCAGTTTGTACCAGGGTATGCCACTTTAAACAGTCGCTGTTGCCCATTTGGCTGGCAAGATCTCACGGGTCTGGACTGGCTGTTGGACAAGAAATTCGATGGCAATTTGGACCCATCCTGAGCTTGGGGTGAAACAGAATTTTTGGAGTAGTTGAGAATAACTGGCATGCGACTCCGATTCCCGGCGGTGGCATTACATTCCGTTACGTACACAGTGCTTCTTCCAAGTCACGTGCTATATACGCCTTAGTCAGTAATCACGTGACAGAGACCATCCTTCCATACACACATTGCAACAACGCTAGTGTTCATCAATCATTCACTAGGTAGTTTTCGTGATGCTGCAATCTCTCCAAAACATGTCACCACTCGCTGGGCTCTCTACATATCCTTCCGATACGAGACTTTGGTGTGCGCAGTTCTATCTCGTCTGAATCCTCGGAGAAGCTACCCCGCAAGTACTAACACAGTTCCATCCTGCACCACCATCATCATGAATGTGTTTCAGAACTTCTGCTGTACAATCTTACACTTCCTACCAGGGCCTGCTCTCTTTCTAAGGCGTTCAACCGTCATAGAGACCAACTTACCGCTGATTGTGCTACAAGTGGAACTATCGACGGACTACCCCGTACTGTGTCAGAGCTACCCACTTGTCGGGAGTGGCCGCGTAGGCAAACCTCCTGCTGCGGTCAGGACATGCTATCGGTAGCAACACGCCTATCAGCGCTGCTGATGCCTCAATAGCTGACGAGGCCTCGATTGACTAGTAGTTATCGCATGGCGGAGTCAGAGCCAGGAGCCAAAAGAGTGCTTCATTGCTTACCAGTAGCGGGTCGACCCGCCGAGCGGGTCGAACCGCCTGTCGCAATCCTCCATCTGGGCGCTTCGATCCGAATGCCCACCGCCGCAACCAGATAATCATTATCATCTCTTTGCGGGGCTGCCCGGCTCAAAGACTCCTCAAACCATTATATATGTTGTCGCACCCTCCCTCAGCGATTCTGCCCGGTGTCTGGTCAGTATGAGCTCCCTTCGCCACAACTCCTCGCCACCTGTGGATCAGCAGTGTCATATCATATTCTCATTATAGAGTTACTCCGTACCTTGGACCGGTACTGACGGAGCTCCTCTCCTTAACGGCCCAGACGATCATCTTTATCTCTCCATCTTGTCCCTCATCTCTCTGGCGTAACTGTATTGACATTGTCCGAGAGACAAATCCCACGGACTTATGGTATTTCACAAGATCCGCGCATCATCAGGCAATATGGGTCAGCTCTATGATGCCTCGAGCGGCTTGAATGTCCCCTTTCCACAGCGTCCAATCATAATCCTGGGAGCTGGAATTATTGGTTGCGCCACGGCGCGACTGCTCTTGCAGAATGGGTTCCGAGTGGTGTTGGTGGCAGAGTATCTACCTGGCGATCAAAGCATCTGGTATGCATCCGCCTGGGCGGGCGCGGCGTGGCATGCAGCTGGGGGCATCAACCCGGAATATCGATACATCCAAGCCGTCACCCACCGCCACCTGCTGAAAATGGCGCACGAGGAACCCGAATCAGGCGTCTGTATTGTCGATGCTTATGAGTATCTTGAACAACCCCCCTCTGAGAACTCTTCAGCATGGGGAAAGACCGTTCTCTCCGAGGTAAGCATAGACTCCGCTTGAAATCCCTCCAGTGTTCGCTCTGGCTGACCCAGCCTCAGTGGCGTGATCTGCAACAAGGAGAATATCCTTCCGAATTCAGCTGCGGATGGCGCTATGAGACTCTGGTGACTGATCCGACAATCCACATGCCGTATTTGGGTAAAAAAATCACCGAGCTGGGCGGCCACTTTATTCGCAAGCGCGTTGAGTCCCTCGAAGAACTGTATCATATGTTTCCCGAGTCCAGCATTTTCATCAATGCCAGTGGGATCGGAAGTCAGACCCTCAAGGATGTTCAGGACGATCGCTGCTTTCCCGAACGAGGCCAGAACGTCTTTTACAAGACGGAAAAGTGCCAGACCATGTACTTCAGGAACGGACAAGAATATACCTATGTGATTCCCCGCCCGATGTCCCACGGAGTAGTTCTCGGCGGCGTGAAGCAAGCGGACAATCTGTAAGTATGATACAAATTGTGTCTGCGGAACCAGGATGCTGATTTGTAGCAGTTCGCCAGATGTTGATCTGGAAATCGCTCGCGATGAGATTGCACGCGCACATCGGCTGGCGCCAGACATTGTGCCGGAGACTCCGGCTGAGGAGGCACTGAGTTACATCGTTGGGATCCGTCCATCACGACGAGGAGGCTTCCGCTTGGATTCTGAGCGGCATGGCAGTCGAGTTGTGCTGTCAGCTTATGGCTTCGCAGGGGGCGGGTATGCCTTTTCATACGGGGTGGCTGATGCACTGGTTAAGATGGTAGCCACGGCCGAGAAGGATAATGTCTTGCTTGGATGATCGTCGTCCTGTCGGCAGATGGTTGTTGATTCCCGCACCGTTAGTTCTCTTTTTTTTTTAGCGCGATATGTGGTTTTGTTAAGACCCAGAATTGATTGAAAGGTGGAGTCGGCTGGATGGCACCACTGAGACAGTAATCAAGAGGAGACAGCTGAGAAAACTCTTCAGAGAAATCTGGTGCAGTACAGTGAATGGTGCAATGGGAGCTATACTGTGTAGATGCGATGCCGGGCGTCTGCAGTTGCTGCCTATTGCAGCACAGTAGGTAAGGGCTTATGGAGTAGAATCACATAGAACAAGCCGCAGTTCACACTGCAGTGCTAAGCCCCCCCTTTATCGGCGGACCAGTCTTCCAGACCGTACACTAACCCCAAAACGGTAATGCTACCGTTCTAGGGCTGACGGGGCCGGAGGCAATGCAAATGGCGCAAACGCGTCACTGGATCGACTCCGTACTCCGTTTTATCTCACGTGACTTCAATCCCCTCCCGCTCTCGAGTCTGGCTGTTCCCACCCACACATACCACCCAGTGCTTCCCGCCCTGTCATTCAAGTGCATCCACACTCCGATTCCTCCTTCTTTTCTCCCTCCCTGTCTTGACTCCTTTCTATCCCCCATCATCTCTTGCTGATTTATTCTTATTTCCTTCTTCTTCTTACTTTTCAATCTTTCCCCTCTTTGAGGCCAATCTTGACCCATGACATCCTCCGTTTTACCACACCCCTTCTGATTCTCTCGCTCGTCTACATCCCCTCCCCCAAATCCACCACCATACTTTCCCACATCATTTCTCCTCCCAGTATAGGAGTTTCTCAGCATGCGGTGGCGGCTGCCTGGCGCCCAGTCGACCCTCCCTTCCAGTGTCGCACTTCTCCTGCTTCCAGTTCTTGTTACTCCGCAGCAGTGGCAACAACAACAACAACCTCGACACCATCAACAGCAATATGACCTTCCTTCAACCGTCTCCGTCCTACACCAAAACCACGGTCCCCCAGTGGGAAGCAACCCTTCGTACGTATCGGATGTGAAGTCCAACGATGTGAGCGCCCTTGCAACCATGGCTCTGGCGGGCTCTAGCCGCGCCGTTCGAGCCCCTCCTGCCCATGTCAGCAGCAGCTCTTCCGCTGGTCTGGCTCCGCAGCTTCACGCGCGGTCTCTGCAGGATTGGAAGGTTGAGGACTTTGTCCTGTTGGCGACCGTCGATGGTTCCATTCACGCCCGTGACCGTAAAACTGGTGCCGCCCGCTGGGCTTTGGAGGTTCCAAGCAGCCCAGCGGTCGAAAGCATCTATCACCGATCGAATCACTCGAGCTTCGATCGACAACAACCGGAGGACGATTTCATTTGGATAGTGGAGCCGAGTCAGGGCGGTAGCCTCTACATCTACAGCCCCGGTCCCGACGCGGGTTTACAAAAATTGGGGTTGACGGTGAAGGAACTGGTTGATGAAACGCCTTACTCGGGCGATGACCCCGCCGTTACCTACACGGCACGAAAAGAGACAACCTTGTATACTGTTGATGCGCGAACCGGGACGATCCTGCGGGTGTTTAGCTCCCACGGCCCGGTCTCGTCGGGTCAGGAATGTCGAAAGGTCGATGGTTTGGACGCGGATGCCGAGGAATGTGAAACCCCATCTGGCACCTTGGTGCTGGGTCGAATTGAATACACGGTAGCCATTCAAAATACCGAAACGGGCGATCCCATTTGCACACTTAAATACTCGGAGTGGACGGCTAACAATCGAGACATTGACCTCCAGAGTCAATATGTAAACACCATGGACCAAAGCTTCATCTACAGTATGCATGATGGCGTGGTTCTGGGGTTCGATCATTCTGAGATGGATCGCCCGCGTTACACTCAGCGCTTTTCAAGTCCCGTCATTCGAGTGTTCGATGTGGCTCGACCAGTCGGTAGTGACTCGCCTAATCAGCCTACGCCGCTAGTCTTACTCTCACAGCCTTCACAACCCCCGGATCCGGACTATGGGTCGATGGATGACCGCGACTTGCGCGTCTTTATTGATTGCACCGAGGCTGGCGGCTGGTATGCCATGTCGGAGGAGACGTACCCCTTGGTGACTGGACGAGCAAAGATGGCTCAGTGTTATCAGAAAGATTACCTGCGTCATGGGCAGCCGTTGACGAGTTTGACCACAAGACAGCAGCAGGATGTTTTGGCCGGGGTTCACTCTCTGCACGCTCCCCGTGTTGTTCGGCGCCACATCCCCAGCATTTCAGGGCCTTCGTCTGCTGACATGTCTAATGACACACCTCCTCGGGGGCTTGTCCATAGTTCATCCGAATTAGCCCTGCCGCCTGCTCTCCGCCACAGCACCATTATTCGCAAGGGCTGGGACAATGCGGTGGACATTTTTGTCACGCTTTTGTTGCTGTTCTTCGGTACTTTCATTTGGTTCAATTCCCACCATATTCAAGAATTGGCCAAACAGAAATTAGATTTGAAGAATATCATCGTATCGTATGGGCAGCCACCCTTGTCGACACCGTCAACGCCGGTCATTGATGGCCCTCATATGAAGCGAGAAATCAATGAGAACGAACCCGCACCCGATGTGATGGTTGATATGAGCGTCTCTGAGGAGCAGCAGTCGGCTGGTGATATGACGCCCAAGCCCAAGAAGACCGCGAACGCCTTGGCCCCTGACACAACTCCCCGAGTCCGCATTCGAGAGCCATCCCAAGGACCCGACGCTGACGACGACGTAGACGATTTCAATCTTCAGGAATCTGAAAAGGGCGACGGCGAGAAACCTAAGAAGAAAGCTCGCCGTGGGCGCCGTGGCGGAAAGAATCACAGACGTGGCAAGAAGCCTACCGAGGGCGAGGCAAAGGAGCAGGCGGATCGCGTTGTGGAAGAAGTGAACAATCTCCAAGTCCAGTCACACCTGGAGCCCGACATCCATCTGACTCGCACTGTCTCGAACGAGATCATTCAGATGGACAGCGTGCTCCAGATTGGCCGTCTCAAGGTCTTCACCGATGTTGTGCTTGGACATGGAAGCCATGGCACTGTCGTCTATCGGGGGTCTTTTGACGGCAGAGATGTCGCTGTGAAGCGCATGTTAGTTGAGTTCTATGACATCGCGTCTCATGAAGTCAGCCTCCTGCAGGAAAGTGATGACCACGGTAACGTCATTCGGTATTATTGCCGGGAACAGGCAGCTGGTTTCCTGTACATTGCCTTGGAGCTGTGTCCGGCCTCACTGCAAGACGTCGTCGAGCGTCCGGGTGACTTTCCTCAGTTGGTTCAAGGTGGGATGGATATGCCCGATGTCTTGCGCCAGATCATTGCGGGAGTACGGTACCTCCATTCACTCAAGATTGTTCATCGCGATCTCAAACCACAGAATATTCTTGTTGCCATGCCTCGTGGTCGCACCGGAATGGGTGCGCTGCGGTTGTTGATCTCGGATTTCGGCTTGTGTAAGAAGCTGGAGGACAATCAAAGCTCATTCCGCGCGACCACGGCCCACGCGGCCGGTACCTCTGGCTGGCGAGCACCGGAGCTGTTGATGGACGAGGACATGACCCCGGCCATGCTAAGCACAGAATCCCAGCACACTGAGTCTTCGGAGCCTGCCGTAGTTGACCCTCAGACTAATCGCCGAGCGACTCGGGCCATTGACATCTTCTCTCTGGGCTGCGTGTTCTATTATGTCCTGACTCGGGGGTGTCATCCGTTCGACAAGAACGGCAAGTTCATGCGGGAGGCCAATATCGTCAAAGGCAACTACAATCTTGATGAGCTTCAACGTCTTGGGGAATATGCCTTTGAAGCCGAGGACCTGATCCAATCCATGCTGGCGCTGGACCCACGCAAACGGTAAGTTGCTCCATCTTTCTCCACTAACAGCCCCGTCTAATTTGTCTCCAGACCCGATGCCAGCGCCGTCCTGACTCATCCATTCTTCTGGCCTCCCTCCGACCGGCTGAGCTTCTTGTGCGATGTTTCGGACCATTTCGAGTTCGAGCCACGTGACCCTCCGTCGGATGCCCTTCTTTGTTTGGAGTCGGTGGCCGAGCGGGTGATGGGTCCGGACATGGACTTTCTGCGACTGCTCCCCCGCGATTTCAAGGACAGCCTTGGCAAGCAGCGGAAGTATACAGGATCTAAGGTTCTGGATCTCCTGCGGGCCCTGCGCAACAAGCGCAATCACTACAATGACATGCCCGAACATCTCAAGGCGCACATTGGTGGGCTGCCGGAGGGCTACCTCAACTTCTGGACGGTCCGATTCCCCAGCTTACTGATGAGCTGTCACTCAGTGGTGGTGGAGTTGAAATTGACCCGGATTGATCGGTTCAAGCGGTACTTCACTCCGGTGGAGTGAACGGGGGCTTTGTGAATTCATGTAATGATGGAGAGACGAAATTCTGTACATATTTATGGTAATAGTGATCTAAAAGTACCTTGGAGACTTGTATCATTGGGTTTGAATCTACCGTGCCTTGTATGTGTCAGCCTTGACTCGTGGGTGTACTTGCTGGTGAGGTGCAGGACCACAGGTGTGGTAGTGGTCTTACTGATAATAGGCGGAAGCAGCATGTTTCAGGCCAACTGCTACAGTTAACCCAGAATGAGTCACTTGACAGCTCAAGGTCTTTCACATGCTATTGCTATTTCGCCAACTTCAGCCATGCTGACCAGCACTGCAATATCCTCCGGTTACTGTTCTGCAGCAGAGGACACTCAGCTCCGGGTTTGCCCCTGTCGCCCCACCAACGGATATGCATGGACGTATTCTCTGCGTATATTTAGTAAATCTACAGCAGTCCGATGTTGGCATTCTTGCCTACTAAGCCAGCAGGGTCGTGGAATCACGGGATACACCTCCTTGAATACCCGAAGGTCGAGGATGGTTGGATGTCGATCTGATAGAATAGGACCGAGGTTATTGCTCTTTCGGGCATGGGCGGGGGATATTGGTGCCTGTAAAAACGGGCATCCATACGGTCTGGAAGCACATGCAATGGACGTCATGGACTCTCGCTTCGGTGAAAGTCCCTTTGTAAGTAAGTATCCTTCCTCCCTTCTCCCCGCCGCCATCAAACTACAACAAAAGTCCACAGCCTATGATCTCTATTTAATTCTCATTCAATCTTTTGCATCAAATGACACGACAACCCCATTCTGCCGACCAGAATCGCCAAGAACCAACCATCGCCGCGGCGTGGCGACCGAAAGCACAGAAATGCCTCAGCAAATGCCTGAGGCAGGGGGCGGGTTCCCCCCATTAGACCGAGGATCTTCAAGCAAATGTGATCCTCTCTTCCGAACCTCAATCCACTCATCCACTCAGCGTCCTCCTTGGCTCCGAACTTGACTTGTGAATCTGGGACATGGGGAACCTAATTCTGGTCCTCCCCCTTCTCTCATTCTCCGTTTCCCCAGTTTTCCAATCCCGCCTCGAGAGATGCCGGGTGCGTGTCTGGCCTTCCACCCATTTTGTCCCGCTGATCCGAACGTTTACCGACGACTGACCCAGTTATTCGCTCTGACGCATAGACTATGGCACCGGTGCATCTGCTGGTCCTTAAGTATCGACCCTTTGGCTCGTGATTCCCAGCGCTGATGAAAGCTGGTTTGTTTCAGTACTTTAAGCCTTCGCTGACCCCGTCTCTATTACCTTCGAACTCTCCACTCCAATCTTTGTTGTCGTTTTGTTCTTGCTTGTCTGACATCTTTCCTTGTGTCAGTACTGTGGCCGTAGATCGTGTCAAACTGGCTAGATTATATACCTCCCGTTGATCTTATACGCCATCTACCACTTCAGACCAGCAATCATGGGTTTGCACGAAGATGAAGACCGGATGTATCAGGAAGATGTCCAGGCCGTCAACTCTTGGTGGCAAGACTCCCGATGGAGACATACCAAGCGGCCCTTCACTGCTGAGCAGATTGTGGCCAAGCGCGGAAACATGAAGATCGAATACCCCTCCAATGTGCAAGCCAAGAAGCTCTGGAAGATCTTGGAAAGCAACTTTGAGGTGAGTGAATTCCAATAGGAATAGATTGACGGGGATCTCAAGCTAATCGATCTCTTCATGCATGCAGAAAAAAGTAGCCAGTTTCACCTATGGTTGTCTCGACCCGACTATGGTCACTCAGATGGCCAAATATCTCGATACCGTCTACGTCTCGGGCTGGCAAAGCTCCTCCACCGCCTCCTCCACCGACGAGCCGTCGCCGGACTTGGCTGACTATCCTATGGTAGGCTGGTGATCCCGAGGCAATTGTTTTTCTGCTAACATGAATAAACCAGAACACTGTCCCCAATAAAGTCAACCATCTCTTCATGGCCCAGTTGTTCCATGACCGGAAACAGCGCGAGGAACGCATCACCACCCCGAAGGAGCAGCGCCACAAGGTGGCCAACATCGATTACCTACGCCCAATCATTGCGGACGCCGACACAGGCCATGGGGGGTTGACCGCGGTCATGAAGCTGACCAAGCTGTTCATCGAACGGGGTGCGGCGGGTATCCACATTGAGGATCAGGCTCCGGGCACCAAGAAGTGCGGTCACATGGCCGGCAAGGTACTGGTGCCCATCAGCGAGCACATCAATCGCTTGGTCGCTATCCGTGCGCAATCCGACATTATGGGTACGTATTGAGCTTACTATGTAAGGAAGACGAAACCAGGACTAACCGCGGATTTCCTTCAGGCACGGATCTTCTGGCCATTGCCCGGACCGACTCCGAGGCCGCTACCCTCATCACATCCACTATCGACTACCGAGACCATAGCTTCATCATCGGCTCCACGAACCCCCAACTGCAGCCTCTGAACGACCTGATGGTTGCGGCCGAGCAAGCCGGCAAGACCGGTGATGAGCTTCAAGCGATTGAAGACCAGTGGACCGCTCAAGCTGGCTTGATGCTGTTCGACGAGGCCGTCATCAATGCCATCAATCAGGGCTCCCACGGCAACAAGCAAGCCGTGGTCGAGGACTATCGGCGGCAGGTCAAGGGCAAGAGCAACCGCGAGGCCCGCGCGATCGCCAAGAGCATCACGGGCATCGACATCCACTGGGACTGGGACGCCCCCCGGACCCGCGAGGGCTTCTACCGGTACAAGGGTGGCACCCAGTGCGCGGTCAACCGCGCGGTCGCCTACGCCCCGTTTGCGGATCTCATCTGGATGGAGAGCAAGCTTCCGGACTACGCCCAGGCGAAGGAGTTCGCCGACGGCGTGCACGCCGTCTGGCCCGAGCAAAAGTATGTCCCCTGCATGACAAATGATTTGGTCTCGATATTGACTTGTACTCCCATAGACTCGCGTATAATCTGTCCCCCTCCTTTAACTGGAAAAAGGCGATGCCCCGCGACGAGCAGGAGACATATATCCAACGCCTGGGTGCGCTGGGATACTGCTGGCAGTTCATCACCCTGGCGGGTCTGCACACTACAGCGCTGATCACGGACCAATTCGCCAAGGCGTACGCCAAGCAGGGCATGCGTGCGTACGGCGAGTTGGTGCAGGAGCCCGAGATCGAGCAGGGGGTCGACGTGGTGACGCACCAGAAGTGGAGCGGCGCCAATTACATTGATAATATGTTGAAGATGGTGACGGGTGGCATTAGTAGCACTGCGGCCATGGGTAAGGGTGTGACGGAGGACCAGTTCAAGCATTGATATGGATAGCGGGAGGCGATGAAATGAGGGATGGTAGATACCTTAGCAGATTTGTTTTTACGTTCTAAGAAGCATCCTTGTATTTCTTTTCTATCATCGTCAGGGAGTTTTGGGTGGTCGTTGGCTCCCAGGCCTGTTCCATGAGTCTGAGAGTATCTTTAGGAGAAGATCTGGCATAGAACACCACCGAATACCATGCTCGGACTTATTGTGTCTATAGTATATACTTGCCGTGATTTTGACAAGGACTATGTACGGAGGAACACCATGCACGCGGGACAATTCAACACAACTATGCAGGCATGCAATAAACAAACGCGTATACTGAATAGTGAGTCCCATTTCGGGGCTCCATCTATAATCACTCCTGAATCTATCCATCCATACAAGACAAGCCCCAGGAAGTGAAGAAGAGTCATGTGATATCTAACCTAAAAGCCTTCCGCTGACTCATCCAGCCTGGCGGGGCATCACCAGCAGCAGCAACACCCCACCCTCACCACTCCTACACAATACACCACACACCTCACTTCACCACACGTCACCTCAAACCCTCCTCAAAACCCACACACGAACAGCCCACAATCCAGGGCCACCCCAACGCGCGCGCAAAAATGACAACTCCAATCCCCATCCGCCCCGCCACCCCAACCCGCACCAGCACGCTCCTCGCCAACCTCGCGCACGTCTCCTCGCGCGTCGCCGCCGCCGCCGCCGCTTCCTCAACTACCTCCACCACCACCACCTCGTCAGCCCCACGTTTAATAGCCGTCTCGAAACTCAAACCCGCCTCAGACATCCTCACCCTCCACCAGGCCCCCGCCAGCCACACGCACTTCGGCGAAAACTACCTGCAAGAACTCATCGAGAAAGCGCGGTTGTTGCCGCCCACGATCAAATGGCACTTCATCGGGGGCTTGCAATCGAATAAATGCGCGACGCTGGCGCGGGAGGTGCGGGGTCTGTGGGCGGTGGAGAGCGTGGACAGCGCGAAGAAGGCCTCGCTGCTGGACAAAGGGTGGGGGGAGCGGGATGCAAGCCTCAAGGACACGGATCATGAGGAGAGGCTGCGGGTGTTCGTGCAGGTGAATACCTCGGGGGAGGCGGAGAAGAGCGGGGTGGAGCCCGGGGAGGAGGCGGTGCAGCTGTGTCGGTTTATCCGGGAGAGGTGTCCGCGGTTGCGGTTGCAAGGGGTGATGACGATTGGGGCGATCGCGAGGAGTCGCGCGGTGAAGGAAGGGGAGGAAAATGCGGATTTTGTGACGCTGAGGAAAGTGAGGGATGAGGTGGTGCGCGAGCTGGGGTTGGAGGGGGAGGAAGGAAGGGAGGAGGGGTTGGAGTTGAGTATGGGGATGAGTGAGGATTTCGAAGGGGCGATTCGGTTGGGCAGTGATGAGGTGAGGGTGGGGACGGGGATTTTTGGGGAGAGGCCGCCTAAGGAATTGGCCAGGGTGGTTTGAGTCAAGGGGCGGAGTTGGGCTTTTGCGGAGTTGTATGATTATTGAGGGCTGTGTGGGGGAGGGTTGATGTGGATATAGAGAGCGTTGTAGCTCGGTGTGCTTGGCTGTGGATTGTATAGTTTGGTGCTGTTGAGCTGGACCACCAGTAACCAACCAGATGGTTGTCTATCGGGTATTATGCTAGCTAATCTACCATAAGATCGACTCCCACTCCCCGCAATGCGTCTACCACCCACTGAGGGTAGTTGGTCTTTTCACCATACAGGTTGGCAAAGAACTCGCGCAAGAAGGCGGGAAACCGATCCTCCAAGATAGCCTGCCGCGCAGATCCCATTAAGGACAGCAGGTAGTGGACATTGTGCATGGTCAGACTAGTCATGTTAGCAAACTCTCAACCACACGCTGGATGACAAACAAACAGATGCGCTCCCACAGTCTCCTTCGCCGTCAGATGGTGGATATATGCACGCGTAATCCCAAGGCCGCCCTGATCTCGGGGCCGGCAGATGCTGCAAGTGCAGCCTTCTTGCACCGGCCGGAAGTCCTCCGCGTAGGACCGATGGCGCAGGTTGAGTGTCCCGCTGGGGACGATCGCATTGCCGAATCGCTGGTCCTCATTAGCTTTAGGCGACTTCACGCAGACAGGGAGACCTACAGCGGTTCGGGTGGGCCAGACACAATCAAACATGTCTGCACCGAGAGCGACACCGACAATCAGATCCTCTGGGTAGCCCTGTCGCTTGTTAGTCTCTACCTAGTGATGTACCGCGCGGCAGCCAACCTACCACTCCCATCACGTAGCGTGGCTTCCGCTCAGGAAGCAGTCCTGTACAAGTGTCCACCCTGTATCTATCAGCCCATGTCCACAGCCCGAATCGAACACCTTACACTTTGCAAAAGTCCTCCTTGGCCTCTCCGCCGGAAAGACCTCCGATAGCAATACCTGGCGTATCTCGAGCCACCATCTCTGCGCAGCATTGTTTGCGGAGCTCCAGATCCAAGCCGCCCTGAATGATACAGAAAAGATTTTGTCGTTCGGGGTATTTGTGTGCGTCGATGCACCGGTCCAGCCATCGAATCGAGCGCTCCATCGCTTCATGGATCCGGGCGTGGTCCGGGGAAGTGGTGGCGATCACGTCGTCCAGCTGCATGATAATGTCGGAACCAATGGAGTTTTGTAGGGAGATGGAGTGTTCGGGGGTGAGAAGCCTGAGTCATTAGAGACGAATCGCTCGCGTCATCGAGGAAGTACACACATCGGAGTGCCGTCGTGCGGACTAAGGAAGCGGACACCTTCTTCGGTGACTTGAGCGAGTTTGAGGAGAGACACCATCTGGAAACTACCCATTCGTGTTAGAGCCCGTCCGCCCGGGATCGCGCCGTATGCTTACCCTCCACTGTCCGTGAGGATATTCCGATCCCACCCCTGCAATTTGTGCGCACCACCGACCGCATCCAGTACTGCCTGGCCGGGCTTGAGGCCGAGATGGTAGGTGTTATTTAAGCAGAGCTGGCAGCCAGTCTGTCTGAGTTGGTCGTACGTCAACCCTTTCAAGGAGGCTTGTGTCGCAACGGGCATGAAGATGGGGAGGGGGACGTCGCCATGGGGGAGGTGAAGCGTGCTAGCGCGTGCTTTTGTGGTCTAGGAGGGAAATGTGATTAGCAAAAGACAATAAGTTGGCTGCATTCAAGAGAGCGCGAGCACCGACCGAGCATTTGGCATGTAGATCAAAGGTCAATGCAGAGGGCATTGGTTTGCGCGGGGGCACCGCTGTCGAGGTGGACATGGCGGCAACTCGAGCCCCGCTTGGGATTGCGACGAACGAGGCGCGGGACAGGAAAGGAGCTGAAGTCCTGGAGAGACGAGAAACGCTGCGTTTGCTGTTGCAGACCCTAGTGTATGTCATGAAGGGTTGAATTTGGTCGCGAGGGAAAATCAGTTATCGTTGGATTCGCCAAACGATTGTCGCAACAATCCGTTTTGCGTGATTTGCGCTGTTTGTCGGGTTTGTCCCCGCATTTGTCCGGTGCGGAGAACATCCATTGTTACTTATGCACTTTACTCTACAGGATAAATCATAGTATGAGCTCATGGGCGCTATTCAAGATGTTCTGCATTCATTGCTGCACAGATAGAGTATCAGTGTATGCTTCGATCGCGCTCCACGCCGCTGAATCAGGATGTGAATTTGCACAAGCAAGACAAGCACGGGTAGCGTAAGACAAACCAGTCTGAAATGCATACTTACACCCCATCGATCAACCAAGTACTTTTTCTAATCCTTTAATAGACTCTGCAGGACCTGCGCAGGTGTTCGCTGTGGAGCCGCGAGCTCCAACACTTCCTTGCTTGTAGTCGAGGCCGTGCACTCCCCTGCCCACGCCGTCTCAGGGGCGTGCTTGATCGACCAAACCACATTGCGCGACTGCTGACCCCCCATGTACTCCTGCGCAAGGAAGGCATCGAGGCCCGACAGGTCTTTGTAGCTAACGCTCTTGATCGGCACACCGATGATCTGCTCGACCAGTCCCACAACCTGCTCGCCGGTGATGTCCTCCGGCCCATTGAGGACATATTTGGCTTGATGATGGGGAGCAGGGTTATCCTGCGACAAAAGGCGTGCGGCAAAGATCCCAACCTCATCGGAATCAATCGCGGCCACGGGGGCCTCCTTGGACGCCATCAACCTCAGGGTTCCCTGTTCTCCAGTGAGACGATACTTCTTGATGAACTCCGCCGCGGGGCCCAAGTAGAAGCTCGAAAAGATATTGGGCTGCAGCGAGGTCCACTGTAAGCGGCCGAATGCTGGGGAACTCAGAAGGGTCTCGATGGCCCAGTGCGTGCGTGCATAGTAAGCCCCGCAGTCCGGGCGGACGTTCGCAGCGGTGGTCGAGATGCGAACCACATATTGGACCCCAGCCTGGAGCGCGGCGAGGTGAAAGGTGGATTCTTCCGCAAATTGATTCGGCTTGTTGTGGGATGCAATGAAGGCTCGGACTACCTCGTGGTGTTTGAGCCAGTCGGCGGTAATGTCCACCCAGTTCTGCTCCACTACCTCCACGCCCGGGAAGGTGGCGAGCTGCTGCGCGGTAGGGCTACTCGCAGCGCGCGTGAGAGCGAGTATGCGGTGATGTGACAGCGTTTTGCTCGTTGGTAGTAGTTTTGATAGGGTTTCGATAACACTGCGGCCGGTGTTGCCGGTGGCGCCGGCAATGAGGATAGTAGGAGCCATAATTCCGCTTGTTCGATGGTAAAAGGCACTGAGAGAAAACTCTTAACTGCATTGATATCTTTCTTACAATTGAAGAGGTGATAAAAGTTCACTGTTTCTTTGACCTAGGCGGACTTCCTCTACTAGCTCTTTTATACTTGTGCTTATGCTAGGGCTATTTGCAATATTGCGGGCCCGCCGGTGGGCGCTCCGGAGGGCATTCCGGGTGGGCACTCCGAGTGGCCTGCCCTTCTTCAGCATGACTTGACATATACCTGGAAACTCAGCATGCCCTGAAGACTTCCACAAAGCAACTTTCGAATCGACTGGTAGTTAGGATGATATGGATGATCTGACTAAGCCCGCAAGGCGGAAACACCGGATCCCTCTGTCCAAGTGTCCAAGTGTCCCACTGTCCAAGTATCCCCGCAATTCAGTATCATTTTACAAAAATGGCTCCCAAGACATCATATCAGTGTCGATTTCCTCGCTGTATCGCGAGCTATCAGCGAAAAGAGCATCGCCGTCGTCATGAGGCGCAACATACCCGCCAGCAGCTTCCACGGTGTCCCACTTGCAGCCAGGAATTTGGTCGGAGGTAAAGCCTTTTCCCATGCCTACTTTAACTTACAAGAGACATAGTTCAACGAGACCTATATTTAGGGACTCACTGCGACGACATATGCGAGCTGTACATGGGCTTTCAGAGTCCGGGCCTGCTGTCAAACACGCCTGCACCCGCTGTCGGACTCAAAAAGCTCGATGTCAAGGGGGTCCACCATGCAGTAATTGCCTGCACCGAGGCATTCGCTGTTCGTTGGATTCACAGTTAGCACAGCAACCCGCGGATAGCTCAACAGACACATCCTTGCGGATGCTTCCGCGACCGAACGCCTCCGAAGTTGTAACCGTTGCTCCCTTCGAGCGGGACAAGCATTTTCTCGGTCTATACTTCAAGCTGTTCCACCCTCACTGGTCCTTCAATCACCGGGGGTCCTTTCACGAGAGCGCCGAAACCCCCTTGCTGGTGCAGTCGATGATAGCCTTAGGTATGTGGGTAAGTGGGGAGAAAGATGCACAGTCAAAGGCCATTGAGATCCACCGCGTCCTGGACTCCGCCATACGTCAGCAGCGAGTATGTTAGGCCCTTTGTTCTGTTGCATTGTCCCCGTCTAAGGCATCCACAACTTTAAAGAGAACCAAGAGAAAAAAATTGTCACTGACTAGAAGAAATCTCAACTTCAGCATGTATGGGATGTTTCCGCCTCCCAGAACGCAAGCATGGGGATTTGTTCCTGGCCCGTCCCAACGTACCAGGCTATCCTACTCCATATCATCTTTGCTGCGCTACATAGAGACAACACCGGCCCCCTGAGTCTCGACTTGCAGCCCTCCCTCGATCCCGCAGCCGCCGCTCTACTGCACTGGCTGGTCGCGAGTTGCAAGAAACTGGGCATGCTGTATTATCCCAACGTGCTCAGTCGATATTGCCAAGACTATCCTGCGGCATATATCTGGGTCAGCATTGAAGAGGTCAAGAGGTTCAATCTGGCTGTGTTCAAGGTCTGCAGGACCTTTGGCTGCAGCACAGGCCTCCATGTGAGCGACTTACAGTTCCCTTTACCGGAGAACAATCCGCTGTGGAACGCGGCAGGCAAAGCCGAATGGATTGCCGCCGGTGCGGAGAATGTGCTTCGCGATGGTCTGGAAGATCCTTCGCCAAGAGAATGGATTTCGAATTCCGCAAGTGATATCATGAAGGCTCTAACATAACTATCGCTAGTAGGATTACATACAGCTTAGATAATGTGAAGTGGTAGGAGAGCCTTCTAAGTCAAAGTAAATCTCCTGTGGATCGTCTCCTCTTCCTCATACTCATAATGATTATAGAACCTGCAATAGCAGTCATAATAATAATCAGACTACGACCGTCAAACTACTGAATCAATTGCACGTTACGGGAGTAGAAAGTCCGCACTTCCTTGAGGGCCAGGAATCTCGCCCACCAGCGCAGCCTTTCATCAAACCAGTCATCGAGATAGTCCTTCGGTGGGGCATCCTCATATAGCCGGGTGTCACTTCGCATCTGCATGATGGCGCCGTATCCTGCCCTCCACTTCGCAACGGAGGACAGCTCCGGGTTGACTACTCTTGTGGAGCACCGCTCAAACTCGGCGAATCCCTTACATCTGTATAAGCGAGTGCCACAGCTTATACTCCTCGAGACAGACTGCCAACGAGCGTATAGTCTGTTGCCCAGGGATCAGTCTGCGGGGCTGACGAAGGCCTGTCTGGCACCCCAGGTGCCACTGTGACCCTCATCACTATGGATCATTTCTGGTAAGTATTCTGCAGTCGGACAAGACCTGGACACTCACCCGCAAGGGATATACTTCCCCACCCCAGCCCAGGCGATCCACTGGGCTTAGCCCAACGCGCGAACACTTGCCAGACAGTACGCAGCCATAGCAGACACTGCGGTTTTCGTCGCAGATTGGACCACGTGGTGATGGTCGCAACCGCACCAAGGCATATGACCCCCGGAATGAGGCCCAAAGCACTAATACAGAGGTACCGAATAAACACCCAGACATTTACTGGCACCAGATGTATGGTTTCCTATTCGCGCTGAATTGCGGGGGAGGGAAATGCGGGGTGGCTTAGGGTGCAGACACTACAAGATATGTAATTCAGCCTATGACAGATTAGTACTGTACATCCGTGGCAACTGAGTAAATTTGGAGTACATCCTCGCAACTGGTTTTCGACGCTACTGCAGTGTGATATGAGAGGACGTCCGAAGTTATGTATTCTTATCTACTTGAAGGATGGCGACTTGAAGTATGGAGACACCCGATAGAACCGATAGATCCTCGCGCGGTGACGTCGCGGCTTTTCCGAGATGGTCGAGAATGGCTACCACTTCCGAGATCGGACTCTCGCAGCTTGTCTGGCTTGATGTGGTTGAGGGTATCTGATGCTCAGATGCTCAATCTGAGGTTATGTTAAAGGCGGGGCTGAAGCCCTGAAGTCACTGTCTCATCGTCCGCTACTCACATTCTTCTCATCTCCTCTACTTTCACACTTACCACCATGATAGGAGGCAAGCTTGTGTCTCCGTGGCTAAGTAAGATCAGATATACATGAGTAAGTGGCTGATGGTTAGTTAGGTCTATACCTACCAGGCAATCAACCTGTCATGGCCCTGTCATTTCGGAAAGGCCAGACAGCCAGCTCTCACCTGTCGTGCGGGGCAATAGTGAGCATTACCGCTGAAGAATTCTTCTCCCATGAAATTGACCTTCAAGTCACCGGATTCGACTTGATCTCTTAATGAAAGAAGAACACTTCTTTCGCTATGGGTGTATTAACCCCGATCGCCAGCTTGTCACAAGAAGGCGCCAAAGTATTCATCCGAAAAATATAGGCCATCACTCACTCTTTTCTTCTATCAGCTATGGACTCAGCACCAAGACCGCCAGACATCCAAGGCGAAGTTTCTAGCTTCACAAGAAAAGCAACGCGCGCTCCAAGCCATCACTCAAGAAAATACTGCCATGTTGCAGGCGGTCCGGAGGGTGGCTGAGCTGATTGAGACGAAGGAGACCATCGTCGTTGCGGATGCCTTCAATTCCACCGCGGCTTTCCTTTCTATGTTCCAGGCCGCAGCAGTCTTTTCCGTCGCGTTATGTCTTCTCAGAGCTGATGACGCTGTCAGAAGAGTCGGTTCCAGTCTAGAACAGATTCGCGGCGAGCTCACCATGGCGAATCTCGCAAGGGTGCAGGGCTGGGGGGCGTTGGGATTTGGTGGACATGTGCATGGCTTTGTCAAGAACGAGCTCGGAAAGTACGCCAGGGCTAAGGACGGACGCCGTTCACTACTTCTATGTGTGGCATTTTGACACCGACTGGTACCAATACTTCGAGGATGCCAATCTACAATCGCCCCTTGGTCCCGAGTTTGGGGGCTACGGTCATGACCTAGTCGCCCTGTGTCTGAGGATGCGGACGGACAGAGAAACCCTGATCGAGACAACCGACTATGGACGCACTGCCATTTTCCACCTTCTGGTGCCAGCCTATGAAGGGACCGTCATCAGCGCGCCTTTTGTGTTCCACGAGGGTCTGATGCCGCTGACTATAACTGGGCAGAGACATGGTGGGGTGGATCGTGTCTGGTTTAATCTGCGTCGGCAACCCCGAGATTTGCGTCTAGAGTTTGTGAGTATTTTGGAACGCGAAGAGAAATCAATAGAGAAGATCGGCCTCGTGGGCTTGGTGGCTTGCTGGTTTGGAGTGGCTGGCTGTGCAGTCGCGATGGGCGCATGCCCCCCGAGGTGATCCGGGCTTATAGAATAATCACATTCTATATGGTTCGTCGTATCTGAAATATGATCCGGCTGCACAGCGAAAGCGAAACTTCATCGGGATGAACAATATACACATAGTCCGTATCTACCGTGACAGCTGCCTTGATGCTCCGGCTGAAGAAGGATTGACGGATACTAAACCCTGGAAGACTGCATTAGTGCCTCGGCAGTGGAAGGAGATGGGATGATTCCTGCATCGGACCAAAGGGACGACCGTCTTCCTCCGAGCATAGTTAGACAAGCAATCATTTCCCCGCCTCCTCCTCTTCCCTCTCTTCCTCATCTCATCTCACAGAAATTTCCTCATTTCTACCTTTCGCTGGCTGGCTCGCTCAGTCTTCAGTCGCAAACAGACAATGAGAGTGCCCTACCGCAGCCATAATGAAGCTCCTCCTGGCTCAGGTAAGACGCCCGGCGATCCAAGCACCCTGCAGGCAACTCCGAGTGCTGCAGGACGGGGCTACAGCCTCAAGGAGATGGCAACACAACGACCGCTCTGCCTCTTCTTCAGATCTATTTAACGACACATCAGGGCGATGGATGTATGTCACCCTTTGCCCTTATACTATCATGAGCGCGACCGCACATGCATCAGAAACTGACCGTGCAACAGTTACGACGAACACCTCCGCAAATCTCAACGACGGCGACCGTTCAACGTAGATGAGCTGAAACGTCTGGCTGCATCCTCAATCAATGCCCCCGCGTCGGAGGTCGTGGATCTACAGAAACTCGGCGAGGGCGGCTTCAACCGCACCTTTCTCGTCACCATGCGTGATGGCTTCCAACTCGTGGCACGCATTCCTTACCCCGTCACGGAGCCCAAGTACCTCTTAGTCGCGAGTGAGGTAGCTACCATCAATTATCTACGCCGCCGGGGGTTCCCTGTACCTCGCATCTACGGATACTCAGCGACAGCGGATAATGCCGCGGGCACGGAGTATATCTTCATGGAACGCGCGTCGGGACGGTCTTTGACTGAGCGTTGGTTCGACTTATCCGAAAAGGAGCTGGCAGGGTTAGTGGAAAAGCTTGTTGCGTGGGAGGCGAGGCTGTTTGCGCTCGAGTTCCCGGCTAGTGGGAGTATCTTCATGGAGCGGGACCTGCGGTGCATGGAGACGGTGCCTATTCCGGGCGAGGAGGGCTTCGTGCCAGAAGGCCAATTTTGCATTGGACCCGAGGTCACAAGGGGTCTCTGGTTGGGACAACGACGCATTTTGCCCGTTCACCGAGGACCATGTAAGTCATCCCCCAACAATCTTGTGTCTGCACAAAGACTGACCGACTTCGGGTGTAGACACGAGCCCGGTGGAGGCGCTGACTGCCGGCGCTAGGAAGGAGATTGCCTATCTCGAAGAATATGGTCAGCCGGTGCAATCGTCGAAACATCGGTCACCTCATCAACCATATAAGCAGTCGCCCAGAGAGTATATCAATAGTCTCGCTGATTATCTTCGAATTGCACCGTACTTAGTTCCGAGCGATACGTCCCTAACGCGACATACGATTCGTCATCCAGATCTGCAGCCCAGTAACATCTTTGTCGACGATGATCTAGAAATCACGGCCCTGATCGACTGGCAATATACTAACATTCGCCCACTGTTCTTACAGTGCGGAGTTCCGACCAATCTCCAGAGCGCGGATGGTGATAGTCCTAATCTGCTGCAAGAACCAAGTTTGCCAGAGAGGTTGGACATGCTAAGTGAAGCGGAGAAAAGCCGCGAACGGGAGCTTTTTCGCAGCCGCTGGCTGCATTACTGCTATCTCAACTCAACAGCCAAGCTCAATCGGCCCCACCAGGCGGCCTTGACGGGAGATCTGGGGGTGTTGAGGCAAAAATTGTGCAATCAGGCTGCTGTTCCCTGGGATGGGGACAATGTCACCCTCAAAGCAGACTTGATTCAGTTGACGATGAATTGGGAACGACTGGCGCGGTCGGAAGATAGCGATGACTCGACCTGTCCGATCACGTATGATAAGGACGAGGCGAACAAGTGTTTAGAGCTGAGTTCTGCGCAGATGGAGTTCAATGAGCAAGACCAATGGTCGAGGCACGCACTAGGTGTCGGGTCTGAGGGATGGGTGCCAGCTGAGCGGTACGAGTATGTAAAAGCATGCGAAGAGCTTTTGAGAGTTGATGAATTTGCTGCTGCTGGTTCTGGTAGAGAACGAGCTCTAGGATGTTGAATGCTGGAAAATCATTTGTTGATTGATGGTATGGGGTCACGAAGAAGGATTTATCATGACGGGGTTTGGTTGAGGTCTCGTCCATTGTTGCTTAAATGAGGCTGCATCAAGTGGCAAATCGAGATCTGCTAGTAGGTGAAGTCCAGCTTTGACAGGCAGTCGAACATCGCAAGAAGCGAGATTGATTTGGATCTTTCTCTCCCCTGCTTCCAGCATCGCAGGGCCAAGTCTGACGTGCTCAAGATAATTTGGATCTTTTATTCGAATGTTTTGGTGTCATTGGATAATCCACAACGGAGTTTTCATGAATCACAGTCGGCATCTACCTGACTATCCTCAACAATAACACCGAGCATCATGATGCGTAGTCGATAGTCTAGACAGTCGGGGTTGATGCACGAACAGTGGATTGGTCTGATAAAGCCCCTCCTGTACCGGAGAAAACGTGTCCTGGGGACCTACTCGATGTCTTGCATGTCTTAGTGTTATCTTTCTTAGTGTTATCTTGTACGAATTGCGGAAGATCCTTGTCCATGCTGACGGGCTAGTGCTCCAGGGAAAGAGTGGGCCTTCGCTTCGACGGTGAACACACAACGGTCTCGAACTACAGAGTACTGTGGTAATTTCCACCTTGCATAAAGACACTACTCCGTAGAAAGGTGCAGTTTCCGATCGGGCAAAGTGGGCTGAAAATAGATTAGGGACAGGCATTCTGATCCCTTGCTTTTGGCAGCTTGGCTCGATGAAGGCGCGAAAGGGGCGACTAGACCTGGTTGGGCATAATTCCGTACAAGTCTGCTCCCGACTTTACTCTTGGCTCATCAGCATTGAGGAGTCGCAATGACTGCAGTTCATCTGGTGAGGGTGAGTTGGCGTGGTTGACACATTCCCGAGGGGTTTTCAGCAGTTCATGGCCCTGCCCCTGGACTGAGATTGAGATTGGTTTCTCTGGATCTAGGCTGATCCGTGGATCCTGGGCGGGCTTAAATCAAGGTTCCATCGCGTTGATCAACACGAGATGCGATCGACATTGTTAAGTCGGTTGACCGATGCGCGATGAGGAGCTGCAATATAGTCACGATGACTTCATGTGCCAGGCAAACGACGTACTTCAGGATTCAGGTAGGTCGGGTAGTGTCTAGCTCGAGAGATTGCAGCATACTGGGGAAGCAATGATGGGGACTGAATCCACTTGGATTGCATCATGAAGAGGAGGCAGTGGGCCCAGGAACGAGGTTTATTGGGCCTAGTGGGCTGCATATTTTTACCACCAGTCAATCTGACAGGGCGTCCTCACGCATCCGGGCATGGCCGATGAGCGATGGGTAGCAGCTGAGATTATGGTGGTCGGGGAGAATAAGTCATTAGGTATAGTGTGTGTGTGATGCAGGAAATAATAATCGAGAACAAGAAAAGCGCGGAGCATGACAGGGTCAGCAGAGAGGAAGTGAATGGGATGAAGAGCACAAAGTAGAGTGAGAGAGAGAGAAAGATTTCACTGTAGAAAAGAAGTAACTACTGTTTAGGCGATAGTCACCGCCAGGCCGCGCAACTCCCTTTCATTCATCCCGCCCGCAACCGGCTTCCAATCTCTCTCTCCCCATCCTCGCTCCCTCCCTCCCTCAATCTTTCGCTTCGTCTTCGGGCTTCCTTCCAAGGTTGCTGCTTACTGTCTCTCTCTCTTTCTCCCTCCCCGCCCCTCCCTCCCTCCCTCCTCCCCATCCAACTTCGGGGGTTCAACTCTTCCCACCTTTGAAACACACTATCCACAATAACCTCAGTGTTTTCCCTCTCCACCCTTTCCTCCCCCCTCTCCCCCCCCTCTCTGGGATCTTATCTCTCTCTCTCGTCATTCGTTCCACCTCTTCAATTCCTCTCTCATTCTCCTCCTACTTTGTCCACCTCTCGTTTGAACCTGTCTGTCGACATATCATGGTTCACGGCTGTCAGTAAACATTCCTCTCGACGGTCCCCACCGCCCATTCCTCTCAGTCTCCGAAAGCAGTCGTCATGGCCCCTTGGCCTCAGGCCTGGACCGCCAGTCATGCTACTGCCAGACCTTCCAGATTGCGATCCCTGCCTTTGATCGCCTACCTCTCGCTACTCCTCGCCTCAACCATCGCCAATGCGCAAACTGTCGCTATCCTACCTTCCACTGCCTCTGCCTCCTTTCCCTCATGCGGCCTGACCTGCTTCGCCCTCCGTCAAGCCCAGCAAGAATGCTTGCTCCCCGCTGATTCACAAACGAATTCCGCTACTGATACGGAATGCTTCTGTCATTCGCATAACCTCACCGAGCTTCATACCTCCTCCGACTCGATCTGCGACGATACTTGCACCAACGCCTCCGATCGCTCGTTAATACAGACATGGTACAGCAACTACTGCGCTCTCGAAGCTCCTCTCACCCAACCCGAAACGAATGGTAAGGAGGAGGAAAATTGGCAGGCCCATTCCGCTCAATCAGTCACCAAGATTCGCGCATACCGGAGAAATGACGCTTCTCAGGCTTGGTAGGTGCACCTCGAGGGTTTTGCTGTCTAGTTGGGCACAATTGGCTGACGTATTGTGCTTCAGGTGGTCAACACACTACAAATGGGTGATTATGGTCATCATCCTAGTCGTCGGGTTCACCATCATCAGCGTGGTGGGCGTATGGGCGAAGCGCCGCCATGATCGGAAGTACCCAGGCTTGTATCACGCCGCAGCGACCGGTGGTACAGACAGCGCGTTGCTGGCCGCCCGCCAACAAGAGGCCAGTCCCTCACCGGGTCCTGATCTCCGCGCTCCGGGTCAGTTCATGCCCGGTCGCTACGACCCCGTGCAGAACCCGGAATCTATCGCTAGCAGCTCACGCACCAACGTCGCTGCTGCTGCTCCTGTTCCCGGGCCCCGACCCGCTCGCACGCCATCCCGTCTGCAGAAGGCGCAGACCGTATCTGAAGGTGACACCGAAATCCGCGAAGTGGCTCGATGAAACCAGATCACGGGCCTCGTATTTGAGCCCAATTAGTCATCCCGCGAATCCTCTGTGTTCTGTCCATTTGCCGTGACTTTCTTTTCATTCAACGATAGCAAATCATGGATTCCATCTTATTCTTCGCTTTTTTCAACTCTTACGGCAACACATCTGCCGTGAACCAACAGCAGACGCCTTTATGGACAAAAACGGGCCTGTCCCGCTGATCTTTGCATATATCCGGCGTTTCACTGTGTCTATAAGGGTATTTTATTGCAGTACAGTACCAGTGATCCTTTTTTCCCCCTGCACAGTATGAGGTATCACTTTCCTTCGTTTGTTGAAAACGCCATCCTGTTCCAAGTTTTGTGCATAGTTACTGGTTCAGGCATCCTATTTGGCTCTGTCTCACGTCATTGCGATCGAAAATCTATTCTTCTCTCACTCATGTCGTACTCTCGCACATCTCCAGCAAGGGATCATGGGGATCAATCTTCTACGGTGTTTTACTGTATCACAGGAACTGAAGTTGAGGTTGTCTCCGTTGATGATGATTTTCTTTCAACTTGTGACATCTCGGACTGGGAACATGTACCCGCGATACCGGAAGTTTAGTAGGTATGCTTGATTATGCCAGGTTCAAATATCAAAAGGAACTCATGTCGCTCATTGCCAATGCGAAGACTGTATAGCAAATATCCAGAAACAAACCTACGTATATCGAAAAAAATCGTGATTCGTACAAGGATGCTCAATGCGGGTGATGGATATAATCTAGATGTACAGGGAACCCAGCATAGGAGACCAAGCCAAAACTGTGGAAAGAAAGGGAAGGGCCAGTGTCGACGATATTTCATCAGCCGTTTCAACTTGTGGAGTCTGCTTCCCCTCTCACGAGACCGTGATACTGACGATTTTGATATCCTGCTCGGGCTTCTCCTTGTACGTCTTGGTGTTCTCGATCTTATGCACGACATCGAGGCCCTGCACCGCGCGGCCGAAGACGGTGTGCTTGCCGTCCAGCCAGGGCGTCTTCTCCGTGGTGATGAAGAACTGGCTGCCGTTGGTGTTGGGGCCGGCGTTGGCCATGGAGAGGGTGTAGGGTTTGTCGTGCTTGAGGCTGGAGAACTCGTCCTCGAACTCGCCGCCCCAGATGGACTCGCCGCCGGTGCCGTCGCCGAGCGGGTCGCCGCCTTGGATCATGAACTTGCGGATCACGCGGTGGAAGATGGTGTTGTTGTAATAGCCGTTGCGGGCATGCGTGGTGAAGTTCTCGACCGCCTTGGGCGCGGCGGAGGGGTACAGCCGCAGGTGGATGTCGCCCATGGTGGTGTGCAGGACGGCCGACGTGCCAAGCTCGGCGGTCTTCTGGGCGGTGGCCTCGCGGCCGGAGGCGGCCTCGCGCGGTCGCTCGTTCTGGACGTCGCGGGTGGATTTGGAGACGTCGGTGTCGTTCGTGAAGAGGTAGAAGCGGAGTTTGCCGTAGCCGGTGCTGATGAGGAGCGGGTCGCGCTCTTCGGATTCCTGGAGGAGGGGATTGGCGCTGGCGGCCATGGAGACGGTCACGACTCCCTTCTTCTGGGGCTGGCCTTGGTACATGGCGAGGTTGAGGGCCCGGAAGGGCTCGTCTTTGGCGTAGACCCGGACCACCCGGTTGGTGTAGGTGTTGATGCACTTGACGCCGTGGAGGGAGCCGTACAGGATGAAGTGGCCCGATTCGTCAAAGAGGACGTTGACTTTCGGCTTGGTGATGGGGTTCTCGAGCTCGCGCTCGACCGCTAACCGCCGGCCGAACTCGACCTCGTCGAGCTGGTAGAGCGCTGTGCCGGCCTGCTGCATCTCCATGATGGTGGTGAGAGACTCATCGTACTTGCGGTAGAGCTTTCCGGTAGCGAAGTCAAAGATGCGGATTTGGCGGTCGGGGAACGAGATCGTCGCGAATTGCTCGCCGGAAGGTGAGATGGATATGGATGCGGGAGTAGACTTGGATTTCTTGAACTCGAAGAGGTTGGTGGAGGACTTAAGCTCAAACACATTGTCTGGTTTTTCGAACGAGCCGTCACCCGCCCGCCAATACTCGATCATGCCAGACTCATCAGCGGAGATGACACAGTCGTAGGCGTCGTTGAAGGCAATAGCGACTATAGGACTGCGATGGATGGTTTTGACAGTGTGTAACGGGGTAGGGTTCTCGCCGCGGCCGTCGAAGAACTGGATCATGCTGCTCTCTTCGTCGGTCACCGCAAGGAGCGGCAATGAGGCGCCACGGCGATGCACCCAGCAAACACACCGCGGGTTGAAATCGACTGTTAGCATAGCCAATAGATCTACACCCGAGTTAGACTGAGTTGCACCGACTCCAGACTGAAAGACATACCAAAAGTAATTACATCGAATATCTTAATCGTCTTGTCGGCACCAGTCGTCGCGAAGCTTCGGCCATCGGCACTAACGCTGACATGCTTGATCTCCGTGGCATGCGCCTTGAACTCTTTCACAAACTCAACCCCAACTGCCATTTTCTTCCAGAACTTAACGACGCCATCGATGGAGGAGGTGATCAGGAAGTCCGTATGCGGAGTCACTGTGAGGAAGGACAATTGGTCCTTGTGCATGAGGGATTTCGAATACCGGGGCGATGCCGGGAGCGCATTCACGTAAACTTTCTCGAAAGGGAGCTTGCGGCGCTTTTTCTTAGGAGCATCTGCAGAGGGAAGAGCTGGACCGAAGTCATCATCGGATGAATCGTCGTCGCCTGCGCAAATAAAGTCAGTAGCTGATCGAGCTGGAGCTCTTGTTGCGCAACTGTACTGATTCTCCGGGAGTCGTGCAGACGTACCATCCTGATCGCCACCATCAACGGCGGATATGGGACGCTTGGTCGACGCCAATCTCTGCTCCTCTTCAGCAGGCATTGTGGGTGTTAGCAATTAGTATAGAGTGAGGGAATGACTGGGGGGAAACTGTCCAAGGGACAATAGCGATGAGCAACGGGAAACCGGCGACAGTCGGGGCGGGCGGTCAACCGGGGCAGTATCACGAACTTTTCTGGTTTGTCCCGCAATGGCGGCAGTTGGCCGTTCTCTGCGTCCTCACCGTCTAGGTTAAGCAACCCCCTGAGCTGCCAGCCTTTCTCCCCCGACGGTAGCCATCTTTTCTACTATCTACAGTCATCATGGTGGGTTTCTTTGCTAGCGTCTGTACTTATTCCACGGATAGTTCTAACCCATGCTTAGGCGTCCTTCGCCAATCCCACGCAGATCTTCGCCGACGATGTGATCGAGGAGAAAGGAGAAAATGCTCGTCTGTCTGCCTTCGTCGGTGCTATCGCCGTTGGTGACCTTGTGAAGAGTACTCTGGGTCCCAAGGGAATGGACAAGATCCTCCAGTCAGCGTATGTGAAATGATTGAGAGAAAGGAATGGCGGGGTTGTCGAGCGCGGGCAGCATGCTAATCATAGTATCGCCTTCAGGTCGACCGGCGATATCTTGGTCACGAACGACGGTGCCACAATTCTGAAGTCGATTGCCCTCGACAACGCAGCAGCCAAGGTTCTGGTCAACATCTCGAAAGTTCAGGATGACGAAGTTGGTGACGGCACAACCTCCGTGACAGTGTTGGCGGCGGAGCTGCTGCGGGAAGCCGAGAAGCTGGTCAACCGCAAGATCCACCCTCAGACTATCATCGAAGGTTACCGGATAGCCAGCAAGGCTGCTTTGGAGGCTCTGGAGAAGGCTGCCGTCGATCGTAGCACGGACAAGGAGCTCTTCCGCAAGGATCTGCACTCCATCGCTCGCACAACTCTCAGCTCCAAGGTTTTGGCCCAAGACCGCGAACACTTCGCTACCCTCGCCTGCGATGCTGTTCTCCGACTCCGCGGTTCGACCGACCTCAGCCACATTCAGATCATCAAGAAGGCCGGTGGCAAGCTCAGCGATTCCTATCTCGATGAGGGTTTCATCCTCGATAAGAAGATTGGTGTGAACCAGCCCAAGCGCTTGGAGAACGCCAAGATCCTGGTCGCCAACACTGCTATGGACACGGACAAGGTCAAGATCTTTGGTGCTCGGGTGAAGGTCGAGTCGACGGGCAAGCTGGCCGAGCTGGAGAAGGCCGAGCGTGAGAAGATGAAGGCCAAGGTTGAGCGGATTAAGGCCCACGGCATCAACTGCTTTGTCAACCGTCAGCTTATCTACAACTGGCCTGAGCAATTGTTCACGGAAGCCGGTATCATGTCCATCGAGCATGCCGACTTTGACGGCGTCGAGCGCTTGGCCCTGGTTACCGGTGGTGAGATTGCCTCGACGTTTGACCACCCCGACCAGGTCAAGTTGGGTCACTGCGATGTTATTGAGGAGGTCATTATCGGCGAGGATACCCTGATCAAGTTCTCGGGCGTGGCTGCCGGTCAGGCATGCACCATTGTGCTCCGTGGTGCCACGGAGCAGCTTCTCGACGAAGCCGAACGCTCTCTTCACGATGCTTTGGCTGTTCTCTCCCAGACGGTCAAGGACCCCCGTGTGACTCTTGGAGGTGGATGTGCCGAGATGGTTATGGCCAAGGCAGTGGAGCAGGCCGCTCAGAACACAACGGGCAAGAAGCAGCTGGCCGTCGACTCCTTCGCCATTGCCTTGAAGCAGCTGCCCACCACTCTGGCCGACAACGCTGGCTTGGACTCTAGCGATCTCGTGACTCGCTTGCGCCAGGCCATCAACAACGGTATGACCAGCTCTGGATTGGACCTGCTCACGCCTGGAGGCGGCATTGCCGATATGCGCGAGCTGGGTGTTGTAGAGGCCTACAAATTGAAGAAGGCGGTTGTTTCTTCCGCATCTGAAGCCGCAGAGGTAAGAGTGACTCTTTTTCTGACTTAGATTGTCTATGGTTCACGCTAACATGCTCCTCTTGTGCAGCTTCTTCTACGTGTCGACAACATCATCCGGGCGGCACCCCGTAGACGTGACCGGGTCTAAGGAGGGTCTTATGTGAATATGATTCCAGGGGCGGTATCAAAAGCGTAATAAATAAACTCTCAAGATTTTAGTAATGAACCGGTCAAAATCGAGCTTCTGAACCGGAGCGCAATAATGACTGTTTCATGGACAGGGCTTACTTTGTCCCTGAAATTCCTGGTGGCCATGACGCACGTACTGTATCCATGCTGGAGAACGAATCCGTAAAACTTAGCAGAGCTTGGCTGAATCCATTCATTGTATCTGTTGTCACGACTGTGCGATTGCTGCGTGATAACGCCACATAGTAGGAAAAAGCTCTCTCGGAAGCCATGGTAGATAACCTACTAATTAGTATATTTCATGTTTCACTAAACCCACCCCAGGCACTACAGGTTGCAGGGATGTTGCAGCTGCATCAGGTACTCACTCAGTAGTACGGTCGGAGGATATATAAAGTGCAGCCGCTTGGACAGCTCCGGTTATCACCACGTCAATAGAAGCGCAAGTTCCATCAGAGAAAAGTCATGTGGGAAGGAAGATCTTTTTCCGACCATTGAAACGTAGAATTGGAGGCCATATTGAGTATCATGAGTGTCTGACTAGTAGAAGGAAGAGGTGGGTGGGTGCCTGAGTGCTGGTGCGGGAGATCCACTGGACCCTTTTTTCCCTCTCGCTCCCCCGCAACCGGACTTGGTTTAGTTTAATTTAGTTTACTTGGTCTGAGGTTGTAGTAGTAGGAAGACAAAGTAACTATCAATGATCCTATTTTTACCCTACCATCACGAAAGAACATCAAGGTAACACTACCTGGCAGCCAAATAGCCTAATGCCGTCATGTCTCTACCACTATTACTCTACTACCTACCCTCCCTAGCCTCTTACTTCTTCTCCTTTTCTCTCTTCCTTTCCATCCTCAACCCTTGTGCTACTCTTCAATCTGACTCTTGCGCTCTATTCATGAACCCCATACATATTTCGAGTCATCCCCTCCATTCCTCATCTCTGTGCTCAGCCACTCCATTCCGCTTTCGGCTGCGGCCGCTTGAGTCCTCGCTAAAGGCCACATCTTATACAATTCACAAGGGATGACTTTGTCCCATCGCTGGTGGACGGCAGTGCTGGCCGTCCTTGCCGTCAACCGGGCAACAGTGACAGCCTTACAATTAGATATCAATGATGAGCGTAAGCGCACATCCCTGGTGTACTTTACCTACCCTCTATAGCCCCAATGCTGACCTGGTGCGCTTACAGAATCTATCAAGAATGCGGCCGCGACGGCAGCCTACAACATGATGAGCTACTACCACGGAAATCTCTCCGGCCAGATTCCCGGGAAGCTCGAGGATACCTGGTGGGAAGGAGGAGCCATGTTCATGACCTTGATCCAGTATTGGTTCTGGACCGGCGATACCTCGTACAATGCAGTCACCACTGAAGGCATGCTCTGGCAAAAGGGCCAGAACGACTACTTCCCCGCCAACTACAGTAACTACCTTGGAAACGACGACCAGGTATTTTGGGGTCTGGCCGCTATGACGGCGGCCGAGTTGAATTACCCAGAGGAGGATGGACAGCCCTCGTGGCTGTCGCTCGCCCAGGGTGTCTTTAACACCCAAGTGCCCCGCTGGGATACCACTAGTTGTCAGGGTGGGTTGCGCTGGCAGCTGTGGCCCTACCAGGCGGGTTACACCACCAAGAATGCCATCTCCAACGGCGGTCTCTTTCAGCTGGCGGCGCGCCTGGGGCGCTACACCAACAACGAGACATATAGCAACTGGGCGGAGAAAATCTACGACTGGATGGCAACCACCCCGCTCTTGAGACAAGATGAGTGGTCTATTGCTGATACGACCACCACGCAAACGAACTGCAAGGACCATGGAGATCTCCAGTGGACGTATAACTATGGAACGTATATCAGCGGAGTTGCGTATATGTATAACCTGGTATGATTGTGCCGTGCCCAGATAGTCTCCGTGAAAGGATACGGCAAGCTAACGAGGCTCAGACCAATGGTGCAGACAAGTGGAAGACAGCGCTCGACGGCTTGCTCGGCACTGCCTTGCAAAAGTTCTTTCCGCAAGAGTTCGGCGGAAACATCATGTCCGAAATCTCGTGCGAACCGAATATGATGTGCGATCGGAACCAAGACTGCTTCAAGGGGTTTCTGTCGTCCTGGTTGACATTCACAACCACCATTGCACCTTACACGGCGGGCCAGATTCTGCCTAAGATTCAGCAATCGGCCCTGGCGGCCGCAAAGCAATGCTCTGGCGGCCAGTCGGGAACGCAATGCGGCCGACGCTGGCACCAGGATACCTGGGATGGAGAGACATCGCTAGAATCCGATATGAGCGCGCTGAGCGTCTTCTCATCTAACATGATCATCCACAAGAGCCAGAAAAAGAGTCAGGCGCCATTGACGTCGGATACTGGCGGCACCAGCAAGAGTGATCCCAACGCAGGCACCGCGCCGAAAAACCCGCCCAACGAACTGTCTGAGATCACAGCGGGGGATCGAGCTGGTGCTTCGATAGTGACGGTTGTGTTTGTGAGCATTTGGGTGGCTGCTGTGGCCTGGATGGTTTATGGAGGTTAGAGTGCAGCGGGTGTAGTATTTCCTGTTCTGTCGTTGTCTTGTATATAGGAATCGCTTCGGGATTCGCGCGGTACTAGATTGCTTTTTGCTAGTTGAATGGCTAATAGTGAACTGTGCTCCATGGCTACCTCTATCGGTATTTGAGTAAGGCCTAATTTCTTCGTCTTCCTTGTTTGCGGTGAACCGACACCAGCAATGGGCTTGATGCCATGGAGAATTGTGCTTAAGGTATCCTTTGAATAGCCGGTCTTAAAAGAATGAACAAACCTTCTAGTTGGGCACGAGTGACCCAGGTCTTGTACTACGTCGATGGAGCCTATCTACCAGACACTACAATAACAAATTCCAGAGTAACTCGCGAGCAAGATTGTGCTTCATTGGTAATATTGTCTCCAGCTGCTAAGGCTAAGGTAAAGAAATCCCTCGGGGCAACAAGCCAGACATAATGGCTTCGCTGGTCCCCAACGAAGAATCTCGGTCGATATTGATAGACACACACCTCCCAATTCCAATCGGATGGTTCCTTGTCCCAAAAGGATGGTTAGAGGCGGGGACAGGTCAGCATCGCCCGGGATGGTCAACCGAAGTCGACCGTCCACGAGAACTGCCAAGCTAAACGCCTTTCTTCATCTTGGATTTAGTTGTGTGATGAAGAAGGAAAAGAAAAGCAGAAGAGTCGAAAATCAGCACGACGAAAGAAAAGAAAAAATATTCCCCTCGGCAAGCGGCATCTCAGTTTATCCGGATGCACGTACCGCCCGGGGATGCTAGTCTGGTTTGGGACTAGTGGATACAGCTTCCCGCGGGCAACGGAGATGCTGATAGGAAGCGCAAGTTGCCCTTGGACTCGGAGTGTCGCCTTCGTCCCTCGCTGCTCCTCCTCGTTTGTCTTCCCCGTCCATATAATTCCCGGGGAAAGTACCTTTCGTTTTCTCTCCCAAGTGTCCAGTGATTGATTGATCAATTTACTCTTGTCTCGTACATCTAGTGCGACCCTTGACCCTTCTCCAACCCCCCTCCGATACACTTCGCCACGCACATCATGTTGGGTCGTTGCGGACGACAGGCTTCGCGCCTACTCCCGCGCACTGCGAAGCCGGCCTTCGCGCTTCCTCGTCCCATGCGTGCAGCGGTGGCCTCTTTCCCTTCGACTACCATTGCTCAATCTCGCTCGGTCTCCTCCTCTAGCCCCGAAGTTCAGCAAAGTGTGCGTTCTGTTCCACCCCGCGGCATCTCGTCCACCGTCCGGCGGTATCTGATGTCATACCACCCGTGCTAATCGCTCGAGTAGTTGCTCTCCGCCCATCTCGAAGATTCCGACCCCGCCATCTACCAGATCCTCCAGAAGGTATGTTTGGCCATTACGAGTGCATTGGGGACACGCATTGATGAACTGTGAATATTGCAGGAGAAAAAACGCCAACAACATTTCATCAACCTCATCCCCTCCGAGAACTTCACCTCCCAAGCCGTCCTCGATGCCTTGGGCAGTGTTATGCAGAGTCAGTCCCACCATTGAGAAAACCAATTCCTGAGATCGGAGGTTGACTCTTAACAGACAAATACTCCGAGGGGTACCCCGGAGCTCGTTACTACGGAGGCAATGAATTCATTGATCAGTCTGAGCGCCTCTGCCAGCAGCGCGCGCTGGAGACCTTTGGTCTCAACCCGGAAGAGTGGGGTGTGAATGTTCAGCGTGAGTAACCATATTTTTTCTGATAGGGCATTCATTAACGCAATCGTAGCGCTGTCCGGCTCTCCTGCCAACCTATACGCCATCTCCGCCGTCCTCAACACGCACGACCGCTTGATGGGTCTGGACCTGCCCCACGGCGGTCACTTGTCCCACGGCTACCAGACTCCGACCAAGAAGATTTCTTTCATTTCGAAGTATTTTGAGACCTTGCCTTATCGGTTGGATGAGTCGACGGGCCTCATCGACTATGACAGCCTTGAGAAGCAGGCTCTCCTGTACCGCCCCAAGATGATCATTGCGGGTACCTCGGCCTACAGTCGCTTGATTGACTACTCCCGTATGCGCGAGATCGCCGACGCGACTGGGGCGTACCTGCTCAGCGACATGGCCCACATCTCCGGCCTGGTTGCCGCCGGCGTCATTCCCTCGCCGTTCAACCACTCTGATATCGTGACGACGACTACCCACAAGTCCCTGCGTGGTCCTCGCGGCGCGATGATCTTCTTCCGCAAAGGTGTCCGCCGGACGGACAAGAAGGGAAACCAGGAGCTGTACGACCTGGAGAATCCAATCAATGCCTCCGTCTTCCCCGGCCACCAGGGCGGGCCCCACAACCACACCATCACCGCCTTGGCTGTGGCGCTGAAGCAGGCGCAGTCGCCCGAGTTCAAGACCTACCAGCAGACTGTGCTGGCTAACGCACAGGCTCTGTCGGAGCGCTTGGGTTCGCCCCTCAGCAGCGGTGGCCTCGGCTACAACATCGTGTCCGGCGGCACTGACAACCACCTGGTCCTGGTGGACCTGAAGAACCGGGGAGTGGATGGCGCGCGCGTGGAGCGGGTATTAGAGCTTTGCGGCGTCGCCAGCAACAAGAATACGGTGCCCGGAGACCGATCGGCCTTGAAGCCCGGTGGTCTGCGTCTGGGTACGCCGGCAATGACGACGCGGGGCTTCCAGCCGGAGGACTTCCGTCGGGTGGCTGACATCGTGGACCGGGCGGTGGTGATCACGCAGAAGCTGGACAAGGCCGCGAAGGAGAGCGCGACGGCCAAGGGAGTTAAGAACCCGAACACGGTGAAGGCTTTCTTGGATTACGTAGGCGAGGGTGAGGAGATCTCCGAGATCGTCCAGCTGCGCCAGGAGGTTGAGGACTGGGCGGGCACGTTCAGTCTGCCCTGGGCCAAGGACGAGTAGTTCAGTCGGTGTCTGTTGATAGTTGTGTCTTTTTTCTCTCTTTTCCATTTCCCACGTGTCTGCGAAGAACCATATCCCTCTTAGATGAATGAAACCTGATGTCCTTATTATTTCTACCCAACTTTTCTAAGTATACTGTCACATGGCGACCGTCTATACCTGGTAAGGCTGACTTATTCTTGAATTCTTAAAGGATAAGGTAGATATGTCAGATTTCATAGTTGCTGGATTTCCGGTTTCCAAGCTGAGATAGGTTGGAATTGTGGTTGACAACCATGGATGGAGCGGGTCATATCCATTCCTCTCAGCTTGAGGAAGGAAAGTTCCATGGACCTGAGGCTGCGATGCCAGATCGATGGCCTGTACTTATAGCTCGGCTGCCGCATGTAGTGATTGGCTGCAGAACCCGGAGCTATTCAGAGAACCACACCGATTGGTCAGCATCGCCGAGACCCAGCTGGAAGCCGGGGAATCGCCCGCCCTGATAACGTTTTGTCCGTACCAAGGTGTAATTTATCGTATTGTGAAGTATCCCAAACTATGCAGAAGTATAGGCATCACTCAGATCATCGCCTTGTCTACTGGCCATGAAGGATATCCAGATGGTCTAACAAAGATTGAGTCTGCATCAAAAGAGAATGGACGTAGAGTGGGTTAGTTGAATCGCCTTCTGATGGAAATCCCCCAGCGCGATGGCGATGACGTCGCCCCACGTGACGGGGAGCTTCCCCCTCCCTCCACTTTCTCTTTTCCCCCCCCCCCCCCCCCAATCGGGGAAACGAACGGTAACTCCAGGGTAACTTTCAGATCACTGCTATTTCCACTGGCAATAAATAGCTGGCCGACCCCCCGGAGCCCCCAGCTTGCTTAGTTTCTAAAAGTCCATTGTCTTCGTCTTGCTCCTATACCCTCCAATTTCTTCACTTCCCCTCACCGCAGCTACACCGAGGTTTCTATCCCCGCACTTGATCATAGCAGATAGAAAGAAGGGTTGAACTACTTGCACGAGCTTTCCGTTGACGGGAGTTTGATACTTGAGTGTGCAGTTCTGAGTCACAAAACGAGACACATATAATGGAGAGATTCATCCGTCCAGTCTCCCGACAGTTGTTGAAATCATCGCGGCCTCGTTATCCCTTCCGTGTGCCTCCGCCGGTCTACGCCAAGCGACTGTATAGCAACATGGGTCACACCGTACCTCCGGTTAGTGTTTCGGTTGCGTATTTAGCCAGGAGGCGACTTTGGATGACATGCTGATTGTTTCGTGGGCAACCAGTTGAAAGACAAGTCTCTCTTCATTGAGAAGGCCTATGTAAATGGAGAGTGGGTTGGCGCCGAGTCTGGGGAAACATTCGAGGTGCATGGTCAGTCACATTCCGCCGCAACCATCATCTGAGGTGTAGGGAAAAGCTAATGCGTTCCACTCGCGCGCTTCTCACAGACCCCGCCTCCGGCTTGCTCATCGGAACATGCCCCGAGTTCTCCACCGCAGATACCGAAAAGGCCATTCTGGCGGCCAAGGAAGCGTTCCCGGCTTTCCGGTCGACCCTCGCCCGCGAGCGCGCTCGCATGCTGCGTCGCTGGTATCAACTGATGGTGGATAATGCGGACGATCTGGCGACGTTGATTACGTGGGAGAATGGCAAGCCCTTCGCCGACGCCAAGGGCGAGGTCAACTACGCGGCCGGGTTTTTCGAGTGGTTCAGCGAGGAGGCACCCCGTATCTACGGCGACACGATCCCGGCCTCGATCGCGGGGAACCGGGTCATCACCCTCAAGCAGCCCGTCGGGGTCTGCGGCTTCATCACTCCGTGGAATTTCCCTGCTGCGATGATCACGCGCAAGATCGGCCCCGCCCTGGCTGCCGGGTGCACCGTGGTCGCCAAGACCCCCGGGGAGACGCCGTTCACGGCCAACGCTCTCGCGGAGCTGGCGCACCGGGCGGGCATCCCCAAGGGTGTGGTGAACATCGTCACTGCCTCGAAAAATACCCCTGAGGTGGGTGAGGTGATCACCACCCACCCGGAGGTCCGCAAGGTCTCCTTCACCGGCTCCACCAATGTCGGCAAGCTGCTCATGAAGCAGGCATCCTCCACGATCAAGAAGGTGTCGTGGGAGCTCGGAGGCAATGCGCCGTTCATTGTGTTCGATGATGTGGAGGACCTCGACGCCGCGGTTGCCGGCGCAATCGCCTCGAAGTTCCGCAGCTCGGGCCAGACATGCGTCTGTGCCAACCGGATCTACGTGCAGCGTGGGGTGTACGATGAGTTCGCCAAGCGCTTTGCAGAGAAGGTCAAGGGCTTCAAGCTCGGGGCCGGCTTCGAGGAGGGCATTACCCACGGCCCGGTCATTCATGACCGCGCCGTGCAGAAGGTGGATGAGCACGTGCGCGATGCGGTATCCAAGGGCGCTAAGATTCTGGCCGGCGGGCAGAAGGCGTCGCACCTGGGGCCCAACTTCTACGACCCCACCGTGCTCAGCGAGATGAACAAGGAGATGCTGCTCGCCTCGGAGGAGACATTCGGTCCCGTGGCGGGCCTGTTCCCCTTCGAGACGGAGAAAGAGGTTGTCGACCTGGCGAACCAGGCCGAGGTCGGACTTGCGGGATACTTCTTCAGTGGCAATGTGAAGCGGATCTTCCGAGTGGCCGAGGCTTTGGAAGTGGGTATGGTCGGTGTCAACACAGGTCTCATCAGTGATGTTGCTTCTCCGTGAGTATCTTTTCTTTTCCGGTGTATGAATGCACTAACTAACATACACTAGATTCGGCGGTGTCAAGCAGAGTGGCTTTGGCCGCGAGGGCAGCAAGTATGGTATCGAGGAGTTCCTGGTGGTGAAAAGCGTTACTTTTGGAGGAATGGGCGAGCCCCTTCAATCCTGATTCTTTGGGGTGTAACAAGAAAAGCATGTCCGGGCAGGAATCCTGTGGCTTGACTTTGATATAATGCCAAATCATGATATGTAGTTGTTGTACGCACATTTGTACTTCTTATCCAACTCCGATAAGCCGTGCTTATCGATAAGCAATCGATCCAATCACGGAACAACAATCATCCGGCTATATTTTCTCCACCCGAGCAGGAAATCATATGAAATCTCCCGGAGCAGTTGACTTCTCCAGCTCAACTCATTCGGTCCCATTGACCCTCATTGCTTGCTCTGGGGGATCTACTCCAAATAACGCTCATCCTTGCGGCATATTCTACCTCCACTCCCCCAAGTCAGACGAATATTTTCACCACAGAACCGAAACTAACCACCCAAGCCGCCACAACGGAATACTACAAACTCCAACCTTCCTTCCTCTGCAAGGACTTTTCAACAAAAGTCTCCTGCTTGCCATGTCCCTACTCCTCCCCCAATCCCTCTCCAAGGGCCTGCGAGTCTCCCACCGAACACCCTTGTCTTTGCGTCTACACCCTACACACACTACGACCGGTAGGAGCATCCGCCACGCCTCGCTCACCTCCGCCATCAACCGCGGCATCCGCCGCTCATCGTACAGAGAAGATGGGATCGACGGTGGCCGGCGCGCGGAGCGATCGCTATCTGAGCGGGTAGAGAAGGAGATGAGTGACGATCGGAGGGGCAATAGGCATGGTCGGGGGGCGCGACAAGCAGGAGAGGAGGGCGAGCAGCGGGCAACAGCATCAAGACATCAGCGTCGCGGCGGGAGAGAAGATCGGGGTCGCGAAAGAGATGATTGGAGAATCAAGAACGAGGGGTATGCGCGACACAGGGAAGATGGGGGTAGCGGTGGTGGTGGTGGAGGTCGGTTCCCGGCGTTTCGGAGCGGTGATGCTGAGCGGCAGGCGGATACGAGGACGACGTTGCATGTGAAGAAGCCTTTCCTGGCGGGGGCGAGGTATGATGAGGAGGAGTTTATCCGGACGGGGCAGTTTAGGAGGGTTGCGAGGGATGGGGAGGATGGTGAGAGGCGGGAGCAGTTGGGGAGAGGGGGAGGAAGGGGGTATACCAACCAGGACAGACGAGGCAGGGCTTTTGCTGCTTCTACCGACCGTCCCAGCAAACCGACGTCAGGCAACCCCCGTCGCAAAACAGGGCAGTACGCCCACACGAGCACCGAGCAGGTCCCCGAACGCATCAAGAACCACGTACGCGCCCCCTCGGAGATTCCCTACACGACGCCCGCGTCGCAGTTTGTGTTCGGCACCTCGGCGGTGGAGGCGGCGCTGCGCTGCACGCGGCGCCAGCTTTACAAGCTGTACATCTACCAGTCCGAGGGCGAGAGCCTGTCCGACAGCAAGGTGGCGCTGCGCAAGCTCGCCCTGCTCAACAACGTCCCCGTCAAGATGGCCTTCGCCGAGTGGGACCGCCTCCTCGACAAGATGAGCGGCGGCCGCCCCCACAACGGCGTCGTGCTGGAGGCCTCGCCGCTGCCGCAGCTGCCTGTCACGCACTTCCACCGTGTGGCCTCGCCGGAGGAGGCCAACTTCCAGGTTGAGCTCGGGGTGCAGTCGCGCGAAGAGGCCGCCGTCAACGGCACCGACACCCTCGTCCCGATCAACCGCCCGCGCTGGCTGTCCGCCCACCCTGACGATCCCCCCTCCACCCCGAGTCGCTACCCCATCGTGCTTCTGGTTGATGGCATCCAGGACCCCGGCAACATGGGCGCCATCATCCGCTCGGCGTACTACCTGGGCATCGACGCCGTGGTGCTGGCGGCGCGCAACTCGGCGCCCCTGACCCCCGTCACCATCAAAGCCTCCGCCGGCGCCGCGGAGAACATGCCGCTACTGCTGGTGCGCAACGAGCGCGAGTTCATCGCCAAGTCCAAGGAGAACGGCTGGCGGTTTTTCGCCGCCGCTGCGCCCGGGCCCACCGCCCAGGCTGCCGCCGTCGGAACGGATGGGAAGAGCGAGGACGCGCCCGCTGCGGCCCAGTCGCCCTGCGTGCTCATGATGGGCAGTGAGGGCGAGGGTCTGAGCGGGCATCTGCTGTCGGCTGCGGACGCGAGGGTAGGGATCCCTGGCGCCCGTCTGGACATGCGCCTGGGGATTGAGAGCGATCCGGCGCGCGTGGACAGTCTGAATGTCAGCGTGGCGGCCGCGCTGTTGATGCAGCGGTTCCTGCAGGCGCCGATCGTTGTGAACGAGTCGGAGGAGGTGAAACGGACCAAGAGAGGGAGGCGTCGGGTCTAGGCTTGTGGTTTGGCTGTACGCTAATTGACTTGTGTGTGTATATATTATGGTTGTCTAGATGTACATGTACATTCGCAGCGAGGAGTCACTTGGATACATTCATTAGATAATATGTCTGAACTAATGAGGTGAAGATTCATGTTATATGCGATGTAGCAAATGTAGTTGGGATATGTAATTGACCGTCAGAACCAAGGCAGTGGATGCGGCCGTCTAGGCGTACCATTTATCGCTCACAGGTGTTGGACAGAGAGAAACAGTGCCTGGGTATCTAAAGCACATCTCACATCTCACATCCTGCACAAACTCGGCTCCTCAACCCTCAACCCTCAGCCCTCTTCGCAACAACCAAACAAGCCCTCTCCCTCCTTCCAGCCTCCCCTCCCTCCGTCCCCATCGCATCCTCCCAGATCCTCACCTCCCACCGTCCTTCCACCTGTCGAAACAACTCCATAACTCGCTCCCCCTGCCCATAATCCCCACACTCAAATAGAACCATCCGCGCCCCAACCCTCCCAGCCATCCCGGCGATACGCGCATAAAACACATCCTCGCCCCGACACCCCACCGCCACCACCTCGGAGTCCGCCAACTCAGGCGGAACCAACGCCCCCACCGGCTCGAAAACCCGCACACTCCGCTCCGTCGTCCCGTCCACGAACGCCTCCCGCGAGATGTACGGCGGGTTCGAGATGATGATGTCGACTTTCACCCCGCTGTCGCCCTGCAAGGGAGTAGGGTCGAGGAACTCGGGTATCTGGGGGAGTATGGTCTCGAGTGCGGCGATGTTGTGAGCACTGCCGGAGAAGGAGGACGGGGTGGAGAGGACATCACCAAGTCGGAATTCGAGTTCCGCTGGCGCGCGCGTAGACAGCCACCCCAAGGCGGTGTTGTGGTGGAGGTTGCGCCGGGAGAGCTGGATGGCGAGCGGGTTGATGTCGACGCCGAGGATCTTGAGGGATGGGTAGGAGGGGGCGAGGAGGTCGTGGAGGAGGAGGGCGATGCAGCCGGTGCCAGTGCAGAGGTCGAGGATGCGGAGGGGCCCGTTGTTGGGGTGGGCTGGGGTGGGGGTTGTGGGTGTGGCGGTTGCGATGGGGCTTTTATCCACTGCGTTGGACGGGGATGGAGGGGGAAACCGGGTCAGGATCTGTTCGGCAGCGGCGTAGGTGAAGGACTCGGTATCGTTGCGGGGGATGAGCACGCCTTTTCTGCAGAGGATGGTGAGATCGCCGAAGGGTTGGTCGCCGAGAAGGTATTGCAGCGGGGTGCCGCGCGAGCGGGCGTGGCAGAGGGTGCGGAGGGTGCGGCGCCAGCCTGTTGGTCGGGCGCGGGCTATGCGTCGGGTTCGATGCGGGGAACTGGGAGTCGGGGCGGGGTCGTCGGGTGATGGTCGGGGCTCCGAGTGGGAGGCATAATGCTGTGCTACGTGTGCTTCATAGTCGCGCTCTCTGCGCTCCTGCGCGATGTCAATGGCGTGTTGGCGCAGCCAGCGTAGTTCGTTGCGGGCGGAGTCGAGCGTGCGGCATTCGCGGAGGAGGAGCGGAAGGAGGGGACTCTGCCGGTAGGCTTTGAGGATGGTGGAATTGGCCAGTCGGGGCATTGAGTGGAGTAGTTGGAGCAAATGCCCTCGATTCAGGTGTCTGGAGTGCGCGATGGATGGAACTCGAAGCACAGCTTGAAGCCATTCCGTCATTGCATACTCACCGCTTCCCCGCATGGCACAACTGCCGACAGAATACATCAGGAAGATGATGGCGGTGAGAGCTGGAGATGCACCTCGCCCATCCAACTGTCCAGCCTCTCCACTCCTCCCAGGACATCCCGCAAATACAGGCTCGCCAGCTCCCTCCTATCCGCATTCGCCCGCCCCATCCAGAACACCGAGTTCTGGACCGGATTGAGCTTCGCCGCCGCCGTCTGCTCGGGCATCAGCTCCATCAACCTCAACAGCCATTGGCCGAAGGGGTCTTGGAGGTGCATCGCCCAATAGGTGATGTCGGCGTCGTCGGCGGGGACAGACTCAGCGCTCGCTCGCACCAGTGCTTGGAAGAATTCCGGACTGCGTGGGGCAAAGTGCATTGCAGTGCGGAAGTGTTTGGCTGGGAGCGTATAGGGAAGAACCGGACTCTGGTCCGGATCCTGATCTTGCGCTGTAATGTGCTGTTGTTCGGTGACACGGAAGTAGTATTCGTCTAGTTTGAGGAGGGTGAGGAGTGCGGGAAGGTTGTTTGCAATGAGGGCGGTATGGATGCCTTGCTGCAAAGCGGGGCGAGAGAGGGCGAGCGGGTGTTGCAGAGGGGTCAGGGGAAGGGTATCGATGCTGCATCCTAGTGCAAGTCGGTTCACTTCCAGGTAGGTAATCAAGGCTTGCGAGAAGCCGTCTTCTGAGGCGACGGAGCTGCTAGCCGGAGAAGACGATGCAGAGTTGCTGGCTGCGCTGCCCCGAAGATATTTGTCAGGAATAACCAGCGGGCTGAGAAAGGGATGAGTGGTTTCCTGGCCGTTGGAGTGGTTGGTGATGGTAACAGACACGAGAGGTTTGATGGTAAGGGTGTAGTTGTTCGTGGGTGTGGGCGTTGACGTGTCAGAGGTTGTGCTGGCCTCGAACCCTTCAAACACTCTTGCATGGTCTTTCTGCTTGAGGACGCGCTTTAGTGTTCCTTCATGATCATCGGTCATGCTGATTCCTGCACCGAACCACTGTCGTCGAATGACCAGTTTCATCAGCTTCGGAAGCTGGTCTAGTATACGCTGCACAGTACACCATCTACAGTGAAGGATAGCCGTCTGCAGATCTTTTCGCTGCGCAGGACTGAGTGGCGTGTAATGCAACGGACGAAGGATCTTGGCAATTGCATCCTTGGATTCCCGGTTGCAAGACACAGACGCTTCCGCGCTGTCGTCCCAAAATGCTAGCAGAATCAGAGTACGATAGATGCGCTCCGTAGAAACAGCCGCAGCCAGGACAGGTGACGCACGCGCAAAGTTCACATTCAACGAGTACAGGAAAATATGCTCGATGAGTTCATTTGGAAGAGATTCCAGTCGCGATTGCTTCTTCTTCTTCTTGCGCGACTTGGTCGAGTTAGCAGTCAGCAGTCGCGCGCGCTTGTGGCTCCGAATCTGCGAGGAAGTGAGCTTGGCCTGTGGTGAAAGTAACGGCCGGCCGCCTCGCGGTCCGCTCGCGATGGGCTTGGGAGCATCCTCGTCATCGGTATGCCTTTTACGACGGCCGCGCACATAGATTGGAGTCAGTCGCATGCTCGTTGAAAACAAGGGAAGTTCATTGGCGCAATTGTGTATGATTGAGTGCTCTAGAAGTATGAAATGAGGCAAGTTGATAGCCCGATAATAACCCTTTCGATCTTTGCCTGGTTTGCCTTGTTTGCCTTGTTTATCCGGGTTGTGTGGTTTGATGCAATGGATATTCTTCAAGTGCGGCCGGAAAAGGAAATTTGGAGACTCTAAAAGCCTGTCGAACCCGGCCGTCGTCACGTGAACCGTCGACGATGAGGAGGTGAACCGGTCTTTTGCACAATCGTCACTAATTTTCATCCCCTTGGGCGAAATCATTTTTAATTTGGCAGACTCAAATGCCTAGAGTGCTATCAGTGCCGACATGACTGTTCTACAGGCATGATGAGTGAATCGACTTCATCCCGTTTGTTGAGTGAGTCCCGCGGAGGCTGCCCGTCATGGCTCCAAAGGATGTCGGGTTCGTATGAGAAGAGCAGTGCCTTGTTCTTTTGTTCGATATCTTCGATCACATCCTGCTCCTCGCCCCAGGAGGTCGGACAGTTTACTTCGACGAGACAGGCGACAGTTCCTCCAAGGTGGTCGACTATTTTGATCCGCACGGGGCCACTATTGAAAAGAACGCGAACCCAGCGGAGTTTGTACAATTCAACTTCAGAAGACAGGCAAATCGTAAATCAACATAGCCAGTGCTATAGAAAGCTTAATGTGCTAGACAGTACATGCTTATGAGTGATGACGAGCCATCCCTACGGTGTCTTGCAAGTAATTCATGTTGTAGCTGGACTTCCACTTTGTCAAGAGAGCTGTGAGAGCACTGCAACCAAGAAGGGGGAGGAGGAGAGGGGGGAACCACTCCTCCTGAATTGCTTTGACCTTGTTCATTATGCTTGGAGATTTGGCTCGGGAAGAACACCCTGTCGGGATATCAGAGATGATGCTATATGTAATTATGTATTAGACAAAATGACTCTAAGATTCGACTATCCGATACTCTCACCTACTATCTTCTGCCTTACAAATAGGACAAGAAGACCACGCACAACAACGCAATTAGATGGACAAGTGTTCAGGATTAAGGGCAATTAAAAAAAAACAAGCAAGCTCTATACTCCAAGTTGGGTGAGATCCAGTGGTGCAATCCCGCTCACTTTTCATACAATCCGGCATGAGATCTCCAACTCTCTCTCTCTCTCTCTCTGACATCAAGTGCATTTGCAGCTGACATAATGACCATAATAGGAGTAGGTCGTGCGCGCCTGGCAGGCACTAATCGAGCTGGGCGCGACGGTGAAGGAGCGCACATTGCCATTCTCACAGCGGTGGTGGGGCCAGATGATCATGGTCAGGATTTTCTCGGCAAAGGCGTTCTCGAAGCGCACCCCATAGTAGGGCTGGTTGTGGTTGTAGCAGGTGCTCCCATATCGGGTCTCCAGCGACGAGCTGGTGCAGGTCGAGTAGTCGGACAGGTAGGCGTAGTAGTGGTAGTGGGTGCGCTTTGCGAGCCGGCTATCCTCGCTTCCCTCATCTTCGCTCATCGACCGCTCGTCAATGGTAGTGGTGGTGGTGGTGCTATTGTCGCCGCTCGCAGGCAGGCTTGTCCCGATGGGGGTTTGACCCTGCGCGCCTTGCGCCAGGAGCCAGGCGTAGGTCACCGTGCTTGCGAGGATGCTGTTCTCCTGGTTCTCGTCGGCCTCGACTGTGTCTTCGACGGCGACTTGCATTTGGGTCATCACCTCGGAGATCGTCAGGCAGTCGTAGAGCCCAATATCAGCTCCGTCCAGCACGATGGTTTGGTTGCTTCCCGGGGGGAGGACGACCGTGACCCCGGAGTCCACATACACGCGGTAGGCGGGCTCCAGACTAGTCAGACAGTCCAGGAATGTCTCGGTGACAGTCTCTGAAAGCTCCCCTGCCCCATAGATGGTGACGTTCTGCGCCACCGCTCCGTGCACGGCGGCGGCCCCAACCAACAAGGCCTTCCAAAGTTGAGTTTGCATGGCCACTCAGGAGGTTCACGAAGATTTTGATTAGATGGACAGGGTTAATTAAAGAGGGAGTGATAGTATTCTCGGTCGAATGCTCTGGCTGAGACTGATGCTATTACTATGGAGCAAAGAACGTTGGGTGAGCAGTATTTATATGTAGAACTTCCAGCAGGCGATGCAGCGTGGACGTACTACTATACCCCTTGTCTACTATCTCTCTCCCTGGATTCGATGCCACAGTGGATCTTTGGTCTTCAAAGATTTGGGGGCCAAATATGAGGTTTTTTTTTTCTCTTCCTTGGTTCATTGATATGACTCTCCTGAATGAGACTCTTCACCATACTCCCCCAGTTCTGTATCCATTCGAGCGGACTAGTCTTCCGCCGTAGTAGACTGGAATACACATCAGCAGACTTGGTGCTCCATCGGCCATATCGAGCATTTGCCGAGACGACGAATCAGAACTCAATTGAGATGCTGGTGCCTAAACGAAAACAATCTCAGAAGATAGCATGGAGATCCACTTGCACCTTGAGGCTGAGGCTGGTTTAGCTTAATTAGCTTAAGCTTCCTCTTAGCCGTGGTTGTTTGGATGATGATTTGATGAAGGGATCCCCACTTGCCACGCATTCGGTGCATATAAGAAGCATAGTGTATACGATAGTGTATATATTAAGCCGAGGTTACGCCGACTCCGCTGACCTACAGAGTACCTCGTGTTTACTAGCTGGTAATTAACAACTGTGCTTGCTTATCGTCCCCACAGCAAGTTTTCCACCCTTTCTTCTTTCCCTTCAACCCACATGATAACTGAACCAAAATGTTGCTGATTGACTTGCCAAGCGAGATCTTGCAATGCATCGCACTCAAGCTCGACTCCCTCGCCGACCTCAACGCTTTCGCGCAGACCTGCGCCCGCGTCTACCAAGTCGTCAGCCCTTATCTCTACCGCTACGACGGGCACCACTGCGGCGGGATCGCGTTATGCTGGGCGGTCCAAACGGGGCGCGAGCAGACCGTGCAGAAGTTGTTGGAAATCTATAGCCGCTCGGGGCTCTCGAGAACGCAGATGCTGTTCATCGCCCACCGCTCCCTGGTGCTGGCCGCGCAGTACGGCTCTCCCACGATCGTACAGATGCTGCTGGCGGTGGACGGCGTCGACCCGGACGTGCAACTGATTCCGAACTCCAAAGTGACGCCACTCATGTATGCGGCGGCCGCAGGCAACGAGGAGGTGGTCCGTGTGCTCCTGGCGACGCAGCGGGTCGACGTCAACGCGCGAGACGCGTGGGGCGCCACCTCGCTGCATCGCGCGGCGGCGTCGTCGTCGGCGGCAGAGACCGGGGAAAAGTCCGCAAAGCATGAGGCGGTGGTGCGGCTGTTGTTGGCCACCCCTGGGATTCGGCCGGACTTGCGAGATGATCGTGGTTGGACCCCGTTGATGTGGCTGGCGAGACATGGCCAGACGGCGCTGCTGGAGGAGCTGCTGTCGCATCACCAGGCCAACCCTCATCCGAGGGATGAGGCGGGTAACCTCCCCTTGTTCCAAGCCGTGCGCAACGGGCATGAAGCGGTGGTGGATCTCCTGCTTCGGGCGGGGGGCCCGGGGGATGTTGATGCAACCGACGATGACGGACGGACCGCGCTGACAATGGCGGCGGAAGATGGCCATGTGGCCATCGCGCAGCTGCTTCTGGCTGCTGGTGCTAGCCCCGATGTGAAGGATGCTTTTGGGCAGACTCCATTGGTAAAAGCGGCTCAGGGTGGCTGGACAGACATGGTGGAGCTGCTGCTGGCCACGGAGGGGGTCGACCGCAACTCCCAGGATGCCGAGGGTCGAACCCCGCTGTCTTGGGCGGCGGAGAATGGATTTGGGGATGTCCTTAAGCTGTTGCTTGCGGCGGACGCAGATCCCACTCTTCCGGATTACGAGGGGAAATCGCCCCTGGATTGGGCCGAGGACTCGGGGAATGAGATTTTGGCTGAGTTACTGCGAAGTCAGGGATGAATGAGTTGAGATAGCCTGGTTGACGTAGCATAAAGCCTCATTAGTTATCTATTGCTATAACTCATACAACGGCTTCCAAATCCTCTCGCCCCGCTATCTTGGAGGCTCCAACTTTGAAGGCGCCAAGCCCTAATTCCCCCTCCAGGTTCGCTGCGTATATGTAGCCTTTCAAGCTCGTCCCTGCCAGTGAAGCTCTCTTTCACACAGACAGACCCACAACACAAACAGGCTACGCCCCAGCAACTTCGATATGGTAGCCGAGTACATGAAGCACAGCTCACACCACGACTCGGTCGAGATGATGCATTGCTAAGCACACGAATAATAGTACCTCAAGCACAGGTGAGTGATTTTCCTGGTTCAAATCGGATGAACTCGTGAGAGGTAGCATTTTTTAAAGAAGCATTACTTGTCAATGTTCAGTCAGATACAACTTGGGGGTTTTTGAATACTTGTTGTGCTGAAGGGGGTTGAGGCATATCAGCAGGTTTCCAGCGTGAAGAAAGCATAGTATAGCTCCTCAGTATATTGCATGCGGTTCATCCACATTCCCGTAAGCTTATAGTGCAAGCTGGAAATGGATTTGAAAGAAATATTGTCCATCACAAGTGCAAGTATACGCTAGAGGCACCGAACAAGCGAAACATCTGAGAGAAACCAACATGGCCTTCCGACAGAACACAACACCCTACTCAAGTATACCACGTCGGCGTCGGCAGCTCCTGCAACAAAACATACCTCCCCAGCTCCCGATTCTTATACGCGACCGGATCATGCAGCGTGTGGGTGCGGATATCGCGCCAGAACCGGTCCAGCCCGACTTTCAACGACGTGGCCCTCGCCCCTGTGACCTCGAAAACCCCATTTGTGACCCGCAACCCTACATCCGTGGTGACTACCTTGACGCTCGCAATCCATTCAGCCACTTCCCCGCGCTCCTCCGCCGTCAGCGTCGGACGGTTCGAAGTGTATCGCGCATACAGAGCGGCCAGCTTCTCGCCCGCTCGATCAGCCAGCGCCTCCGTGGCGCGCAGGTGAGCGAAGAAATTTCCGTACCGCTCGAGGATGTAAAATTCGTCAGTGGCGGAGTCCTTGTTGTCACCGCCGAAGGGCCAGGGGCGAGTATTGGACGTAGTGTACTTGGCGGCGAATTCGAGGGCGCCGATGGCGATGCCGAGGTAGAAGTTGCTGAAGACGAGTTGGATGCTGTTTCAGGATCAGTATCTAACATCGAATGACTACTCTGGGGTGATCATACGTGGGTAGTAACAAGCTGGCAAAGGGCACACCGAGGACGTCCTGGCGCGGTTGCTTAGTGGAAGCATCCCAGCCCAGGGCCTCGGTCCAGGGAGTGCGGACGTTGTCAATTTTGACACCGCCGGATTCGGTCAGTCGTAGACCAATGTTATGCCAGTTGTGGGCGAATTGAATCCCGGGCTGTCTGGTTTCCACCAGGGCGAAGATGTGTTGATCTGTACCCTCTAACACACCTTCGAGCACGGTGAGGTCGGAGACGACGCCACCGGTGTTGAAGAACTTAGCGCCGTTGAAGACGAGCTGATCCCCATCTGAGGTGATCTTGAGGTCACTGTCGCGGGGATTGACGGCTCCGCCCACAAAGTAGTTGTTGGAAATGATCAACTCATGGGTGCGCTCGGCTTGTTCGGCAGTGCCGACCACATTGGCAGTGGTGGACCAAAGGAGATGGTAGCCGAGTAGCATGCCAATAGAACTGAGACTTGTTAGTCATTCTGTACGAGAGAATACAAAGAGATACTGCTCACCCGTCCGCCTTGGCCACTTCACGGATGGCTTTGTAGGCTACATCCCAGGGCTGCTCGCCTCCTCCATACTTCCTAGGACCTAGTAGCTTTAGCAACCCCGAATGCTTCAGTAAAGCTACTTCAGCTCGCGGCGACTTGTTTTCCTGGTCTCTCTGCGCGGCATCTTGGGACAGTACGGCGGCCACTTCCCGTGCTCTATTAATCCAGTCTTCAGATGTGGTAGGAAGTGGGGACCATTTGTCCTGGTAGGCGCTATAGACACTGGGGTCCGTGGCTGGTACCGTTGCTTGCGCCATGGTGAAATGTCAAGATGTGCGTGATAATATATAAAAATCACCGAGGTGTGGTGTCTGATAGTTCGAGGTCGCGCCCGAGAAGATTTATATACATCTTGCCCGATTGCTCATACAACATGCAAATGGCGTAGCAAAGATAGTTTGCGAACAACACATGTCGATCTCATGTAGTGATGAAGTGATTCGTCACCCAGTGGGATGATGTCGTGATCGACCCAAGTTTGGGACAGAGAGGAAATCTCATTGCAGCCAAACAGTGTGGGGGATTCGCGCAGAACCGTGTGATGCGAGGCTACAATTGCGTGACGGCCCGCCCGCATCTTAAGGGCTGGGTGGGTCTCTTAGTAGCATCTCGGCCGAGTCCTCATGGAATTCAAAATATCACGAAGCAAGTCCAAAGTAACTTGAAGTCAAATATATCATTGAGAAGGGGTATTCCGTGAAAATCTCGCCAAAAGAAACGCCGGACATCCTCAATGCGCCACTTCCACGTCCATCTTAACCACAATTTGATGCAGCTGCGGCTCATCCCGCGACAGCTGTCCCTGTCGTAGCTGCTCCGTGCTACTTGTCAACCCCGTTCGACCTGCCTTCTGCTTGCGTGCTGTCGCCGTCTTACCTGGCGCCGGATCCATCGGATACACGTACCCGCCGCAGCGGGCAGCGGGATCGTTCGAAGTAGCGGCGCGCCAGGAAAGACGGAGACACACAGCGATGGGGACGGCCGAGACACAGATGAGCGCGAGGTGGAGCTGTACGCTAGCCAAAATATAGAACGGGGCACCTGCATAGCTGAGGTCGGAGTTCAGGCCAGAGGTTGTTTCGAGCACGGCGATGCGTGCGACGGTGACGGCGCATATCCTATGTGAAGAAGCAAGGTCAGTCATCGGGTTCGCCTCGACCCTCTGCCATGAAAGCTGAAGTGAGATTGACAGGTGAGAGCATACATACAGAGCACCAATGCATAAAACCGTCATCAGAGAGTTCTGTCGCGGTTGAGCCAGTTTTAGGCTGAGGATGGTCGCCACCGGAAGGAGAAGCATGAGGAGATCGGAGAACAGATCCAGTGCAGCCGGTGGCGTATTAGCTGTTCTGAAGTCACCACAACTGCCGTCGCGGCCTCTTGTCGGAAGTGCACTGTTCCAGAAATAGCTGACGGGGATGCAGGAAGTTATTGAAGCAATCATCGACCCAGTGGCCCAGAGAATAATGTACCCGAGATTGGCCCACCAGATGCTCCGCAGGCTTAGGTGGTCGAGGGGGAATTTGCGGCGATAGTAAAGTAGCATGGCTACTTTGGCGGCAAGCATGGCTGGCGCATAGAAGACACCTACCATCCACATGCACTGCCGGTTGTCTTCAGTCAGTCTCCTGGCACCCCGTACCTTCGAAAAGACGACGAGCTTACCACATAGATTGACTTCGTGTGGGCAAGGAGGTGGCCACTCGAAGAGATCTTAGACAAAGGGAGGCCCAGACCATAGTGCGTGCCCACGAGGGTGGCAATGGACACCAGGTTGGCGAGCATCTAGCTCATTCCGGTCGCGAGGTCAGCGAAAACCGGGCTGCAGGGGTGACGGAGAGACCAACCAGAGCCACGATAAGCGCGTAGTCCTCTGCCAGAGGGCGCTTATAAAAGTGGCATTGCGTATGCAGTCGAATGGCCACGGCAACATTCCCCAGGATAAGCAATGCGATACACAGTCCCATAGCCAGAGGCTGATGAGACTGCGACGAGACCTGCTCATCCACGGTCGGCGAGCGGATGTCAAACATGGAGAGTAACGACCGACCTGCAACGACAAGCAGGAGCCAGAGATGAAACCGGATGGCCGGCGTGGGGGGCTATAGGGTTCATTTGTATTGTTCAAGCAAGGGGCGAGTAGGCTGAGCGCTGGCCCCCATTCGGAGAGGGGGATGGCATGCAGTGTGCCATGCTGACAGCCATCATGCATAAACCCACGTGTGCGAAGCCATCGAAGCCATCCTTCGCATTCTGGCCCCCAAGTCTTGCTCTAGAGTCTGACTTTGTGACGCTCGCCCCCACTGACAAACCAAGGGCGATGCTTGGCACCGGGTTGAGATTGGATTGTATACTTAGCGCGCAGTCTAGTTGCTGTGGTCTGACATGGCTGTACGGGGTAAAATGACTGATAGGGTGAGCACCGCCCCCACCAAGCTTGGTACAACGAGCACATACCTTGTAAGTCGAAGCCAGCGTAGTCTTCAGGGCTGGACGATCTAATGAAGGAAGATGAGTAAAAGATGGTGATAGTCAACGTGTTGAAAAGTACGGAGCAGTCCGTCCGTGCATCCGTCCCTGGGAAAACTACACTATTCCCGAAAGGGTCATGCAGCTATCGATAACCGACTAGTTAAGTGCAAACAGGACATACCGCTGAGTCAGCCCGCTGACTGGCAGGTGGCGGGGCAAAAAAAAATACCGAATTCGATCTCGCAGCAACTCCTCAATCTCCGACTCTTCAACTCTTCAGCCCGTGGTGGATTTTACGGTTTGTGTCCGGGTATCAAGATGTCGATGGATTTGGATGACTCGGTTCCCATGTTGGGGCTGCAGGACCAGCCTCCGGTCGCTGCGACGTAAGTTTCTATCGTCAGCCTATCTAGCCCCGAATCTTGCTAATCCATCCTAGCATTCTTTGCTGCAACTGCGGTGCCCCCATCGATGGAACCACTTCCGCGGGTGCTATGTGCCAGGACTGTCTGAAGCTCAATGTTGACGTTACTCAGGGGTATGTCAAGTCTCTGCTTTCTGCGACAAATCAACACGGACAAAGACTGATCTTCTCCGGAATTTAGCATCCAGCGCGAGTCGACCCTTCTCTGCTGCAAAGACTGCGAGCGGTGGCTGCAGCCCCCCAACCAGTGGGTAGTGGCAACCCTCGAGTCCAAGGAACTACTCGCCCTCTGTCTGCGCCGTCTTCGTGGCTTGTCCAAAGTCCGCATCATCGACGCCAACTTCATCTGGACCGAACCCCACTCGAAGCGCATTAAGGTCAACATCACAATCCAGCAGGAGGCCTTCCAAGGCACGATTATCCAACAATCATTCGAGGTGGAGTATGTTGTGGCTGGTCAGCAGTGTCCTGGTAGGTCTAGTTCTCCGACTGGCTCAAGTTTACCGCTTGGAGCTTGCATCCACCCAGCCGATGGCTAACCTCGACGGCAGATTGTCAGAAGAGTTTCACCCCGAATACGTGGCGAGCTGCAGTCCAGGTCCGACAAAAGGTGCCCCACAAGCGCACTTTCCTTCATCTAGAGCAGTTGATTTTGAAGAATGGCGCCCACAAGGATACGGTCAATATCAAAGAAGCCAAAGATGGTATCGATTTCTACTTCGCGCAGCGAAACCACGCCGAAAAGATGGTCGACTTCCTCGCCTCTGTGGTTCCGTGCAAGATGCAGAAGTCCCAGGAGTTGATTTCCATGGACGTCCACACCAGCACCAAATCCTACAAACACACTTTCTCCATCGAGTTGATCCCTATTTGCAAGGATGACCTCGTCGCGTTGCCACTCAAGCTGGCCCGCCAGCTCGGAAACATCTCACCCCTTACTCTTTGCCACCGCGTTGGAAACACCGTCAATTTCCTCGATCCGGCTACCCTTCAGACCGCTGACGTTCAAACCGGCGTCTACTGGCGGTCGCCGTTCAAGAACCTTGCGGATGTCACTCAGTTGAAGGAATTCATCATCCTGGATATCGAGCTTACGGGCCAGACTAATGGTCGGTACCATCTTGCCGAGGCCACCGTCGCTCGCGCCGCAGACCTTGGCTCCAACGATACTACCTACTTCACGCGGACCCACCTGGGCGGCATTCTGCACCCCGGCGATTCCGTTCTCGGTTACCACCTCAGCGGAACCATTTTCAACGATGATAATTTCGACGCCATCGAACAGAGCCACCAGTACGGCTCGACCATCCCCGACGTCGTCCTCGTCAAGAAGTTCTACGCCCGCAAGAAGAAGCCGAAGAGCCGTACCTGGCGCCTCAAGCGCATGGCCCGCGAGTACGAAGAGGAGGCCCTCGCCGGTGCTGGTCAACCCAGTCGCAAGAAGGAGCAAGAAGCCAACCGTCTGGAGGAGGACTTTGAGATGTTCTTACGCGACGTCGAAGAAGATGAGGAGCTCCGACAGACTCTGGATCTGTACAAGGTCCGGAAGCAGCGCCCAGCGGCGGATGCTATGGATGAGGACGAGGACAATGAGAGTGAGGATGAGGTGCCACAGATTAACATGGACGAGCTGCTTGATGACTTTGACGAGCTGAACATGGATGACGAATGAGCTTTTTGCGAGTAATATCCCTGATGATCATGGCTGGTGTTTATATTCTTACTTTTTTTGAGGGCTCCTGTTGATACCTGTTGATGAAAAAGTGTTCTTCCCGTTTTGTTCATAGCATTCATGACTGCAAAAAGGCCGTCAGCTTGGCAATAGATTTTATCTTTTACTCGAGTACTCCAAATTTGACGTAGTTTCGAAATACTAACGCATTACGGCCATTCGCCCCGGGGCGTAATTCATGCATGGCATCCAAGTCACTCCGTCACTCCTGGTCGGGTGGGGGCCAAAAGAGGGGGGATGGATGGGATGCAAACACCCCAAAACAGACCATCCAGTACGGAGTACAAACTGATCAAACCCCTCAAATTATCGTCCAATCCCTCTTCACTCGCTCCGCCTCCGCCTTTTCACACTCCGACTTCAATCATTGCATCATGAGACAACGGCCAATTTGTCCCGATGCTTTCAATATCATTATCACGAGTGGGGAAGTAGCACAAAGTCCACTTCGTCCTGCTATCAGATGCCACAACGACTGCAACTGGCAGTGCCAACGCTACAAATCGACCAGACTGCCATGATAGGGACCAGCTTATCGCGCCAATCATCGAAGCTCCCTCGCTTTTCCGGCCAGACTCGTCCAGTTCTTCGTTTCCCACCGATTAGCATCCGATCGACCCAGTGTTCGCCGGTCCGGAAGAAGTCACCTGTGCAGCCCTGGTGATGCGAGTACCGGATGCCAAGGAGGATCGTCCGGGTTATTTGATCCACGCCCGCCCTGCATCCTTCTTTGTTTGCCTCGCTTTCTGGCCGCTGAATGTACCGTGCCCTGAAGGGTGCCAGCATCATGCTGATCAGACTGTGTGACATCTCTCTTCTTGCGCTGCGACCTATATATAGTCCGCTACACCTCCTCGGTCCTCGGGGAAAGTCCCCTGCCTCAGATCCGGTACTGTCGAATGGTGGGCGCAGAAATGTATTCTAGTTCCCTCTCGTTCTTACTCGTCGCGCTTGGGGTTCAGCCAGGATGGGGGTACGTGGCGCAAACCCCTCTGACGGGCGAAATGTGCACGCAGACAACCGTGGCCATCTTGTAAGCCGATGCAATAGGCATTAGATCTGGGGTAATTGTCAGGACTAATTGTTTCAGGGGAGGGGGGATGGCCGGGGTGGCTGCCGCGGTATGTGTTCGTTGAGGTTGAGTAACCCTCCATTACGCTCGACTAATCCGAGCAGCAAGCCCTGAATAACGCGTCCGTCACCGACTTCATTCTACTCGAGACTCGCGAGGCGCTTGGAGGTCGGGTATGGCATACGGACTTTGGAGTAGACAAAGAAGGCAACCCTTATGTAGTGGAATTCGGGGCCAACTGGGTATGTTCCTCCCCGCATTCAGATTGCAAGCATTTTGAGGCTGCGCTAAACGGAGTTACTCCCCGCCCCACCACAGCTACAGGGCTTGGGTTCGATCGATGCTATCAATCCTGTCTGGGCTCTAGTATGTGATTGTTCTTTTCCTTATAGACAACAAACCATACTCATCAATAGGCCCAAAAATATCATCTCCACAATACCTATTCCAACTACAGCTCACTCCGTACCTACAACGAGACCGGAGAATCCGACTATCGACATCTCCTCGATGAATATGCCCGAGTCTACGAGATTGCAGCCCGGGAGGCCGGTCGGATCTTGATGCAGAATCTGCAAGACCAAACCGCCCGGACCGGATTGGCCTTGGCTGGCTGGCGCCCTCGCAAGAATGACATGGCCGCCCAAGCGGTCGAGTGGTGGAACTGGGGTATGATCCGATGAAGCATGGCAATCGAGGCATACAGGGCATACTCCCCCCTTGGTTTGCCATTCAGGACCTACATAAGGGAGCCCGGCTGTGGACTAATGTGTATGCGTCATCTAGATTGGGAGGACGCCTCCCCGCCCGAGACTAGTTCCTTTGTATTTGGAATGGCTGGCGAGAACCTAACCTTTAATCAATTCGGCAAGGCGAACCACTTTGTGACTGACCCCCGCGGGTATAGCACTATTATCGAGCAGGCAGCCGCCACAGTCTTCACCGACCGTCCAGCCTCTCCGCGCCTCCGCCTCAACACCCATGTCACCGCCATTGACCACTCCCCCAACGGCGTCACCGTTCATACAAGAGACGGGGACTGCATCGAAGCCGCCTATGCTATCTGCACGTTTTCTCTCGGGGTGCTTCAAAATCACGCCGTGTCGTTCCACCCGCCCCTCCCGAAATGGAAACGAACCGCGATCGAGAAGTTCAACATGGGCACCTACACCAAGATCTTCTTGCAGTTTCCGTATACATTCTGGCCCACCGATACGCAGTTCTTCCTCTATGCCTCCCCGACCACCCGCGGTTACTACCCGATTTTCCAAGCCTTTCTGCCTGATTCCAATATCCTCGTTGTCACCGTGGTCGAGGAACAGGCCTACCGCGTGGAGCGGCAAACCACCGAGCAGACGACGGCTGAGATCTTGGATGTGCTCCGCGAGATGTTCCAGACCGAAATCCCCCACCCGACGGCCGTGACGTACCCGCGCTGGTCGCAGGAGCCTTGGGCGTACGGCAGTTATTCCAACTGGCCGGTGGGGACGACGCTGGAGATGCATCAGAATCTGCGGGCGAATGCCGGCCGGCTGTGGTTTGCGGGGGAGGCGACCAGCGCGCCGTACTTTGGATTCCTGCATGGGGCGTGGTTTGAGGGGCAGGAGGCGGGCGCGCATGTGGCGGCCTTGCTGCAGGATCGGTGCATATCGCTGCGGGAGGGAGAGGAGACATGCGGGGAGCGGACGCACTACGAGCCCTTGAATGGGACGACGCCGCTTGAGGCGTATAGTACGGTCAATGGGTGGCCGTTGAGTAGTACTGATTGGTAGGATGCGGGGAATAGACGGTGCCGGCCGTTCCCAGGAATTTGATTACTGGTGCTGGGAGGGTACGGGGGGAGCATTTGTCGAATATCTAGGGCCGCACACCACTGGGATATATTCCACCACGTAGAGTTCCATAGGTAGGCGTTTCATTTGCGCTGTTTTGGGTTCTTAGACAGCCCGAACTGCTACGGAGGGAGCGATTCCTCCTTTGCTCATCATCGACGAACAATGAGAGTTGCACATATCAGCGTTTGACATGCCACGCTTGAATAACACGATGGATGATTTGATGGCGAACAGAAAGCAGTTTGTTTGGGTTTTGATGTACATTGTTATCAATCATTTTAACGTTAGTAGAACACTGGTCGATGAGTTTACGCAGGGCAAGAGTCCGACAATCCTTATTCATGCAACCCACTGGCATGTTTTCCTCCTGCATGACAGTAATTCTTCCCCATCCACCACCTACCACGCCGTCTCACTCCGGACCTTATGTCTAGACTTTTCAAACTAAATATGAATCCGGACCCCTATCTAGGTGCTGTCTCTCAATGAAACTTATGTATATGCTCGACAATCCACACCCCACCCAAGACATGTCGTGTCCGGGGATTCCAGTTGCAAAGTCGACATCGTGGAGAAGGGATTCACTCCATCGGCCGCAAGCACCACAGCAGGGCCTCGAGCAGCTCGTCGCCCCACGGCCGCGAACTGGGCAGAAGCTCCTGGTCCGGGATCTCGTGTGGCGAGTCGGCGAGTACATTCAAGTGGACATCCACCCTACCCCAGGTTCCGTCAGCATCGCAGCTATTTCAACCAATTCATCTCCCGCAAGGCCCCATCCCACCAAAAGGAAAGGAAAGCCAACTCACCCCTCGCGCATCAACATAATCGCAAACATCAACTGCCGCAGCCGCAAACAGCTCTCCGCAAAGGTCAGAACATACGTCGGCGGCATCGCCCCCAGTGCCGTCCAGGGCCCCAGCGCATGATGTCCCGGTTCGACGTGATGAATATCCAGCAGCGCGCGATAGAAATCATGTGTAAACATCTCCCTCTCCCTCTCCTTCTTCCTCTCGAAGTGACCTGGACTCTCCCCCTGGCCCCTCCCGCGCGCCTCCTCAACCACACGATCCAGAAACGGCATCCAGGGATTACACAACACCACCCCCACGACCCTCACCAGCCTGCCCCCCCGCGTATCCAACTCCCTCCGGCCTGCCACATTCGTGCGCGCGAAGAATGCCACCCAAGCCGCCAGCCCGGCCCCGGCATCCTCCCCGCCCACCACCACGCGATTCGGATCCCCGTTCCACCACGCCATCCGCCGCTCCATCCACTCAAACACCTCCCACGCATCCTCGAAGGGATCCGGGTATCGCACCTGCGGCGTCTTCCGGTAGTCCGCGCTGACGAGGATGATGGGCCGCCCGCGGGCGGAGAGGCTGGAGACGAGCCGCGCGCACATCGCGTCTTCGCTGTCCAGACTGCCATTGAAAAACCCGCCCCCGTGGAAGTAGAGGTAGACGGGGAGGTGGGTGGGCGTGTAGCCGTGGCTGCGGGGGGTGTAGATGCGTGCGCGCAGGGTGTAGGGCTCGTGGCTCGGTGGGGGGATCTCGGGGTACCGTGGGGTGATGGTGTGGGTGTGGATGGTTATTTGGGGGGTTACATCTGGGGTCTGTTAGGGTTTTATAGGGATTGTCGGGATTGGGGGGACTGACTGGCGCGTTCCAGGGCGGTGGCGGAGGCTGCTTCGCGGGGGAGGTTGAGGGATCGCTGGAGACGGAGGAGAGATGATGGTGAACTGGAAGTGGAAGGGCTGCTGGGGGTTGAGGGTGGTTTGGGTTGGGGGTAGTAGTTGTCGTACTCGTTTTCGTCGTCCTCGAGCATGGTTAGGGTTGTCTTTGGGGAGTGATGGTAGAGGAGCACTTAAGCTTGAACTGGTCTAAGAGTCTCCGGTCTGGGATGGGGATGTTGTGGGCCAAAGTCGGCTAGGAGTGGTGTATAGAAGATGCGATAGTTCCATGTTGAATACTGAGGATGAGAAGAAGAGATGATGGTCTGGTTCTTTGTTGGATGGGATGCGATGGCCCTTTGTGTGCATCTTTGTCTGAACTTCCGGTGCCCTCTTTGATGGTTGACTGCCCAGTGAAGGATGCTCATCTCGGATAGATAGCTTGATTTGATATACGATGCGCGTGTCGATTGCAAGTTGCCCTTCGTTTCGTGTATAAGGATGCACCTGTCTAGTGGCATTTCGACTGCAGGTTACGATATATGGTGGAATCTCCCTTTCCTTGTCTCTTTCGCTTCAATATGTGGTGAGCAACGGCAATGCAATAGCATGCCTGTTCATGTATGTAGGGCACCATCTGGTTCCCTGCTGCAGACCATGGCCCTGTCACTATCGCGATGGCGGTCCCTTCCATTGTGGCTGTCATCCTTATTGTTTCCGGCTTCTGGTGATGCCAGGATATTACAAGTCAGTAGAGTAGACCTGAAAGGAGGCCACGCAACCTCTCGCACGGTCTCTCAACTACCGTATCCTTGAAACTTGATTCGATGGACCTCAATGCTGCCCGTCTCCATCCATGTCATAGTTGTCTTACTACACCCGAGTGGTTATCCCTCATGCAAGCGGAGCAATTATCTCGAGACCTATCACCAATCGCCCGGCCAATAACCGCCGCCCTGACCGACCAAAGCGCACGTAGACCTCGATAAAGAAACCCCACGGCCCAATCACATACGCTGTACGAAATCAATGCGGAGATTCGCGCGGAGATGACTTGGGAACCTACGATAGGATGTTGACGTCACGATAGAGGGTCCGTTCCTGAGGCCGGGATATCCGACTGTAGCCATCGCCCGACGTGAATTTGATACGAAGGGGCACATCTGCTGACCAAGCCCCGCGGGTATCATTGCATCACAGGAGACCAGAGCCCGGTTCGACGAGCAGCTGGCGCAGCTGTCATAGCAGGCTTGAAGTCTTCTGGAAAGAACCGTATGAAAGAAAACATCCGTCTTCATTGCCATGCAAGGTACAATGCACGACCACAGTTTGAATGTACAGTACAGTAACAGAAAGCCAGCTAAACCACCAAAAAAAAAATGCGATCGCTAAACCAAGCAAATGCTATCAGAACAAACCCAACCGAACCCGCCTCAGCCTCAAACCAAATTCCCCCTCAGCGCCTGCTCCCGCTCAATCGCCTCGAACAGCGACTTGAAGTTCCCCGCGCCAAACCCAGCGAAATTATGCCGCTGGATGATCTCGATGAACACCGTTGGACGGTCCATCAGATGCTGTCGCACATGTCAGCCTCGCCTGCACCTCTCCAAAAAATAGATTACATACCTTAGTAAACAGCTGGAGCAAATACCCCCCCTCGTCGAAATCAATCAAGATATCCAACTTGCGAATCTCCTCAAAGTCCTCGTGCAGCACCAGCCCCGCCTTCTTCAGCCGGATCTTGATGTCCTCATAATAGGTGTCCGGCACCTGGATGAACTCCACCCCGCGTGCCTTGAGGTTGGTGATGTCGCGGATGATGTCGTCCGTGAGGAGGGCGATGTGCTGCACGCCGGCCCCGTTGTAGAAGTCGACGTACTCCTCGATTTGGGACTGCTTCTTGCCCTTGGCGGGCTCGTTGATGGGCATTTTGACGACCTCGTTGGGAGAGGCCATAACGATGCTCTTCAAGGCGGAGAATTCACTATCCACCCCGGCGGGAGATGTTAGTGGTTGGACTCGATTGTGTAGGAGATTGGTGGGAGAGGGGAAGACGTACGTGCAGATGTCCTTGTCGTCGACGGACCAGAAGCGGTGGAAACCGAGCGCGTTCTCGTAGCTGGTGATCGCGTCAGTACACGTATCAACCATGACGGGGTGTCTTTGTCCATGGGGACTTTTCCCAGGGGACGGACGTACTATTGGCAGATCTTATCCATCTCATCCCAATCCTGGTTCCCCACACAGTGATCGATGTGTCGTAGATGCACCCCCGGCAGAAGAGCAGTGATGGGATCGGGGCCACCAGTCTCTACCCGATAGCCGGGCAGGAAGGCCCCGTGGTACTGTCCCCGCTCGATCAAGGTGTGCGTCGTCTGTCCGTAGGTCTGGATGGTGGCCACGCGCACCTGTCCGTCGCCATCCTCGAGGGTCTGCGGGCCCGAGACGGCTTTTGCCCCGTTGGCCACGGCGGCGTTGTACACGGCATCCACCGAGTCGACCTCAAAGGCCACGTCCTTGACGGCGTCGCCGTGCTGCTCGAGGTGGGCGTGGATTTCGCGGAGGAGGTCTTGCTCGGCGGGGTCGAAGCGGGCGAGTTGGTCCAGGGAGCGCAGGGGAGAGGTCAGGATGAAGGTGATGTCGCCGTTGCGGACGACATGCGAGCAGACCGCGCGGCTGTTGGTCTCGAGGCCGCGGTAGGCCACACGCTGGAAGCCCATGCGGGTGATGTAGAAGGCGGCCGCCTGTTTGGCGTTGCCCACGTACCAGTGCACATGGTCGTAGCCCTTGTAGCTGGCGAGGCTGGAGTTATTGGTGGGGAGAGAGGTGGTAGGGGAAGAGGTGGCGATGGGAGCCATGACGATGTGTGCTGAGATTGCTTTGTAGGTAGGGCTAGAAGATGACTGTTTTGTTGTATCAATAGATCGTGTTGGGGTTGATGATGCAAAAGGAGTTCTGAGATCAAGCGTTGAGTTTGAGTGGAAAAGAGTTACCTTTTAACCCTTATCTCCAGACGGATATTCCTATCTTGACCCTTCATAGATACAGTAGTGATCTTCTGGATCCTTTGGGATACTTGGGGATACATTGGGATACTTTGGGGGATACTTTGGCTGGAATGGCAGAGGATGGCGTCGGTTGCGGGCGGACAACCCCGGCTGGCGGCGGGTATTTGACCAAACATCCGTTTTTCGATAATCCCGGACGGTTAGAGGCGCAGCTCCTCTTGACGCGCCAGATATACTTGGGCTATTTTCCTCCGGTCTTTAATGTGTCGTGCAAAGCATTTCTCTCAAAGAAGCTCGTATTTGAGATTCTCACGAAACAAACATCCTACACATCTCAACCGACAGACACACCATCACCATGACTACGATCACCCCCTGCAAGCCCTCCCTCACAACCAACGACTCCGCCGTCCTGCAGGCCCTCTTTGATGCAGAGTCATCTCCCTCCTCCGCGCCCGTCATCGACGCCAGTCTCTCTTCCCTGCCAGCCCACCTCAACATCTCGCCCGAGCAGCACGACTCACTCAAGTCCGCCGAGCTGGACATCGTCCGCACGCTCGAACAGCCGGAGCCCTCCCTCTCCATGGTCCAGCAAGCCATCAGGGACCTCGATCTCCTCATCATCGAAGCACCCACCTACCCCTCAGCCTACATCAACCGCGCCCAAGCCCGACGCCTCCTCATCGACCTGACGCCTCTACCCACGTCCGCCTCAAGCACCCCATCATCCGACCCCGACACGAAGCTCTTCGCCGCCGCCAACAGCGCCTCCGCCTCCGCCCTCCTCGCCGACCTCACGCAGGCCATCCAACTCGCCCACCCACGATCCCCCGCCGACCCTGTCTCCCCCGGACAGGCGCGCATCCTCGCGGACGCATACACACATCGCGGGTATTTGCTGCTGAAAGCCGCACGGTTCCGACAGGCACAGGGGGAGGGCGGACCGGAGCGGCTGGAGGGGATGGGGGCGCAGCAGTTGGAGGAGATGGCCAGCAGTGACTTCTTCATGGGCGGCCGGTTTGGCAACAAAGTCGCACAGCAGCTGGCCGTCCAGACGAATCCATATGCGAAGATGTGCGGAGCGATTGTGAAGGAGGCGTTGAGGAAGGAGGTGGCCTCGTCGGTGATGAACTCGTGAGGAGCATGCCATCGGGTCGGGGTCGGGGTCTCTAGTGGTTGTAATATACTGTATTTCAGCGCATCGGAAATGGAATATCCTACATAGCAGATCACGCCATCCTGTCGTGTGGTCTCACTGTCTATCAAATCATGGATAGTAGAATGAGACGCTGATTGAGAGCGTTGGTGTGGAGGAAAAGCGGCCGAAGACGCCGACCGATAAGAACAAACAGGCGGATTTCGATTGGGCCGGGAGGATGGATTCAAACCATACAAACCACACAAACCACACAAACAGCACCAACAGGGGAATCCCGAGATGACGCGATCGGCGAGGCCGGCAATTGGTTCGATCAGCTTAACTTTCAGGTACATCCATTCACTCCATTCTGACTCTGCCTTTGCCTTTTCAAACTTCATCTTCATCTTCTCTCTTTCCATTTCTCTTCTCTCAATCTCACCCTCGGTGGTTCGTTCCTTCACCATGTTCCGCAGCAGCGTCACCCGCGCTGCCCGCGCCGTCAACCCCGCCAACCCCTCCATCGCCTCCCTCCGCACGCTCGCCACCGCCGCCGCACCTTCATCGACTGCCTCCCCCTCCCCCGTTTCCTCCTCCACGCGCTCTCACAAGATCCTCGTCGTTGGCGGCGGTAGCGCCGGTCTCAACGTCAGCCACCAACTCCTCCGCACTGGGCAATTCACCCAAGATGACATCGCCATCATCGACCCCGCCGAATGGCACCACTACCAACCCGGCTGGACCCTGGTCGGCGGCGGCGTGAAGACAAAGGAGGAGCTGCGCCGCCCGCTGCCTGGCTTGCTGGACCCCAAGCTGAAGCTGTACGGCCAGGCCGTGGACAGCTTCACCCCCGAGCAGAACACCGTCACGCTGGCCAACGGCGACCGTCTCGGGTACGAGCAGCTGATCGTCGTGCCGGGCATCCACGTCAACTTCAACAGCATCCGCGGGCTGCCCGAGGCGCTGGCCGACCCGAACAGCCTGGTCTCGTCGATCTACGGCTACGAGCACGTGGACAAGGTGTACCGGACGTTGCAGAAGCTCAAGAGCGGCAAGGCGCTGTTCACGCAGCCGGCGGGGGTGCTGAAGTGCGCCGGCGCGCCGCAGAAGATCATGTGGCTGGCGCTGGACCACTGGAAGCAGGCCGGGCTGTACGACCCGTCCAATCCCAGCAAGTCGGCCATCAACATCAGCTTCGCGACCGGGCTGCCGGCGATGTTCGGCGTGCCCAAGTACAGTGCCTCCCTGGAGGCGCTGCGCCAGGAGCGCGGCGTGGAGGGCCTGTTCCAGCACGATCTCGTCGCCGTCGAGGGCAACACCGCCACCTTCGCCAAGGTCGATGGGTCGGGCGCGCAGGTGCAGCGCGAGTTCGACCTGCTGCACGTCGTGCCCAAGATGGGCCCGCACGCCTTCGTCAAGAACTCGCCGCTGGCCGACGCGGCGGGCTTTGTCGACGTCGACAACGCCACCACCCAGCACAAGAAGTTCAAGAACGTCTGGTCCATCGGTGATGCGTCGAGTCTGCCGACCTCCAAGACCGCCGCGGCCGTCATCGCCGAGGCGCCCGTGATGGTGCGCAACCTGCTGCGCGCGGCCGAGGGCAAGGCGCCCGATGCTGAGTACGACGGGTACACCTCGTGCCCGTTGACGACGGAATATGGCAAGGTCCTGTTGGCCGAGTTCAAGTACGCGGGCGTGCCCAAGGAGACTTTTGGCAGCTTGTTCGGGATCGACCAGGCCACGCCGCGCAAGGCTTTCTGGCAGCTGAAGAAGAACTTCTTCCCTTGGGTGTACTACAACAACATGGTGAAGGGGACGTGGGCTGGTCCTAAGGGGTGGATCCGGTAGGTGTTTATGTATATGAGTGTGTGTGACTAGCGTGTGAAAATGTATTGTATATCTTGTTGGTTGATACGCGCGTTGTAAGAGGGAAGTACCTATACTCTATACTCTTGCTGTCTGTCGTATTTGAGCTCCATGCATCGCCGCCTTGACGAAAACAAACCCCCAAAAGTATACATGAGTTGGCTTGGCTCATGAATTCATATTCAACCCTATATATACACTGTCCGTCCCAACATCCCCTCATTTTAAAAACTAACCCTCCCCGACAACTGCACGACCTCCTTCGCGGCAACCTCTTCCGTGTTCTTCACCATACAGCGCACCCTCATCACCGCATCCCACCGCGCGGCCAACCCTCCCTCTTCCAGCCCGTCCTGCACATCCGGGGCCAAACAAGAGGTGCTCGCATTCTCCACCCTCTCAACCCCCAAATCCTCGTACTGAATTTCAACTCCGCGTACGTCAAGCCATACCCGAACCCCGGATGAAATGGACCACATGCTCCAGCTAAGTTCGTCCATCGTGTTCTGCGGGGCGGCGACCCGCGTCGTAGTCGAAGAAGGAGAGGGAAGCGTGGGGCTTGGAGGGGGAGGTGTGGTTGGTGTTTTTGACCAGCAGGCATTGGTGGTCGACGAGGAGCCGTAGGTGATGTTTTTCTTCGCCGCGTCGGTCATATGCGCCAGAGGGGCTTTGGCTTTGGTGAAGGCATCTTCCCAGTCACCCAGACTTGGCATCGGGGTGGGAAACTGGATATCGAGACGGTCGACCAGGTGACTGTAGTCATGTTGGCTGTCTTGATAGGAAGTCAGAACTGACAGTGACGGTCCGATCCTGCATGGCTGGGCGGTGCAGTACGTACAGTATGTGGTGCTGGATTAGGGTTAGGAGGGGGAAGCATCGGGAAGAAACCGAGTCCGGGGACGAAAACGCGGGGACTCCACGAGAATCAATCCAGTCAATGACAGCCTCGTATTGCTCGGAGCAGAGATACAGAGCATAGCCCCTGGAAGATGTTACCTCAAGTGACGGAGTGACACTCACTCTCTCGTGCATGGCTTCTCCCCCCGCAAGCTGGCAAAGCGAACGGGGCAACGCGGGAAAAGCCCTACAAACGACACTTGGTCCGAACTACATACCGCCCGAGATCTCGGCCATGACATCGTTCAGCCGGAATAGTCGCTCGGGGCTCTGCGAGATATTCTCGGACATCGTCTGGTTTTCGCATTGATGCACGGAGGGTGGACGGGTTGCTGCGCAAGCCGATCAAGCTGTCCTGCCGCTGGTGGTGTGGACAGAGATTGCGGAGTAAGTTGAGTGGTTCATGACTGAGCTTCGTCCAGATACGGAAAGGCACCGCGCCCATGAAACCCAAGACGGCACGCATGGGAGGCACCAGCAGAGCCATCTCCGAGTCAGGCGGGTGGGTGTATGTCTCGACGGCTGGCTCGCGAAACGGTCCGCACGGGGTGACAGCCCGCATCATGCCCACTGCAGCGCCACATCATTATCTGTCGAAGGGGACAGACACAGGTACGGTGGGATTCGAGGCCGGAGAAAGCAATTAACTCGCAGTCACACCGATGGTCTCTTCGCTCACCCCGGTTGCGGTTGCAATGTGGGTGGCGGAGATGCTTTGGCCCAGGGTTGGCCCTCTATGGGTGTCCAGGAAGTGTGTTAGCTCTAACCTGGACTTGGAGGGGGGGGGGGTGCTGGTGGCTTTGCTCCTATGGTCCAAATCGACCCAGAGCAGATCGGCGGGGCCGCGGATGGCCTGCACCAGACGCATTATGCCTTGTCCACCCAATTGTACCGTGCATTCTGACGGTTAAGCGAGGTCTTCGACTGGTCGCGGTCCTGGCCGGCAGACAGAACCACCTCCTTCAAACCTGTCATGACAGATAACGCAGTTCCCAAACGAGCTCGGCTGGAGGATATGAGGAGATTGTCACCGGCAACAGGGGCGGGCGGCTTCAAAGCCTTATGAATCGGTGCTTTTGTACAGGGTGTCACTGTGCATAGACCACGAACGGACTTGGTTGGTGGATTGGATACGTCAGATCTGGACTGGAGTCCAAATCAAGGCAAACACGATCTGCAGAATTAGTCGGCTGGTACTCCGTAGTCATTGGATCGATGGAGATCGTTGCTGGTGTCGGACTGGGGTGGGTCTGACACCTGTCACATTTCTCTCTCTCTCTTTCTCTCTCTCTCTCCGTGGAGGGATGCCTTCAGGGGAGGGCACATCGACAGGTGAAAGATATGCCATATGCTGTCAAAAGAAGGTTCTGATTAATCTCTTCCTTGCACCATGCAAAATGGCAGACAATGGCTTGTGCAAGAGGCGGGACAGAGGCGTATTCGGCAGCCCTGATCTATCAATGTACGAGTGACTGCCCAGTCACTGACTCCTGTACTTTTTTTCGTTCTTCTTTTCTTCATCCATCTTCCCTTCTAGTGCCAATCTGCCCCAATTGATACACGACCAAAATCAGCACATGCAGTTCCAGGCAAAGATGCACCGCTTCACGGGACAAAAACCTGAGATAGGGGCAGCCCTGCACTATCAGGCATCTCCGCAATTATTGGTCTCACGAAGAGCGACCGTGTGATACCTCGCCGCTGCATCGGTCAGCGCGACCGAAGATCCGAGCCTGTCACTTCTCGAAACCGGTGCGATCGTCAGGGAAAGCTACACCAGCACGGACGGACGCACTCCTTGGCCAGTGCCCCCCTACCTCTGGAACACAAGCTGCGCTTGGACCCTCACGTCGGGGATCGCTTTCCGTCAGAAACAATCGCGTCGATCGAGCCTCCGTCGGGGGACACTTTGGGTTTGTTCGCGATCGAGGTGTCAGATCCTCCCACCCAATTCAAGATTAGTGCAGGGGAAGGTTTCTGGACACTGTGAATAGTGGCGCAAATGGGTCCGAGCCCATCGAGCGGGGGGTTCAGCCAAGGAGGTACAATCATCGCCACTCCGCAGTCTCCCCCCGTGAAAGGATACCAACTATGTGATGCAGGCGAGGAGACTATGGCGGTAGTCCGATGTATCTTGCATATGATGTCTAAGATGGGGGTCTGAATGAAGAAGGGCAAGATCGCTGAACGGAAGTACTGGACTGACTCGACGGAGAAGATATAAAGAAGCATGGACACAAAAGGAGCCGTTGTCTCTCATCGTGGATCCTTGGTTCGTGGCTCGACAACAGGGATATCTTCGATTTACATCCAAACCAAAGCAGCAGCAGCAGCAGCACCGACAGGGATAGTCCTTCGTTCACTCACTCACTCACCCTCATGTCAACCACATTGGATCTGAGCCGGGTGCCCGCCGCCGACCCCCCCGCGGGGGTGACAGCCAACTTTGAAAACCCGCCCAATCAGAACTATCAGATCTATTCGATCAATCTCGCTCTGTGCTTCACGGGAACTGCCGTGCTGTTGTTGCGACTGTATACTCGGGCGGTTCTGCAGAAGACGATTGCCCTCGACGACTGTAAGCCGGACACATGAAGGGCAGCAATGAAACCACGCTGACCAGGGTTGACCAGGGTTCGTGATCGGGGCTCAAATCTGCGCGTGGATTTTTGCTATTTTGGGCATTATCAGTACGTGATGAGGATCTTCGAACGCCCCCAACCAAGTCCGTAGCACCGCTGACCGGAACAGACATTGACAACGGGTATGGGGTGCACATCTGGGATCTGTATCTCGACCGAATCAAGCCCTTCAAGCAGGTAGGCACCTCCAATCCGGCCGAGGGGCCTCGCTGGATCCCGGCAACCCTGACTGGGAGTATCAGAATGACCTCGCGGGTGAAGACGTCTTCGTGGTCGGCATCTGGCTGGTCAAGACCTCGATTCTGCTCTTCTTCCTGCGCCTCAGTCCCGAGAAGCGGTTCCGCCAGATGACCTACGGCATCATGATCTTTGTCGCCGTGTACAACATGATCAGTCTGCTCGTCTTCACTCTGGGCTGCATTCCGGCCCAGGCCATGTGGGATGTCACGCTGATGCCGACTGCGCGGTGTGTCGATCAGCTGGCCTTTGTGTACGCCAACGCGGCCTTCAACCTGTTCTCCGACCTCATCACCCTCGCCCTGCCCATCCGGCTCTGCTGGTCGCTCCAGACCACCTTCAAGCAGAAGGTGCTTCTCATGATGGTCTTGATGATGGGTTCTTTGTATGCGTCCCTTGCTTTGGCTGGAAAAATCGAAGTTGCTGACCCGGTCTTCCAGTGCTTGCGTGATTGCGATCGTCCGCATTGTCACGATGATGCCGTTCGTCCACGACAGTGACCTGACCTGGTACAAGGTGACCCTGGCCAAATGGGCGTGAGTTTCCCCTCCCCCGCACTCCCGGAGTGCATCTGCGGTCTCTTACTAACGTTGGTCGATCTCTGAACCAGAATGGTGGAAATCAACGTGGGCATCATCTGCGCCTGTCTCCCCGTGCTCCGGCCGCTCCTCCTGCAGATCGCCCCGCACCTCTTCGGCAGCAAGATCTCCAGCGCGGGCAAGCCTCGCGGCCAGGGCAGCGATGGCAGTGACCCTGTGGGGGCACGCAAGAAGGTAATCCGCAACTGGGACTACCTGTCCACCCTGCGCAGCGCCGCAGTCCCGGAGACGCAGGACGACGTGGAGGCGATGCACGCGATGGTCAAGCACGATAAAAACGGGCATGCGGCGGGCATTGTGATGTCAACGGACTATTCGGTGACTAGCAAGCGGGAGTAAAGTCCTCGCGGTCTATCCATTCCAGAGATCTGTGGTCTGTACGAACTAGGGCTTCTTGACTCGGGCATGTTTGGCGGAAGAGGGCGCAGGAGGGGAGTTTGTGATGGCAGACAATCAGGGTTCCCCATCACCCCAATTGATTCCTATTCTTCATATTCTTGCGGAGAGAACGGTCATTGTCTTTCCGGTTTTTTTTTTTTTTTTCCTTTTTTTCCTTTTTTTTTCTTCTTTTTTTCCCCCTCCCTTCGAGGTTCCAGTTTCTAATAATTATTATGTTTTATCATTCCTCATCCTCTTCTCTTCCAACAGATACAATCCCGTTACATGTAATTTAACCCGGACATCTCGGAATAGCTTTCTCGCACCTCCTCGCGGTCCTCCGTCGGACTATTGGCGCCACTCAACGAGAGTAACTCCTCGCCGGAACCAGAATGGACCCCCTTTCCCACCCAGATGGCAGTTCCAACCATCAGACACATTGCCAGCGAGTAATCTGTGCCCGGGGCCCGCCGGATATAGATAGTGGAGCGAGGTAGGTTCCCGTTCCCCCTCCCCCCAACCCCCCAGCATCCAATGAGCCACCAAAGGACGAATGGAATTTCCCCGCCCCGTAGATGTGGGAAAGTGACACACGACAAGTCTGACGGACCACGCGACTGGGATGTTGCATGGTTCGCCTGCATGGAAGACACGCAGGCAGGCATGATGCAGCCGGTGGCAAGATGCTTTTCGATGGGTGAGGCTAACTGAGCGCGGATAGTGACGGAAGTGATTGCAGAGAGGGAGAGAGAGCCACACACACACACACACCACACGAGGGCGGGCGATAAGCGTGATTGTGTACTGTATGTATTGGCGCCAGGCCAACACAATTTAATTGTCGGTGTGGGATTTGTTGTTGTTGTTGTTGTTGTTGTGTGTCGCTTTTCTTCCCTTACGCCGCCAGGATAAGCACTATTCCAGCCGAAGGGAGGCCGAGTGGGACTTCCTCGTCCGGTGGAACCCAAACCAAGCTTTTTTAGTTGGCCGCGACAAGCTTTGCCGAGCCTTGCAAGGGTTTCTTTTTTGCAATGGACAAAACTCGTGCAAGACATCTAACTATGTACTATGGGACTCTATCGGACTGCCAATTCGTGAGAAGATCCCGGTCCGGATTGAGGTCATCATGCAGCTTGAGGCTGTCCAATCCAATGTGGTTCAGTCAACTAACCTGGAAAGATAAGGGAGTTTTCTGAAAAGTCAATTGAACGGTGGACAACAATGAATCCCGTTCAATCAAGGACCTTTTTTTCTGATTGCTTGATTGACCCGATGGTGGTGGGGATTGTCTGACC